CATATTTAGGCAGCAGTCACAGCCAAGTGAGATGGTTTTAGTTCCTCTGAATGGTGAAAAGCAGATGTGATACTGAGTTCCAGCCTCTGCGTGTTTCTTTTTAATTAGTTTAAGACTTTGTTCCAAAAAATAAAATAAAATTTATTTAAACTCACAGGGGGGGAAGAACAGAAAGAACAGAACACATCTGTCTTTTCGTTTATCTTGGATAATGACAGTGCAATTCTGAGAAAGACTATCATTTTCAAAAACCCAGCTGCAACACGGGCATCTCCCTGGGAATGTTAGAAACTTTGAAATCTGATCCTTTTTTAATCAGTTTCATACCAGACACCCACAAAGACGTGATGACAAGGTCAAAGACAGGGATTTCATGAGTCCAAAACAGCCTCTGGTGTGTCGTGTGATAGTGTGTGTGTGTGTGTGTGTGTGTGTGTGTGTGTGTGTGTGTGTGTGTGTGTGTGTGTGTGTGTGTGTGTGTGTGTGTGTGTGTTTTTACTGTGACATATTTGAGGTATACAGGAGGCTCCAGCGGTTCAACTCATTAGCCTTTAATCCTTGTCTCTGTTCCCTGTAAAGAGGGAGGAGTGAATTCTACGAAAGCGATTAAACCCTGTCATTAATCATGATCATTATCATCATCATTGATTGTTAATCATCAATCAGTCAGCAGGTATACCTCTCAGCTGCCAGAGGGCTGATACTTCTACTTGTAAAGAGTTACTGAGGAACAAAGAGATGTTGCTGTTTTGTGATTGATGTAAGACCAGGTCTGATTTCTCCTCATTTTTATTTGCTGACAGTCATAAAAACTATTCAACAAGTGTGTGGTCATGATTTTAGTTCATAGCTAGGGTCTAGACCCAAGTTTGGGAGACACTGCACTATAACATGACAAATTAAACCAAATGTATATACAGTCTCTCCATTTTTATCACTGTAACAAAACTAACATTAGTCCATTTTAATCAATGTAACAAACCTCATTTTAACTGTAGAACTTTTTGACTCTTTCTGCTTTAAATTTTTTGAACTCCAGCCCATTATGCATCCGTCATTATTACAAATACTGTTACCGCTATGAAATTGCTATAGACGTGTTGACTTTAATTTGCTCTAAATTAAACTAAGATTAGTCCATTATCATACCAAGCTGCTCCTGTAAAGTAACCCAGTACATACTGGAGTACACACACTTCCATCCTCTCTGGCACTGTAACCATGTGTCTGTATGCACTATTGATGTTGTTAAAGGTACAGTGAGAAGAGAGTGGAATATTTAGCAATATCTAGAGGTCAGAATCTAGACTGAAATGCTCCCTTGCTCACTCTTCCTGTGGTTTCAGTTCCAAGAGTTCTGCTGTCCTCAAGAGAAAAGGTACTCCAGCAATGTCTGATAAATATGATATATTAGGGGATCATCTGTCAAGTTTTTACCATCAACAACATAAACATAAACCATCTCATTTTCTTCATCACTGTTACTCTTTGTGTTGCCTCTCACTAAATACTAAAATAACTAGTTGGCTGTGAAAGGGATGGCTGCCACCAAGGAAGGGGCCCCACTCCTAATGTAAGTGATTTTATAGTAATTTCAGTCCTGGCTATATTCTACTCACTGTACCTTTATTCTCAGTGAGTGACATTGGAAGTCAATAGTCTTTACCCCTTACCCCCCCCCCCCCACTCAATTCCAAGTGCTGATCAATCTGAGGGATTGTACTAACTAGTCCTATGAGCTCAACTGATAAGCTGGAGAAATCCAGTGACTGCTGTGAAAGGGCAGCTGACAACTAGGGAAAGACCATGTGACGGCGAGGAAAGACAGCTGACAGGAGGAAAAGACCCCAACGGGGCTGTCATGGACTAGCTATCCGTGATGGCAGGCTCCGTCGCTTGACCAGTAGACAAAGGCCACCCCCTATTGCTTCGAAAAGTTCAAAGAGAAAAACACCCCTAGAGTCTGCGAGAGCGGGGGCGGAAGATGACTCATCGGCTGATAACCCGGTAACTGACCCTGGAATGAATATGACGACGAACCAGATAATCGGCACAGAACAAGCAGCAACATCGGCTGAAGGACAAGAGCGCCAAGTATGTAGCTGGTCCAAAGTAACCTCCATCAGAGGCCTAAAAATACATCAAGGGCGGATGAAGTGCTTGAAGAAAACGAGGCCAGGACCTTGCATTGATCAATATCTCCTAGGAGAAAGGTCAAGTCAGGCGAGTGAAGCTCAGCGGCAGGACGTAACCCACAGTCCACTGAGCATCAGTACCCCAGAGGCTGAGAGTAATTCAAGCACAACATCAGAGAACTTGGAACAAAAACCACTTGCAACCTGCTTTGGAGAAGAACATGCAAGGCCACAGACCTCATGTGAAGTGGCCAAAGTCCAGCAGCAAGAAAGAGTGGGCTACAATCGATGCAGACCTGATCAAGATCCTGGACGGAGTCAAAGGGACAGTGGAGAAGAAACTGGAGAAAATGGGAGACCTGATCTACTCCTATGGAGCAGAAAGATTTGGAACAAAAGAGACAGGGAAGAAGAATATGCCACCAACAACCCTTCCCAAGTCCAGAAGGCAGAAAGAAATCGAGTGCCTGGTCAAAGAGAGAAGGGACTTGAGGAAACAATGGAAGAGAGCCTCACTGGAGGAAAGAGTGGGCATTGACCTCCTGCAAACAGACCTGAAGGGACGCCTGGGAAGATTGCGAAGAGCTGAAAACCTCAGGACTCGACGCAAGAGGAAGGAAAGGGCGAGAACATCCTTCTACAAGGACCCCTTCAGATTTGTGAAAGGACTCTTCACAAAGGAAAAGAGCGGGTCACTCAAGGTGCCAAAGAGGGAGTTGGAAGACCACCTGAAAACCACTCACACAGACAGCCAAAGATTTGAACAGAGGGAGATACCATCAGACATGCCACCAATTCCTCTACCAGAACTCTAGCTGGATGACAGTCCTCCAAAGTGGAGCGAGGTCGAGGAAGCAGTGAGGAAAGCAAGGGCAGCTTCAGCTCCAGGACCAAATGGAGTTCCATACCGGCTGTATAAAAACTCCCCGAACATCTTACGCTTTCTGTGGAGACAAATGAAGGTGATGTGGACGAAGCAAACCATTCCAAAAGCATGGCGAAGAGCTGGGGGAGTGATAATCCCCAAGGAGAAGGAAGCCTCGAACATCGATCAATTCCGGCAGATCAACCTGTTGAATGTTGAAGGGAAGGTCTTCTTTAGCATCGTTGCAAAAAGGATGACAACATACCTGAAGCAAAACAACTTGATTGATACATCTGTGCAGAAAGCTGGAATACCTGGGTTCTCAGGATGCTTGGAGCATACAAGCATGATATGGCACCAAATCCAATCTGCCAAAAGGGAAGGAAGAGACCTGCACGTCTTATTTCTGGACCTAGCCAACGCTTTCGGATCCATCCCTCATTCTCTCATCTGGACAGCCTTCAACTTCTTCCACATCCCAAGTACCATCACAAACCTGGTGAGAAACTACTTCCAAGATCTGCAATTCTGTGTCAAAACAACAGAATATACAACATCATGGCAATCTTTGGAAGTGGGAATAATGGCTGGATGCACCATCTCCCCATTAGCCTTCACCATGGCAATGGAAGTAATAATTCGAGTGTCCAAATGGGTTGTGGGTGGAGAACGTCTGAAGTGTGGACAGCGCCTACCTCCCATTCGCGCTTACATGGATGACATGACCACCTTAACTTCAACCGTTGCATGCACCAAACATCTGCTAGGAAAGCTTCATGCCAACATCACATGGGCACGGATGAAGTTCAAACCAAGCAAATCCAGGAGCATATCCATCGTCAAGGGGAAACTCACAGACCAGAGGTTCCACATCGAGGATACACCCATCCCATTGGTGTCTGAACTGCCAGTCAAGAGCCTAGGGCGAGTGTACAACGCACATCTCAAAGACTCAGACCACAGTGATCAGCTGAGGGAAGAAACCATCAAAGGCCTTGTCAGCATAGACAAGACCTTGCTTCCTGGCAAGTTGAAACTGTGGTGCCTGCAGTTTGGATTGCTCCCCCGCCTGATGTGGCCTCTAACAGTTTATGAGATCCCCATGACCAAAGTCGAGAGGCTGGAGAGAACAGTGAGCTCATACATTAAGAAGTGGCTTGGCCTCCCGCGTTGCCTCAGTAACATCGGCTTGTATGGACATGGTGCCCTGGAACTGCCCATCTCTAGCCTCACAGAGGAGTTTAAGTGCACCAAGGTGAGGCTGAACATGACCCTAACTGAGACGCAAGATGAGGTGATCCGTGCAGCTGCTCCCAGACTGACAACTGGGAGGAAATGGATCCCATCTGAGGCGGTACAGCAAGCCAAATCTGCTCTCAGGCATGGAGACATTGTGGGACAGGTGCAGCATGGAAGAGGTGGGTTTGGACTTGGGACAAGTCGACCCACATGGCACAAAGCAACATCAACCCAGAGAAGAAAGCTGGTGATTGCTCAGGTTCGGCAACAAGAGGAGGCAAACAGATGCGCGACAGCAGTGGCACAGTCCAAACAGGGACAGTGGACCAGCTGGGAAAACCTGGAGCATCGTAAGCTCACATGGAAGGATCTTTGGGAAATGGAAGGAAGCCAAATCAGCTTTATCATCAGAGCCACCTATGATGTTCTTCCCACACCCAAGAACCTAAACCAATGGTTTGGAGAAGATCCTTCTTGTGTACTCTGTCAAACACCTGCAACACTGAGTCACATCCTCACCGGCTGTAAAACCAGTTTGTCCCAAGGCCGCTACACCTGGAGACACAACCAGGTCCTGAGACAACTGGCGATCACTCTGGAAGGAAGGAGAACAACAACCAACAATGCCCTCCCTCCCCCAATGCCTAGACGCTCAAACACCACCCCATTCGTAAGAGCAGGACAACCACCGGCAAAACCATCTGCAAGGGTGGAGGCAACCCTTCTAGACTCTGCCCGGGACTGGAGGATGCAGGTTGACCTAGATCAGAAACTCATCTTTCCACCTGAGATCCTTCCAACTAGCCTCAGGCCGGACCTGGTCTTGTGGTCAACCACCCAGAAGGTTGTGCTCATAATCGAACTAACTGTACCATGGGAGGCAGCAGTTGGTGAAGCATATGAGCGCAAACGTCTGAAGTATGCGGACATAGCAGCTGAGGCAGAGCAACGCGGCTGGAGTGCCCGGGTGCTTCCGATTGAGGTCGGGTGTAGAGGCTTCGTTGCCACGTCCACAACCAAGCTTCTGAAGAGAATGGGAGTACGAGGACAGGCCTTCCGACGAGCCATCAAATCAATATCAGAGGCTGCCGAACGAAGCAGCAGATGGCTCTGGATCAAGAGAAAGGACCCCACCTGGGCTGCAAAATGACCACCTAGGGGTAAAAGCAGAGGGGGGCACACCTGGGACGCCAGGTGTCGCCGTTGAGCCCCCTGGAGGTGTCGTGGGCCTATCAATGAAACACCAGTGAAGGGGGGTGCCCACCTGAAGACCCCAATGAAGCATTTACCCCTTACCCCCCCCCATTCAATTCCAAGTGCTGATCAATCTGAGGGATTGTACTAACTAGTCCTATGAGCTCAACTAAAATACCTCAATTAAAGAGAGACCAACTGACTTTATTGCCTTGGTTTGGGAACTAGTCCTTCTGGGATATAGGCCTATACCAGTAAACATGATGGATGTTATTTGGGGTTGAAGGCTTTCTGGTTTGCCACTGTGGAGTTTCCAAAGTGTTTTAACATTCAGAGAAGCTGAATCATTCAATTCTAGAAGTATTTGACTCATTTAACCTCAGATTTGAGTCTGATGGGGGTCTCATTGGGCCTGTAATTGTCCGGACTCTAAGAGTTTGGCAGCGGCACAGGAGTCAGTTGTCATGGACACACACAGACACACTCTCTCTCTCTTTCTCTCTCGCTCTCTCTCTCTCAAGGGCGTGAACACGGCCTGGTTAAGGTTCCCAGAGCATCTGCCAACTTGCCCTCTTTGGCTGTCCTCCCCCCGCTTGAGGGGACAAGGAAAACAGGTAAAGAAATAAGACAGGTGTGAAAACTGGCGACTGTTCACAACATTAAAAAAACCTCAAACAGGTAAACCACCCTCAGGTAACACATTAGTCTGTGATGGTTGGCACTGATGTCTAACAGCATAATGGGACGGTAGGAGCCTGATACTTTTGGTCTCTGTGTGTAGAACCTGAAGTTCAAAACTTTCTCTTACAGGAGTATGGACCATGGTTCCATCACACTGTTGCGCCTTGTTCATTTCAAGATGTTAAGCTGTGCTGTTGAACTACCATAACGAATAACATATACACAAAAGTTGCAAAAATGTATGTCTTATTGCACAAACTATTATTGCAGTCCTTGAAGGTTATCCCTGCAAGAGCATTTTTAGGGTTTAAACATCAGAGGTTCCTTCGGCTGGAGAGTTGACCACATTTTTGTGTCGTCATAATCCATTGAAAGCAAATATAGGCACTGCAAGGCAGCATGTTAGTTCAGCAGTCAACACCGCTGTCTCACAGCAGAGTGGATTTTTTGGTTCAGATCCTGACAGGGGCCTTGTGGTGTTGAGCTAGAATCATCTGCCTTCTAGATGCCGTCAACCACCAACTGACAATTTTTAACTGTCCATCTTTTCAACTGTCTGTTTTTTTTAACTGTCGTTTTTTGCTTTTTTAAATGTCTGTTTTTTTTTAACCATCCATTTTTTTAACTCTGTTTTTTTAACTGTCTGTTTTTTTTTAAAACATCTGTTTTTTTTTAACCACCCATTTTTTTAACTGTTTTTTTTAAATGTCTGTTTTTTTTTAAACTGTCTGTTTTTTTAAACGGTCGGTTTTCTTGAAGTGTCCATTTTTTTCAGTTCTTTTTTTTTACTTTCAATTTTTCTTTGTCTGTTTCTGCCTTTGTTTGCTTCTTCTGTTAGAGCACTTTGTAAACATCTGTTTTAAAGATGCTATATAAATATAGTATAAAGTTGATTATTATTCTACTGAGTTAAATCTGGATCATGCTTCTGAGCAACAATACCATATTGAAAAGTGAGTAAATTCTCTGCCGTTTGGATGTGGAAAGCTCACGATTAGTTGATATGAATGAGCATGAACAGCTTCAGAAATTTGATGTGGTAAAACCACATAAACGTAGACATGTGTTCAAACAAGTGTGGTTCCCAGAATTCAGATTACTCATGAAGTAAATACTCAGCTAATTCATCTTGTAGCGATTTGAAATGAGCCTCACAAGGCCGCACCAAAATAATACTGTAGTGATTGGAATTTATAATAAATGTCTGAAGATTAATAATCTCAAATTATGACATTTATGCACTCGTTGAAAGGGGCACCACCCACCCTTAATGGTGGGAAAATAAAGAAAAACAAAAGTTTAATTCAGAAATCAAACATCAAGTCAGTTTTAATTAATCAGTCTCATATCTTTAGTCGAAATTCTAATTTCAGGGACTCCACTTCTGGAAGAACACTAACAGACAGGAACTTAGAAAAATAATGATCTGTTTATTACAGGATAAATGATGGTGCAACACACATGCAATAAATGATGATAAGATAATGAGGATAAAATAATAATAGGTGAATAAATAAAGATTCTGAGTCAGGCTAGGAGCACTAAAGTTAATGATAGTGGGTGAATATGCGCTAATATATTAACCTACACTAACTTTGGTGTCGAGATAAACTCGGATGTGGATTTGGAGGAATCTAAGATTACCAGAATAAGAGGATATCTGAGTTGAACGCAGGAGACAGCACCAGCCCTCTTTAGAGCTCTGGAGGTTTGCATACTTAAGTGAGACTGGTCCTTGGAGAAGATGGAGCAGGTTCCGAAGGTCCGGGCGGTTCGAGCGGTTCAGCTCAGAAGACGACTGAAGTCAGCCGAAGGATGAGCCAGGAGTTGCAGCACTCGGGCCCGAAGCAAAGCCAGCGCCTGTGGATCCTGTGGATGCTCGTTTGGGTACTTCTTTGGTCTCACTTAAAAACTCTGGCACAGAGGATGACCTGGGCCTGCTGGGTTGCGTTCAGAGGTGACTTTGAATCACGCAGAAAACTCAGATAACGAGATTCGAGCAGAGAAAACTTTCAAAAATGGCTTCGCGAAATTAAAGAAAAATCAATCAAAGGCTTAATCTTGAATTGCTATGTGCACAAAAAGTTGAAGTTTCAAAACTTGAACTAAGACGATGTTAAAGAAAATCAACGTGAATCAACACGTGGCGTAAAACTTAGAAGACTAAGAAAAAGTTCTAAGAGAAAAAAAAGAAAAAGAGGACCACAGAAGGGTGTGGACAGAAGAGAGGGTACAAGAGAGGAAGGCAGTGATGGACAAGAGAGTGAGCAACCCCACTTCACTGGTTTTATCTTCTCACACTGGGAGTGTTTCCGGGGTGTGTGTGTGTGAGGAGAAAGGAGGGGTCTTGGAATCTCTGATTATTTGATCTAACTTATTCTTTTGGCTGGTAAAAGAGTCAGATCTGATACTCACTCACTATGATTAATATCATTGAATGCTAGGTTTCATGATAAATAATTTGATACTAAACACATATGAATGAAGTGTAGGATCACATCAAACATTCTCATGTTTTAAGTATCACATTGAACATGCTAAATTACTCTGAAATGAAACAGATAGTAACACATGGAAACTGTGAACAACAAAAGAGTAAACACATGTGAATGAACTTCATCATGATTAATAATGGATTCTAAATACTCACATTCAGATTATTCAATGACAATATAACCACCTAATGGTTAAAAATACTAAATAAACATCTACAATATAAACCAAACATTCTAAACTATTTCTGTGTTCATAGAGTAAGTTATGATCCATAGTCAATAAATTTAACTCTTAACAGTTCATGAAACAGTCTGAAAAGCTGTTGGTCTAAAGAAACTAAAGAATAAAGGATTTATTCCATCAGATTGATAACTCGGCTTCTGAAGCACATAGAAAAATGGGAAACATCTCATTTTAACACAAATTTCATGATTAGACAGATTAGTACATTGCTGAATGCATAAGATGTCATGATCAGTCATTTGTATTCTTTCACCAAAGGAATGTAGTCTTTATCAGTGCATGGTCGAGCAGGGTTTTACGACCGAGGTCTGGAGGTCAGTGTCCCCCCTTTTCCTGGGGTCCGTATGTTCACACACTTTAAGACGCTAAATCTCAAATGGGAGATCTGGGTTGAGGTTAATGTTTATTTAGATGGTCAGCGATGGAGTCAGTTTGAAAGGTAATAAAAACTCTGTCTCTGTTCTCCGAATCGACCAATCGTGAAGAGTCAGAGGTTTAGTCAACCTCCGGTTGGGTCACTTATTTAACCTGAAAGTGTAAATGAGTCTGGAAAGATTTATATCCTGTTTCCTGGGACCAGATAAGGAAACTTTCCTCTGAGGAATGTGTGGGTTTCACACCCAGGGTTGTCTTGATTGCTACAATCTGCTATAATTGTATAATTGCGCCTTTGTCTTTAAAGCCCAGTGTTGTCCTACATGTCACTGCTCAGGTTGTTTGAGCATGTGACGATTAAATGTTAAAATGTGAGCACGTGTACACATGAGTTTATTTTCGTCTGTGTCAGTGTATGTGTGTGTTAGACGGGAGGTGATATGAGTCCCACTGCCACATAGCTGAGGGTATAAATATAGCTGAGGGGTCAATCAGGCTGTAGAAACAGCGTTAGATGAGTTGAATTTATACCTGCACTCTCCTACATGAACCAACTACAAGTTTTTATTCTTTAAATCAAAATAAAAGCAGTTGATATGAAAACCCTGCCACCAATATGTTTTCTAAAACACATTCATGCTTGTAGGTATCAGTCAGGCTTTGTTATGGTGCAATTTCAACTTGAAGGTGGAAGTTTCGTTGTTTACAACATGCTGCAGCAACCTCAATTCTTTGCAACTAACCACAAACATTTCTCAGTTTTCAGACAGAGCTTTAGCTTCAACAACACCATGAAGAGAGCCACGGACACGTTATCTGATTTAACAAGCCCCGCCTGCGTATGTAAGGCCGAGGGGGTTTCATGTCACACCTGGGATCACAACACACACAGGACATCTACAGTGAGTGATAACATCTGTGGATTATGCAGACCTCCAGGATGTGACGATGCAACCATTTTGACCTTGTTTTATTCTATGATTTTGGGTCACCTGAAGTCTCACACTCGCATTTATGTCACTGACCACCTGAATTTACAGGACAGTGGGTTAGTAGGTCCCCTGCAATAACAAGATCCCCCCCATTGACATGGCTCAGTGTGCCATCTGTTGTCATCAAATAGGACCATTATATCAGGAGAAATGGTAAAACTTGATACACTGGATGGATTTGCGTGTTTACTCACAACTCCTACAGTTTATATTTGGTTTAAGGTTGCACTGATAGCACCGGTCTTTCCAACTGTTTATCAGCACAGAACAGGAAATGAATCATCTTCATTGTCTCCAATTTTTCCACTCTAAAGTGGGCTAGTGGATCAAAATATCTAGGTTACTCTGTCTCCTGTTTCAAAGATTGTTTCTTTACATTTACTGATAACAACCATTTTCGTGAGCAATTTGTTGTGACCCATTTTTGTGGTGAGGTAAGAGCATTCAGGGAGCAATTTACCTCCGAACATCGACATGTAAGTAAAATCCTACCTCTCTGCTTTCTTACGGAAATACAATGTTATTCTACAGTCAACCATTCATAAATAAATGACCTGAATTAGACTAGATTAGATTAGTGATTGTTTTTCAAATATACAGTATCTATAAACTTCAACGAGAACAAACAAAATGTTTTTCAGTTTCATATCTTTTATTTAGAGCTTATAGAACATATGAACATAGAATATTTTAAATAATATGTGTAAGAGGACTTATCAAAGATAATTAATACATTCTGTGACAGTGACAGAGGAATGGGTAATGAGTGTGTATGTGCCGTCTTCAGCTCGCAGTGAGAGTAGTGTTATGCGCAGGCTGAGATCGGGTGGCTGAGGCCACTGAAATAAGACTTTTCTCGCTCGCTCATCACTTCAAAGTGCAGCGGCTGCTGGCAGAAGGTGCACTCTCCTGAGGAGTGGGGCTTCAGCTCCAGACCCACCTCCTTCCAGGTATGCACCAACCTCTCTGTGGAGGAGAAATCAAAGAGACGGGGTTAGGTTTAGATCATCATGATTAGGTCTCACTGGATGCTAATTTATACGAAACAATCCAAAGTTTAGAAATGTTTGAAGAAAATTTAGTATTTTTAATGACTTTGTGTTCTTACCAACAAAGTATTTCATCATCTCAGGAGTGTGGTGAGGCGTTGGTGCAATACGCAGAAGCTCATCCCCCCTGGCAACAGTAGGGTAGTTGATGGCTTGCACGTAGATGTTGTGGCGACTCATCATGAGATCACAAACCTCTGTGTTTTTCTCAGCATCTGATACCTACAAAAATACAATGAGGTACATAATATGATTAAAATGGCGCCATTAGACGACACAGACATGTAGCAACTCTTTTTTTAATTTTCTGTAAAATGACAGGAAGCAGAGGAGATGATGAAGAGGAACATTAAATCTGAATTTACCCGGACTGGGATGATGTGGCTGGGGCAGTGAACCACAGGCAGCCCTGAGTCCATTAGCATTTGTCTGAGTAGTTTGACGTTTCGCTGGTGTTTGCGTCTCAGAGCGCGTCCCTCCTCTCCTTTCAGGACCTGAATGGACTGTCTGGCTCCGGCTAAGAGCATCGGCGGCAAAGAGGTGGTGAAGATGAAACCGGCTGCGTAGCTACGCACCGTGTCCACCAGTGCAGCTGTACTCCCGATATATCCGCCCACACAGCCGAAGGCCTTGCCTGGAGGAAGACAGTAAAAATCCTGGTAAGTCTTTTTTTTTTTTAATATATATATAATTGTAGGTGATTTCCTCAGCCAAGTTGATGACTTTTTGTGTTGTTTAACTTCAAAAGTTTGTTTCAAAACACACAATACATAACTGAGAGCTCTTTCCAAAACCCTCCCACTGAAATCTCAAAACCCAATTCATCCAGGATTGGCAGGAGAAAAGAGTACGGTGAGCTCTCAGTCAGAAATAATTGTCCCCACAGCTTGAAAGCAACAACCAGACACTGAGGGTAATTCAATAAGAGCACAACACGAGCCGACAGTTTCCTAGCAACAGCAGAGCTGCAGCTTCTTTGAGCCCTCCGGCATATCATGTGACACAGAGGAGACCTGATCCTGAGCGCGACAACAAAACAGTGTGCGTCAAGATTTCCATCAGCTGGTTTGTTTGGATTCATAAAATCATATAAAATGTGAAAAATGGATAAATATAGTCAAGAGGGCGCGGCTAGCTAGTTATGTAATCTTTAAATGGTTTAACGTTGTCTTAACGTCATAATGCCCAAAAGTAAGAGTATTTCATGTTCATATGCTGACCTAGAGTCCCTGAGATGATATCCATCTTGTCCATTACACCATCTCTGTCTCCGATGCCGCCTCCTCTGGCGCCGTACAGACCCACTGCATGGACCTCATCTACAAAGGTGATGGCACCAAACTCATGAGCGACATCACACATCTCCTCCAGCGGACACACAGCACCTGAAGAACAGGAAGACAGAAAAACGGATGAGCTGATATCCAAAGTTTGATATGTGCTTCCTGAAGAATATCAAAGACTATCCCTCACTCACCATCCATGGAGTGGACAGTCTCAAAGGCCACAATCTTGGGTTTGGCCGGATCTCCCTTTTGTAAGAGCTCTCGCAGATGGGCAACGTCGTTATGGCGGAAAATGAATTTCTTAGCGCCGCTGTTCCTGATACCCTGAATCATTGAGGCGTGGTTGCCTGCATCGGAGTAGATCTCACAACCTAAAACAGTTCAGGAGGAAAAGAGGAAGAGTGAATGAGATGTCGAAAAGGCCCAGAAACATAGGATTATTTTTAGAATTACGTTGATTTGTCATCCTGCATACCAGGCAGCATCTTGGCGAGGGTGAAGAGGGTGGAGTCGTTTGCCACAAAGCAGGAGGTAAAGAGCAGCGCAGCGTCTTTCTTGTGGAGGTCAGCCAGTTCTTGTTCCAGTTCTACGTGGAACTTGCTGGTCCCAGAGATGTTCCTGGTCCCTCCTGCCCCGGAACCATGCTTTCGTAAAGTATCCCTGAAAAATGGAGGAGAGAAACAATTAAGATGTGAACTAACAGAGACGTAAGACTGTTAGAAATGAGAAAACATGAACAATTAAGCAGGTCAACTTCACTCCAAGGTGTTAGAGTAGCACTGGGAGTCAGACAGCTGGGCAAGCCCAAACTTGCTTGTGGGAAGAGAATGAGAAAAACATCCCACCTGACTGGGGCCTGGGAGGTTTAGGTGTTACCTATGACCAACAAGCACTCTATAGTCACACAAACAATGTATTTGATCCCTTCTGGGTGTCAGGTTTTTTCCATTACTGTGCGCTTTGTCCGAACCTCTTTCCGTCCCTTTCTCTCCCTGAAACTATTTGTCTCATTACATATGAAAACCCCTTAATTTAAGAGTCTAAACCAGCCCACAGATTACCCAACAGAAGCATTACTCACATTATAGACTGCACCACCCGCGGGTGTCGACTCATGCCCAAGTAGTCGTTGCTGCACCAAACAGACACCTCCCTCTTCTCCTCCAAAGAGCCGGTGAAGTCATCGGCCATGGGAAACTCGCTGGCCAGACGATTCACCGTCTTGAACACACGGTAAGTGTGGTCATTCTTCTTCTCCACGATCTTCTTCTCAAAAAAGTCATCGTACTGGAAGCGGGACACTGTGATGAAAGAGGAAGACGATGCTTGCTTAATGTCTATTTCACAGATGAAGCAAGAGTTAACATGAAGAAAGCCTCAGCTAACCTTACTCAGAGTCACTAAAACAGACTTGTACCCTCATACACACTTAAAATGATTTGAATTAATAAAAATCAAATTACAAAGTGAAGTTTTTATTGAGTAACATCAGTATCTGACACTTAAGGACACTCGAATTAAAAATGCTGCGATAATACTACAGAATCAATTTGTTATAAGGCATTAATGAAAACTTACTGCTTCCTGGCAAGTTATCCTGCAGCAAGTGGGAGACCCTTTTGGGTTGCTGTTTTAGGAGGGTCTTCATCAGATTAGTGTGATCCCCTTCACTTCCCTTTGTGATGCTGGCCAAAGATGGCTTCTTCAGCTGGGTAGGGGACACCTCTACAACAGGTGAAAAGAGGACACAAGAGTCAAACGGTGTCTATATTGCTGGGCAAAGCTACGCAGTCTAACAATTTAGTAAACGACTCTCACCTTTCTGGACGGTGCGGACTTCCTGAACATCCTCTTGGAACTCCATGCAAACCTGGCGGACCACGCTGCTGTTCTTCTGCCCCATCTCAGCAGCCAGAAAGGGGCATTTGGAGGCCACAGCCTGGCCTGGGGGTGGCATGGGGTGTCCAGCAGGCAGCTTAGATCCCTCTTCCTGCTTTGGGGCTGCAAGTAAACAAAAGTTTATTCAGTCTGTTTTAGCCTAACAGAGATAAATCTTCAGTATAGGTACTCCTTGTTATTCACTCTCACCTTCACTGGCTGAAACCGTGTCCTCGGTCCTCTGGTGAGAGGAGGAAGAGCATAAGGCTCGAGCCATTGATGGAGCCATCGGCTTTGAGGCCAGCTCCATCATGATGGGACATTTCTGGGCGTACACCGTCAGAGTCTTTTTGGTCTGCTGGAAGAAAGCCTGAGGCACACGAGCCAGGAACGGACAGCGACGTACAATCACATCCATATTCAGCAGAGGTGACGATGATTGTCCAAAAGTCTGAAAGAGAAAAAAACATGATGTAATTGAGACTTGAGCTGTGGAAACTTCTGGCTCCTTTTACGGCGCTGCTAAACCGGTTTTGCAAGGGCTTTACTTAACGGCGCAGGCCACCTCGAAGGGCATTTTTCCTTTACATGAAACGCAAATAATTTAATCCAACCAACCCTCGTCTATAGAGAAACATTTATGTGAAAGGTTGTTGTAGTAAGCTGATGTTAATTACTTTGATACTATCCATGAAAAGGATAGTGACTTCAATGACAAATATTTTATGTCTGTGTAGAAGGCTTATTTCTGAGTTTGTTTCAACTTCTTTAGTGCATAGAAACATCATGGTGCCAACATATTTTAGAAAGAAACTCATTACCAAGTAAATATTGGATTATGATGAAATTTTTGAGACATTTAAAGAAAATCTGGGTTTGATACGGATGCACCGATCCGATATTGACAAATTAACTGGATCAGATACTGATGAATGACGCCCATCCAGCTTTCCGATCCAGTCTTTTTTTCTTGTAATTTATTTTTCTTTTAATACATGGAAGTCTTACTTCTTTTTGCTGTGTGCTAATGTGCAATTTGTTAATAAATAATATTAAGTACATTTATATCTGTGTTAACTTATGACCTTTTTTTTTAAACAAGACTAATGTCAAGCCTGATGCCTTCTCTCACAGGGCAAGGTAGACAGTTCATTTATTTAGCAGTATTGTTGGATCAGTATCGGCCGATACGCTCAGCCCAGTTATCGGTATCAGATTTGATCAGAAAAAATGGATTGTATTAAAGATTTATTGGTCAACTGCCTTTGGAAAAAACGGTCAACACTGCTGACACCTAAAGCAACACCATAAACATTAATTTCTGAAGTTTGCGGGCTGCAACAAGTGTCTTTAAACATTGAAAATCCTGTTAAGATGCAGTCTCATTTGTTAAAAAGATAAATAAAGAAGCTTGGTCTGACTGTCTGTTAATAAAGTCTTACTCCTGCTGAAGCCAAGTTTACACATTCCTCGACAGAGTCCATACTCCGCCTCTACTTCTATTCCAGGAAAAGGGGGAAATGACCTAAAGAGGAAACGTGTTGGAATAGAATCTTGGTCTAAAATGTGTCTAAACTGTTTGTTTTAATATATAAATAAGTAGCAAGTAATTAAATGGGTAAATGAATAAAATAAATATACCTAATACCTAACAAATCAATTGGTTAGACTTGCATTCACAGTCATGGACTTTTATCTCACCAAAGAAAAAACCTATCCCTACTTGAACCCTACGTATTTACAATCAAGATAAAACAATACTCTGCTAAGATGCTTTAACTAAACATTTATAAATCTAAGACACATCAACAGTTTGTTGTAAAGCCCGATTAAACCCTCGGGAGTGATCTTCCGTGATGGCCACCCTACAATAACACGGTTATTAACCAAGAGAGCATGTGTCACGACTAATCCGATACTAACATTAACTCATCTATATCAACGATAAATACAACAAATAACATCGATATAGAAAACCCTCTTTCTTGTGATAAAAGCTAAGACCTCTCGTTCGCCTCTCCGCTCTTGGTATTTGCCGGTTGACCGAGCTTAACGTTAGCTAAGCTGCTAACATTAGCCGAAATGAAGAAGAAGGCGGAATAAAAGTAAAAACTCACCTCTTTATAAAAAATGACCTTCAAGTCAAAGATTGAATCCTCTCTTTTGATCTCGTAAGGGTCAGGATAACGGCAACCTCGCGTCTCTAAAGTCAAACTCTGACTTTTTAGTCGAAGAAGGTGAGTAAGATGACTGCTTCGTTATCCTGCACTGAGGACGAACGAAAAGGACGAGGACGAGCCGCTGGTTATAAGAGCTCAAACTGGACGGAAGTCTCGCGAGAACACGCGCTTTGACGTCGGCGGGTCACTTCGGGTAACAACAAGCCTTCCTTCACTGAGTCACAATCATAACCAGACTACTGTCACCTTGAACCGTGTATTGTCTTCTGGCAGTTGTTCAACCGTGTAATAAAAGGCCGTGACCTAATTTGCATATTGATATTTCCAGTTTATCGCCAACACCGTCATTTCTCTGAGTTTAAAGAGGACACTGTAAAATGTCTGCCAACTATATGTCACCAGTGGCATCTTAGGCCGCTCATTTACGTTTTTAAACTTAACCTTGATGCAAGCAAGCGTGCTGGTTTTCATTCCAGCATAGCTAACATCAATTTTTAATGTCATTTTAAGATATATGAGGTTTGTTGATGTTAAAGGAGGAAGTTCATGGGTGGGGTAGTTGTATTTCTTGTGTACATGTGACCCCTGGTGTTGGAAATGAGACCTTCAACCTATTCTTGAGCAACTCCTTAAGTCTGGGTGATATCAGTGTAGCTGTGAAAAAATAATGTCATATGTGCATTATTTGACTTTTTTTCTGCAGGTCTTTGGTAAAAATTAAAGGGATATTCCGGCGTGAAATTAATTTAAGGTCAAACACACCATACCAACGAGTTAGACACCCCCTCTAGAGATGAATGTTGCCGACTGCTTGCTTCTCTAGTTATACCAAGTTTAGTAACGACCGCACGATAGCAATACACATTGGTCTGAGGAGCCATAAACAAACCTCAACCAAAACGCCACTCTATAGCCACAAATAATGCTCAGAACAGCACCTAACTCCATCAACAGTGGCTGCTGCTGGAAGAGAGTGGGTGAGTTGTGTTTAGTTTCTTTGCTACAGAAATCAGGCAAAGCTAAAAAGATGTTTGGTGGCTAGTACTATGGCTGGGACCCTATATGTACTGTTGAGGTTTGTTTATGGCTCCTCAGACCGCTGTGTATAGCTATCGTGCGGTCGTTACTAAACTTGGTACACCTAGAGAAGCAAGCAGTCGGCAACATTGATCTCTCAAGGGAGTGTCTAACTTGGTGTTATGGTGTGTCTGACCCTAATTTAATTTTACGCCGGAATATCCTTTTGAGCAATGTTTGCAGGAGGGACACAACATTGGAAATTTTCTGTCCTAATACATAAGTATAGATACTCAGTATACCCTGAGTTACAAGTATATTAGCTGAAATCTTATCAGCTTACAGCCCAAAGACATATATCTATACCCTTACTGCATGAACAATGCTGAGATTTTGTTAAAGCAGTTTGGAGATACTCTTATTTTCACACACTCTGGTCCATAATCAACCATTGTTGATGCATGTACAGTTTATAAGGTGGAAGTCATGTATGGTGGAGTGGATAGGAAGCAGAGGCAAAACAAAATGCACAGTGTTTTCTTAGCTTTCAGTCTTCCCTGTATTTAAAATTTGGTGTCATTTCATCTACCAACAACAAACAGGCTTTACAAGGGTTTATAATCACCAAGGTAAACATAAACATCTCCAAAAAGTGTAACAGAGGATGTCCTCATATGAACGCCCCACCCACCCAGCAAAGACTAATATAATGTTTTGCTGCCCTCTACAGATCTTTTGGCTTTGGCACTGTTTACTGGGAGTTTGTAACAGCAGGGTTGGCTTGCTGGGCTGCTGAGTATCATGTTTAATTCTAATTTACCACAGCAGTCTATCATGGACATGTTAGATGGGAAAGCCTCCATGACATTATAGTTGGTATTTAACATACGGCTGACCACTTAATGTGATGATAGACAGAGTATGCAAGGGTGTATTCATCTTTTTACTAACTCTCCATAATCAAATAAAAATTCTGATTACTTGTGTTATCATTACAGTCTTTTTTAATTACTATAAGATAACATTATGGTTGTCAATATATATCATATTATTTGAAAATCTAATGTGAAATATGTAAAAAATGAAAACAAGGTCTTTTCCTGAGCAGCTCCTCTGATAAATACCCTGTTGCACAGGTTTCAGGCAATAATAATAACAGTATAAAAGTTGTCAGTTTAGTCACTGATGGTCTTCTTTTCTTTTATTTATCATAAAATGGCATCACTATGAATTTCAATTGTTTTTATAAATGTTTAAAGAAAAACTCCTCACAGGAGTATTCAGTAGTACAATACTTCTGCGTTACAACTCAATGTTTGTCTTTCCAACATTTTCCGTTGAAAACAAGGTTTAAATGATTTGCTGATCATAAACATTTCCTAAGTGTTCCACTTTTTTTTAGAATTGCATTAAATTCATTACCAATTTCCAATAAGAGGTAAAAAAAAAACAGATTAAGAAGAACTTTAACTTTCCTTATTGTAATGAAGTATGTAACTTTCACCAACAGAGAACCGAAATTGTCCCAACAAATTAGAGCTCGTATTCCAGACATATTGCAGCTCATGTAAAACATTAAACGATTTTATGCGTTATGTTTTGTTATATTGCGTTATGTCCACATTATTATATATAACAAAAAGAGTCTCATCTCTTCAGTTTCTGAGAATTTAAAAGAGCGTTTGTGAAAAGAAATGAATCACTCTGACACAGAGAAATCACACTGAAAAAACAGGCATGAGAAAGCCAAATGTAAAACTCTGTTATTTCTCTTTCTATCAGGTTTGAAATTGTATACAATTGATAGCAGTACTTCTTTTTTTCTTAACCACTGATCCACCAAACTGCCAGTCCCTCCAGTAGCCAAAAGCACTTTTAGTATACTGGTGAGTTGAGCTTTATCTATTACCCAGGCATGACAGAGAACAGCCCACAGCAACTTTCCTAGATACAGCCTCTGTGGGCAGCTCCTGTGTGGAGTCTGTTAGAGATGTGAAAAATGAAGATATCTTACTCTCACTATTTTATGTGTGACCAGTTTCATTAAACAGCAGAGCTTGCTGTTGCCAGAATAGTGAATAGCATAATGAATCCATGCACCATTTACCAGGGCATCTTTGATAACTTTTATTCTGTAACTGAATAAAATAAAGCCAAACAAAAATGGTTCCTACGGTGTCTCTAAACGTAGATGTCTTTTTCCCCCTATAAACCAAATGTTAACCTTGAGAAAGTTCCCTGATTACACGCAAAGTTTCATTGTTATTAGATTAAAAGAATCAGAGCTGCATATTGGATAGTTGACATGAAATCTAAGCTGTAAAGCAGAAAAGCTGTCCTGAGCTTGGGGAAGTAGTGGGCAACAAAACACTAACATCTGAGTGACTCCTTTGGCCCCAAACAATTTGATTTATAAATCTACCTTTCATTTGTCTGCTAATGCCAATCACATTAATTAAATGATTTTATATGTTTATTTATATGTGTGTGTATGTGTGTGTATATATATGTCATATTTATAGACTGTTTTTATTATTTTTTTATTTCGTGTAAATATTGTTATAGTATTTGTATTCGTAGAATGTACACTGTGTTTCACTGGTGCTGCCTCTGTTTTTTTGAAATTCCCTCTGGGGTTAATAAAGTACCTACCTACCTACCTACCTGCCTACCTACCTACCTACCTACCTACCTACCTACCTACCTCAGTTTTAGGAGGAGGTTTGATGTGGCAACCGACCTCAGCCTCAGATTGTTCTAACATTTTAACTGGAAATGATCCCATATCTATTTTTTTTTTTAATTATGCATTACCTTAAGCCACTTTACAGATGTAGCCCCAACAGACACTGTTAAATCTCTTCATAATCAGTACAAGCATATAAGAACAGCATACATTTCAGCAAGTGGGTGAAAGCACTGGACAAATAACCAGAAAGGTCTGTGGATTTCCACTTAAAACAACATAATATCACCGAGGGTACTCTTATCAATTAAAAAAAGGGAAAAAAAGAAATAAGGGGTGATAAACCTCGAAAAAATTGCTGGAATGGGATGTCTAAAGTGAAAGGGTGGGCCAAATGTCAGCTGAGCGGGCCCTCATATTAATAGACGATCTCTGCAGCGGACCCTCCTGTCGACCTCCTTTTCCGAGCTCGCTGTGAAAACATCACTTCCAGTTTCCTGCCTGTTTCGGAGAGGCAGACATGGCGTCGGGCCTGTCCCGTGTTGTTATACTGGCGTTGTGTGTTCTCCTGCCTTTATATGTATCCGGTGAGTATATTTTTGAAACTCTTATTGGTCTCTCTCGCCTCTATCATCGCTTTTGTTCTTGTTTAATGTAGCGCTCGTGTTGCCGAGTGTTTTAATACTTAACAGTTAGCTCAGAGGTTACGTTAGCTAGTTACGGGGGCCCGAAGTGACCAAATTCAGGGCGATGTCATCGACTGTATTTTCAGGAATTTAATGTTGGCGAACTTAACTAAGTGAGGCCAGTTCCAATGTTTTATCAACTGAATGTAACCATTAGTCTACAAAAGACTGTTAACAATTACCACCAGAAGCTACCCTGGGAGATGACTCAAGCCGTTGTTATTACATTCAACGTTTTAGTTCAACGAGCTTCTTCATACAAAAACAGATAAAAATCAGTTAAGATAAAAGAACACCTAATTGGAAGAATCCCTATTTCTTTGGGAACATAATTAAAAACATCCTCAGTAACTATAGTTATGGCTGTAATAGGTTATAAACAGATTATTTGTGTAGCACTAACCCAAATCATCACTTAACATTAAAATACTCACTAATATACATTAATCAGCTACAACATTATGAACAACGGGACAATTCAATACAATATAATCAAAAACAACAGCTCTACTAACAGGTCTGCTTTCAGGAAGTTTCTAAATTTTAATTTTTCTATATGAAAAGACAGGTGATTATTATAATGTGCTAATGCTGCGTTACAGTTACCTCGGAAGTCAGAAGTCCAAGCTGAAAATGACGTCACACCCGCGTTACCAGCGTTTCAGTTACCAAGTCGGAAAAAAAACAAAATCAGAGGCGTAAACAAGATGGCTACATCTACGAAAGTCATTTCAGTGCTTGCCTTGTCCTGATATAAGCAAGGACAATGCAAGCGCTAAAATGACTTTCGTAGATGTAGCCATCTTGTTTCCACCTCCAATTTTGCTTTTTTCTGACTTGGAAACAAGATTATTTTAGCACCTGCCTTGTCTGGACATAAGCAAGGACAATGCAAGCGCTAAAATAATTTTGTAGATCTAGCCATCTTGTTTCCGCATCCAGTTTTGTTTTTTGTTTTTCCAACTTGGTTACTGAAATGCTGGTAACTTGGGTGTGAAAATGACGCCACATCCGAGTTACCAGTTTCAGTTACCAAGTCGGAAAAAAGCAAAATTGGAGGCGGAAACAAGATAGCTACATCATACACGAAAGTCATTTTAGTGCTTGCCTGGTCTGGATATAAGCAACGACTGTGCAAGCGCTAAAATAACCTTCGTAGATGTAGCCATCTTGTTTCCACCCCCGGTTTTGCTTTTTTCCGACTTGGTAACTGAAACGCTGGTAACTTGTGTGAAATGACACCACATCCGAGTTGCCAGTTACCAGTTTCAGTTATCAAGTCGGAAAAAAAGCAAAACTGGAGGAAGGAACAAGATGGCTACATCTACGAAAGTCATTTTAGCGCTTGCCTTGTCCGAATATAAGCTTGTAACTCGGGTGTGACGTCATTTTCAGCTCGGACTTCTGACTCGAATGCAGCATTAGTATTGGGTGGGTACTGGAGTGTGTTTATTGAAAAGTGTTCTTATATTTTGCCCATTTCATTAACAAACACAAGAAGGGCAAAATGATCTTAGGAATTAGGACCATCTTTCAATACAAAGCACTCCTATTTCAACAGTTTACACTCACTTCAACCACAATTAATTCAAACAACTATTATCCCCTGTCTGACCAGGTGCACAAATATAAAAAATGTAGAAGCTTGATTAAAGGTAGACTTGACATTGCTGCTGTTCTGTTGGGTCATATTAGATTGCCCATGTGTTTTTGATTTATGGCTGATTGGTGTGTGTTCGCAAGCCGACTTCAAGGAACCGAGAAAGCAGACTTGGAGAAATGGATGACCTAAAAAATAACAGTTTTAGCTTTACTAGACCACCTGATATCTAGATCATCCAGTTAAAATCTGGTCAGAATAATTATTTCAATCCTTTTTTTGGCTGTACATGAAAGAAGAGAGAGTCATACCTCCTCCCTCTCATTAGTTAAACAGATGATTGACCTGACCTGAATCAGACCAGACAGAATTGAATCTTGTAAACAATAATATGAAACCCTTTTTTTGATTTTTTTTTAACCTTTCATGCCCCTCTATTTCATCTCTCTGCTCTTTTACAGCGGGAAGCCGGGACTGTGAGTCCTACAGAGATCTAGCAGATTCGTACCAGGCTTCCCAGAAATGCTACACCGGATTTTGCTGTGGATCTTGCTACAACAGATACTGCTGTCAGGATACTTTCTGGAGACTTTCTGAAGACAAACAAGAAGAATGGTATGCTATTGATGATAATCAGTAATAAATGATTAAGTCACTTTCACTTCTGGTCTCACTAGTGTGTGTGTGAGAGAAATATATACATGTAAATGTTCATGTAAGGGGACAAAACAGGAATACTGAGAAGGGTTTCTCTCTTCATCCTAGTATAATAATCGCAGAGCTTTAATTCAGTATGCTTTTTTTAAACAATGATTATGTAGAAAACAGGAAGCAGTGTGTGTGTGTTCCTGTGCTCGACCACCCTCTCGTAGCTGATATCTAAAACTGACAGCAGACTCTTCCTCCCACGCTGCCGGATCGAAAAATGAGTTCAGCTTACAGGTCTGTTAATTTGTAAGCGAGGGAAACATGTAGGGGTATATTAGCAAAACAGAAACCTCTTGTTGTAATAGATTATGACGTGTCAGTCGTGTTGTATTCGATACTGTTTCTGGTGTAGTTATGAGATGTCGTGTAGCTTTCCTGTCTCCTATCAGTACTTATGATTTAGTACCAAAATAACTTTGTCTGACTGTTTTTTCTTCTTTGTTTCTATTTCAGTGATAGCCGCCATGCAGCCTACGACTCTCCGTTTCCCATGGTCGTCGGTATTAGCGGGGTTGTCGTGATTGTGCTCATCTTCATCTGCTGCTGTGTCTGTCCCTGCTGCTGCCTGTACAAGATGTGCCGTAAACCAAGACGTAAGTCGCCAACAAACGATGATTAATATTAGATATTTGTACGCTGTGACTTCTGGAACCAAACTGGCAGACGGGCTGAGAGTTTAACTGCTGTGATATTATATTTACAGTAGCTGGTGTGTCAGGAGCTCAGTACAGGCTGTAATTTGGTTTTATTGATTTAAGGAGCAGGCCAAGTGGGTGCAAATATCTCTTAAATGTCTCTCAGTAGTCTTTGTATTCATTGGCAAGGATTCCTCATGAAGACCTTTTATAAGTAGATTTAAGAGTGCTGTTAGCTGACAGAATGTGGACAGTCCAGCATTACTTCCTGGTATTTATTGGTGCGCAAAAATATAGAAGTATCGTTGGGTTTGGTGTTCAGACCTTTTGAGTTTTTTTATGCTGTTCACGTCACGTTTGTTTTCCATCTGTCCCCTGGAATATCTGACTGAATCGTTGATGAGTCAAATCCTACAAATTTTCCATCCTGGAGCAAAGAGGGGCGGAGTTTCAAGATAAATAGAAACTAAAGAGCAGATAGAAAGTGAAAGCGCAAACACTGACTTTTACTCTACATCATACCTCTATCTCTAGAGTTACCTGAAAGAGGACATCATATACAGACAAGGTGAACTGATTCACAAACAGTTCAGTCGTATGGATGGAGATTTCCTTGCTTTGCTCGTCCTTTAACAGCAAAGAATAATTAAAGCAGGGTAACAAAAATGCTATAACATCCTCATTTTGAACATTTTTGGAGATACTTTAGTAAGCAAAGTAGCAAAGTTTGTTGGAACTACTACCAGTAATTCCTTGAAATTAGCTTTAAAAAGGACAGTCAGTATGAAATGCTGTTAGTAACATTTTCAGATCTGTGTTTATCGCCGAAGCTCAGGTCAAACTGACCCCAAAACACTGCAGACTGAACTCGTGCCTAATTGACTTAGAGTAGGGTTGAGTGATTTGAAACTTAAAATAATGGTCTAATCCTCCTCACAGTATGGTGGAAATCACCTTAACCTAAGTAGATAAGTGGATTAACTGATAGACAATACATCAGCATTAGCACATCATGTTGTTTAGTGTTTGCTGTACAATCTCTGAAGAAGGAATGACTGAAACATTCAGCAAAGAGGCCAGAGTAACAAATGACCCACATGGCAAAAGACTCATGATGAATCACGGTCAATTTATGCTTCGGTTTTAAACTCTGAGTCATGTATTAACAGCATGTAGCCACGCGACGCTGCTTCTGCAGTTTGCAACTGCTCTTGCAATGTTTCCTTAATGCAACCAACAGCCACAACTGCTCAGTCACAACTTCACAACCCACAGACAGCCAGATTATGTTTTTTTACGAACAAGTCAGACTCTTGGTTTCCAGTGTGTCGGAGTTTTTGTCTGTTGAGGTAAAACAGAACATCAGGGGACTAATTTCAGGAGGATTGGCCCACCCACCACATGACTTTCATTACTGCAGTGGCTCAGTCTCTCTAATAACACAGAGGTTAAGACACTGTCAGAACAAACTGGTTCAACATTCCTCCAATGCAAGTGTTTGTGTGACACTGTTCACAGTCGTAGCAGGTACTTTAGTAGATGCACTCGCAGCTATAAAGTCATTCCTTTCTACACACTGTGCAAAGTTTCACTGCGCTTTTATGTGGTGAGTTTGCGGTGAGCACTGCGTCCTGCAGATTGGTTGATCAGTTCAATCATCAGTGATGATTGCTGCTCAGAGTTCATGCAAAAGTGCTGTTGCAGTCTCACCACCACAGAGAGCAAAGCCTCGCTTTAGTTTTGCAGCTGTTAACAGGTCAAGGCCTGTTTCTACACAGTGCCGTGGATCAGAAAGCACATATAATAAAAAAGGTTTTCTGTGCTCAAAAATACTCTGCAGCCATGTTTTTATTTGTGATGATATTTACAAATATTTTGTGGATACCCAGAAATAATCCAGTTTAATTCTGTTGAATACGCCCCTAAAAACAACAGTCAGTCTCGCTAATTTGAGTTTTTCCCACATAAACAAAGGTCCTGCCACCAAATACACTCTCTGAGTTGAAGCTGAAAATAGTCCACACCAAATACTGTTTGTTTTGGTTTGCCCAGGGTTTCCTAAAACAGCAGCTGCTGGGCTGTTTGAGTGAAGTATTTGCCCTTTAATAGAAAGAAATATGATATTTATTTATTTGTGCTTTAAGAGCCACCTGAAAGCTGTGTGCCTACTGCTGGGCACGACACTGACAAAAACAAACATTAAACTTTCCCTCTTTTCGGAAACCATTCATGCTCTACTGACACATGTTGGTCTCTTGTGCATGTGGGGGAGGGAGAACAGAAGTGAGAAAATGAAGGAAGCAAATTCCTGACATTTCTTAACAGCCACTAAAATAAGTCTTTATCTCCATTACTGACCCCCTACGGGTCTACAAACTTGACATGAATCAAAGGGTTCAGCCTGAAGAACAACACCTGATAATTCATGGAGTTGTTCCTCTGATATAACCAAAGCTCAGGAAAGTCTCGTCTACAGTAAATCTGCAGCAGGGTTCCTCCAAATAATTACAAAGGTACCAGGAAGATAGCTGACATCACTGTATCAGATTGGCAAAAGACTTCTACTGATGCAAAGATATAATTGATCAATGTGAGAGAGAGGAAGGGCTGGGCGATAAACTGAAATTTACGACAATAACCGATGTCATTTTGCTCATATCAGTGTATTCGGTGTCAAAATTAAATAAATAAAGTTGGTTTTGGATGTGTGTAGGTAGGCTATGGTTTCATGTCCCTTTAAGACGCTGTTCTACATCAGAGACGTGACTCAAACCCATCCAGTCTGTAACAAAGAGGGACAGACGGGTGAGGAGATGGAGGAAAGTTCAAAAGTTGTAGCGGCTGAAGTAGACGAAGTTAATGTGGGAGGGGGTGAGCAGCTTATGGAGTAGTTATCGTCCATTTATCGTTATCGAGGTGAACTGATCAATATATCGTGATATTGATCTGAGGCCATATCGCCCAGCCCTAGAGAGAGGCCATTAAAGCTTACTGAAAGTCATGTTACATTTTCAGATACGACAGGGTGACTCTGGACATTACGGTAGATTTTGATAAGCCATTTCAACCAAAACATTGCAAATAATCAAATTCTGATCGTTTTTCTTCCCTTGGTGGAACCAGGAGCTGCTCATTTCTGGACCACATTCATTTGTCCTTAAATGAGAAATTCAGTAAATGCTACAAATTCTTTAAATTTTACAAATTCCACAAATCTATTGATTTGGCAGCTCTACGACCGGGTTTTACCTCGGGGCCCGTTTCCTTCATTCAAGCAGTTGACATAATAAATTTTTACTTAAAATATATCCTTTCTTTCATTTTGCCATCAACACTTTCCAAAACAGCTTATATTCGTTGTACACACATACACAGAGGAAGACTGGGCATTTGTAGCTGTGCACCTTGTTTTTCATGCAGTCAGAGACAGACTCTGTTCAGGCCCTGCTCTCTGCTTTATAACAGGGTGGGTCTGCTTTCACTTTGTGTCTCTTCAGCCCTCCTCTGTGCCTTCAGGACATTATTTCTACAGCCAGATTTCCTCCTCTGCTCTGTCCACAGACATGGTCTGTGGTGGCCTGCTTCTTTAAACCAATTCCTCTGAACTTCTCCACAGCGTAGGAAAGCACCTGAGTTGTGTTGACACCTGAGTGACACGCTCTGTGGCAATAACTACACACACGCACACACTTACACTTACATTTCCTGTCAGCCTGCTCAGTTTTTTCACAGCTGCATTTCTCTGGCAGAGAGCTTCAGTCTAACACACGAGCAGGAATGTGGATTCCACCATGCGGGCTGTTGCATGTTGGGATCATATCCCGGAATGTCAGAGCTCCACCCCGTGTGACTCACTGTTTCCACGACGACCACAGTGGGGAAAATGCTAACTATCCCACGTCATTTACAGGAAGTGGTCATGATGTCTCCCACTTTGTTAGAGGGAAAAAAAAGAGCACATGGTGAGGGGTGGTGACTAGCACAGAGAGACACACACACACACACACACCCATGTGTATTTTTTTCTTTGCACAGGGTGTTTTAATTATAGAGACAATGCTCTCTCTCAGTTTCCCCCTACTTTCACAGTGGTCTGTACATAAAATGGAAACATTGAGGTCAATGGCTAGAGTTTAATTTTATATTCACGTGTGGTTTTTCCTTTTTTCCTAGCTGTGTGAGTCTGTGAAACCTGATTTTTCTTTAGGATAAATAACATTCTGTCTTGATAAAACAGAGCCCTGACTTTTACTGCTCTCTTAGTTCGTATTGTTGTTGAGTCTCTTTGTATCAGAGTATTTACTTTAAATAGAAATAGTGATTAAATGCTTTGAAGAACAAGGAGCTTAGCCTTAATCAGTCTGTTGTCCTGTAGGTCTTCTTTTGGCTGCATATGCTCTTAACAGTCTCCTTCCAAAAGCGATATGTCAGACGGTGCACATTCAGGAAAGCAGAGCCCAGGACAAAGACAGCCTGTTCGCCTGTTTGACATTTCTAAGAAGGAAAATTCCTCGGTGGCTAGATTAGGAACCCTCGAGTGTGACAAGATAAAAACTGAGTTTGTCACCACATTTTTGTAACTACCATCTGCTGCTTCTGATGTCTGCGTGTCAGGACTGGTGTGTGCAAACATGATGTAAATGTGTGCAAAATTGCATGTTTCTCAAGTATTTAGCACACAGTATACGAGAATTCACAACAGTTACTCTGCCAACCACAAAAAACTATAAAACACAACATTCATAGTTTATGGATTACTCTAGAAAAAGGAATGTGGATGACTAGTTAGCTGCATTATAATTCAAGAGCTCATTGTAGCTGTTAGTTTACAAAATCTGCTTTATTAGAGTGATCATACGTCCTCTTTTACTGAGACATGTCCTCTTTTTTGGGGGCTGTCCAGCCTGTCCGACTTTGTCTGGGGGAGTTTATAAAATCATTTAAATGTCTAGGGTTTTGTATGGAAGTTTTGAGTTTTTGTCGCACAGACTTACTGAATTAGAAGCGCATAAAAAAACACTTGATCCGACCTGAAAAACTCTCTGCCCCGGCGTAGTCGTATCCTCATTTTGGGGATTAATAATACGGTCACTCTAACTTTGTGGCCCGAAAATCTCCTGCAATTTTCCTGCTCGGCCGTCCTCTTTGTGGTTCATTGTCTTTCTTTATTTAGTGGTATGTATGAACAAATAAATCAATTAAAACAGCATTTTAAATTTTGTTTGGTTTCTATTCAGCTTAAAACCGTACTTTCTCAAAAGTATGTACTGTAATGGATTTGTATTTGAAACAGAGTAGCCATTAATTAAAGTGAAAATGAGAATCTGGTCAGTCCCAGAGGACTAATGTGAACAACAAACCATATTTAAAGTCTCTGTTTTCTCTTCCAGAGTACAAAAAAAAAAGGCTGAACGACTTGTTGCCTGTTGGCTCTAAAAGCTTTGTTTGTCGGGATAAATGCAGAAGTGTTGCACCATAATTAAGTTACATAGAAATAGCTTTTCTGTATGTAATCTGAACTTCCTTTTTTTTGTAATGAAGCAAAAGATTTGAGGTAAATTACGTTTGTAGTGGTGAGATTAAATGGGCAGTTTATGCTGCGATGTGGTTGTTTCCCTTCAAAATCATCTCAATTAAGACAAACTCAAAGTAAGGTCATATTTTCATCCTCTTTCACAGTGTTACGTTTGTGTTTCCTGAATCTTAAATTCAACAAGAGCTCTGATTGAACCACTAGCTCGTCATGCTAGAGCTTGTTTTCTTATACGAGTCTGCTATTTTGCTTACAGCTGTGATTGCTACTACGACTCACACCACGGTGGTCACCACCACCCCCCGCCAGTACCCCCAGCAGCCGACTGCATCACCCACACCTCCTCAGACCTACCCGGGCTCTCAGTATCCACCCTACCAGCCCGTCCCAGTCCAGCCAGGCTACGGGGCCCAGCCCATGCCACAGGGTTACGGAACTCAGCCTATGCCAGCGGCTTACCACGGGCAGCCGTTCACACCAGGACCACCACCATCGTATCAGGAAGCAAGTAAGTGTGGATTCTTTTATACTTCAGACACTAGATGACACTCAGACACTAACTTGCTCTCTAAAAAGCCAGGATGTTGATTAGGGATGTTCCAAATACAACCTTTTGACTTCCAAACCAGTATTTTTGGCTACCCAAGTTATTATAAGAAGCCTCATCCACATACAGGTTACCTGTTGGGGTAAAAGAAAATTAGGGTCACCATTAAGGGGCAGTCGTTAAATACACTACAGACGTAAACTGTCAAAAGATCAGACACAAAGAGGACAAAGACACGAGGCCGACAGAAGGAGGCGGGATGGGACATGCTGTTGTGTGTAAAAATAGAGCAAAGCTGCAGGTGCCGAGTGTGTGAGCATGTGGGAAAGAGATAACAGAACTAAGAAAATAAGCTGATTAAAGTCGTCACACTCTAAATAAGTCGAAAAACAACTACTACAGAATGAGCGAAGCTAATAATGACGTTAAAAGAAGAGAGATAGTGTCATACAATATAATGTTTTCCAGATATAAAGAAAAGTGGAGAAAAGATATTTGGTATAAACCTAAGTTGCGATCTTATTGTCTCATAAAGGACAGGTACACTGCTGAGCCTTATGTGAAATATAATTTAAGCTGAAGACAGCGATCTCTATGTGCACAAATACTGTCAGGAACATTTCCATTAGCCCTGGAGACAGGCAGGTTTAATGCCACCCCAGAGGAGGAGAGATTCTGTATGTTTTGTGAACTAGGTGAACTTGAAAATGAGGTTCACTTTTTGTTTTACTGCGCTAAATATATTGATATAAGAGAGGTATTTGTTCGTAAAATGTCTTCTGTCGATGTTGATTTCCTTGAATGAAGTGATTATGAAAAACTTTAAGGGAGCCTTTATTATAGCAGACTATATTTGTCAAGCTTGGGAAACGGGACAAAACATATTATATGGCTATGAGTTGTAATTGGATGTAATGTATTGTAAAGCATGTTGTAAAGTGGATTTGGTGTCTTATCTATCTATCTATCTATTAGTTCTCGGCTGATCAGTTTACAGATTTATAGATTCAATTATCTCACACTTCAAGTAAATACGAGATAATCTGTGGCTAAACGAATGTTTCTTAAAAATACCACACAGTAGCAGCTCAGGGACACAAAAGCAGTCAACAGAGTGGGGAAAAAAAAGATGAAAACAGCATCTGAATGATCAGGCTGCTCTGATGAAAAACATGAAATCTAGGTGCACTTCTAATGCTCACTGAAAGACTGAGAGGAGGTGTTGGTTCAGAGGTTTGCTGGGAAGGATTTTGAAAGAGGGTTTTAAAGAGAAAGCGAAGATTCTGCTGATGCTGTTGATACATTTCAAAATGGTGCTGATCTTTTTTAAGTTCCTCTTTTGGCTAAATTAAGAAAATAAAACTTGCAGATGTTATGATGACTCAAAATGACCATAAAAGTCTACATAAAATGAATCGAAACTTATTCATCACTTCCCTGATGACTTGAAATAGTAACAAATAGTACTTTGACTTGAATTTCTTAAATGCTCGACAGTGAATCAACAGATTTGATCATTTTTTGTTGTTGTTTTTAAGGACTAACCTTACTATTACTCAGAGTTGCTCATGTTAAAGTGTTCATTTCAAAACACTAAATTAACTGGCTTAACTGTGGCGTAATGACAGAGTACAGTGGAGTTTTTAAAGCACATAATGCAACTTTGGGTCTTCCGCTGTGTTGCACTGTTGATGGGGGTGGAGTAACCTCACGTCTGGAGTTTGTGCAACAGGAAATGATACATTTTTGGTCATTTTGTTCTCAGCTGAGTTTGTGGTTAAGTATTTTTAACATCTCCTCTTCTTCTTCTTGTGTTTTTTTTTTCCAGCTGGTCCTGCCTACCCTCCTAACCCGATGCCTTACAGCCAGGCTGCGTTCAACCCCAGCCAGCCGCCGTACCCCCTGCAGCCGCCCGCCAAGACACAGGCCAACGCTCCTCCTGCAAGCACGGACTACCTCGCCCAGCCAGCATACAACCCAGACTATGTTTCACCACCACCCAATACCGGATAACTGCCTCCCCCCTCTTCCTCTTTCTCCTCCCTCCAGACCCCCAACGCTTCACTATCAGCCACTTTAAACGTGCTGCAACATTTTTGGACTTGGCAGAACTGGAAATGTGTCTCACAAATCAGGAGAGGAAATCTTTCTCCTTTAAATCTGGGAAGAGTGTGACTCATTTGCAGTTTTTCGGGGAGCAGTGGTTCTGTTGAAAAGTTGCCAAGTGAAAATGTTGATACCTCTTCGCTCACATTGCATGGACTTATGGTGTACAAGTGGCGTACAGTGTTCTTTTCTTTTTGATATTTCTTTGTGGCTTCATCATAGTTGATTTTGAGATAAAAAGACATGAAACCACTGAGTCAGATTTTACAGAGGAGATGAAGTTTTTTTTTATTTCACATTTCTGGCCTCCTGAACGTGCCTCGGCATCTCCACATGTCTGCTCTCTCTGGCATCTCTCATCAAAGTGCTTTCAGACTTTTTTCATGTTTTTTTCCCGGTGCCTTTTTACACATATAGTTTCTTAAATATGTGTTACACCCAAACAAATAGACAGGGAGCATGGACGCCTGGTTTGGTTTATAAGTTAGGAAGATAGAATAGAAATAATCAACATCTAAAGCTAGATTAGTTACTTGCATTCCTATTAACCAGTTTGGTTAGGTACATTTATTCTGGAGAACTTGAGGGCTAATTCAGAAATCATTCACCATATGACATTACAATTGCCGAATAACAGGGATACATTTCCACTGTTTTAGCCGTCGTTGAAGCACCTATGATTGTCTATTCACTGCCATTCAAAGTTTAACAGTGAAAATGTAAGTGGAGGAATGGCCGAACACACAAATAAAGGGAAAGTTTACATTCGCCGCCTGAGCATTCATACAAAAAGGGAGATTTTCTGTCGTTCTCAGTCTGTTTTTCAGTCATCGTGTTTGTTTTTTCCTGCCAAACCGCAAGTGTAACTGGGCTGAAATGCATCGGCAGCTTTGAATGAAACAACCAAAGGATTTTTTTTTTCTTCCAACAAATATCACACAGTGGAGTCCTTGAAAAAACAAAAAATACAAACCTCTAACTCTATAATGCAAGAAACAAGTGTGCCTTCAGTGTCTCTTATCAAACTAACATATGCATGACATTTACAACACTTCGATTCACTCTCCGGCATTAACGTGTGGTGTTAGTTCTGTTTACTATATCATCAAAAATGCTTAAATCCACCATAACGCCAAGAAGTTCAACATTCTTGTTGCCTTCCTTCTTTGATTTTTGAAGTTACAACTCAAACTGTGTTGAATGTTCTGAATCTTCATCGCCCTAAGTAGCCTGTAACAGCAGAAAAGCCAGGTTTAGATAGTCTGTTGACGTATTTGTGTTTATTTTTAACTAAGAAGTCCACTAAGTTTTCTTTTTTCACTTCTGTCCTCCTGCAGCAGGGCCCAAACTTCTATCCCTTTTGACTGAACTTGTTCATTTTTTAAAAAAAAACTTCAGTTAACCTTTTTTTGTTTTTGTTTTTTTACGATCAAACAGAGCCTGGAGAAGTATAGTGATTGCTAATGTGACGTGACAGACGTTAATCGTTTGAGCTGCACTATTTGAACCTATTTTGGATTTGAAGTTGTGGTCAGAAACCCCCAAAAACCCGAGTGTTGAGCTTCAGTGTTTGGTACGGGTTTCAGGATGACTTTCAGCCACATCTAGGCCGTGGCGTACTTTAATTTTCCTGTTGACATGTAAACCACCTGTCAGCTCATATAAAGTTTGTGCATTCAACTGTGTGAATTGTCTGTGCACTTCATTATAGGCTTGCCTTTTTTCTGACTCCTCTCCCTATAAATGTGTTTGCCTGTCATTTCAGTCCTTTGGCCAGTGTTCCTAAAGTCGACTTTAGTCCTAGTGTTTTTATGTGGATTGTAGCCATTTGTGTTCTTGATAAAAAAAAAAAGAAATGCATACCAGCAGAGATTTATTCTTGTTCCATCTGTGTTTTTCGTCCAAGAATAATTGTCTTTGATGCTACTTTAAGAAAATAATGTATGTACATGCTTTTTATTTTAAATATGCACCACTTCTTCTGCAGAGTTCAATAAAAATATATTTTATGTTCCTCAACTTTGGTTATTGAATCTTTAGAGTAGAAGCTTTTATGCGCTGAGCAGTTTTTATGAACCTGTTCAGTATGTATTCATGGACTGTATATATAGAATGGACGCCGTCTGCCTCCTCGCTGGGTGAAGCCACTGTGAGAACAGCACCCTCTGGTGACGGGCTGCAGTATAGGTCATAAATCCCGCCTCCTCCAGCAATCCCTATGGAGCTGTGGACAAACTTTAGAAATTAATTACACAGTAATATACATTTTCTCACCCTGGTTGTGATGTTGACATGTAGTAACTTAAGACTTGTTTGTGCTCAAGTCCTCTTTTTTTCTGTACAGCTCCATTTTTAAAAGTTATTAGGGGGTTCATGTTTTCTATGATTGACACTTGATACAGCCTATGGGCGTACAAAGATTGCATCGCTCATCTGGGGAGACGCTGTTCAAGCCGAGCATCATCACAGCGACTCTCCTGCCGAATGTGTACAACACTACTGCGCAAGTGATGGTTCCAGGAAATGGAGAAAATCCCGGAAATACTGAGAGCAATTTAGCTTCAGATTCATATACTGACGGAAGGCGGAGCCAAGTTGTCCACAGTAAAAAGAGTTTTTGAAGGAATACAGTTGGTACAGCTTGATCACTTTTGATGATCACTTGATGTGTTTACCTTTGACTGGACGCCATAAGTGTTTACTGACTATTAAGCTTTAGAGCTCCCCCTACCGACTGGCTGCAGTATAGGACATAAACCCCGCCTCCTTCTTCTAAACAGATTAGACATGGGCCAGGCTGTAAAGTTAAAATATTTACGTTTTTTACTGGATTAGCCGAGTAGAGGGGGAATGGTTAGAAAAAATGTAGCAGACACTGGCACAAGAGTCTGTAAACTTTCGATCTGCTAGTGCGCTCACCGTGAACGGTGGAAAAATGCTCATTGTTACTGCTGTGAAAAGTTACAAAATCACTCCCGGTAAATGCGTAAATGTAAAAGATACAAATGAACATTTAAACCTCTAAACTTCTGTGACAGTTTTTACTTCAGTGTAAAGCAAACGTACTGAAGTTTGCGTATAGTTGAAATGGGAGTTGTATTAAGGTGAACAGCGAGACTGATAATCAAGGAAGGGGGGCCTCTGAGTTATGTCTTATAAACTAAAGGAAAGTAGTCTGAATGAATGAATGACATGAGCGAGAAAAGACAGACAGATAGGAGAAACAGAGTCTGCTATAGCTGTGGATTTTTGTTTTGAAGCACAACTCACGCAGATTAAGAATAATACCAGCAGTTTGAATTGAAGACACAAGAAAATAATCAGGCTTGGATTAAATTTGTGATGTATACTAAAATCACCATGTCCTAAAAGTGAATAACCAAAAGGAGTGTGCAGATTATAAGCAAAATACCCTTACATCATTCAGAGTTTTCACAGACATTAATAATCAAACGTCTTTGTGAGGTAACTCTGCACATGGATTGAACTGGTTTCTCAGGCCTGCAGGTCCATAAAGAGATCCCCTCAAACTTATGCTCTTGATTTTAGGCTTGTGCTTTATTTCGACATATTTCCTTCGGTGTTGTGGTGGGAAAATCGTGAACAAAAGGGGAAAATATTCTGAGTTTGACAAGCCAGTTAAGAGTATGGGTGGAGACAGACAACAGAACAAGCTCATGTGAACTTGGGTGGGGTTGACATTGCTGCATCTACACGCTGGATTCAATTCACTACACTAACACAGAACTGAAATGTAGATATTTTGGACACACTTGTAACTTTAGTTGGTTGATTTTTGTTGATGTTTTATTTCCAGATTTCATAATTCATATGCTTTGCTTTGGTGGCAAAAGTAAACGTAAAATGTGAATAAATTTTCACTGAATTGTTGCAGATATGGAGGTCTAAAGCTGTGCAAAATCTTGCATTTTTAAGCATGAGCATGAACATGAATTTGTCAACTTTGGTGGTAGAAGACAAACATCTGAGCTTGATATCATTTATAGACATCTAATGGCACAAAGTCACCTGAAGTAAGGAATGCTGTTGGGTGACTTGCTAAAGGGTGGGTCAGACAGGTTGAAACAGTCGTCGCATTGAAAAGTCAAAGTCATTTTCTCACTCGCCCAAATCACAGGCGCAATGGTCTCACGATCCCTATCAATTTTTGTAGGTGTTTTGTGTGTGATCCTCCTCCCGGCTGTATTTGGTGAGTTTACCTCATTTTTGAAGGTTTTAAACTATCTTAAAGTTGATCTTAAGTCTCATGCATGCAGTGAAAAAGATAAAAAACAGGTTGATTATCAAGTCTTGTATCACACCTTTTAATCTAACTCCAGTTGGATAAATGAATGTTTACCTGCTAATCTCAACAGTTCAATTCATGACATGACCCCCTTGTTATGTTTACATGTTACAGCTGATTATTGCACCGACTATGTGGACTCAAATGGATACTACCATGACCAGCAGAACTGTGGGAGTTATTACTGCTGCGGAAACTGCTATCAAATGGCCTGCTGCAAAGATAGGACGTACCGTATAAGTTCAGATGAACAAAGACTGTGTGGTGGAGGAGGAGGAGGAGGAGGAGGAGGGTGGGTTCTTGTTTTACACCTTAATTTCAATATTCATTATGCAGTGAGAGAAAAGTTGGAGATATTTTGGGTGTATTTCAAGGAAAATAATCCATTTGTTTTGTGGTTGTCTTCCACAGTTCTAACAGCAAAAAAAGCAAACTTGCCACTCTTCTGGGAAGCATCCTAGGGTCTATATTACCCGTCCTGCTCTGTGTGGGCCTCGCCATCTGCTGTTTGGCTCCTTGCTGCTTTCTCTACAAGAAGTGCAGAAAAGGACGCGGTCGAGGTATGTCACTGCTTCTGTTTCATTGTGCTAGTTAGGCGCATCTAGAGCTTTAGTTTTTCAAGGAGAGGTGAAGTTGGAATTAACTTTGTCATTTTAGGTCCAGGGTTTTTCAATTTTCTATCAAGACTTGGTTAAGTGGATACACACCACTCAGGCTGGCATTGCTGGGCTGGTTCATATATGCATGCTTGAAGTAATCGCAGCAACTACATAGGATTTGCTACGGTCACTAAAATGCTAAAATGGCTAAATGGCTTGTTTATACATCAAGTTCATATGGCATCTATTTCAAAAAGGATGGTTTTTAATCATTGTTAGATAAATTAAGTAATGTGGAATAGGTTTAATACTAAAGCCAGCAAGGATTTGGAAATTTCCAAGTCAGCAGCAACCATCTTTGTTCTTTGTCAACCAAATGGTTCAACGACTGGAGGGATATCCGTCTGATCAGAGGGGAAACAGAAACATGAAGGGTCATCTTGTTTTCAGGTTACTGTCATTTCTGTTCCACTAAGCAGATTTGAACATTTTTGCTGGGTGTTGTTTTGACCTGGCGTAGTGTAAACATTGGAAACCAGAACTTCTAGTGCCCTCTTAATACATCTCATATCCATGTTAGAGTATAAGGGTCAGGAGCAATTTCTTTTTTCTATTTTGCATTTCAGGAAAAAAAGTCAAATCACTGCAAATAACATTAAAAAAAAGTTAAGATGTTGAGAAATGCAATTTCACAAATAAAGTCATCAGTAGGTGTCACATGACTATATAAAACTGAGTCTTAGTTGCAGTGCACCTTGATTGGTTAACTCTTTTATTCCCCGACACTTTGTGTTATATGACTTGTAAATAAAACACTAATGCACGGTAAAGATATAAAGATGCAACATGTCATGTGCTTATCCCCTCAGTCTGTCATCCAACACTGTTGAGGCTTAAATCAACTCAAAATGTGAACTCAGATCACTCACTAACACATTAAACAAAAGTTGACAGGTTTAAGTTTCCCTGTTTTGCTCATCTTTGTTACCTGAACAGCTGGCACAGATGTAACTGGTTTCAAACATTACATAACAGTGAATGATGCTCCAATAACAAGTAAAATTTTATGGCCAAACTTCAGATTCATGTGAACTTCAAGAAGTTTTCTGTCAGGCTTTAAAGAGTTGAACTGAAAGGTTGAATTTCAGTCATCTCTTCTTCTAGTTGGACTGAGCTAACCTTTATCTTCTGTTTGTGTTTTTATTTTTTAATAGCTGTGATAAAAGTGATCATGAACAGAGAACAAGGTGGATATTTATATATCGCTACCTGTCACTGCTGCAAAGTCATGCCTTAAATAGAGTTTGCAATAACTTTTATTTTTATTTTATTATGAACTGGGTTAGAAAGTATCAAAATCATTATCATAAATAGTTAGAATAAGTTTAAAAGTGGGTTCAAAGATGAGGGAAATGGTTATGTTAACTGAGGTAACAAAAAAAAAGACAAGAAGGGTCAAAGGTTATAGCTGACCTAATAATCTGACCTCTTTCTGCAACCTGTTGATTCACCTCTTACTTGTCTTGAGAGAAAATATTATTCTTGTACAGTAAGGGTGTCGCCCCCTGCTGGTTAAAAGAAAGAATGCCGGATTGAATTCCTTTTTATTCTTTGAGGGGGAAACCACAGGCAGTAGATTCATCCAATAAATTGTGTATGGTCAAAAATCTGTCCTGACTGCTTCCTTCTTTTGTTTCACAACAAACTCTGTGATCTGTGTTTTTTCAGGCCCTGCTGTGATCCATGTCCCGCAGCAGCCACACCATCCTGGACAACCATCCGGCCCAGGCTACAACCCTGTACCTGTTCAGCCTGGTTTTGGAGGTGGTCCCTCTGGACCGCCTCCTTACTTTGATGGCAGTGAGTACTTTTCTAATATTTATCAATCTAAAAACCTTTTAAATTTCCTACATACAATACTAATAAACTTTCCAAATCAATAATTGTCTGTGGTAAAACATTCTCCAGTTATCTCCTCACAACAGCGATTCTTGGTGGTTCGATACATGTTAAAAATTAAAGACTGTACAGGAGTGAGTAACTTTTTAAGGAGTAGATTGTGATGGATAGATGACCTGGACAGAGCATCTCTGTGTGGAGTGTTCAGCCTGCCGTGGAAAGTGCTAAAAACGGCCCCAAGGTGGAAAACCGGTGAACCAGTGGCGGGGTCAAGCACCACAAAAACTTAGATTTAGCTAAATATATTTGTACATTTCATTTTAAGGTATTCGAAGCTAAAAATAAGGACTTTAATGAGTGTAACAAGCTACCAATAAAGCCATGAAGCATATTTATGATAAGGTTTTAGAAACAAGATGCGATACTTATTGAAACAACTGTATCAAGAAATTATGTCAAAATATAGACAGCTCATCTCTCCAACAAAATAACTCTGACATTTAGAGCTCTTCTTTGTCTTGGATCAGTATGAAACCCTTCAAATCCATCAGAATAAGAATTTGATTTATGGTTTGATGTCAAAAACAACATTTAGAGCTTTTCTTTGTCTTGGATCAGTATGAAACCCTTCATATCCATCCAAGACTTACATCTGTGTCAGAAAATAACTGGTTATTTGACTAAAAGTCCAAAAATGCATCTTACAGGAGATGACAGATTTTATTACCAGTTTATTTTAACAGTAATATGTTTGGCCAGATTCTGACTAAGATCAGAGAATCAAGTGAGTGCAACACAAAACTGAGGACAGTTTTGTCTTCGCCTACACTGAAAATAACAAAAATCAACCCTGCATCATCGCTCATGTTATTATTCAGTCCAAAAGAAATGCAACGTGTTACTTTTTTTCAATCTGCAAAAAAAAAGCTATGCACTGTCACTTTGCTGTGATTATTCACCATCTATATCTTTTCGTTTCTTCGACAGATCCAGGCGCCTTCTCTCCTGGTCAGCCAATGTACCCTCTACCGAACCCACAGCCGCCCTACAACCCAGCTTATAACCCAAACCACTAAACCTGAGAAACCTCACTGTACCAAAATGCTGCATAAAGTCAAACTCTGGTTACAACTCCGACCTCGGGGGAATGTGACTCTTAGTGTGTTAATAGAGAGTGAGTAAAACAGGATTTGAATATACGTTAGCTGGTACTTCTGCAGTTTATTTAGACATATTGAAGAATAACTTCCTTCTCTTTTACCATTTGTTTAGCAGTATTCCGTTTTAGATGGTAGTTCTGAATATTATTTTGAAGTATTAATTGAAAGTAGTTGGAGGAAAATTGATGTATAAAATACTAAAAACCCTTATAGCACTTAAAGTGTACTAGAATTTTTGTTTAAATAATGTAGGTTAAATTATATATTTAAAAAGAAACATAAATTTATTGGTGGTTGACTTAATTTTGGTTAATTCTTAAAAAAAAACAAAAAACTATTTTTGTAGGACTGTCCCTTTAAGAGAGGCCTTTAACAGTCATTAGAGAAACTGAAATTATGATCTGACAACAATTAACCACATCTGCCACTAGAGGTCACTTCTGCCCAATAGTTAGTTTGCAAAGAAAGGGGTGTAAAGATCTGGGGTCCGTTTCACGTAGGTGGTTCAACAAACTCTGAGTTAAATCCTTAACTCTGAGTTGATCTACTCTGAGTTAGGAAACTCTGAGTTTCCGGTTTCACAATACCTGATTTGAGACGGTTTTAACAACTCCGAGTAGTTTGACCTGGAGTTAAGCACGTGCACGCCAGACATAAACAGCCAGCATCTGTGGAGCGCAGATTCAATGATCAACCAATGGAAACAGGGAGAAGGAGGGGGCAGCAGCAAGCCAACAGCGAATTACAGCACGTTTGTAAAAGAAAGTGCAATACGGCAGCAGCTGCAAAGGAGAGGGAAGGGGCTTGGGAGGAAATCGCTGCTCGCGTCAATGCGTAACTTTAAATCTAGTCTCGTGCAATCACAATGACAGACTGTTGCAGGGAAACTGCTTGAATCATTTTGATCATGTTTTACATTGTCAAGTAAGTATTAAGTGGCAGTTTGATCCCTTAGAAAATGCTCTTTTCACACTCAAAAATGAATTTTACTCTCTTATGATGTTCCGTTAAATGATTAGGAATATTAAACTAACTCTCAGTATGTATATGTACATATATTAAACTAACACACACTACACTCAATATTAGACTTTCACTCAGCAAACAGAAAGAGGGCAGATGCCAGAAAAACGGGTGGTGGCCCAGCAGCCCCACCTTTAACGGAGGCTGAGGAGCTGCCCCCCCCCCCCCCCCCCCCCCCGACGATCGAAACCCCCACCTCGTAGCAGCGATCGTCGGACTGGTGTGTGCGTGTGTGCGTGTGTGTGTGTGTCTGTGGGGGGGGGATTTGCGATCGGACCGGCCGCGATCGTCGAGCGGGGGGGGCAGCTCCTCAGCCTCCGTTAAAGGTGGGGCTGCTGGACCACCACCCGTTTTTGTGTTAGTTTAATATTCTTAATCATTTAACGGAACATAATAGGAGAGTAAAATTCAGTTTTGAGTGTGAAAAGAGCATTTTTTAACGGATCAAACTGCCACTTAATACTTACTTGACAATGTAAACCATGATCAAAATGAGAAAATGCCGATGTCTCACCTGAAACTCTGGGTTTACTGAGTTAAACCTGCTCCCGAGCAGGTTAGGTTTACGGAGTCTGTTACTGTGGTAACTGACCGCGAGGTTGAGTTACCTCTCTTTGTGAAACAGGTTAGAGTTACCCCTCTCTCCCTGGTTTAACTAACCCTCCTTTGTGAAACGGAAAACTCAGAGTTTCCCTGATTTCAGGGTTAACAAACTCGGAGTTTCCACTAAACCTGCTACGTGAAACGGACCCCTGGTGGTCTGCTACAAAGTTTCTTTCCTTGTTTAATTTCTCATAACAAAAAAGTTTGGCTTAAAATTTAGGTATTTCAGTTTTACTTGTGGATGAAGTGGTTCGCCTGTTTTCATAAAAGGGCAAACTGAATCGCACTAGAGAAGCAGAAGCATGTGTTATGAGTGACCGACTCTATCCTCTCATGACAAAGAGGACTTTATTCCTTCAGATAAAGTCTTCTTTATTCAGTCAAATATCTAATTGATCAGGATGGATTTGTAGTTGGGTGAAGTATACGGGTAAAATGGTTCAGAGTTAAGATTTTCACATGGTACTTTTTCAATACTCAGCTTGACTTGGAATACTATGGTGAGAGACATGTAGAGTTTTTGTTATCAGTTTAAAAATAAGTCTACAAAGCATCTACACTGTGGGGGTGGTTTGCAGTTTTTCTACATTTCATATGGTATGGCTCACATATTGTTGGATCGCTGCCTATATTCTGTTTAAAGTATTTGTAATAAAGGGAAAAATGTTTCACTTGAGGTGTCTCGTCTCATACATTAGTTACACAGTTCGACTCATGAGTCTAAAGCTCACATTATTTTGATCCTCTGTCTAATTTTTTTGACATATGTCAAAAAAAGCATTTCGGTCAGTCTTACATGACAGACTTTGGGAAACCATGGAACAATGCCTGTGTTTTTAGTTATATTTCTGGAGAACATTTCTTTTTCTTTACTATTATCATTATTGTGACGTGTGCTGCTGAGCTCTTGGCCAGGTCACCCTTGAAATAAAGATCTCAATCTCAATGGGCTCTTACGTGGTTAAATAAAGGTTTGTTTAGGATGGATTTCTTTTGAGCTAATTTACACTCAACTTCTTCACATCTGTAAGTTGATTTTTCACTTATATGTCTTACCAGTGAATAATTTATTGTAATTTTTGGTTTTAAAAGCAACACAGTGTTTTTGCAAGATTTAAATGTAATGAAGGAGCTGAAATGACTGATCAATTTATTAGATCTAAGGTATGTAAACATTTGCCATGCAGAAACATTACATGGTTGCAGCTTCATTTGACAGTTTGCTGCTTTCAAGTGACTATTTTATTGTTCTTTAGCAGGTTATGAAAACAGTAAAAATTTACATTAATGCCAAAACAAATGTTAGCTTTCATGAGCTACAAAAACAAACTGGCTCATCAACATTACAAGTCCTTTTTTCTATTGAGTGTTTTGTTGTTTCTCACACCACTACAGGGGGAGGTGTTAGAGAGAGTGAGGAGCATTTCTATGGTGGCCCTGAGGTGCAAAACACAACAGCAAATCAGAAAAGACAACACAAAAACAGAAAACACAAAGACAAAAGAGAAAACACTTACCTACCATTTCCATCTTTGGTTAATAACATTGTGTTTTCTGATTTGCAGTCATGTTTTTTCTTTTTGTGTTGTGTTTTCTGATTTGCCTTTGTGTTTTGCACCTCAGGGCCACCGTACATTTCTGCAATCATGATGATAAAATCAGTTTTTATAGAAAGAGACATTCTGTGGCTTTGCAGCTTTTGCGTATCTAACTACAGCTCTGATGTCCTAAAACAGAGTTTGGGTTTTGACAAATGCATCAAAGTAAAACAGACTCTAGCTTCCTTTTTTTTGCACTTACACTGAAATCAATGTTTGTTACAAAATCCATCGGGTTATAACTAAATGTAGGAGTCCACACAAAACCACCGTGCTCACTTTAGCCTCTTCCTGTGGGATCATGCAGATAAATAGCCCAAGTGGGTGGACTTGCATTTAATCCCATAATAACCAGCACTCCCTCTTATAGCATTCCACTCTCTCCATTAATCAATACAGTAATAGTGCTGACTGCAGCTATCTCAGTCATAGAAGAGAAGGAGGGCTATAACAGGAAAGATGACCCCGCCTGGACGTATCGCTCCCTGCTCCCCGTCTAAAATAAGATCTCTCCTTGAAGTGTGGTTCAGACTGCTAATGAGCGCTTGCTCAGGGATCCCAGAGTCATGGACGCTGTGGCAGATAATCTTTACAGCCGACCACCACTACTGTTCTCCTCACCCTCTTATTCATCTCCTCCCTTTTCATTTCTTCCACTCTTCGATCTGACTGTGCTTTGTTCTGTCTAAAGGCATTTTTCTTTGGCCTCCTGCCCAAGCTGCCATTAGGATGTTTTCAGCATTTTCTGGACATCCCACACACACAATGTCTTCCTTCTTCCTAATTTTTTTTAAACTCAGTGGAAAAACTTCAGGCATTCATGTATAAAATGGGAGCTGCCTGGAACATGGAGCACATGCATGGGCTAAACTACGTCATGAGATATCAGATATCAACTTTTTGATCAAGTTTTGGATAATAATTCACTGGTCTGCTTTGAGCCAGTGTGTTTGCATGTGAATGTGTGGGTGCAAACGCTGACAAAAGCTCATACTCCCCGATGAATGATGTCTTGATCTGTTCAAGATGCTCTACAGAGATGGTGAACTCCCCCACGTGCTTGGAAACACAAACAAACTTGTTGAAAGCATTACTTTTACAGAAGCCCTGCTACCAAGTATATGTGAACAAAGTTTCCACATTATTGATGGATGGATATTTTTTTATCTTCTGTGTGAACTTCAAAAAGCAAACAAACTTTAAAATGAACTCAGGTTTGTTTTGATAGAGGGTCAATCACCATAGTGCTGCACAGATTATCTTGAACATTAGGAGGGATTTGTAGTCTGTAGATGATCACTACAGATACCAGAAGATACTGTTTTTTGTTTAATTTTAATCCTTATAACTTGCTCCAAAACTGTTGCATCAAACTGCATTTATCTGAGCTGTAGCTGGTGACTATATCTATAAAAACCAACTCTCATCACTTCAGTATTTTATACCGCAGGAAGGCAGCAGGGGGCAGAGAGTGCTTGACACCAGAAATGAGTCACTGATGCCATTAAGATCACATGAGAGGATTCAGCTTCATCTTTTCAGTAACCTGATGACTGGAGACAGTGATAATAGTGTTCGGAGACATTAATCCCAGGTCAGCTTTAATCTTTCCTTCTGTGAAAGTTTTTTTAAGTAACTCTAGTGTCTCTCCTGCTTTTTGTCAATGACATCACACTGACTCCACAGATGCAGTCATCTCAAGACTCCCTGCAGGGAAACAAACCTTAAAAGACAAAACAGAACTTATTTTTATTTCCATGTTATAGATGAAAACATCCATTTGATTCAACCTTTAATTTTTAACATGAGAAAATTAGAATTAGGGTAAGTAGAATCCAGAATGCTGAAACTTTTTCCAAATCTGGTTATCAGTTACAGGAAGTATTGTTGTGTTTTGGTAAAATATAATGAGCCTTTGCTCGTCAGGTCAACAATCATCAAACTGCTAATGGACTCAATGCATATTCTGACTTCCCAAAAAGAGGACATGACTACTAAGGAGTCACAGAGTTGCACAAAGTTAATTTTGAGAGTTTTTCGTGTCGATCAAGTGTCTTTTATGCGCTTCTAGCTCATTGAGTCCATGTGACACAAAATCTAAATTTACATACAAAACCGTGGACATTTGAAGGATTTTATAAACTTCCCCTGAAAAAGCTGGACAAGGCTTGCAGCTGAAGAGGATGCTAGTTAATTTCTCTGTGGTATTGTTGTTGTGGTGCAACAAATGTAGGATGGGGGACGATGAAAGGTAGTGTTGGAGATGGTTTTCAAGATTAGCTACTAACATATTAAGGTAAATTCACAGCGAGTCACCTCTGTCTTGGTTTGAGCTTTTGGCTAATATTAGCGGTGGTTGATATGGAGATGCTAGCTAGCATCAGCCTTTTCCGTTGTGCTCAACTTGAAGGTATTTAACCATAAAAGAGGATTAGGGCCACAAAGAGTAAAAAAATTATTACAGGAAGGAGATTAAAGACGAATTTCAAGATTAAAGTCAAAATTTAAAAAAGTTGAAATGAAAAAAGTCAACATTTCGAGATTAAAATTTTGGGATTCAATTTGTTGTAATGTTGTGAATAATGTCCAAATTTCAGGATAAAAAAAAAAAAAATTGAGATTAAAGTTGAAATTTTGGGATTATAAAATGTCGAAATGTTGTGAATAATGTTGAAATTTCGCCTTTTTTTCTTTCGATCTTTTCAAATTTTGACTTTATTCTCAAAATGGAAATTAAAAAAATCAGTAGGCCTGTACAGTTGAAATAAACATCTACATTAACCTACTATCTGCAATAGTATCTTTAGATCTCCACAACATCAGTCTAAACTCTAAGAACGACACCCTTTTTGCCGTGTATTGAGGTATCAGTTTCCAGATATCCACAAAGCCAGTCTTTTTATTGATAATTGATCATTTAGGAAATCTATGTAACAGTTCTTCTAACAGGAAAAAGACTAGTGATGTTTGGATTGTAGATATTTGATATGGGAGGGTTTCCAGGGAAGAACATATGTACAAGAATGTACGTCCTTGAAAGGAAGAATGACATTGATGATAACGTGGATGGGAAGATTGACATTGAATATCTTAAATACTTCTTACAAATGACAGGAGACAGTTCTGTTAAGGACATCTCAAACATGATAACTGACAGGGAAGTGTTTGTCTTAAAACCGCTTACCACAAGAATGACCACTAGACATGTGGGATACTTTCTTTCTAACACAAAAACTGCATCAAAGGCTTTAAGATAATGTTTGATACCATACTGTAAACATGGATAAGATCTTTTTCAACCAATCCAATCAGTGTAGGTACGATGTAAAGATAAACAGGAAACAAGTCTTCACTCCGGATCAAGTATTTCCCTTCCTTATGTCGGTGTGCAAATGCTGTGTGTGAGGTTTATTGTTCTGAACAGTTGAGGTGTCACACTGACAGCTGCACACTAACTGACTCACAGAAACTGAAATCAGCAGGTTAAAACAGCAGCTGTCAGCCTGAGGAGTTTGCGTTGTTTTAGTTGCTCGTGAAGGAAAAATGTAGGGAAGTAAAGGGAATAAAAAAGTCACCTTTACTGTGCTTATAGTTGGAGCAATTTCCTTTGATTACGTGGCTGTGAACATCGCTCTGTCACGGCACATCCATTTCTCACACTCTTCGTTTTCAGAAGACCTAAAGGTCTGTAATAAAGTTTCCTGGGTCACTGTGCACATTTCAGCTCCTTTTGTCTTCCGCATTCATTCCAGATCGCTGCCACCAGACCCCAGACGTCAGGGCTTTCAAGCTCAGAGTACAAAAACCCCTCTTAAGACTCATGTAGCTTTTAAACTTTCAGACTGTACCTCCTTTTTACATTCCTCTGATCTAAGCACCTGCAGCAGAGAGCAGCGGACACAGAAAGAGGCAGTTTGGACCGTGTGAACTCGACAGATAAAACAGTCTGCTGTCTTTTCACCCTCTCCCTTGCTCTCTATTCAATCGCCTCCAAGTATCTTGACAACCTTGCCTGGTATTTTGGCAGCAGTCCCTTGAGTGTTGATGTCAGCTGAGAGAGGGGAGGGGAGGAGAGGAGAGGAAGGTGGAGGGACTGAAAGAGAGAGAGAGAGAGAGAAAGAGAGAGGGGATGGGGGGTAGGAGTGAGCGGGCTATTCAAGGCACTTGTCCTCTGTCTCCCTCAGAGCTTAGAGGAGGGGGAGGCGCACATGCATTGAGACACACACACATACACACACACACACACTTTCACACACACATAGTGGTGGCCACATTTTCACAGCCTGCTCCTCAGACTGACAGCAGCAAACGGAGTTGAGAGCCAGCGCGATTGTGCAAGGGAGGACGGGAGAGAGGAGTAGGGACAAGGTAGAGGAGAGGACAGGACAGAGGAGAACGCAGGATTTCCTCCTTTTTTTTTAATCCTCTTTCAGCTCTCTTGGAGCCATAAAAGGAATCTTCCCCCTGAACTTGCTCTGCTACAGGACCTGCACCCTGCTATGGCAGCCTTCTTGGGACACAGGGACACTGTCCCCCTTTTATCACGTTCCTCTCATCCTTGGACTTCCCTCCTCTGCGTTCTCTTGACCCTCATAAGCCATGTGCAGGGCTTTAACCTGGATACTAGAACCACGCTGCATAAGTTGGGGGACCGGGGCACCTTTTTTGGTTTCTCTGTAGCACTTCACCAACAGCTAACCCCTGAGCCCCAGAGTTGGTGAGTAGCTGAATGCGGCACTGAGCTTGTCTTCAGTGTCTTATGTGGGTTTGACTCTTTTTTTTTGCAGCATGGATGCTTCAGTGTTTGGCACCTGCTCCCTACATCATGAATTTCTATTTTTTGGCAGAAAAAATCCCAGATTGAAGTTAGCATGTCTGTGCTTTTCAGTGGTCCTTACATTTGCTTCATCATTGCTGCTCCCATAACTCTGATCAGAACTGGATGCAGGATGCTTTAGCATGTTTATGGGCAGAAAGAGCAGGCTGAGCAGCTCTGAGTGATCAGAGGATGATTTACAGTAAGTGGAGAGTGGATGAGAGCAGGCTTGCTGAATCAGCAAGTAGTGATTTTTGAATAGAGGAGAAAAATGGTTTCTGAGTGACTGTTTTAAAATCTGGACTGCCTGCTTACCTCAAACAACCAGAGAGGAGATGCTGGAGTGTGTGTAGCCGTGTGGAAAGAAGAGTTGCACAAATGTCTATGTGAGTGTTTTACAAAGTGGGGTCTGGAGGTCCACAGGGAACCTTAAGGGGCCCACAAAGTTCACACGGTAACAGAATGACTAGTTTGTTTGGATGCTCAGTGCCCTTCCTGTAGATAGAAGTTGAAAATCAAAAATCCGAAATGATCAGAAAACACAGGGATCGAATTTTGTCAAATAAGATTTCAGGTCAAGCATGTTTGTCTCGAGTTCCTCACAGTAAAAAAGTTTGAAAAATTAGATTAAATTATGTTATTGAAAGATAAAACTGTATTAAAGAATTAAGTTGGGCCGCATAGACTGGCATGTGACCACTTGGCTGGAGTGATAACCTGAACAGGAACTTGGATTGTAACCTGCATGGGGGGATTGGTGGTGCTAGCTCTGCTAGTGTTAGCCACATCAGGTGAACCAGTTTGGACCTAACGAACAAATCTGATTTAAATACTCGAGATTCTGTCATATTCAGCTGTGTCAATTATGCTTGTAATCAGGACCATTAGTGAGACTTTAACCTTTTTTTTAAATATCAGAAATTAGTCACTCGGTAACATCCCTAATGAGAACTTCTCTATTCTCCTGTTTTCCAGCAGCTGTTGTGATTCCCTGATCAGTATTACTGGAACACTGTAAAGTAGTGCTCCCATCTCCAGAAATCATGAATAAATTATTATATCAGGTCTGATTGTAAATCTCTGCCAATGACAGTAACTGAAGAGCCTATCCCCTCTAAATCTCTTCATTTAAAGAGGTGCCAAAACAGTTTTAAAGTCATGATATCGTTTTTTTTTTCTATAAAACCAAAAGTCTTGAAATTTAGCACTTTTGTCGAACTTTTTAGAATATATATCATGATGTGTTACTTGTGGTTTGATATTTTGAATGGATGCTCTGTGCTGTAATGACAGAAGTATTTTGATGCTAACCTTATTAAATGAAGTGGAGTAAAAGTATTTTTTCCGCCTAACAAGAAGCAGGATGGATAAAATGTAAATAAAGGAGTGACTTTAGGATAAGTTAAATATGGAGCTCCAGATTTAACTGTTGGCTCCTCGGTTTACGGGGTCTGGAGTCGTCCTGTCGCCTGGTGAGACCGGTGACATCAGCATCACAGACATATAGACAGGGAGAGGCGGACTCATGTCACCCCTCAGAAGCATTCACACTGCCCAGCAGCATTCCTGGTACTTATTTTAATAACTTACTCAAAATAGGCTCAAAAGTATGAGAGGAGAATATGCCTGCCTGGCCTACTGATTCGGCCTGTTTCAAAGTGCAAACAGAGCAAAAACTCCTAAGAAGATGCCCATAATGCACCAGTGACGTTAGTGCCAGGAGAAGATGGTCATTAAACTGAGCTGATGTGCTGATGTGATGCATCTACTGGAAGAGAGTGATGAATAATGCTGTTACCAGTATCCTGTGACATCATGTTGACTATATTCAAGGATGACTGTGTAATGATTTCATATTTGTCAATCTCCCATCATCTATAGCCGTGATTTTAAAGGTGCTGAGGTCAAGAATCTGAAACTGACAGATTTTCTTATTTAACTTCACTTTTCACCCAAACTCTCGACTTGAAGAGGTCATGTGTGTGGTTTAGGTTTAGCTTTAGAGGAGTAAAAACAGGTTTATTTTTGTAGTTGTGTCCTGGTCTATCCTGGATACCTTTATTTATTTTTTTCCAAACATAAATTCACACGACCAGCAGTTGCCAGTCCTTATTTTGAAGTCTGATTCTGGTCTCTCTCACATATTTGGCCCTATAGCTAACCAGTATCCTACTATTTCAAGAGGCTACCGTACTTTTTGGCTGTTTAGCTGGTGGAGTACAGAAAGTTTTCGCAGACTTTCATCGAACAACCTGTTAAAGCAGCAGCTACTTGTTTAGATGATTAAACACACATATTCCTGGTTGTGGATGTGATCTTTTGGTGGACATCTGTTATAGTTCTGTATAGGGCTGGGCGATATGGCCTTAAATCAATATCATGCTATATTGAGCAGTTCACCTCGATAATGATAAATGGACGATAACTACTCCACAAGCTGCTCACCCCCTCCCATATTAACTTCCTTCACTTCAGCCGCTACAACTTCTGAACCGTCCTCCATCCCCTCACCTGTCTTTCCCAATTGTTACGGACTGGATGGGGTGGAATCATATCTCACGTCGGACAGCGTCTTAAAGGGATATGAGACCATAGCCTACCTACACACATCCAAAACCAACTTTTATTTATTTATTTATTATTTATCAAAATGACATTGGTTATTGTCATAAATTTCAGTATCGGTAAATTTTCAGTTTATCGCTCAGCCCTAGTTCTGTATCAGTGTATATTTACAGTTACAAAGACCTCGGAGCTCTTAAAGCTACAGCCCTTAAAAACTCTGAGTGTCTCATCTTCACTTTGGCCTCTTGGAGTTTGAAATATTTCACATGATTATTATTATTATTATAAGAGAGAGAGGTCTATTATCCAGAGAGCAACACAGCAATTATCTCTACTGTCTGAATAATACATTTCCATTAAGCTCTGTAAACGTGTCTTCTCTGTGTGTCAGTGCGGCTCAGATTTGGAAGTTTAGATTTCAAAGGTGTTCACATTAAAGTCTCTTTTCTTCTGATGTACAAGCTCCAAACTTTCTGTCATGAGATGCTGTTGACTCATTTTCTCTTTACATCAGGGAGGTTTGGGTTACTGTTCCCTCTGGTCATTCTGTGTTGGGACCCTTATGTGTTTGCTTCCGGACTCAAAAGCACAACTGATATTATCACCTTGATGCTTTGTTCTGTGCTTACTCATGCTTGTATCATACAGGCAGTAAATATTCAAGTGCGGTTAGAAATCAGCTCAGCTACACCGGTCTGTTAGGGGGGTTTCTTCTCCTCTGGTTTTGTTGTCGAAAAACTTGTTGGAGGCACTTTAAGAAAAAAAAGTTTTATGTATTCCATCAAAGAATATTCAGTTTCATAACTTCACTGAATTGTCTTTTTGTTCAGTTTTACAGAATCTCTACAGAACATGCCTGTGGCTACTCCAAACTGCTCCATTTCATTTTGGCACCAAAGGTCAAACCATGTGACACAATGATCTCATTCTGACTGATGTTTTGTAACGAGATCCTTGTTGGGGACAATTTCGGTGGTAATAAAAAGTATGCCACACTCAGATGAAAAAAGGGCCATCAATCTGCTTCTTCGGTGTTCTTCTTCAAACTTTCAACACTGTCATTTTGTATTTTCACACTTTGACCTAAAACAGGCCCACACAGCTGAACTCAGGGGGCTCCTACTGCTGCTGCTGCTGCTAATGCCAGACATAGGATTAGACTAGGGGGTATTTCAGTTTGAGTTATGTGTGGGTCTGCTATTTTTACAGCTATGAGAAGTGCTTCCGCTAATAGTTCACTGCTTGGTGAAGACAGGAAGCCCCCAGAGCTTAATCCCACCACAGTCAACCTGCCCAAACTCTGCTACTGTATGGATAACACATAACCATCAAATACAGCAAAAACTTTGTCTGACAGTTTGACTTGAACAGGAGGATATGAAGTGATAGCATTGAGGGACTTACTATGACTTTGCAGATAATGTGGTGAAAAAGGCTTCTGCATTAGAAATTACATTGTCAAAGAATTGGTCGGATAGGATTTAAGGATTTAAGATCTATACTGCAGCCAGTCACCAGGTGGCTTCACTTGGGGAAGCTGGTGTCCAAATCACTCGGGCTGTGATCAACCAAAGAAATTCTTGGTTGACTAATGCTGGGTTGCCTCAGAAGTTGGATGTTGGAGCTGGGAATGACGTTACACCGGAGTTGACGGTGTTCCAGTTAACAAGTCAGAAAACCAAGATGGACACCTACAGTTTGCCGTTGTTAGCTGTTGTTTACAATTGTCAGGTGTTGTTAGCCGTTGTTAGTTGTTGTTAGCTATACCAGTCGTAACAGTTAGACGTTGGGTAGTACAACATATACCACTTGTTTCATTTCACAAAAACAAAAAAGAAGTGCTAATAAATAATACATTATGAGAGTTTTTACTGTTAATCTTTACTGTTGATTCACTGCGTTGTCATCTTAAATTATGACATTGTCGTCAAGTCAAGTTGGCGAGGATCGTCCGACTTGCGGAGTCAGAAATATGACTTCAGGTGGGTGTTCCAGATGAATTTCCAACTAGGAGCTTGGAAACGCCAACTTCCGAGTACAACTGTAATGCAGCATAAAACCCTGAAATTTTCGACCACAAGTCAACTAATGGGGAAGGATTTTTCCGACTCTGACGGCAAACCCTTAGACTGTAAATTGACGCATAAAAAAAATTGCATCGACCAATCAGAATTTTGGTCGACTCAGCACGTATCGACCAATAAGTCGACCTGTAGACTAGGACTTTACAGCGCTACGAATCGCAAGCAGCAACCTCAGGTCTTCTTGAGTAAACTTGGAAACTGCAGTTCCTCCAGTGGCCACTTGAGGCTGGCAGCAAAATTACAGGAAGCAGTATTCATGCCCAAATTTATAGAGCTTGTCCATTTATATTTTTTGCTCTAAAAGTAAATCAAAGCTGTGAATGAAAGCTAATCACCAAATACAGTAGGACCTAACCCATGGGATTAGCTAATCTCAAAATACATTTCCGTCTAATAGTGTTGTGATAGTGGAATATATGCTCTCAGACAAACAAAGTGGTCCGACTATCAGGTCCTTCATTTTAAGTGCAGTGTTTGTAGTTCTGCTGATAACACAGTCTGCTGTTCAGCTGATAATGTGTGGTCGGGGTCTGCTGATTCTGAATACAGTAATATGCTTTATCAGACATAAATCAACTCCATAGCATCATTATAAAGCATAAAGGGTTCTTTGTTTATATTTATATCACAGAAAAAAAAGGGCATGTAAACACATGCATGCCTGAAAAGAGTGTTTCACCTTTCAGTTTCATCGCATTTCTTTATATTGATCTCAATCCCATCATTTAATGTAAAGGCTTGAGCTCTTACAGAGGTGGGGGATGGCAGGTCTTTCTTTGCAGCTCTGATGGGGGTCATAAATCTTTTGTTATTGTTTCCGAGGGGTCTCTAAAAAGCCTTTAAAGAGGAAAAATGTGATTTTTTCTCCAATTTAACCTAATAATGGACCTTTATTTAGTCTTATGTTCTGAAGAATTGCAAGTTTCCTTCCCCTTGACTTGCCTTTTCTAAGCACTTAATTATTTCAACAATGTGTTTTATTTCCTCTGGACATTTCATTAGTTTTTCATCGTGTCATAGCCGCACATTGACTACATCATTAGACCGTGATTTAGCAGACTGTCAGGCTGTTAGTGTAAGTGGAGGTAGAGCTGGCTGTGTTGCATCGCCGTCGTGGGGAAAGTAGAAAGTCTCAGGTTGCAGCGAGGTTCATGTTTACTGTGGTCTTTGCTTTGGTGCCTTTCTAAAGAGAGATACTCCATCTCACTGCCATTGGGGCCACAGGTAGCCGGTATAATCCCAGACATCTAGTCTGGAGTTTGGTTTCACTGGCTGAGTGAGAATCTAAAACAGAGCTTTTGAAGCTGAACAAATCCTCTCAGTGGACGGGAGCTTAGAATAACTCTGCTTCAAAAAAATAAGAGTGGAGCGTGGAGGGATTTTTTTTGGATTACTTCCAAAAGGTTACAAAGATCTCCATGAGGTGTAATGCAAATGGTATGAACTCCAGCAGTTTGGTTTTCTGAAGGGATGTTTTGAAATGACTGACTGCCTGCTTGTTTTGGAAATTCTGATTCTAATTAAGACAAAAGGTTAAGAAAACACTCAATCAAAATTCACTTGCTAGTAGCAGGTGGTGGCACTGCCGCTCTTGTGCAACCATAGACTATCTAACAAATGGACTCAGCCGTGGTGACATCAGTTTTGAAGTCTAATGGTACGCTCACACCAAGTGCGAGGAAAATCATCTACTCGCTTAATTTGCGCAAATCTAGACGCGTGAATGAATAGTACTCGATTCATTTGCGTGTCAATGGTAATCCCTGCCAATTCAACCGGCGAGATCAAGTGATAGACAAAGGCTTTCTATGAGTTACCAGGTCATGCGACCTCCTCACTCACTTGCCTCCACACGAGCTCCTTTTTATTCCGGTTTCGGTAATTGAAAGAAAAGGTATCATATAATTTGGGGCACCCACATAACCACATCAGTTTGTCCTTCATTTTAGATTCCAGGGAACAACCGTCCGTTATCATACGTCACCCGGCAACCTTCGTGCTGATTGGTTATTGCAATGCAAATATCAGCTCAATTTGAGACATTTTTAGCTCCCATCAATCTGCGTCATTCGCGCTGCCAGAGTATTAGGAGCATCTAATCGCGTCTTTGCATTGACTTAACATGTAATTCATTCGCGCGAATGATTTTACTTGCGCTTGGTGTGTGGAGACAGTAATGACGGTGGTCGCCAAATTGGCGGTGCTAACTCAACCTAACTAGCTCGACTCTTTCTGGTGCTTCCGCAGCCACCCTCAAGTCAACACTCAGGGAATTGCAGTTTCAAGCACTTCCGCATCTGCTTCATTTCAAGACCAGAGGTTGCCACTTAGGTTCAACATGCAAAGCTTGCCCTTCATGACATTAAGGCAGCATAGCTTCCTGATTTTAGTCTAGATGGCAAGGGTCATAAACACAGAACAGGCGTGGGTCAATACCAAGCAGGATTAACATATTATTACCCCTGCTCTTAAGCATGACACCAAAGCTGGACTACTGTTTGGCTGCTTGGTGAACAGATACATTACAGATAATTTCATGAAGGTGCTGGCTGGGCTGCTGCAAATCTGAGCTAGTGTTTGCCAAGTTAAATAAAAATAAACTAGCTTTAACTTTATATCTTGGCTCTGTGATTTATCCTCCTTTACCTTCCAGTGTGTGTAATAAGAAATGAATGTGTTTAAGTTGGCCAGCATGTCTTTTTTTACACATTCATAACACAATGAACCATCTCTGGAGGCTAATTAGCATTAAAATAGCCATATTAGAGCTGCTTTTTCAGTTGAGAATGAACCGCTCCCTTTCTCCCTCCTCAATTCAATTCATGATTTTTCCCTGCTCCCTCCTTCTCTCCCTGTCTCTGCCTCTCTCCCTCTCTCTTTCTTGTTGCTAAATCTCCTGGAGGCCATTCATGTAAAAGCCTCGTAAATGTAAGAACTCACCCTGTTGCAAAGCTTATTTATATGGGAGATCAGAAAGAGCAAAGGGTATACAGCACTGGCTGCACAACCCTGCACACACACACACATGCATGCACATACGATTAATGCTCTTTACAAGCTCCCACTTTCTCTCTGTCTATTTAGCATTCCCCCATTCCTCCACACCAGGCTGGACAAAAGCTCGGTGGGAAGCAGTGCAGCCCGGCAAAGAGCTTTCAGGAATATTGCTCTGCAGACCACGTGCTCTTTGAGGGACAATCTGCAGAGTCAGGGCGAAAAATACAACTTATATGTGATGGGGTGCAGAAAACAAGCCAGGGCTGGTTTTGCATCTGCACCTTCGAGATTGTTGGAAGATTAAATCCTAAGAGGGTGAAGTTTCTAGCATTTGTAGAAAAATGTTATCTATTGCAGCAGCCATTATGTTTTATTTGCACATATTAAACTTAGTGGTCAAACCATACCATAGACTATGAATGTCACATGATCTGTGTGTGGGGGAAGGTGAAGGGATGAATAAATCATGGCAGGGCTCCTCTTTGATTGAATATGTGAATGCAGTGTGTATGTGTAGTTGTGTTTGTTTGATACTGGTAAGAAAACAGTTTAGATAATCAGCCACTGATTGGCCACCTATTAGATCTACTTACATCAGACAGAGATTGGATAAAGCTGTAAAGAGCCACAAGGATCAGGAAATTACAAGAGATGTGAAAGCTTTTTGTTTGTATTCATGGAAAGAGATTCACTGATTAATTTGGCGTCTAACAAGCTGAACGTTTTCAGTATTCGACCCTCTCTGCGCCATGACCATCACTCTCTTATCTTTTCTAATTTCCTCAAATATCTCCTGATGGAATAGGTCAATGGATATGAGCGCTGTTTTTTTTTGTCACAAAGTGGGTTAGATTTAGGAGAAGTCAGTGTGCCAAGAAATTATTTTTAAAAAATCTTTCAAAGATTAAAAAAAGCCAAAACTGAGCTTATATTAGCTTTTTTGTGAAATTAAAATGAGAAAATCTTGACTGCAGCTGTCATGTTTGTTAATTAGTCTGAGGATTTATGCTTTTAAAATCCTAAATGGCTTTACAGCAAGTGATTTTACAGAGAAGTTAATATTTAAACCTGCAGCTGTTGCATACAAAAACTCTGTAAAGATGGCTGCATTCATTGTTTAAGCTAAAACAGTCTATTGGTAATACATTCATAGAGTACCACCTATTTAAAGACCGCACCCTAATGAAAATCAAGTTTTTCTTGTTTTTAACATGTTTATATGACATTTTTCTGATGCTACAGGATATATCATGAGAAAAGTAAGTGCGAAATTGCATTTTTGAGCATTTCCGCTTTCAAATAGCTGTGAATCTCTGGCAGACCCAAACGGCAGGTTCAGACAGTGAGATTTCCCATGTCACAAATCCAAGCTCCACCCCCGGAGCCCCGCTATGCAAGCCAGGCTCGGAGAAAATAGAGAGGATGATTGCCGAACAAGCGTGTGCGTTAGCAGATTTCAAAGCTAAGATATGATATTAAAATATGATATTAGCTAAAATATGCTACCTGCTACTTCTACTACACCGGCAATGTTAGGCTACAAGCTAGCATGACGAGAAGTGTGCAGAACAGCGCTCTCTCCGCCCACGATTCAGAGGAGAATTGCTAATGAGCTACTGGAGCTCTGCAGAAGAAAAGCCCTTAAAAATGGCACAGGCAACATGATTTTGGCTAAAAACTTCATAATCACAACTTAAAGACCACTGAGAATACTTTAAGTAGTATAAAACAAAACAATCGGCGTGGGACTTCAAATAAAAATGAGACAGGCTACATCAAATGCGAGCTAACAGTCAGTATGTTTGCATGTAAAGTGAAGTCAAGCTACAGTCATAGCTTGTCATAGCAGAATTCAATTATTTAGGTGGAATTATGGCCCCTTTCAGCTATCAGGTTGTCTCCTAGTTCATCTATAACATATCAAAACAATCGACAAACCCTGTACAAGAGTAATGAACATCAAATCACTTTTACGTCTTTGTATCGTCACAGAGGAAATCAATCCTCAACTGTGTTATCTAGGTACAGTATGTTAGTCCAACTATGAGACGTCGATTTAGCGTGATTTTAGTAGGACTAATGTGGTAATATGTTGTCTATAGTCCATTTTCTGTCAGACTGATGTAACAAATCGATTTCTCACTTTGACAGGACAAAACGTACGTACTCCAAATAGAGGCAAACAAAAATAAAAAACACAATCAGTGTATCTGGATCAATAGATGGATAAGTGGATAAGGAGGGATGAAGAAAAGGAGGAGATACAAAGTGACAGCAGGGATAGTGTCAGGGTTATTAGGTCCTCTTTACTCTTTGGACCTGAGGGCCAATCATTACCCCATCCATGTCTGGAAATGTCTGTTCACTTATTGATCGGCCGAGTGCCAGGTGGTGAGCCAGCGAGGGGTTGTTAAAGATGCATGTGAAGTGAGGATGGGGTTACAATTGTCCTCTAAAAGCTTACTATTTATACCCCCTCTCCTTCCTGAAACATACTTTAGGTGTTTAGTATAACTTCAGATGGGTTCTCGATGTTTTATAGTGATGTTAAAATATCCTTATGATCAACGAGAACAAATTGCTTAAGCAGGAAGTTGAGTCACATCCGTGGGCAGTGAACCACAGTATCCCAAAGGGGCTTTTTGCATGGCCTGGCAGCTGTTTCTGTCTCTCTCTTTGCCCTTTAATGTGCATCAGCCAATCCCTTTTTCTCTCCTCTGCCCTGAGAGTAGAGATGTTAAAAACACGATGATTCACAGCTGGGTCACCTCATTCTCAGCTGTCATTTTGTCATCAAGAAAACTGAAAACAGAAACTTAAGTCAGGTGTGGGAGCAGCGATTTTTCCCCAAACAGGCCTCTAAATCGCTGCTCTATGAGGGAGATCGTCACAGTGGACTCTGTTGGACGGGCTGCAGTCGGCGTGATGATCCACAGTTTACACAGTTGTTGCACAACCGTGTCTGTGGGAGAGTTTATGAACAAATACTCAGGTTCTGTACACTCTGTTAATGTCTGCATGCTTGCACATGTTGTCCTTTGCATGTAGATATATTGTGTGTGTGTTTGTGTGTCCAGGTCAAAGGTCATAATCTCGCCCCAGGGTAACACAATGCCCAAAGAGCCCCCCTGGCCCCCATGCTGATCCTATACTGCCTCTGTCTGAAGAGCAACAGCCTAACACTGCTCTCAGGATGGACAGATGTCAAAGGGAGTGAGCACACAGATTAGAAAGGAGCAAATGAAAACGAACAAAAATTAACATTCGAAATGTTTCGTGTGTATTCGATTGTAACAGCTCATGGTTTTTATTAGCGTGGGAATGAACACGCCTGGAAAATTCTAGAGAAGGGTTGGGCTCTATCTGTTTAGAGACTGATCAGCTCTTTGCTCTGGAATTAATTTCCCCGAAGCGATTTTTGTCAGGCCTTTTAAAACCGAGCTTGCATCTTAATGTCTGTCTACTCTCCCTCACCCTCATGACTAAAATATTTATGTCAGACTTTCCCCCTTTTTCTATAAACAGAGCCAACTGGAATTCAGAAATTCCCCCCGAACATCTTAAAATACGTTTGTGCAGATGTTTGCGAGTCTTATTTGTGTATGCGCGTGTTTACTTGTAGACAGGTTAAAGGAAATCTTGCACTTGGCCTCCTGTCTGTGAACTGTCAGTGGAATACACAAATAGATTTTGAAAAGAATTTGAGCAACACCAGAAGAGTAAAGCAGATTCAATTGACCCCAGAAGCATGCATCCTGCGAAAGAAAGCATAAACTGCATGCACAAGCTGCAAGTCGAGGTGTTAGGGGACAGGATGAGGTTGCCAGTTGTTTGAAAAATGGGAAACCAATCCACTATCTTTGACAAGCATTGTGTTGTGTTTCTCCTCTTTAAAGAATTAGCATTGCTCTGAATATTGGCAGCATATTTGATGTGTTGTTGTCATGTGTTTCCACTCAGTCTTACTCAAAATTTGTCACTGTGTGCAGAGATGTCACCCCCTCAGAGTGGGGGAGGAGTAAAAAGGATGATAGTGTGTCTGAATATGTGTGTGTGTGTGTGTGTTGGCTTTAGATGGAGGAGGGGTGGATGAGATCGTGGGGAGAATGAGTTTTGGGGTCACTGCACATGCTCCCCTGAATGAGCACATGGTTTAAGTGTGGTGTAATGAGGGTCTGGTGTGTGACGCTTTTATGTCTGTGATGATTAGCTGGAAAAACAAAGGGGGATTTTTGTGACAGTGGAGGGTGGGGTTAGAAATGACAACCTAATCAGCAGCAGTATGAATATTTGGACTGTGGCGGTGTTTTGATTAAGTATCTACGTGTGAAGTTAACTGGGCGTCTTCACACTTACTTATCAGCACCAGGACTACCTACCAGTTTAAGAAATGATTTATCTTTTTATTGTCATAGGCAATAGAAAATCTCATAATGCAATCCATAAATACCAGATATTACTCTTATACCCTCACAAAAAACACAGCAGCAGGAGAGAGAAGTGACCACAGCACCTTTGATGACAAAACTGCAGCTGAATAATGCCATCACACAAACAACGTCAATCTGGCGACATATATTATCGTACCAATAGAGCCACCAAATGGCCGTGTTCAAGGCCTCACAATATCAAATACTCAAGATCGAAACAACGTGACAATAATAACGCGCACACCCAATACACAGCAATCAATATACAAAGCCACCACACACAATATACCACAGCAAAACAGCCATTTTAGCACACACCCTCACATGTACCGCCAGAATTTCACTTTGATTCAACAATATGTAAACTATATTGTAAATTCCACGTAGAATAATAGACTCACCGATGTTGATCACTTCCTGAAGAGGAATGACGCTCTGCGGTCCTTCATGTGCGCAAACTTCTCTGTGACCTTGCTGTTAAAATCCAAAAGTCCATGGATGAGTTCACTTTGCCATGTTGCTCTATGATGGACGCCGAGCTAGTGAGATCTGTGCAGTTCCCGCTCTTTCTTCTGATCAGCAATCTCGACTGTGCCCCACCTAGCAGAAACAGAGGCACAATTAACTATTCGCACACAACGATACTACATAGAGTAGGGAAACTGCGTTCAACAAATGAAAACTGCAGACATCTCAGTGTGTGGACAAAGTAGAACTTTTACGAAAGTTGGTGTAACTACAGAAGCAAGCGGTCAACGACATTAATCTCTCGATGGGGTGTCTCACTCAGTGTTACTGTGTGTTTGACTCTTACTTAATTTTACGCCGGAATACTCCTTTAAGACTAGCCAGTCAGTCGTAATACAAATACATAATAAACAAGTGAGAACGTTTACTGACATCAGAAGTCTACTCGCCGCATGTTTTTCTTAAGATTACTCATAAATATGGGACAAAGAACAAAAAAATAGGGAGTCCCAAGAACTGGACCTTGGGGTACACCCAAGCACCCACCTTGAGTTAGTACTTTCATTTTATTTTTACAGAAACAGGGTTGGGATTATGAATAAAAATAAAGTTTGTCTGGGGTTTTATCCAGGCACCATATGGGGAAAGAGAAATCAACTTCTATTTCAAAACTACTCCTTTTTTTCCTTTTAATCTCTCGCTAATATTAACATATTGAGGGGCAGTCCCAAACAATAACCACTTGCCTAACAGAACTACTTAGTGATGGATATCGCAAAAACGTCACTTTTGGGCGGCAGTGTGCGTCTTTATGAGTCAAAATGCTTGACTTAGTTACTTGAACACTGAAATGATTGCACAAAATGTTTAAGAGGCATTCATGGTTTCCAGATGATGAACTTTATGACTTTGGTGTCCCAGCCACTAGCATGCCTGAAGACTCTCAGCCCTGTTGTAATCTGTTAGTCTGGGGAATCACTGATGCTCCGGTGTGTTATCTAATCTAAGTAGACTACACAGCTCTGTGAGAAAACACACAAACATACACACCTCTATCATGCCGGTGCCGACTCTGTTGCGTCTGGATTCATGAGGGTATTTGACCAGACACCGTCATGGTCACACTCAACACCCTGATATCTCTCATCCTGGATCATACCCACAGCCACTCATATTACACACACCCACACAAACACTCCATGTCAAATCTGGGTTTACCGAAAGATGAGCTGAGAGGAGATCATGATCACACTGTCTGACTCAGGCCTGAACAATGAGGCGGCTAAGGCACGAATAACAAAAAGCAGTAGTCATAACGAGTTAAATTTGGGACATGTGAGCCTCTGTGTGACTCCACTTTGTAGTTATCAAATGATGGTAGATTGTTGATTACATAGACAATATGTCCTTGTTTTGGAAATCTATTTCTAATCGACTACTCATATCATACAGTTGTGCTTTTTATGAGGGAAAAACTAAGTAAATTTGGGAAAATACTATCTTTTACAGCTGGCCTTATGTATTTTCACTGTTTTTAGTAGGTAAGTTGTGGCCTAACAGCGATAGATTTCTAACCTCGCCATGTGTGCGTGACTTTATTTTTGTAAAATACATCTCAAACCTCCGCTCTCTGGTTTCATCCCTACATATCCCTCCTGTCTTCTGCTGTTTTTCCTCACTTGAATAATTTGACTCGACCAAACTTGGCCGAATATTATGTTTAGGAGATTTAGCAGCACATGGACAAATTGGGAGCCCTCCAACTCTCCCTCTTCTCTCTGCTAAATACTGGCAGTACAACAGCTTCACAGACCTCACACCCTGACACCTGTCTGTGTATCTGCACATATGTGGGCGAGGGGTAAACTGGTATCACCTTCACTACTGAACATAAACCAGGGCTCTCTGGAATGTGCAGCTATTTGAAGGGTCAGATAATCAGGTTTCTTAGCTGCTATCCCGCTCTTATTAATTCGAACGTTCTTGTTTGAGGGTTTGCCGTTACCTTGACTCTGGTTGGTCGAGTTTCCCGTGTGGACTGGCAGTGATGTGTGTCATTTTTTCACTCCGGGTGGCTGATTGGGGTGTTCAGTCCTCGAGGTGAGGATAGAGTCATTCTTAAAGCATGCACGGCTGCACCTCAACAGAAGCACTTGTCAGGAACGAGAGGGTGGGAGGAGAAAATGGAGCCATCCTGCAGTCTTGGTGGCTGTGACAGGAGATTCAGAGCCTGTGGGTATTATCGTGTCAGCAGTGAATGTGAGGGCTAACGTATTTTATTACACTTACAGAAAAGAGGTTAAGTCAGGGTGGTCGCTATTGTTGAGGTGTAAAGTGAGTAAAAAGTTGGGATATGTGGTGTCTGGTGTATTATCTTTGATTTGTCCCTTTCCCATCACCTTCAAAGCCGACTTTCCTTCATAGTTACATTTCTATGATCCTAAACTGCCACTGGGAAAATAAGTTCTCTGCTGCTGTACTTCATGTTGTTTTTCTTAATGCAAAATATGACTTTAAATCGAAGCATAAAAGACAAATTTAGAATGACTCGAGCTGTGTTGACAGTGTTTCTTCTACTAAACTTTTCTGAGTTTGACCAGTTCTTTTATCCAAAAGTGTTGATGGCATCAGTTACTCTTTAAAGCTCCTCTCAGGAGTTTTTTTGTCTTTTACGAAACAGATTGAAACTAATTTTGATGCTTTTTTATGATATCCAAAAGTAAACAAGACTATCAGGAACAGGATTTGCAGTTTGTACGTTGTTATTTTTAGTGTCTGAAACCAGTGTGAGGGACTAGGTGTCAACAGAGCAGCCTGAAAAGACATTTCTGGTATTTACTTTGTTTTCTTGCTTGTGTCGGTGGTCATGGCCAAAGAAGAATTCAGACAATTTTTCGTACTTTCTGGTTGGTTTCTACTGTCCGATATTGTAGCACGCTAACTTTGTTTGGGCTCGTGAACGTTATTTGTGGAGCGTGCCTCACAACATGAGGAAGCAGCATCTGCCTCACAACCAATCAGGTTGGGGCAGGTGGAGAACGGCTTTCTTTACAGTCAGAATGAGCAGGATGCTAAAAAATGTCAAAATGTTGACAACACAGACATAACAAAACACAGCAATATTGTGATATTCCAAAATGTCATCAATAACTAAGAGCTATTGAATGATATCAAAAGCTTTTTTGTATATACACCACAAAAAAGATGCTTCCTACCCCACCTTAAAAAGTAAGACTGAGCACAACTTTGAGCAAATATTTTCAATTTTTAAACTCTATCCTCTATTAATATATTACTATATTTACTACTTAAAGGTCTTACGCTCCAAACAGTCTTACTATGTCTGGTTGTCTGTTGTCACTCAGACGTCCAGTCTACGTCTCTGTCTGTTTGTCTGTGCAGGTCTCATACACACTATCAGTTTGCTACAATATATTTATAGTCAAAATACTTCCCAGCCTCAGAGATAACTCTAATTTAAGTGTGGACACAACAAGGTAGACATGAGGGGGGAGGTAATGGGGACTTTTCACACCGTCTCTGGAGCCAGTCGTTACTCGTACATTTCAGCCATGCTCTTCCTCTGCCAACATTTTCTGATAATTATACGTGAGCTGCACAGTCGCTGTGTAACTGCTGTCGTCTTGGCGCTGAGTTTGAAGTGGATCTCTCTCACAATTTTGTCTTCCGGCCATCTTAAAACCTGCTTCTATTCTGCTATCATTCTTTTGGACCTCTGTTTCCTCAAGTCTTGCTTCCATGCATATGCCATGGCTGACGGTGTTGGGTGGAATGTGGCTCAACGTTCAGTTTTTAAATAGCATCCTAGCCTGAATCAGCCACTCCTAATAAGGCAGAGGCAAGTGACACTGGCCCTGAAATATCACTAACCACCTCACTTAGAATAAAACTTTTGCTATAGTTGATAGTGAGCGATGACAGGTGAAAGCTCAAGTATGTTAGCGCGAGTAAGAAACAGTACAGACAGGCTTCAGAGCCGGACTGAAGCAGTTTAGAGAGGGGATAACACGACTGAACGATGTGGTCTCAGCAGGATTTAAATGGTCTTGATTTAGCTGCAGGTGTTTGTACTCAACAGTTATGGCAGCTCAGGTCAGCTGAGGCATTGTGTGAAACCTGCAACCAGTCACATGTGAAATTACATGACAGCAGGGGATGAACAAGGACTACCAGACACAGCGGGTCCTGTATAGTTGGCATAACATTGTGAAAACTTCTCAGATTACAACTGCAAATATAACCAAGTATTACGCAGCTCATGTGCTGTCACAAACCTCTGATACATGTCCTTTGGGAAATCAGAAATCCATCTTCGACATTAACTGTATGTGATGTCTTCCAGGATCCTTGTGGGGGCGCCGCAGGCAGCAGGGCAGGGCCCGTTGCGGGGCAGGCGGCCTGGAGCTTTATTCAAGTGTCCAATCACACCTGAGGAGTACGACTGCGAGAGGGTGGATATTGATGGAGAATGTGAGTATATTATAACCTGTAGAGATTCATCAGTTGACAGATTGTGTCAGAAAAAAGAGTTTTATCTGCTTTTTAAACATACTTTAAAATTAATTAATCAATTAGCTAATTCATAATAATGCATCTTTATGAGCTACACAAGAAAAAGAAGACAATAAGGGGCCAAAATCGACAGGTTTATGCCAAGTTTATGGCAGTTTGCCGCAGGGTAGCTTTCAAACGGATGTTTAAGTTAACAAAGAAAGTCTTTTAAATCTTTACTTTTTACATCGAACTTTCATGATGATCAGTTATACCCCTTACCCTTCAAAGGAATGCAGGGCGAGAGTTTTTATGTACAGGACAGAGTTAATAGATAGATAAAAAGTTCTGCTTTGTCCACACGGGGCAAAGCCCAATCCCAAAGATCCCTAAAGAAGCAGAAAAAAAACAAAAAACTTTAAGTTAATTTCGACCTCCAGAAGTGAAATATTTGTTGACTGTCTTGTCCTCCACTGACAAAAACTCTCTGTGGCATTACTCAGGAGACAATTTAAAAAAAACTTTTATCTTGAGTAGAAAAAAAATCTAATCTCCTCAGAGTACATCAGGCTTTTTTTAAATCAGTGTCTCCTGATTTTTGTTCTCGGCAGCCTCCTGTAAAATTGCTTCAAAATTCCTTCAAGGGCAACAAGATACAATGCCCTTCCTGTGTTGGACCTTGATTGAACTACAGTCTGTTGCTTGAGGAAATTCCTTGTTATGACACTGTGCATGCAGACATAGCACAATAACCCTAAGTGTTTGGGAAAGAACAAGTTGTAATTAAATGATAAAATAGCGTTTTTGCTTCTTTTAACTGTTTTTTATGTTTTGTTTTCCAGTGGACCTGAACAAGGAGAGCAAAGACAACCAATGGCTTGGAGTCACGGTGAAGAGTCAGGGGATTGGCGGGAAAGTGGTGGTAAGTAAAGACAACAGCTGATGCATTTACGGACACTTAAGTCACCAAACACACAGGAAATGTATTTCTCATACTGTTTCATGTTTCTCATTAGACCTGTGCTCACCTGTACGAGCTCAGACAGCGTGTGAGACAACCCTCAGAGACTCGCGACCCCATTGGCCGTTGCTACGTCCTGAGTGAGGACCTGACGGTGAGAGATGAACTGGACGGAGGCGACTGGAAGTTCTGTGAAGGGCGGCCGCAAGGACATGAACAGTTTGGCTTCTGTCAGCAGGGCCTGTCTGTCAGTTTCACCCCAGACAACAACTTTATTCTGTTTGGGGCCCCAGGAACTTACAACTGGAAAGGTATGGAAGCTGATTATCCAGTTATCCAGACATGTTACTGCCTATGATGAGATTTTCACTCCACTGGTGTTGTGAAAATGCACCAGTTGTTTTTTTTTTTTTCAAGGGTTTTTGTGACTAAGAGCGAACCACATATCATAAACTCTTAACAACCAGGGTTCTGACCTGACCTACGACTCAGTAGATACTCTATTTTTCTTTTAAAGATTTATGCACAAGTATCCAGCAGGCATTGAAGGACACATTTTAAACCTATTCCCCAAATGTGTATTCATAACCACTCATGAATGCAGCACTATTCCAGTGAGGAAAAATGCATTTTAAATTGTATGTATTGAAAGATTAAGGATTGGTCACATGGACTTTGACACTGGATACAGAAAAATTACAAAAACAAGAAATACTGTTACAATTGCTTTGAGCTGGGGAATAGGACCAGCCCATGTTAGCTGTCAAATTAAAGCATTACCATCAACGGGCCAGGGATTAAGAGAAAGCCAATTGATTTATAAAGCAATCTAGTAATTGGGTAGAGAAATTATGCAGAGCAGCAGCGTGCACTCAATCAAAGAAAGCGCAGCAATTTATCTGGTGCTGTGTGCGGTTACTGGACGGATTCATTCTGCACTGCCACATGAGATCAGTGCTGTATGTGGCAGATGCTGTTCATGTTTATGATTCTGACTATAAGCCTTTTTTTTATAAAGCCTAATGTACGGCTGTTTCTGATGATGCTTCTAGGTGAGAGTCCAGGTGTAAGTGATTGTATCTATGTCATTTTGCTTAGTACACACAAGAAGAGTAAGGGCCTGTGTCCACTGGGGGCATTTTTTCTGAGCTGGCAGCAGGTCCGATACAGTTTAACAAATTCAGTCCTTAGCCTCCCAAGTATAAAAGAATTCTTGTTTTTGGGACATGAGGATGCTAGCAGCTACAAAATGAATGTGAATGGATACAGCTTGATTTTAGTTGCCTTACTTTAAAAGTGGTCCAACTTTTGGAACATCACCTCCCTTATTAGTGTCACTTCTACTTCACCAACCAATAAAAACCTGGAGGGGACTTTAAATACAAGTTCCAAATAAATGGCAGTGATATTCTTTCAGTGTGCTCCTTGTGTGGTTGATCTCATATTCAAGACTGTTTTTTAAGGGTATAATTTTTTAGGTTGAGTCCTATTGCAGGACACATCACTTTGATATTTTCTTGAAAAAATGTGAATTACAGCAAAATTTAATAGGCTAAACAGAGACTTTTAAAACAGACCAAAGGAGACAGCTTACACAGTTCAGCATTGGTAAACATTAGAGCGCTATAAAACAGAGGTCAAAAGAAGTTGTTAATGGACACAGGCCCTTACAAATATGAATACTAAGTTTTTTGGGATGCTGTGCAAAACAAACAGGAATAGTTCTTGGAGGATTCAGAAAAACATCAGAAAACTTTTGAGGAACCTTAATATTTTAAAGCTTTAAAAAATGTCTCTCTGTACGTAATTTTTTACAAATTCAGATTTTATTGACTGACAAAAGGTATTTCCTGTTTTCTCCTGTTAATTAATTTCTTTCCTGTCTGTCTTCGCTAAAAACTTAACTGTGGTTTTGGATTTCAGTGTTGGGACGTGAAATTTGGTGTGTAATTTTGTCTGCCAATGTGTTGTTGTGCCTCTGCTGCGGCCCTCACCTTTCTCCGTTCCAGGCGAGATGCGCGTCCAGCTACTGAACCAGACTCTGATTGACCTCGGTTTCTATGACGACGGACCCTACGAGGTGGCAGATCAGAGCCAGCTTAATGCCTCGCTCATCCCTGTGCCCTACCACAGTTACCTGGGTAGGATCTGCCCTCCCTGCTCACTGCTGCCTGTGCACAGGAGAGAAAGAGAGGGCCCATGGGAGCGGGGGGCGACACCAGGGCTCAGACTGTACCTCACTTAGACCGCTGTACACCATAAATTGCTAGCCACAGTAGCAAAACTCCTCAAGATTATTTCTGGATGAGCATATCTGAGTGTGACTTACTCTCACATGGCCCTTAATCTGACCCCGCCTTAGTTTTTTACATTTTCCCATGAGCATGTGGGTGGATATGTGAAAAATGTCCAGAGCTTAATGCAGCCCGACTTGAATTCTTATGATGCCATACTAACTAAAAGTGTGCTGCTCCCTCTTTTCAGGGCAAAAACAAGGGGAAACATTTACCATAAAGGAAATCCACCCCATAAAAATGACTGTACTGATTCTAACCTCCGCCCTCTTCGAGAGACAGATGTCAAAACTTTCAACAGGGCGGTGAACGGCACAAGGGTACAGTCTGAACCTGAAACGTCGCTCCTCCACCAGGTGCCAGCTGGTTTTGCAGGAGAAAACCACTGCAGCACCGCAAAGGCAAAAAACCAATCAATCACAGCCTGTCTCACCTGCACCTCCCTCTCCTCTTTTCTCTCTCTTTCCACTCTTTATTTCTCCCCTCACCATTTCACCACCCAATCACTCCCCTCCCACACACCTCCCTCTGCTTCTCTCTCTTTCTCTATCTTTTTTTTGTGTCTGTCTCGGGCCATAGGGCTCTTGTTCATGGCTAGCCCGATTGAAGATGAAGATGAAATGCTGTACAAAACTCTGGAGCCCTCCAGCCGGCCCACACCCTTTGAGGATGTAGCTCATAATAGCTACTTAGGTTTGTAGGCGTGAGGTGTTTTTGTTTGGACCGGACTGGGCTTGTAGTGGAAGTAGTCCTCCCCTCTTATCCGTCTCCGTCTTAATTCTTTCTGCTAATTCCGACTCGTGTCTATGTTTGAGGATATCTAGTGTGTTATCTTTGTACGTCCTGGGATTTGGCGCCTCAGCTGCTACAAAGAGACAGCTATCAAATCTTTATTTAACTATTTTTTTATTTTATTTTGTAAGATTTTATATCTATATACACTTTTAAAATGTTCTCTTACTTTGATTTGATTTGGAAAAGTGAAATAGATGGTTGTCTCTGAGCAGCAGCGGGGTGTTTGTCTGTCCTGTCTGTAGATATCCATCGTCTGTAGTGTGTCAGGTCAGTTTGCATGTTTGTGTGTGAGTACGAGGCTTTCCAGGTGGTGGTGGTTTTCTGGTCGATTGTTTGATAGTGTTTCTACACTAACTAGACGGTTTGACTAACAAAAACAAAGAGTTTTCTTTTAGCTGAATGGTAATACTCGCATTTTTCATGATGTTTACCGCCATTGTAGTTTAAGCTGTAGCACGCTAACATTTGTTTATTAGCAATTAACACAATTTACAGCTGAGGTTGATGTGAATGTTAGAATTTCCTCTGCTATAGAGTTACAAGTAAAAGAAGAGAAGGAGAACAACTTGGAGCGTGGTGTTAGGAAGTAATTGACCGTGCTAGATCATAGACTGTATATACAGTGGACAACTTGGTTCCGCCTTCAGCCGGTATACAGATTAGAAGCCGAAAAGCTCTCAGTATTTCTGGGTTTTTTCTCCACTTCCTGAAACCAACATTGTGCAGTAGCGCTGTACGCATTAGGCGGGAAAGTCACCAAGAGTTGCTGTGATGACGCTCTACTCAAACAGCGTATCCCCCCTGGGTGAGCTATGCAATCTTCATACAAACACGAACCCCTAATAACTTTTAAAAATGGAGCTGTACGGAAAAAGAGGATTTGAGCACAAACCGGTCTTACAATAACTACATGTCAACATCACAACCAGGGGGGAGAGAAATTTATATTCTGTGTGATTAATTTCTAAAGTTTGTCCAAAGCTCCATAGGGATTCCTGGAGGAGGCGGGATTTATGACCTATACTGCAGCCAGTCACCAGAGGGTGCTGTTCTCGGGGTGGCTTCACCCAGCGAGGAGGCAAATGGCGTCCATTCTATATACAGTCAATGTGCTAGATCAAAAGTTGAAAAGTAAACAAAGATGACTGGGTCCATCCTGCAGAGATTGTGAATAACCTCATAAATTTTCAGGGTCAACCATGAAAAAGTTGTTTGATCTAAAATCAGAGTTTAAGAGCTGAGTTAAGTGGAGTTTTAGAGAAAAATATCAGAGATTTAACTGCCACTAGGACAAGGATTCATCCTCTGGGAACCATGAATATCTGAACCAAACTGTGGTTCAATCCATCTGGGAGATACGGTGCGAGATTCAAGTCTGGGATCCCCAAAAGCTAATCAGATTTATCCTCTGGAGACCACTGAACAGATGTTGAGATGTTTATATTGTGTGGATTTTAGCTTGTATTCCCAGGATGCTCTGCTATAGCGTTTTTTTAGCCGTATATACGACAGCTCCTGTTTGACTCCAGTTATTACTGTTCTTCAAGTGTGAGGATCTGCCATCAATCTCTTTACTCGCATACCTCCAAGCCTGCCTACCCTGCTGCTCTCTGCATTGAGCCGTCTCCTTGACAACACTAATTCCCACATGACCTTTTAGCCTTCATTTATTACTCACATGCTTCCATTGATCCTAACCCAATGATACGGCACACCTTTGCATGCTGACTAAAATCAGAGAGACAGTGTTGAAGCTATTCCTCCTTATGTTTGTGAAAATATAAGGAAATCCAACGGTTTCCTATGGTTAAACCACATCTTAAGAATAAGTGTCTTGCTGTTAAGAGAGCTGAATCAAGCCAGGTTTGTCAAGGCCATATCGAGGTGCAACAGCAGTTTAAAAGGCTGTTTAGGTTGTAATTTATTCGAACAAAGAAAAGGAAAAACAATTTTTAAATTTTTCTGCTTGTTTCAGGACAAAACTGTTTTTTTTCCATCGCATTACTCAGAGCAGGCAACCAAATTGGATGAAACAAACACAAAGGAAGGAGAGCACCTCTTATTAAAGACTCAAAAGTGTATAATTAATAAAAAAATAACTATGTTCATTAAATATGTACAATATTAGGGTACTCTAAAGTCACAGTTGAAAGGCCAAAGCAGTAGTAATGAGGACAGATGCTGCTTCAAGCTTTTATTTTCCTTTTAATTTTACAGACACGACCTTGTAGCGAGGCTGCCCGTTAAAAGCCACCCTTTGTGGAAAAAGTAGCACCTTTGTCTCCGTCCGTCAGCTTTTACAGGAGCTGCCTCGCAGACTGTTGCATTCCACACCTGCCACCCTGGAGCTGCTCACTGTTTGTCTCCATTATGTCCCCTAAACACCCCCTCCACCCTCCCCTCCTGCATGTTTACTCAGGGCTAAAAAATAACCCCCCCATCCCACTCAGCCTGACTCCACTTCACGTCCTGATAGATCCTCCTCCCTTTTTCGCACCCTCTGCATGGTTTTTAGCTGCTGAAGCAAGAGCATGCGGTTGCTTCTGTCCAGGTTGAAATGTTGGATATGATATGAGATTTCTCGCACTCCCATTTTGAGCGTTTTAGCACACTCTTGTTATGAAGCAAACACTCACAGATACACAGGCATAAACACACCCTGCCCCCCTCTACTTGTCCATTCCTTTTCTTTACCTGATTTATATGCATCCTCACATTCCTACACACACACACACACTCAGGATATAAATCTGATTAACGTCCACCCACTATGTTTATATTCAGCCTTCACTTGAGGCAGCCGATACAAAGCAGCAGCATCATGAATCTCATGAGACATTAGGAGAAGCCCCCGTTCATCTCCCCCCCTGTTAACATCACGGCCAACATATTTTTGCTCTGACCACTGGAAACAACCATCCCATGACAGCAAACACAGCACATAGGACATTTGCACCCATCATGAGTTTGGCATTAAATCAATAGTCACTTAAGGCACACATTTCATTAGTAGGAAGATGAGCAGACTTTGCTACACTGAGAGGAGATGAGCTCCCGAGCTCCATGGTCAATACTAACCCCTGACCCTCTCCCTCTGTCCTGCCTTCCGCCTCCTCTCTCTCTCTCATTTTGTCCTCCCAGGGTTTTCTGTGGACTCCGCCATGGGGATAATGAGCCTCGGGGAGCTGACCTTTGTTGCGGGTGCACCTCGGGCCAATCACACAGGGGCGGTGGTGCTGCTGAGGAAGGATAATGTGTATCGGCTGGTGCCGCAGCACATCTTCTGGGGGGAGGAGCTGGCGTCTTCATTCGGATACTCAGTGGCTACGACAGATCTGAACAATGATGGGTGAGGGAATACTCAGGGAGAAGATAAAACTAGGTGGTGACTTAAAGGGATATTCCGGTGTGAAATAAATTTAGGGTCAAACACACCATAACACTGAGTTAGACACCCCCTCGAGAGATGAATGTTGCGGACCGCTTGCTTCAATCAAAACGCCACTCTATAGCACCTAACTGCATCAACAGTACATATAGGGTCCTAGCCACAGTACTAGCCATCAATCATCTTTTTTACTTTGCCTAATTTCTTTAGCAAAGAGTCTAAACACAACTCACCTACTCTCTTCCAGCAGCCGGTGTCTAACTCGGTGTCTAACTTGGTGTCACTATGTGTTTGACCCTGAATTAATTTTGCCCCTCAAAGCTCCTGTGAGGAGTTTTTAAAGGGTGAAAGAAACAATTTTTACTTGTAAACTATAGTGAAATAAAAGTTCCAAAAATTTTAACTGAAGATATGAAAAAAGAAATTCAGCATGTCAACTTAGAGCACCTCAAAATTTCTAGAAGAAGAACTTTACTGATCCCTGAGGGGGAAATACAGAGATATTTGGTACTTACCAGCTTCATGCTATGAGAAGCAGGGAGGAAAAGGGAGCTGGTTTTTACAGTAAAACCCAAGGGTTGGGAATTACCAGTGGCCCCACAATATATTATCACGATATTTGGGCCACAATACGATTTTATGGCGATTTATACACTTTTTTCAACTGTTTAGCTAATTTAGCATTTGTCTTTCCTTTATATTTGTCTTATTTACATTGTATTTTATTTTCATGTATTATTGAATTTATTTTCAAGCACATCTTGCAAACCTTATATACTGTATATTTGTTGCACCAACTTTCTCCTGCTCTAAGATGTCACCTCTGCCAACCTTACTGGACAAACAGTTGATTTTATTTTTACCATTATCATAGATTTGACCTCATATCAACAATTAGTTTTAAAAAAATTAATACTCGGTAAATGTGACAATACAATATATCACCTGACAAAATATTGCGATACTATGCTGTATCGATTTTTTCTCTCACTGTTATAAAACACAGAAATCACTGTTCCCTCTAATTCCATGTAGCTTCTGTGTGTTTTTGTTCATTATTGAGTCGCGTGTCTCTGTCCATCTTCAGCTGGACTGATCTGATCGTCGGAGCTCCGAATTTCTTTGACCGTAAAGCAGAAATCGGCGGAGCTGTGTACGTGTACCTGAACCCCTTCGGTCACTGGGACGATCAGGCTCGGCCGATCCGTCTCAACGGGACCTACGACTCCATGTTTGGAATGACAGTCAGCAACATTGGAGATCTGGACCAGGATGGATACGGAGGTTAGAGCCAGGGTTTCTGCTCAGTGCTCGCTTAGATGCAGTCTTACTCACATCACCTTAAAACAGAAATGCACAGACTGTGTTATCTCATATAACATAATTAAGGTTATAATAGTTTGAACTGAGCAAAAAATTGACTTTAGGTTTCGAAGAGACACTTGATAACCAGTAGTAGCATGTCTCTGGTATGCCTCCATCTCTGGATGTTTCTATTTTAGACGGAAACTATGACGCTTTTGGAAGTGAAGGGGTTTAGCTCAGTCTCCTTATTTGGTGAAAGCTAAATTCTTACGGGCAAACTTCCAGTTCCCACAAAGACTGAACAATTGAAAGTATGTTTTTAATATGCATTTTTCATCATGTGTTAAGACATCGCTGTGGGAGCACCATTTGACGGAGACGGCAAAGTTTTCATCTACAGAGGATCAGACGCTGGAATAGAGACAAAGCCTGCTCAGGTGAGTCACAAGGAAGGGAAGAGGAAAGGAGAAAAAAAGAAAAAAGGAAAGTCACAAAGTCGCCTGATGATATGTTGATTTTTGTTTCTTCAGGTGTTGGATGGCAAAGAATTTGACGTGAGACAGTTTGGATACTCAATCTCAGGGGGTTTGGATATTGATAATAATCAATACCCAGATCTTGCTGTGGGATCTCTCAACAACTCGGTGGTTCTCTTCAGGTAAGACAGGAACAGGGTGAACACGGTTCTATGGTGTTTGGAAGAGTAAAATACTGTGTTATGTGTTGTTTACAACTAGTATAACTAACCACTAGCAACAGCTGACAACTGCTAACAACTAACAATGGCTGACTGTCAGCGTCCATCTTGGTTTTCTGACTTGTTCACTGGAAGAGGTATATTTTTTTATTTGTAGGACAGTAGGGGAAAGTCTCACCTCCTTCGCCTCTGATTGGCTAGAAAAGCTGGAAACGTCATCAAACGCTCAAGCCAAACGCGGGCTGTCGGCTCTGTACATCGAACAGAACATTACGGAACATTATCGCACTTCTGAATCTCCTAATCCTAACCTTAACCTGACAAACGATGATGTTTCACAGCCAATAGGAATAACCAATCGGAGCCCAGCACTTCTAGCCAATCAGAGGCGAGGAGGGCGGGACCTTCCCCTACCGTCCTCTAAAAAAAAATATTGCATACCGGAACACGGTCAATTTAGGTGTAATGTCATTCCTAGCTCCAATAGCCGACTTCTGGGGTAACTGGAACGCAGCATTACCCATACAAAGACTGTAGCACCGTGTTCACAGTCAGACGTTAGGCAGTACAACATAAACCACTTATTATAAAACAGAAGTGCTAATAAATAATATATTACGAGAGCTTTCACTGTTACTCTTTACTGCTGATGCACTGCGCTGCCATCTTGGATTATGACGTTGACGTCAAATCGGGGTTGACTTTCCGAGTCTGACTTGAGGGGGCGTTCCAGATGAATTTCCGACTGGGAGCTTAGAAATCCCGACTTCCAAGTACAACTTGAACGCAGCATAAGACAAATGAGTCACTTTTTGTATAACACCTTAAAGGCCAAACTATTAAATCTCTGTAACTTCATATTTTACTGCCAGTAAATTCCAAAACTAAGGAGGGATTAAAGAGTATTAAAAAGGAGTGATAGATTAAACCTGCTCTTACATCTCTGTCTGTCTTTGTGTCTTAAAGGTCCCATCCAGTCATTCATGTGATCAGAGAAGTATCTATTGAACCCCAACTGATTGACCTGGAGCAGCGTAACTGTGAGGGCAGAGATGGAGTCTGGTGAGAGCCGATGATGTGATAAACAGAATAACAGAAAACAGCAGCTGCAAACGTCTTTTACTCCGTGTGTGTGTTTCTTTTTTTCTTCTGAGTTGTGAAAACCCTAACACAGATTATTCCTTTCACTCTCCACCATCTGCCTTTTTTAGCATGGAGGTCAAGGCCTGCTTCACCTTCACAGCCCACCCACCAGACTACTCTCCACACATCAGTAAGTCACAACCTGTTCTCATGAGGGATACGAGGAGTCGATTCTATTTACAGAGGAGAGCAACCTTATCTGTGTGGAAACTTCAGGACTTTATTTTGATTAAATCACAGCTGTGAAATACTGTACTCCTGCAGATGGATGTTTCATATACGCTCAGCCCCTGGTGAGCTCTTTAGGAGCTCTCTGTGTGTGTGTGTGTGTGTCCTGACATTTCAGTTAGTCTTCGTCTCTTCATGCATCTCGCCTGTTTTTCTCCTCTCAAGCTCTGGAGGTTCACTTTGAAGCTGACACCAAGCGCAGGAAATTGGGCCTCCCGCACCGCGTTACCTTCCTGGGTCGCAGCTCTCTGCATCCCGAGTACACTCAGACAGAGGAGTTGGAGATACACCGGTATCGGCCTGCGTGCACCTCTGCTGTCTTCCAAGTGCATGTCAGTAATGCAGAATTACCCAGTGTAGTTTCTTTTTGAGAATTTAACACACCTTCTGTTACCATTTTCAAAGATTTTAAAAACTGTAATTTGATGGCAGGTGTTTTACTTGACCTTTGAATCACCAAATTTATGAAAAATACGCAGCATAATTGAGCTGCATGCACTTTTGCAAAAGCAGTTTTATTTCCTAAAAGCTTTTTAACAAGTATAAATCCAAATGCTGCCAAAAAAACAAACAAAATTTACACTCTAACCAGACTTTCTGGATGTTCACTAACCTTTTTATAATGCAGGAGAACATCCGTGACAAACTGCGACCCATCTCACTGGCGATAACTCACACCATCAAACCCATGCGGCCGCCCAGACCTCCAGCCAACGGGCTGGAGAAGCTGGCGCCTGTCCTGAATGTTTCTCCCTCCAACACACTGCACTCTGAGGTCTGTGACAACAAGGAAGTATTTTATGGTTGGGATTTAATCTCATGGACTAGACGTGCCTGCAGATCACTGTTTAACAAGTCAGACCCAATTAGTCACTTCATATCAAAAGCAGAAATTCAAGATTTGTAAAGAAAAAAACGAACTCGCCTTGAATTAAAACACAGAAAGAAGTTTTAAATTCTGTTACTAACAAAGTGGGTTTTTCATTTTACATCAGCTCAGCTCAGATCAACAGAAAAGATAACATGTGAAGGACTGGTCGCTGTCGTGTTTTTGAACCAGTATCTTTTCCTGTAGTCTTTCCTGGTACATCCTCTCGCTATCTTATGTAAACATTGATCCGCTGCAGTCACAGTTTGTCCCCCTTGTATCCAGAAAAGACATTTTTTATGAACTCTGTTGTTAAAAAGTGTAACATTATTATTCTGTAAGTTATTTCCTTGAAGGTAACATGTCAGTTGTATTTAAATGTAAATTGGTTACAATCCATCATTACTGTTGGCACATTTTGTTTAACCCTTGGAGGTAGAGTTAGCATGTGCTTTAAAGTTTATATACAGACTTCCTGTCCGTCTCATTTTCCCTCTGAAGGTGAACTTCCTGCGGGAAGGATGCGGGGTCGACAAAATCTGCCAGAGCAACCTGAAGCTGAGCTACCAGTTTGGAACAAGACCCGTGACCTCTAACCTCTTCAAACCCCTGCCAAAGTTAGTATCTGTGGAGCTGTTGACTTCTATGATCCGAACTATTGCCCCTGCAACCTACAGAACACTCAAACTCAAACTCAAACTATTACAGATGAAGTTCTGTGTGTGCAGCGGTAATTTTGTGAGCATTTGCAGGGAAAAAATAACGCCTGATTTGAGTTTTGCTTTCAATCACACACCTGATCCTTACTTTCATATTCAATGTTTCTTTTGGTACCTGGTAGAAGTAAGCTTAAGTTTTGCAAATGGATACTAACGTTGTTACCTTGAGTTGGGTTCCTCTGATTAATAAAGAAGTTCAGTGTTTGGATGAAGTAAAAATCAGAAAGTAAAGCAACAGTGTGCTGGTTGCCTTTTGTTACACATCAAACCTCGCTCCTTCTTCCTTGTCTCTTACTATATCCCTCATCCCGTTACTTGATAAACGCATGAATAAGCCCACAAAAGTCTTCTTGGGCTTTTTGCCATTATTTTGGAAAGAGTACAGAATAGATTAGGGAATAGGGAGCGAGAGAGAAAGCAGGAAGTGACATGTGGGAAAGGAACTGTAGGCTAGAATCCAACCTGGCCCACTTGAGGATTATATATGTTTATAGGACTTCTGCTTGGCACGCTGATCCAGCAGCATTCTTAGAGATCATAATTTTATCCATAATAATTCAGAGAATCAATCTTAACCTACAAAGTGACTCAAAAGGTGCTGTTGGTGTTGTTGAGAGTGAAATGGAACATCTTTTTGCTGATTTGATACAGAAATTTGCAGAAAATTGAAAGTGTTCGCTCTCCAGAATTTTACTAAAAAGGTCAAAAAAAAAAGAAAAAAATAGTCCCTTTCTTGAGTAAACTTACAGATTAACAAGCGACTTTTAACATTTTAAGATTTTATCAAAACCAGTGCAACAATTTCTCTGAGTATTTTCTTGACAACCGTCTGTGTTTGTATTTCTCTGCTCTCTTCAGAGACGAGGATGGCGTGCAGGTGTTTTCCCTGTCGGATCAGCGACTGGTGGTGCTGGAGATCACCGTCACCAACATGCCCTCTGACCCCCTTTACCCCGAGGAGGACGGAGACGACGCCCACGCCGCTCAGCTGGTCATCACCCTTCCTGACACTCTGTCGTATGCCGGCTCCAGGATCCCACCACAGGTACGAACTCTGAGAGGAAAAATGTCTCAAATTAGTCGTAATTGTATCACATATCGGACATATTGACATTTTTCTCATCCTGACTGACTGTAGATGAGGTGTCAAGCAAACCAGAATGGCTCCCAAGTCGAGTGTGACCTGGGAAACCCAATGAAACGAGATGCTAAGGTAAGAAAACAGAACAACTCAGCACTCTCATCGTTTAAGGATCTGTGCTCTTTCAATATTCCTCAGGAAATAAACGATCATGTTGCTCTTTCAGCTGAAGTTCTCCATCAACCTGAGCACGTCGAGCATCACTATTGAGACCACTGAGCTGACAGCAGATCTCTCATTGTCAACGTAATTGAGCTTTCCTTAGACGTCAAGTTTTATTAAATGTCACATATGTTACATGTCAGGTCTTCAGTAATCGTCTCACTGTTCATGATTTTGTCTTCAGTATCAGTGAGCAGCCTGACCTGGAACCAGTTACAGCTTTTGCTAAAGTTGTGATAGAGCTCCCTCTGTCTGTCAGCGGGTGAGTTACACTTCTTAAATATGCCATGTTTGTCTATCTTTGTATTTTTGTCTTTCTTAGTGTGTTTTATCCATGTCTTCTTTAAGTTGGACTACTCAAGTATTAAAATGATGTCAGTTATGTAAATTATGTGCAGTGTATGGCTTGGAAAAGCTGATGAATTTTTAGATTAAATTAATTGTGAATAACAGCTTAACATTATCAAGGATAAAAACAAAAAGTTCAAGTGAGAAAAAAAGTTATACTGTTTCTTATTTGAGGACTTCTGTGTGTTAGGTTGTGTAAGACTTTCTCACTGCTGTAATAAATCAGGCATGTACGCCACTGAAGCAGGTATTTCTCCAAACTAGATGTGGAAAAAACCATAGACTGTATATAGAATGAATACCGTCTGCCTCCTTGCTGGGTGAAGCCACTGCGAGAACAGCACTTTCTGGTGACGGGCTGCAGTATAGGTCATAAATCCTCCAGCAATCCCTATGGAGTTGTGGACAAACTTTAAAAATTAATTACACGGAATATAAATGTTTCTCCCCCCTGGTTGTGATGTTGACATGTAGTTACTGTCAGTCCTCTTTTTTCTGTACAACTCCATATTTAAAAGTTATAAGGGGGTTCATGTTTTCTATGATTGACACTTGATACAGCCTATGGACGTACAAAGATTGCGTAGCTCACCCGGGACACGCTGTTTGAGCCGAACATCCTCACAGCGACTCTTGGCTAAGGTGACCAGATTTCTGTAATGAAGTTCGGGGACATCCAGAGCGGGTGGGGGGGCATGGGCTGCGTGATCACAGATAACATCTCGGTACAACTCAGTAGCAGCGCACGCCCACCATAATAACCCCCTGTAAAAACTGTTGATCAGGACTGCGCGCAACATGCTTACCCGTGCTTCCTACGCGCAACATTTTTGTTCTCATTCATGAAACGCTTAAATCAGGAACATTTCCGTGGGCCAAGTTAGCCGGGGATAGGTCATCCAATATGGGGACTGTTCCTTGAAAGTAAGAGGATGTCTGTTCACCTTACTCTTGGCGACTCTCCCGCTGAATGCGTACAACGCTACTGCGCAATGTTGGTTTCAGGAAGTGGAGAAAAAACCTGGAATTTCTGAGAGGGCTTCAAATCCGTATACTGGTGGAAGGCGGAACCAAGTTGTCCATAGCATATAAAGTCTATGGGAAAAACACATGTTATTATCTGTTATAACATTAATTAGATGCTGTAAAGACACATCAGTTGCATTGCTAATGCTAATAATAAAGTTAAAGACATATACAACATGTACCCGGTCGGTCACCCAAGACTGCCGATGTTATTCTTGTGAATGTCTGTCTTGGTCCAGATTCAGTTACAGATATTCTGGGGGTTGTTAAAGTAACGTAGGTTAAATATAGACCATGGTGTCTCTGTACATCTATATGAGACACCTGCTTTAACCCCAGATTTGCTTGCGGCTGCCACTGATCCTCATAAAAAGCTGTCTGATCCATTAATGTTCCTGTTTCTCTCCTGCAGGCTGGCTCGTCCTCACCAGCTGTTCTTCAGCGGGACGGTGAAGGGAGAGAGCGCCATGGTGACTCTGGATGACGTGGGCAGCCCTGTGGACTTTGAGTTTGTGGTGAGGAACCAGTCTCTCAACCACTTATATGATTTTCCTGAATTTCACATTATTTATCCAAGGAAGAAGATCAGCCAATCACGGTTTCTTCTCATGTGTGTTTTTGCCCGTCAGGTTGCCAATCCAGGGCAGGCTCTGCAGACGCTCGGCTCAGCTTTTCTAAACATCATGTGGCCTTATGAGCTGTCCAATGAAAAATGGCTCCTGTATCCGGCTAGCTTGAAGTTTGAAGGTCATCCAGACACGCACTGCACCTCTATAGGTGCACTGAATCCTTTGAGTTTGGAGTGGAACTCCTCAGCTGATCCCGCGGTAAGCAGAGAAAAGCTGATGCACTGTGTGACTCGGGACGGGAATTTTGTTTTAATATCATTATTGGCAACCGAACACATTTTTGAGATCTGCTCAGTCTGCATGGACTTTTATGGAGGAGTCGATAGTTCTTTTCATTTCCTCGGGGGGCTCTTGAACTTGGCAGCCACGATAGGAGTCTGTTATATTCTTTTAAGGTGAAGAAACACAGCTGGAGAATTTCCTCTTCCTTCCCTTTTGCCTTTTGATTAAATGTCTCAGGATAACCTACTTTCACTTGTTTTGGTGAAGCTTTAAATTAAATGGAAAGGAAGAGATGATAGAGGATTTTTCAGCCCTTCATACATGATATGAACATTGACTCAAACATTAGCTGCTTCGTCTTTACATTAGGATATGAGGTCCACATGATACCTGAATACTTTCATCATCTTTCTTTGTCTCTTATTGAAGATTGCTCTGACCTTGCATGTATAATTGTGTCTCTTTCATCAGGTTGGGCGAAGGCGGCGCTCCCACCCAGAGGAGGAAGGTCAAGTGAAGACCAAAGGCAGCGTGAGACGAACCACCCCGGCCGTGGCAGCTTCAGAGAGACGAAAGTCACTCAGACTGGTGAGTGGGAGACAGACTGAGACATGGGGAGAGAAGAAGAGGCAAATGAATGCAAATCTATGTTATGCTGATTTTCCTCGATGCAGGTTTTATCAATTTTCTTCATTTATCCCTTCAAAGCTGCTTATATTCGTCTCTTGCTCGTCCCTAAAAGAGTCCCAGAGAGCTCAGTTTTCTGTTTTTTACCTCTAGGATTGTCTTCTGGGGTCGGCCCGCTGTGTCGTGTTTCAGTGTCCACTTCACAGCTTCTCCGGTCAGGCCATCCTCAAGATCCACGCCCGCCTCTGGAACAGCAGCTTCATAGAGGTGAAAAAAAATAAATAAAAAAAATCATCCTGCAATCATTACATCAGTACCAACATGATCATCCACCCTCCTCATCTCAGCCCTCTCCAGCTGTTCCAGCTGCTGCTGGTGCTCACACTGATCTAATGCAAGTCAATGAATAATGACTGCTGCAGCAAGTGCAGGAACAGAATGATTAATGAGGGATGTGTGAAGGCTTTGAAGTTCAGGCAGTCAGCAAACTGCGAATACAGCTGTCAGCTTTGACCACTGAATCGCCTGCAGCTAAAAGTTTAATATTCAGCTGGAGACCCAAGAGGAACAAGAAGTATTACAGCTAACATGATGTTTACTTCCCCTACGAACACCCAACTTCATATTTTTGAGATTCAGCTTTCTATCTTGGAGTTCGACTCATCGACACATGAATTATGAGCGGAACAAAACTGACTTTGAATCACTTAATTTTGTTATTTGGCATTTGTCTTATAATCATAGTTGAAGCATCCCCACTATTAAAACAGTTTGTTATAATTGAACATTTTTGACTAAATTACAAGGACATTAATAATAATGATAATAATAATAATAATAATAATACATTTTATTTATAAGCGCCTTTCTGAACACTCAAGGACACTTTACAGAGTAAGAGCAGCAACATAAAACAGCAAGATAAGAGCAATAGAGAAAATAAAATAAAAATTATATTAATAAAACAAAAAAAAAATAAAAATAAAATAAAACAAAGTAAAAGAAAGTGAAAAAAATTGTGCAGATTTTATATCCCTATAATAAAATTAAAGTAAATTAAATTAAAAATATATAAATAGAACAAACAAAAAATAAAATAAAATTGAAAAAAAAAAATTAAGTGATTTTATATGCCTATAAATAAAACTTACTGAATGTGAACAAATGAATTCGATTTGGTAGAGGACGAGATTCCAAAAAGAAGGTAAAAATTGGTGTCTTTTTCCGATACAATAGACACACCTGTTTGGAACGCACACTTAATCAATAAATAGTCCTGTGTCTTATGAGGTCTTTTGACATGGTGCACAATAACTGGCATAAAAAGGGGTGATGCATGTTAAATGTTTAAAAATTATTATTTAATGAACACTTATCTGCATGTCCAATTTGGCACAAAGTAGGCTGAATGGAGCTAAAATATGAAAAATTGCCACTACAAAAAAAAAAAATTAAATACACCAAAATCGATTTTATGACTTATCATTGACATGGGCCATACTTTTTAAAAATAACAGTGACATGGTGCACAATAATTATCCTAATAAGGGTGGAGCATCAAATTTTTTATTGGTCAGGGTTGAAGTTGTTTAAGAGATATGAGTCAAAAAAGCTAAAATAAAATGTTTAAAAATTATTATTTTATGAACACTTATCTGCATGTCTGTTTTGGGGACAAAGTAGGCTGGATGGAGTTTAAAATTAACAGAAACCAAGGGTTAACAAATGAATGGACAAGATTACACTTTAAACAACAGTGAGGGAACTTATCAGCTTCTGGATATCAATCTCTTTTGTGTGTCTCTGCTCGTCAGGAGTATTCATCTGTCAGTGCTCTGGAGCTGCTGGTCAGAGCCAACATCACTGTCAAGTCCAGCATCAAACACCTGGTCCTCAAGGATGCTGCTGCACAGGTACAGGGCTACCTTACATTTCAAGAACATGCATTTTTGATACTTTGCATCAAGATTTGTCCCCTGGATGACTGCTTTTGTACTTAGGTGATGGTTTAAAAAGGATTTATTCCCCTCTACGATGTGAGACTAAAAGCTCCTGGAAGAACTTTTTAGGTGGTTATGAAGCAGACTGTATTTAAAACTGATGTTCCCGTATGAGCTACAAAAGCAAACCAGTCCAGAAACACTTGGACTTTTACATTTACAAGGACGAGATCAGCAGATAGAAAAGTTCTGCTCTGTCCAAAGAAAGCCCCAAAATCAGCGTCAACCACAAGTTCCTCACAGTCATTTTGAGTGACGCCTGATTTAGTCAAAGATAATCTTGATGTTAACCTCCAGCAGTGATACATATCATCCTTTTGTGATATTTTTCCATCCTAATTGTATCCCTCTCCATCTCTTCCTCTCCAGGTTCCACTGATGATCTATCCTGAACCTGGTCTCACAGATCAGTACTGGATCCCCTGGTGGATCATCCTCATAGCTGTTCTTGCAGGCATCTTTCTGCTGACTCTATTAGTCTGCATACTGTGGAAGGTAAAACACACACACACACACACACACACACACACACACACACACACACACACACACACACACACACACACACACACACACACACACAGAGTTGATCTATAACCTTAAAAAACACAAACTCAGTGAAGGCCTCTTGTTCTTCGTTTGATTCCCAAAGAGTAAACATTTGTTTTGATTGTTGTACAGATCTCAGACCAGCCTAAAGGCCTCATAGTCTCATTTCTCATCTCTTTCACCTCACTGACTAATAACACCATCTCATCACTTTCCATAGTCATGCAGTTATTTCTGCTCTATTGTTCTGCTGTGTCCTGAAATCTTTTCTTCCTTCCAGCTCACACTCATCTGTTCCTTTCCTCCTCTGTTTTGTTTGTCCTCTGTGTGTCATCTCTATTGTTCGGCTTCCTCTCAAATCAATCTGGGATCTCTTCACCCCCAAATCCCTTCTCTGTTTCATTTTCCTGTTGTTCCCCCCTCTGGTTTCCTTCCCTCCACTCTCTTTCCTGTGGTGATGTGCGGCTCAGTGCGGGTTCTTCAAACGCAGTGAGCGGCGTCCACACTATGAGACGGAGTACTACCGCGCCCATTTGGGCGTCCAACCCTCGGAGGCGGAGAAGCAGGCATCAGAACTATAATAAAAAGAATATTTCACTCTCTGGCCTGCTCTCCCCTCCTCCTCTCCCTCCAAGCGGTAAACAAACTCTCCAAAAATTGCTTTGTGGTGTGGCTGGTGGTGTGAAATATTAGCACGTTGTGGCACTCTTACTAACAAAACCACTGAGATATTAAAATGAAGCTGTAGATTGACGTGTAAAAGTAAACATCTGTTATTAGCTGTGCTTTAAGCCGTTCTCATTTTGAACCCTCTACTGCGAAATCTTTTGTCTCTATTTAAAGGGATATTCCGACATAAATTTAAGTTACGGTCAAACACACCGTAACACCAAGTTAGACAACCCCTCAAGAGATGAATCTTGCCGAATGCTTCCTTCTCTAGTTAAGTAACGACCGCACGATAGCAATACACAGCTGTCTACATCTCCACACGCAAACCGCAACCAAAAAGCCACTCTATAGCCACAAATAATGCTCAGAACAGCACCTAACTTCATCAACAGTACATATAGGGTCCTAGCCATAGTACTAGCCACAAACATCTTTTTAACTTTGCCCGTTTTTTTTTTAGCAAAGAGACTAAACACAACTCACCCATCCTCTTCCAGCAGCCGTTTGTTTGTGGGGGAGCCCCGATAAGTCGGTCACTGAGTGCAGCGGATCATTTCCTTCAAGTTAGAATCATCATATTAATCATTTTGAACTGCAGATGCGGTAGTTCTTCTGCCTAAGCATCTCGGTCTGATTGCATTTTCATGAAGAAATAATCAAAAATGTTCTTCCTTGAGCTGCGAAACCCCACTGCACTCAGTGATCGACACGTCAGGGCTCCCCCACAAACAAGTCGATGTCATATAGGTATTGCTGGTTTTGGTATAACTAGAGAAGCAAGCGGTCGGCTACATTCATCTCTCGAGGGGGGTGTTATGGTGTGTTTGACCATAATTTAAATTTATGCCAGAATATCCCTTTAAATAAAAACTGCTGATTAAAATTCCCCAGAGTCAAAACTGACCCGTTTTCATGAGTTACCGCTGAACATGCTTTTCAGTTTTTACATAAGAGCGCATTTACAGTGACAGTGTAGGTACTGGTTGGAAAACTAAGTGGACCTGTTTTCAAGGAGGTTAAATATCAAACTAGGAGACATTTGCAGGAGAAACTGACAGATGTCTCGATGAAATTTTCAACCACTGGCCAAATAAACCCATCCAATGCATCATGAGGACATTTATAAATGTGTTTGTAAGGTTTACAGATGCGCTAATAATGCATTATAAGAGGTGTGTTCATATAAAGTGTTCCCATCATTCTTGAATCCTTGTGTGAAAAGACTGTCACCTGTAATGCGTAAATGTGAGGCTAACGTTACGTCTTAGGTGAAAAGTCAGTATCCCAACCAACTGATGATTGAGGATATGTAAATAACGTGTACAGAATGATTTATAATGTGCAGTATAGAGATAGTAAGTCTTAAAATATTAAATATAAAGACGAAAAATGTCCCAGCAAAGTCTTATTTCATCCTTAAACAACCCCAGTTTCCCTTCAGACAACCATGACATATGTCGCCAAAGTCTTTCTGTACTTCACTTATTATTCATCGGTATGTTCCACTTTGTTATACTAAAAGAAAAAGCTTTAGAATGAAAAATAACTGTCTCACTTGGTAGAGTTTAATATATCTTAAATCCTTTTTCACTTAGACTGTTAGATTGTGATCTGTGTATCTGGGATTGTTTTGCACAGTAAGAAAACACTCTACAGCTTATATTGACTTTTTCTACACTTATAACCAAACAAAAAGTACTTTTATGAGGTTGGAGGTTTTACCATTCGCCATGGTTTATACTAAGACTGGTTCAGAGTGCAGGTGGTAAGCTGTTGAGGCAGTTTTTCTAACACTTGCAGGCTTAAGTAGAAAGACTTGAGTATCTCTTACAGAAACAAACAAACAGATAAACTCGACATATGGAGGAGTTAAACAGTTAAAGGACCCCCTGTGCTTGGATTAGGTTGGCTATGACTTTGCATTTAGCCATCAAGCTGTTCTGTTCATGTTATTGAATCATGAATAGTCAAAGTGCACTGTTGTGTTTACATAAAGGCCTTAAAAATGGATCCTTTTATTTGTTATCTCCTCCTTCTTTAAACCCGTGCTGACTGAACACCATCCAGCCATCTCTCCTCCAGGCTGTCAGCCACCTGCCGTGCAGTGTGCTGTGCTGCAGTTGGGGGTTTCTCTTTGATTTGCTCCGCTCGTTCATTCTGGCATCGCTCTATGTGCCTGTCATGCACTCTTCAGTCCATTAACGATCCTATTTTCCCTATAACCTGTGACTAAATGACTTTTTTTAAGGTGCCAGAATAAACGTATCATTAATGTCAGTGGATGTTTTTTTTAATAATGTGTTTTTTTCTTAAAGATGCTTTGGCAGTGTGTTGGTTTGGTATTAAAGGACACTAAAGACTGATGCTGAATTAGAAATGAAGAGCATGTGAATGTGCTTTTAACCTTCCTCCTGTGTTAGCTTTTACTACGGGTCGGTTTGGACCTGTGTCTTAAATCAGCTGCAAATTACTCTAAAAACAATTCTCTATAATCCAATTTGGTTCTCATCTCTAGGTTACCTTGTTAGGATTCATTATCCATGAAAATATTGCTAATAATATACTCTTTTGTGAGCCTCTAGGCCTTTCTTTGTCAGTATACTCCTCACACAGACATCTATACTGAATTGATCTCACATGTCTGGACATGCCCGATGTTCCCACTGAGCATTTTTTGGTCTAAAAGAGGTCTAATAGACGTCTAAATGTAGCCTAGACAACTGGTCTAAAATCAGGCTATCACAGGTCTAAAAATGAAAGGTTTTTAGATGTCCAGATTTTAGACTAAATCTAGATCTGGGCTATATCTATACTACACTGTATATTGTTCAACGGCTATCATAATTATTTTGATTAAGTACTTGGAGATCAGTTATTCAACTCACATTTGCTTTTGAAATAAATAGTTATCGAATAATGGGCTAAAGTGCAACGTCTAGATTCTGTCTAAAAATATACAGAATCTAGACGGTTGAAATTAGGTCTAAAAAAACTTGATGTCTTATAGCCGTCTGTTGCTCAGTGGGTTGTTTTTCATGCAGGGAAAAACATGGCAAAATGAGAATTTCCTAAATCTCACATGTTTGGAAGAGGTACTGTCAGTGTGGTGCCTGACAGTGCACTTATGATTTAATATTTAGATATTTATCTAACTGAGTCAACAGCGACCCCTAACACGGCAAGTGCCATAATTTTAATAGGAGCATTTTATAATTTAGTTAATTTAATTTTTATATTGTTTAAATAGAGGTTCCTGACACAGTCAAAAAGTCTCGATGCAAAAAAGCTCATTTATGTGGTGACTTTAAGCACCAGCAACAAGAATGGGTCGGTGCAGACCCAAACACAGGAGGAGGGATAAATTAAAGTCACCTAGACTGAATGTGGTCTTTAAATAACCCCTTCTGTAACAGAAGCATTGCTCTGAGGGAGTAAATGAGAGTTAAATATCTCATTCCAGGCATGATAATGGAAACTCTTATCTATTAAAATGAGTGCAAATGAGAGGGGCTACTTACATTCTCTTTCATATACACTGAATACCATCAGTTATAGTGTCTCCTTTCTCTCTCCATCTACTCTCCGACAGTGTGGCTTCTTCCAGCGGGCCCACTACAAAGACAAATTGCCTCAGCACCACGCGGTGAAGATTCCTCGCCAGGACCGGCCACAGTTCCAGACTGAGAAGTCGGGAGTCATCCACAAAAAGGAATGGGCCACACACTGGAGCGACGGGACCTCTTAACTCCCTTTGATGCACTGACTGACTGAATCAATTCAAGTAACCATGTGCGGCCCTCATTCTGTCTTTGTATCAGGACTATAAAAAAAGGTGCACACAGACTGAGATCATGACATTTTGTGCACATTGTACTGAGTCAGCGTGACATATTGGCAGCCTGGATCTTCAAGTTCCTATACGGTGGCCTCCCAACAGCTGGCCTGGGATTGTCTGTTCATATTTTGCATCTAGATGAGTGTTTCACAGTAAATACAGAAGGCCAGCAAAAATATTAGAACCAGTTCAGCTGCTATGTGTGTTTAACGGCCAGCAGAGAGAGCACTGAAGCCCTCTGGGAAAAAAGGAAGAAAAAAAATCACAACTCAGAGACATGCATGGATGCACAAACATACAGATTAATGTAACACGCATACATACACACTGGACTGTGTTGGTGAAGAAGCCACTGCCCTTTACAAAGACTACTTTTTGCCTTAACTACTGCAGGACTGACAGCTTCGAAGGGCAAAGAAAAGAAGCATTTTTTTATATTGGAGATTTCCTTTAATAGTTAGCACTGATAGACACTGGGAAACTGTATGTAAGATATTGGTGAAGTAAAATGTTGCAAAAAACTGAATGTGCTTTTGTGTGGGCGCGCTGGTTGCTCTTCAGGAGGCTGTTGTTTAAGTTCACCTGAAGGTTTTTTTTTTTTACGTTTCCTGATATAGAGAAACGTTTGTTGTGTCTAACTTTCTTTTCAGTTTTGTCAAACTGTACTGTACAACAACAGTTTATGACCTGGGTGAACTTGAATAAGAACGAGAAAACCATGTCGCAGCCTGTTTCAGACGTGGCCACAGCACCGTTGTTGTTGCATGGAAACCAAAATATGTCATGAGAGCAAAGCGGTATTTAGAATATCATCTGCCTTACAGTTTAAGCATTTACACCTACGAACCAAACATTGATTCTTTGAATCGATATCCTCGCTCGCAAGAGCATTAAGTGTCCCAGCGTACAAGGGAAGAATATTTGGTAACACTTAATTTAACGCATATCTCTATAATGCATTATAAATATATTTACAATGCGTTATAATCACGTTATAGCAATGTATAACTAAAGTTATAAACACTCATAAATGAGCATAATGCTTTATTTTACTTTATTGCAATAATCATAACACATTATAAAGAATTTTATTCTATCATGAGTTACAAGGTCAGGTATTGTAATGTGTTATAACTATTCAAAACTCACTGACAATGCCAACATAGATAATACAATGCAACTATTGTTAACATTCATAACACATTATAATACGTGACCTTGTAAGTCATGATAAAATGTTTTATAATGTGTTTTGATTATTGCTATAAAGCATTATGATAATTTATAAGTGTTTATAACTAAAGTTATACAGTGCTTTAATGTGATTATAACGCATTATACATATATTTACAATGTGTTATAGAGATAGGCATCAAATAAAGTGATACCGAATACTTGAATAAAAGTAAATCTGAGTGGATCAGATTAGAAAATTATTGACTTTTCAAGGTAAAACTTCATTTTTTCACAAATATTTCCTTCATTTGTGTCGTTTTTAATCTTTTTATTGGCCTTAATAATTTTCTTGTTCTTGGTAATGTGCTCTGGTAACCCAATAGTACGTTAACTTCAGTGATGCTGATGTTTCTAACTGCATATAAGTGCCTTATAGTAAAAGTAGCAGAGTGTAAGCTACCGTTGAAGAACTGAAGGCAATTAACAACAACTACATCAGGCTGCTGAAGCATCTGTTGGACACCTGTGGACAAACACATCATTTCACGCACCAAGGAAGGAGCGAGGATGTCTAAACACACGGAGCGTGTCAGCGGGGAACCACACAGACTTTCTTTGGATCTAATTTGAGAGGATGGAGTGGCTGTAAAGCATGAAGAGTCGGCTTGTTTTCTAAGGTATTGCTGGACAATCTTGTATTAGCTGCATGGAGCTCCTTTTACTGTTCTGATGTGCCCCTCTGTTTTTTATTTTTTTTCTTTGTTTTTGTCGTGACCCCATGTTTTTATTTATTTTTGTTTGGCAGCACTGTTTTAACATTGTAAATAAAGAATAAAAAATGAAATAAACCCTCAGAGATGGGAAGGTGTGTCATTTTCAGCAGTTTTCCATGTATGTGCTATTTATTGCAGTTCACTCAGTGACCACTAGATGGAGACAAATTCGGGGTAATTAAACATTTAACTTCTCTACACTGGAGTTGAAGTGTACTGTCACAAAATAAAATAATAATCATGTAAATGTTGACATTTTATAACCAGGACAAAAACAATTATACAACAATGAAAACCTGAATACATGTGCCTTATTTAGTGACTATGTAATGCAGAATAATGAGTTGATTTTGGTCAACAAAATTAATTGTTCCCATATGACCCAATATGCCACTCTTGCTTTTGTGACTTTGTACATAAAGACAAGTCAGTAAGACCCTGGTATTGTGGTTAGTGGTCTTTGGTGCAATCATAAAAACATGTTTCTGTGCAGCTCTTCAGCCTGAGTCCTGTTTGTCAAGGTCATACGGCCCTCAATTCTCTGTTCATTTCCTGCTTTGAGCCCCAGTAAAGAGCTGACTTTGACTCATTTCTCTTTCTAAAGGTCCAATCATGCTTCGTATTGGTGAGTAAGATCTAAAATGAGGTTGTCATAGGAGGAAAAAGGGAGGTTTTCATCAAAAATGACCTTCTTTAGCACTGGGGACAACAGAAATGAATGGATTTAATGTGCAATTCAAGTGTATGGAGATTTACTGTCTGCTTGTCAGTCAGATATACATTGAAAAAATGGATGGTTAACTCTTCCTACTACTCTAAAATTAAGTCAAACTGCCTTTTGATGAAATGTAAATAGAAACAGCACCCTTAGATACATGATGACTTATATTTATATGGTAATTTCTAGTGCCTGCTAAAGAGACAGCCTTGTTTTTACAATTCCCACATTCATTATTCACATTTAAATACATATTTGACTGTCAGTAGTCAGCAAACACTGCTTGGTCCACAGGGAGCTCCAATGTTAAAAGAGAAATAAGAAATAACTGGTGGCAAAACAGCAGAAAACTTCATATTCTGGACTGAATCTTTAGCCGACCCAGTTCGTGATCTTATCATAGGTAATAATTCCCCAGAGTCCTTCATTTCTCATCCTGGTTGCCATGGCAGTTAAACAGCAACACTTTGTGCGTACGTGTGTGATTGCAAGTTAAGCCGATTGTCACCCATTAGAGCACTTTGATGAGACAAATCTGTTGATGCCTCGCCCAGTATTGGAAAAGTGACTCACAATTACACACACACAAACACACAGTGAGTCAAAGACTGACAAACCGAACACAATCAGCACTAATACAACCGGCTACACTCTCACCAATCAGGCTTGAAGTTGTCTCCGTTTAAAATGAGCAATTAGGAGGAAGCTGACATTTTACAGATGGAGGGTTTGTTGTTCTTAGACGCTGTGAGAGAAGTTTCTTCTTCAATACCTTCATTAGTATGAGGATATAACACTATAAGGTCCTCTCTTTTGTGTAGATGAGGGTTTGAATGGTGCTCTAATTACTATTTAACCAGTGTGCTGTAAATTCAACAGAAGCTCTTTGTGTCTATGCAAATGTGTATTTTCTTTTTCAGCGTCAAAGTTTTTATCAAACTTTGATCAAGATTCAAGTCTGTCTTCTCTTTTTTATTTTACAAAATTTGTTTCCCACTTAGAGAAATATTAAAGCTACTGTAAGTAACTTTTGGTTTGTCAGTTTTGGCGCCCTCTGTTGGTAAAGCAGTCTTTGCTTATCTTGTCCTCTAAATACTTTCGTAGTGTCTGATGACATTTCAAATTTTGGTAGTCTAATGTGTGTGGTTTTTTTCGTTTTTTGTGTTTTATGATATAAAAATCTTGTTGTTGGACTTTTTATATCATGAAAAGGCAGCAATGTGAATTTCACATTGTTTAATGAACATAGCTTCATAGCTTTAATTAACTGCTATGCTGAAAAAAGACTGAAACAAGTGCTTTTGTAAATTTTCCCAGTCAACAAAAACTGATAAAAAATTACAATATTTGCTCTTGTAATATAATCTTAGACAAGTTAGCTCAAACCTGCAAAACCATCCCTAAAATTAAAAGAAAAATTCACAAAATTTATCTCAGACACAACTGAGATACGAGCCCTGAGCTGTATCTTTCACCAACAAATTACTCCATCAAAAAATTCAGAGATTAAATTCTACTAAATGCTCAAGTTAGGTCATAGGGCTCTGTGGAAAAAATGTTAAATAAAAAGCAATTAGCAATGATGCATGCTCACAGAATCAAAAAACTTTCCATGTTTTTAGAAAACACAGTTACTTTCTATCTGGGTTCCTTTTTAGATGTAGGAGCACCAAAATGGCTCAGTAGCGCCCCCTATAAAACTTAAATATGAGAGCCCACACAGCACACTTCACTAAGAGAAATCATGGGTATTAATAAGCATATTTACCAGGTTGAGCAGGTAAGATGCCTCTGAGATCTCTATTGACTCTTTGAGGCTCTTCATTGATTCCTTCCCAACATGGTTAGCCTGTTAAACATCCTATGAGGAGTATTTTAACGTTTATAAAATAGACTGTAAAAGCAAACAAGGCCATCAGAAACAAGATTGGCAATTTATACACTGTCGTATTAAAGCCTGCAACTGATGCTGGGGGGGAAGGTGCCAGTCGAGAAGCTGAAGAAACAGTTTTTACAATTTCTGCATTAAAATATTAACAATAAATGAGAGGTTGGACTGTTTGAAGTCAACAGGATGAGGAACTTTTTCAAGGGAAAGTACTTAAGCCTTGCAGAGGAAAATATAATGTCCACAGGGGGGCGCCAAAAGAGACACAAATCAAAAGTTTCTGACAGGAGCTTTAAGCAGACAGTAAAAATGATAAAAATGTTCAACTCTCAATTTGCCCCCAATCTTAAAACAATTAGTGCAGGCCACAAAAGAGCAAAAGGTTAGCCACCTGGCACCGCTATGTGGAAAAAGGCAGAACTAGCTTTGACAATATTCAACATTCTCCAGTTACAGCATGTATAACTGAAGTTTCAGAAACATATCAACACTAAAACTTTCTTATCAGGCCACCTTACAGAAAAAGGGACAACTCTCCTAGTACATGAATCATCAGTGCCAAATTTAACATCATGCAGACATCCCTGCCTAATGACATTTGGTTGACATAACAACCATGCAGTCAGGGTTGTTCCACAAAAATATGGGCTAAAAGGACCCCTGCCTGCACTGACTATCATTAAATATTTTTACAAGGCCCTTTTACCTTTTCCTTCAAGCTGTGACTCCGACACCCCAACATGCACAACTGTGCGAGCGCCCATTTTTTAAGCTGACAACTGCATTTGTATGCTAATTGCTAATTATGATAAGCAATGCATTACGCAACTTGACATTTGGTCACCACTTGAAACGAATGCAATTCAGATTGCATGGTTTCTGATTTCTCCTGTAATTCTTATTCAGCCTGTTTGCACGATGCTGATTATTATCATACTGCAATGTTAAGAGGAGCCGAGCAATCAATACGAGAACAGCTACGTGCCCACAGTCTTCAAAAATGACCTTAAGAGCTGAATGACCCGTCACCCGTCTTTCATTTTGTGTGTTTCTACCGTGAATCTGAACTTTGTTTTGATGTAAACTCCTTTGTTCTATCATACCAGACTTCCAGATTCTCTCCTTTCTTTCATTCATTGAATTGTAGCCTCAGACAACTTAAGCTGTCAAAACTAATCGGCACATGATTAAGTGGGTATTGAGTGTTTACTCATATTGTCTCCGTTCGCGCAGTGCGGCCTCCTGGACATCAGGGAATGGTGGATCCGAGTCCATTTGCGGGGATTTATCTGTTTAATAACTGGAAGAGTTGTGTTGCACTACCCTGAGGGCCACATAATAACGCACTCCGGTGCTCAGTCATCACTAATGCCCTGATCCTGCTAAATGGACCTGGTTTAGTCTCATATTAGTGGCGGGTACTTCCACCAGCCTGTCCCCTGTTCCTCTTTATACAGTAGCATCTTCTTCAGATCTCCCAAAGGACAGCGACCATGAGGTGTATATAAGTCGCAGGGAGGATGTTACTGTCACTTATCCAGGACCTACACACAAAGAGGAGAACCCACCCAGGGCAGGACCAGTCTTACCAGGAGTCTTTGAAGATAACAGGTGTGGACGGACTTCTGAGATCTTCCTCTGCCTTTTAGCATCATCACTTTAACTCTTTGAGACCATGGACACAGCTGCAGTGGCGACTCTTCTCGCTTTGGTTCTGGCGCTGGCTGGAGTCAGTCAGGCTCTTCACATCCAACGCAGTGCGGACAGCAATGACGTCCAGCTGGGCTCAGAGGAGAGCGTGGTCGACCACCTGCTGGGGCTGGTGAGAAAACGAACTGATCATTAACTTAAATTTAAACTTTTTCACCATATCATTAACATACTCTTTATTTTTCTAATATCCATGATACTGTGGCAGGAAAACACTGTATTTGAAGTACGAATGAATGACACAAATAGAGATGCCTGAATAATCAGATATCAACGACACAAACTACAATCATGTTTAACAACCTGATTGCTGATTTTAATGTTTCAGTTTGTCGTAAGAAAAATACTTCAATGACATTTGTATGACTAACTTTTTTAAAATATGAACCACTAATGTTGTGCAAAAAACAAACAAATGTCATAAAAAGTAGGAGAGAGGAAGAAGCGGCAGCTGCTAGCGAGCTAGCTTTAGCACTTTTATAAAACTGACAATGTCATTTATGGTGAAACTAAACACAACATCAGAGCGTGTGCCTCTTTCGGGTTAAAAATCAATCAAACATGTACAATTTCTTATGATTCTTCGAGTGTTTTCACTATAAACTACCAGAAAGAGTATACTTCAAAATAAAAGCATAGTTTCACAATGCAAGAAATCAAGAGAAAATATCAAATTAAAGGCGTGCTACGCAACTGATTTCTGAGGCAATTTTTACAAATCCTTCATTTGAATATAACTAGGAATAGATGATGACATGTAAGTTAATTGCATTTTTTTTAAGTTGATCAAATAATGTCTCGCTCCCTCCTTGTTCTCCGTTTGGCTGATTGTGATGTTTTCCATAAATATAATGTTTACAATAATGTTTTTATTATATTTTATGTCCACAAAAATCAAAATGTGAACACCTAATATTGTGACGGGCCAAATTTGCGCAATATCATTAAACAGAGAAAACGGCAAATAAGGGAATTTCCGATACTGAGACAAACATGATTGTCAATTTTCTGGAAACCTGAGCAAATATTCAGTGAAAAAGTTATTAGAAATTTAAACCCAATTATAAGCAATAACAGTTTTATCATATCTCTCCTTTTAGATTTATTGTGGCTATTTCAAGAAAACATACAACCAACAAAATCCTTACAAGGCTGATGATAAAAAATCACAAATATAGACCTACTGATAGAAATTCCTGCTTCATCCAGTGTGCCTAAAAAAATTGGCATCTCAAATCAAGACAAAAATCTCAAACATCTCTCAGGCTCATGTGGTTCTGAATAAAAATACTGTCTGTTTCTGGGCAGAATTTGAAGGAACTGTACGCCATCACATTACAGCGTGTGGATCAGTCTGTGCACAATCAGAAGTCTGGCCAACATTCCCAGAGAAGTCTGGCGCTCCTTGTTAGGAAATATGCAAATGATATTTCAGCCCTTTTTTTTTTAATCAAGAGATACAAGCTAAATCTCACAACCAATTGAGATTCCAGATAGAGCTCCTCTTCATGCAACAGTGTGAAATTCACTGTAATATTCTGGGGTCAATGGGCAGTCAGAGAAGGGCGCATGAAGAGGATTCAGATCAAATGTTCGGTTTTTCCAGTCAGATCTGGGATTATTTGGCATGAAGATTAGGGTGGAGGGATATTTGGGTGGGGTTGAGGTCCATTTCTTTGCCTTTGTACGCTGATATCAACAACCCCAAGGTTCCTTTCCGCAGCAGGACTGACCGGCTGTCTTTGCAACCTCCGGGGTTGGTGTTGCAATCTGAAATTGTATGCATTTAGAGCCCTTGATGTTCGCTCTTCTTTTTTTTTGGCACAAACCAGAAAACAAGCTTAGTGATACGAGCTGTTGCATTTGCTCATGTGTGTGTATGTGTGTGTGTGTTTATTTATGCTTTTTTGCTCCAGGAAGGTGAGAGCACAGATAACAGCATTGATGATCGCCTGCTGACCGCTATGCTGAGAGCTCTGCTGCTCGGATCTCAGAGGGAAACCAGGAACTCTGTCCTCCATCAGCCTCAGAGGTCAGTGCTGCTACAGAGACTGCACACACACACACAGACACACAGACACACACACACACACAGAAAAAAAATAACACAAGAAAGCAAAGTTATTTTGATGCTGTTGCATTCTGCTGAAAAACTGGCACTAAAGCTCCAGAGAGGAGTTTGTAGTTGGTCTTAAAACAGAATTAAATGAATACTGATGTCTCTTAATTCACTACTAAAGCAAACAAGACTGACAGTAATGAGACTGATTGTTTCTTTAAAGTTGTTTTTTATATAAGTATATACACCTGCAAGGTTGGTGTCAAATTAAAGCTCCTGTGAGGAGTTTGTTGACGGCAGTGAAATAGACAGAAATTTACACTGAAGTCTTTTAGTGGTATTTAAAAGTGATTCATACTATGAACGACATGATTCACAACATTCATATGGAAAATTTTGATGCCTAAAAATGGTTCGAGAGGGTAGGTGTCAGCCGAGCAGACGGCCACTGTCTGCATTAGATATTCACAATAAATCAAACAATTGTAGGAGCTTCTACTGACAGACACTGATTTTGAAAACGGTCAAAATTTAACAGGAAAAATCACCAAAATTTAACAAGAACTTGAAATTGAAGCACATGAGGTTTAATTAAACACAACTAGTGTGTTATAAAGTGTTACTACAGCACTGTTATAATGCATCCGCTTTTGATAAAACTTTAATAACTGGCCCTGATTTGATTGATTTGACACTTTCAGAACCAGGCAGAGGAAGCTGTTTGGAAGTTCACTTGAAAACTAAAACCTAATGAGGACCAATTATCAGCTTTTTACTCATTTGCAGTAACCTTTATCTGTTTTTTAAGATGACTCGTTCTGCCACACATACATTTTTTGAACTTCATTCTTCAGGTTGTGAGTTAAAGTTGTCAAGGAGCCATCCAGCTCTCCTATGGCAAAGATAAGATCACGCTTTGCACTGAAATGGTAGCCTCAGCTTAAAGCTGTAGCCTCTCTTAACCGATAACCTCCTTTCACTTCCTGCTCTGGTTCAAGATTTGCATATTTAAAACATTTACAACTCTGTTTTTGTCAGAGTTTGAGATTGCAGATTTCCACCCTTAAAAATACGATTTTAATCTTGTTCCTGTGAAATAATCCATTTAAATACAGGAACATTTAATTTAATTTAATTTAACACATGTATTACTCTGAGTTACATCAGTTCCTGTATCAGTCTCTTCTCTCTCTCTCACAGGTTCGGTCGTGGCTCCAGAGGGCAGGTAGTGCCAGAGGATCAGGTTCAGTCCCGGGATTGGGAGGCTGCCCCCGGTCAGATCTGGAGTATGGCTGTGCCCCAGAGATTCGGCAAGAAGTAATCTGGCAGGAAGACATCCGCACGATGACGTGAGGGCATGAAGGGTTGAGCAGAAGGCAACTGTGACAGGAAAATAATTTGAGTGAATAAATTTAAATTTTAAAAGCACGTTTTCACTCATTAAGCCTTACTTGACACCCCCCAAAAGTTGGCTTAAGATGACAGGAGTTTCAATTTTCTGTGCCTTTTTTTTTTCTCTAATACCCAACACTGAAAGCATGTCGGCAAGAGCCTGTTAATGTTTTCCAAGCCTGGATTGTAATTTCATTTAATACCCAGAGTGTTTGCTGTAAATTGATTGCTTCATTTTCTGTTGTTGCTCTGTTCCCTGGTTGAATAAAAGAGTTGGACCAGGAAAAGATGAAAATGTTTGTGTACGTTCATGTTGAAAAGTGAAAACGGTAATCTGATCACATAGATTTTTTCCTATGGTTTATTTTTAAATAAATAATATAGAAGCTTAATCATAGAAATCTATTCCAAGTTTCTAAGCGTTGATATCTCCATCATGAAAAAAAAAAAAGAAAAAACATGATAAGGCTTTAATAAATGCTCTTTGGAATATAATTAATTTCAGTTTCTGTTAATAGGAAATCTGTGGATTATTTTTCCTACTGATTTGATCGGTTGATGAGACCAAATGAAAATGGAAGTCACACTTTTTAAAATCTAATTCTGATGTCTCCGAATTATGACGGAGTATTGGGGCCGCATTCAGAAAAGACAAAAATTAGGATTTCGAGATTTAAGTCGTTAACTTACGAGAATAAAGTCGTTACTAATGCCAATTAAGTCGCAGCGAAGTAATAACATAAAGTCGTAATAAAATTATCATGATACTAATGATAATGTGGTGCTGAAGTACCAAAAGATTAAGTTTTTCCCTGTTTGAGAAACCTTTATTGAAGTACATTTTTACAAAATGCTCCATGGCTCTTATTTCAACAATTATCATCTTAAACAACAGCTTAGAATATAAGAACTTTATTACAACATTATTCTTGTAAGTAATTACTTGACTACAACTTTATTTTTGTAAGTAATTACTTAATTAAGACTTTATTCTTGTAATTGCTTTATTACGACTTTATCTTTTTAAGTAATTACTTTGTTACAAATTTATTCTCGTAAGTTATTACTTTATTATGACTTTATTCTTTTAAGTAATTACTTTATTATGATTTTTTTTTAGTAATTACTTTGTTAGGACTTTATTCTCTTAAGTAATGATTTTATTACGACTTAATTCTCGTTAGTAATAACTTTGTTTTCATAAGTTATCGACTTTTATTTGGAGCCTTAATTTTTTTTTTCTCTATTGTAGCCCTAAAATTCCATTGTACCAATTGCCTTGATTAGCCTTAAAAAAGTATTGAATAAAGATTTAGGCAACTTTTGGTGCAGTTTTTAGATTTTAAGATTTAACATGAAAGCAATTTAAAATAGACATGAACACCGGGGAAGTAGAAGTACTTTACTGCAGCAGTAAACACGGGTGTGAATCACTCTGAAATTAAAGTTGTCTGTGTTGCCAGCTTAGAAAACACCATCAGTTAACACAAGCCCTTTCTCTAACACTTGTAATTTCTTTGCCCTTAAGGCCAATCAACATAAAAAACACAACATGATATCAGTGCCACACATCTTCAGTATCTGCCACTGAAAAACCTGCACCAGTCAACCAAGATTTCCTAAAAGGTTTATTACACGCTCTTCAAAACAGATTGTGTGCTCATAGAGGACCTTAATTTATTTTGTATGAATAAAACATGAAAACAGTCACTAGAAAATGTATTATTATTTGAACCCTAATTACTGAAAATGTCCACAGCATAGACACAAACACACAATTACTCTGGCTTCCCGCTATGTTAGATGTGCTTAAAATGACTCACTTTGACATCAAAGGAATGTGAATTTAATGGAGTACACAAAAAAGGCGATGTAGTGTTTATATACAAAAAAAATCTCTGAATATAGAGCTTTTTAACTCTTTCAAGGATCAGGTTCTGGATGTTAAATGTTAAATAACACGACAATGATGTGTTCAATATAAATGATGCACAGTGTTTCCCTGCAGACCAGCAGAGGCTGTTTGGTTTAGTGTGTGTGTGGTGAATTTACAGGCCACCTGGGGAAGCAGTGCGCAATAAGCCTCAGCACTAATTAAAACACAGCAACATGCAATTACTCCACACTTTCACGGTTACCACAGCCAATTACTGAGAAGGAGGACACGTCAATCTCTCTTAGGGGGAGTCTTTTAATAGCATGACCTCACATTCTTCTTTATGAGCGCAGAAGACAAATGCAGAAAAAACTGTGCAAATTGAAAAGGGATGACCTTTGCTGACGTACTTCTGTGTGGTTTGTCTTTCTCAGAATGAGTTTTCAGCTTTCAATTCAACAATTTGAAGCACTCCATTATTTTTTAGCTGTCATCCTGGTAACATTTATTCCAAGTTTAAGAATATTGTGGATAATAGTTTTTGTTTTTGCCCTTCTAGATTGAAGAGATTCACTACAAGAGAGCCCAATATGTAACAACAGTCTGAAACGTAAAGACGACCAAAAATGTAATTTAAAAAAAGAAAATGTCATAAAACCTGGAAAAGAAAAACTGTTCAATAATGTCATAAAATGTAACAAGATGTTGAGTCTAAAACATAATAACTTTTGCCGGTCGTTGTTACATTTCAGATTGTTACATATCAGGCTCTAATATGCGGGACATGAGACAAATAGCAGGTACGGGGAATGACTGTTTCATCTACGCACAAGTTTAACAAGGGCAAACAGCAAGGTAGTTACACAGTGATAGTGACACCCAGAATCAAATTTAAAATTTCAGTTTTGAAGTACTTCTGATAACAGAAGAGTCTACGAAAGAGGATTAGGGCCACATGAAGAAAAAAATAATAATTACAGGAAGGAGATTAGAGTTTAAAAAATTAAAATTATGTCAATAAAGTCAAAATTTAAAGATTAAAAATTGAAATTTCAAGATTAAAGGCGAAATTTTGAGATTAAAAAATGTCTTGAATAACTTTGACATTTTGAGATTAAAAAAATTAAAATTTGAGGTTAAAGTTGAAATTTCAAGATTAAAGCTGACATGAATGATCTTGAAATTTCGACTTTAACCTGGAAATAGAACTTTAAAAAAAATCTCCAAGTAATATTTTTTTTCTCCTTATGACGCTCATCCTCTTTTGTACAAGTCCCATCTGTATTTTTTTGCCTCTGCCTTTTTTTGTGAATTTGGCTCAGTGGTGCCCCCTTGTGGCTGGGGGTGGACCCCTCCTTCAACTTTAACCTCATCACTCTGAGTTGTGGTGGATGATCGGGGTTTAAATAAAAACTATCAAAATCCAAATGTAATAATCGCAACTGAGTGAAAAATGTCTAAATTCATCAGACAGTCAGTGGTAAATCATCATTTTCAGTTAAGCCTAACCTATTTGTAAGTAGGGATGTCCCAATTCGATATCGGTATCAGATACCAGTCCGATATCAACAACAACAACAACAACAACAAAAATCCCACATAATCACAACAACAGTGTGTACTTTATTTGGTTAAAGTCTGAAAAAACATTGCAGCTGAACACAAATTTGTCATGCACAAGTTTGTGCCAGAATCGTATCAATATCGGTATCGGCCAATACTGAAGGCTACAATATCAGTATCATATCGAATTAGAAGAAAAAAAGTTGTAACGGGACACCCCTATTTGTAAGATCATTTAAAAACAACTTACCAAAAGACAGAGGGGAAGAGGTGTTTAAAAGTCTGTTTTCAGTTTGGAAAGACAAAAAGCTTCAAGGTACTTTAAGGTAAATTGTAATGTATTCAATCCAAAAGCATAATTATTTCTAACCTCCAAAAACAACAACGCACACAGACCTAGAGTGCTGAATAAACTGCCTACTCTGATGAACGAAAGCAAAATTCAGTCATCATTTTAAAAGGAAAGAAACTGTTATCTTAAATAATCAAAGAGGGATCCCCACTTAAAAAATGGAAATGAAATGTGCAGAAACAAGGGCAACAAGGACGGTAAATAAGAAATCATACAAGAGGGTAACAAGAAACGTGTTGAGACCAAGAGATAAGACAAAGAGAGAGGGGGGAGGGCGTGGGTGCTTCTGCTCACACAGCTGCAGCCTCTGATCCACACAGCTGAGTTTAAGAAATACTCAACTCATCTGAATTTCATGAGTCTGCAGGAGCGCCGTGAGTGCTGCAATTATAACAGACACACACCGACCGAGAGGGGTGTCACTGACTGATGTGAGGAGAGACAGAAAATAAAGAGCTACACGAGCAGTTTCCTGCATCCATCTCTGTCTCGCTGACCTGTCCTTGACCCTGCGTTCCAGTCCACCCTCATGGTCCTTGGAGTGCGGCCATTTTGAACAGCGTAGTAAAGGGAGGTCTCGGCCATTAGCGGCCATGGCCATGACATAGCACAATTTGTCACGGGCATCAGGCTTTAACAGCATCAGGGAGAGTGGAGCAGCTCATTTGGAGAAAAAGCAATGCTACAGTGAAGGGTAAACTGCAGAGGTGTGCTATCCAACAGATCCTCTACCCCTCTAGTATTCCTCCTTTCTCTGGGGTTTTCAACTTGAGCAGTTAACAAGAATCTGGACAGAAGTAAAATAATATACACAGCACTCATGTCTATGAGTAAATGAAGAAGCTGATGCCCTAACCCTATCTCTACCCGAATCCTTCAGTGTATTGCTCAAGGGCACCAAGTGACCTGGCACCTCTCCGGTCCTGCTGTGAATCCAATTTCCAAACTTGGTCTGGGAAAGGACTTGAGCTGGTTCCCAATCCAAATCTCTAAATACAGAGTTAGACTGCCAACCCCAGTTGTCAAAATTGGAATATTTTTTGTGAACTGTATGTTTTCTATGATCATCACGAGGCGTGAGAAACAGTTTTTTACAGCTGAAATGTGACAACTCCATTCAACAGACTCTAATCTAAAGTGATGTACTGCTAAGACCAAGTACAACAAAAGGAGGGCTCTAGTCCGGGGGCACAGCGTGAGTATTTGCGATAAATCACATCAAGTCCAGTTGGGTGCAGATGTTGACAAGCTGTTAGTATGTTTACATGTGCAGTTAAGTTGAGCCCTGGTCAGGCTATTTCAATGGGCTACTTTACTGTCCCAGTTTACAAGGGCTGGGAAGGAATCATAGAACTGTCTACCAGCTGACCTACTAACATTAGCAGGGGCTAATGGTATGTATGTCAAACAATGAAAACACAGTCACTACCCATGTTTACATGTGAAAAAATTCTCGATCCAATTACAAGTTTGAGGGATTGGAAAATCTGAATCCACTGTTTATACGGGCGCAAAATTAAATAATCCAGTCATATACCTGCACCAAGCGTTATTCAGATTAGAAGCATTTGGACATGTACAGAGTTGTATTTACACCTGTGCTGTCAACAAACCAACAAACGTGGAAGTGGCTCACTCCATCTGATTTAGGATTTTTCCCGCTGATCATCATGATCATGATCAGGCCCAGCAGCTCATACTGATCCTGTGTTACATGAGGAGACTGTATCCAGCACGAAAGTTGTGTCAGACACAGACCAACTACTCTTGGATCTCGCCATGTTTATGTCTTGTCACTAATGGCGGAAATAGGTCACTTTGACATAGCGCACACATGCACAGTCAGGTTAATTTTGCCCCAACAGAGAGTCACTATCGGAACGATACGATCGACATGTTTACATGAAGCATTTCTTTTCCGATCTGGCCTTACTTCTGATTATTTTTTGCTCATGTAAATGCAGCTACTGTCATGGCTCTGTACCTTCTGTACGTATTATATGACAACTTCTTTATGTCCTCTCTTCTCTCTACAAGGTTTATTTTACTACCCAGCTTCCCAGTAAAGCCTGATGTGTGAACTCTGGAGCATGTGAAGAACATTTGGAAGCATGAAAGACACAATCGATCCCAAACCGTTTCATCTGTGTGTGTTAGTTCAATATGCAAAGTCCAAGTTAGTGTGATTTTAGTCAGACTTACATGAGTTCAGGGTTGGTCGAAGGCCACTCTGGATCATCTGCAAAAGTCTGTGTGTGTGTGTACATACAAGGAGGACTGCCAGTAAGGAGTTGCAGTTGTCATTAGTGATATTACAAGAACCTGTACCAGGAGCTGGGCTGCATGATTTCACAGATAGGGTTTTATTTTCTCGCATCTGTGCAGTGGAGGTGACATGCACCTTCAAGGTTATCTGTTGACTAATCATGAAACCCAGACAGCATGAGTTTGATTGGTCCTAATAGACCAGATATTGATCTGTGGTTGTGCGATGACTCGAAGCTTAAGTCTGAGACAAAATGTCAAGTTGTTTACATGACCACAAGAATACTGGCTGTGCAATTATGACCCCCTAGCTGTCTGTCTCGCTTCCTCAATTATCTGTACTTACGGCAATGGGGAGTTTTTAATTAGCTCATCATTAACACGTTTTCTCCAGAGGAAGTAAAATATCAGAGCTGAGTTGAGGGAGTTATCGAGAGCCATGGTATAGATTGTGATGGTCTGGGTTTCTTCTGCTCAAACTCATGTTTATGCTTATGGACTTTTTTCTGAATTACTTTTAAAATTATATGAGCATATTGTGAATATTTCAGTGAAATGAACACCAGAAAGTTTTTTTATTGTCTGATTACGGCATGACAGAGGAATAGAAAGTCCTACTTCTTTTGAATCCCTGAAAGAAAACTCAGTGTGTTATTTTGCAGGTGAAAACAAAATCTTTAGTCTACAGGCTGCATTTGGCTTTGTCGTAAACTGTGCCAGACATAAGTCGAGTTAAAGGGATATTCCAGCATAATTTTAAGTCATGGATAAACGCACCATAACACCAAGTTAGACACCCACTCGAGAGATGAATGTTGCCGACTGTTTGCTTCTCTAGTTACACGAACTTAAGCAACAACCGCACGATAGCAATACACAGCGGTCTACGTCAAAAAGCCACTCTATAGCTACAAATAATGCTCAGAGCAGCACCTAATTTCATCAACAGTATGTACAGGGTCCTAGCAATAGTTCTAGCCACCAAAAATGTTTTTAGCTCTTTAGCAAAAAGACCAAACACTACTCACCTACTCTCTTCCAGCAGCCGCTTGTTTGTAGGGGAGTCCTGATGAGTCGATCACCGAATGCAGCGGATCATTTCCATGAAGTAATAATCATTATGATAATCATTTTGCACTGCAGACACTGTTTTTCTTCTGCCTTAGCGTCTTGATCTAAATTTTCACCAGAATATCCCTTTAAGAAGCTCTGTGGAAATGTTTTTTCTGCTTTTTTATACCCTGGCATCAGTATGAAACGTATTCTCCTTCATAACCAGCTAAAAACTCCTCATTCTGGGTTAAAACATGCAAATCATACAGAAACTATATTATTGGCCTTTCAGAATGAATCAAGAGAGTCTCTGTGAGGAAGATAACTGAGCAGAACCTCCCATTATGCAGCAAGCTGTCACCCATAGTGAGAGATAAATGGCTGGATAACTGAATGCATGTATGTGGGTGGTTTGGTTGGATGATGCAAAGTAGCGTTGAGATTTGTTGTTGGCTTTTTATTGTCTTGCCCACAATGGTGGAATAACACAGAAGGATGAAGAATTTACAACTTAAAATGACGCATGATAAACATCAGATCAGTTGAAGCAAAAAGCAGGGATGTAAAACCACAAGATAAGAAAAAAAGCGTATGCAGAATTTTGTTTTGTTTGTAGTAAACAGGACCTTCACTGATCTGTAGGAGACTAAATTCACAGCTGTTGGCATTTCTCTTTGAAGCCGCTCATCCAGAGACACAGACGTTCGGCTTGCCTTGAGAGGAAACACAGAATGTATTAACTTACTGGGTTTTTTTTCAGACACTGTAAACACCAGAGGTTGCAGAGGAGAATATACAGCCAACTGCAAGGCGCATTTGGACTCGCATTAACACACGTCTTTGCTTTGCAGGAAGACATAATGTGTGAAAACGGTCGCAAAGCTTTTAAGTAAATGTGTCTTTTCGAAGGAAGCATGATGGAGAAGGAAAAAAAAAGGATTCCGATGTTGCTCTTTATTTATTTATACCTGAATATGTAGCCAGGGAGCTCTCCGGGTCAGACTGTTGGGGAAAACACTCCCCTGTTTAAGCTTACTGTAGAAATTCTCTGCCCTGTCCAGTTTATTAGAGGAGTTAATGGAAGGAGACTGAGTCTCGTTCAGGGAGTGTGCCATATGGTCGCAGTGTCTGTGCTTCAATTCCAGCAGGAGTCCTTTGTTGTTCCCCTCCCTTTACTTTTTTTCATCCATATTTCTGGTTTGTTTCCACTGTGAACTGGCATATGAAGGAAAAACACATCAAAGTAGTCACAGTAACAGAAACCCTGCAAACATCAATTTCGTCTAGACAATACTGTGCGCTTCAAGAAAACAAGTTGTAGTGTTAGCTCACAAATGATGAGAATTCTTGGAGTGCAGACGCTTCATAAATAATTTTCTGTCCCCCCTAAAAGTGTGCTGCAAATCTGGACGGCACATCTGTCATTACGCTCTTGGCAAGTGTCAGGTATCAGGGCCCAGCAGACGTGTAATGTAGGGACACTCAGTCTAAGAGGCGATCAATGAAGACTGTGCTGGCGAGGCAGCAGCAAGAAAAAGCACAGTGAGGAACAAAGCTCTGAGCCCACTGGTTAAAAAATATTTCATCTGGATATTAGGGTGATCATACGTCCTCTTTTACCTGGACATGTCCTCTTTTGGCGGCTGTCCGGGGGGGAGTTTATAAAATCCTTCAAATGTCCGGGGTTTTGTACGGAAGCCTGTTTTTTTCTCCTCCTGTATTTACCAAACATGTTCAATGGTTCATTTGGAAACACACTCTGAGACGCCAAACCCCGGAACGTGTATTTATTACAAAACAAAGCTGCTCTGCTCAGTACTAAGCAAAGCCACTGACGAGACGCACGCACGCCCTCTCCAAGAGACCTGGTTAAGGCCCTCCTCACACGAGGACGGCCCCATATTGTCTTGGCGTCGGCACCAAAAAGGTGTATCCTGTTTACACATCGTATTGTACAAAGGCTTAGTGCATTTACATGACAACGCAAAATCCTGTAGTACATACGCCCGGCCTAAAGGTGACACTGTGAAATTGCTACAAAGCACCAAAAACAGAGAATGCGAGTGTGCATACATACAAACATACATGCTGTGTGTGTGACAACGTGGGTTGGGGAGGAGGAGGGGTGCTATGAGGTCACCGTCTTTTCCGGACTCATCTTTTTACACCAACTACGGTATGAAGACGAATACCCAGATATCCACCTGCAGACACGTTTTCAAAAAAGATGCAGAGTCATGGACAAATACGTGTCTCCGTGTGTCATTATCACCAGATCAATAGTTTATTTTACCGGTGTCTTACAAATTCATACTCCTGTAAAGACCACCTAAGTGTCTTTTTGGTAATTCAGAATCTGTGTTTAACTAAGTTAGAGGCATGTAAAAAAAATGAGGCATGAAAATAAAGTTTTGGCCTTACAGACTTAAGTGGAATACCTTAATTTTTGCCTGTTTTTAAAGAAAATACCGGACCGGGTGAGTCTAAATAAGGTACAGAATTGGAAAGACTGCAAAATCCTGAGTACACAAAATAATGTCAAATCCTGCATGTGCCAAAAAACTGGTGTATGCAGGACAAACAGTCTGAGCGCAGAGCAAAAGCTGGTAAAACTAATGGCATTCTGACTGTCCAGGCGACAAGCTGAAGATGATTTTTTATCTAGGGATATTTCCTTTTTAATCAAATTCATTTCAGTTCTTCTCAAAAGTTTTAAACACCACAAACAGGAATTTTCATCTGGATAAAACTATGACTGTATACCTGGTTGAGTCAGAAAGTAAAATCTGATCTAATCTGGTAGTTTTTGGGCCCTCTTTAGATGAGATGTGAACAATCTTCCCACAAGGGATTTTTTAAAAAGCTGTGTTTACATGGTAACATTGGTAACACAAAATAATTAGAAAAAAAGATTGAACATGCCGGGTCGGTATAACTTTGTGATGGATCACTTTTGAAGAACTCCAACCGCCCGGGTAGAAAGCGTCAACAGAGCGGTGAGTACGGACAAGCAATGAGACAAAAGGCAAACACTTAACTGAAGGAGCTCTGAACTCGGGAGAGTGAGCGGCAAAAACACAGACTGGTAGCCATTGTTGTTACTATCCTCCTACTCGCTCAGCGCCATTATTATAATAACATTGTTAAACAGCATTTTCAGAGGCACCTCATTTCCCCCCACACAACCACGACTGTCGCTTGTACTCAACTATAAACTACAAAGCTTATCGAATGGCTCTTAGTGGTTGCAGCTAAAACAGCACCATCATCTTCATAAGACCCAGGCTCCTTTTTTGTGAATTACTGGGTTCTCAAAGTTTGTTTAAACTACAGTTCGATCTTTACAGGTAAAAATGAAAAAGAAACCAATGTCTGGTTCACAAGAGAAATTTTTGTTTGTGTCTTATTTAATGTTTTCAGAGGTTTTAACATGTTTAACTTGAGGGTGTGAGAAGTTTGTGTGCATGACTCATTCTGTGTAAGCTTATATTTAAGCGCGTGTGGGCAGGTGAGTTTAAAAATACTTTTTCATAAAGCAGAGGATGAATCGTGCATCTTTCATACGCACCCAACAAACAGAGAGAGAGAGAGAGAGAGTGAGAGAAAGGGGGGGTTAGAGAGGTAAGAGAGTGTCTCTGTCATCCTCTCTCTCCCATCTGTGCAGAGGCTGCTGCAGAACAGCCCTAATCTTAGACGTCCAATACTGACGGAGAGGACTGTGAAGAGGGGGTGGGACTTACGTGAAGGGGAGTCAGGCTCAGCCAATGGGAGTGAAGGAGAGGTGTTCCTTGCCCAGAATGCCCTTGTCTGAGCGCTGAGAGCCGGGAGAGACGGAGAGAAAGAGGAGTGAAGCCGGAGTGGAGACACCAGCAGGTGCTGAGAAGAGAAAAAGAATAGGTTGAGGAGACAAAAAGGGACCAAAAACTGAAATATAATCAGGGAAAAGTGTGTTAAAAGATAAAGGAAATAATCAGACAAGAGCTGAAAAACAGTACTTCAATTTTCCCTAAGCTGGAGCGCACTTCTCTTCTCTCTCAGCCTCCTTTTCTCAGTCGGATTCTCCTCCCTTGGATCATTCCTTCCTTCTCTTTTTCCCCGTCCTGTTCTCCTCTTTGACAGACAGAGTCACCATGGAAACCGGTAGCCCCAGGAAGATACAGTTCACCGTCCCCTTGCTGGACACCCACCTGGACCCTGAGGCAGCTGAACAGGTGAGGGGGAGGGACAGGATGTGTTTTGGGTGAATTTAGACTTTTAAAGCCTAATGTATGCATCATTAGGAAAACATTGAAAAGTAAATCACAGTGGATTATCGTCACTTTTAAAAGAAAACTTAAAAAAAGGTATCTAGTTATGGAAAATTTGCAAACGTAGCAGGGCAGCAAAATTGAAATAAAAGGCGCAGTCACCGTCCTGAGTCCAAAATTTCTGAATCCCAGTCTGGCTACCTTTAAAGAAAGCCCATTTTTTAGACCTATTACTCCCCTGCACCCAATTAGCAAGCTGTGTCTCTTTGACGGAACGATAAAGTGATCGTGATTAATTTAAGATTGATTTTTCCACCTCCTCTCTCAGCGCAGCAGCTTCTCAGAGCCTCAGCAGTGTTGTAAAGGGGTGTTGCAGTATGAAGACGAGTCCCCAGAGATTTGCTGTTGTTAAGATTTGAGTGACTATCTGCAGAATCTGTTCAGCGGGGAATATTGACGAAAGTGTAAAGTGCTGTCAGCAATATCATTATATACCGTATGATTGGAAAAGGATGTCATGGTTTTATTTAAAGCCTCTTATCACTAGAAATACTTTGGAGAGGAAATAGCCTTGGAGTAAGTGTTAAAAGCTCTCAACCATTTACTCTGTAAAAAAAGATGGAGGACATGACAGCTCCTCAAAAGTGAGGCCAATTTATTTAAAGCTCCCCTTCAACCTGACATGGGTCAAACTTTAAAATCAAAACAAAACACAAACAAACTTCTCTCATATGTGTTTTTTGTCATTTCTAATGTTTCTCATTACGCTGATTCATATCCAAACATTTATTTTCCTGAGTGCACTGTAGTCACAAGGGATGTGCACATTTAGTCAACCATCAGAATTAGCATTTGCTTCAATTAATAACTCATATTTCTAGTAGAGCAGGCCTGTAATGCCTCTGTCTAAGCTGGAACACAGCCACCCTGTAGCTTCAGTTTAGAGCTAGTGCCATAATGCTACACCGACCAAGTGTGGACAAGCGCAGATAGCCTCCCGTAGCTAGATGGCGGTATTTTGATCCAAAAATATTGAGATGAAGTTGTGAAACTACACTGGATGTTACAGTAACTAGGGGGACCATATTCTGAATCCCCAAAAAGAGGACACTACTATGCGGGGTGCAGATGGAGGCAAAATTTTAAGGGTTTTCCAAGTCGAGTGGTTTTTATGCGCTTCTAACTTAGTCAGTCCAAACTACACAAACTCAAAACTTCCATACAAAACCCGGGACATTTAAAGGATTTCATAAACTCCCCCAGACAAGACTCGACAGCCCCCAAAAAAGTGGGCATGTCCAGGTAAAAGAGGAAGTATGGTCACCCTCTGTTAACTAACTGGTGGTGCTAGCTCTGCTAGTGTTAGCCACGCTCTGCAAAACACTTTGACATTGTTCAGTCATGTTGGTGTTTTTTCACCTTTAGATTTGTTGGATGGTCTGAGTTTAAATTACTTTTGAAATGGTTGTTTTGAAACATCCCCAGCATCCACCAGATTACCAGGAGAGAAAATTGAAGTCTAACACAGTGGTCATTGAAATCTCCATTTCTGTCTTTATCAAACTGACTAGAGAAGCTGTAGGTGTCTGTCAGAAGAGGAAGGACACAGCTCAGAAAGTCTATCCCTATTTCAAAGACTCTGGCTCCAATATGCAACATTTCAGCACCTGCTGCAGGGGTTATTTTGGTTTCACTTTTGTACAACAGAAGGAGCTGGGAACATGTTGTCCATCTTACACTAAACATTTGATGATCACAATTTTGCTTAAAGAAACAAGAGCGATAAAAAAACACCAGTGGGTGCTTTCAAGTGTCTCTCGAGTATGGAGGGAGAAGATGTCTCATTTTCTCATTTTTATGAATATGACATTAACAGGACCTGTCATTCATAACTCATAAATCAGATTTATGAGTCTGACTGAACCTCCGTATGTCTCTATGTCTGCTATTCTCTCTTCTCTTCATTTCGACTGTGGGACTCTAAAGGAAAAGAGGATCTCAGGTGTCTCCTTTGTGAGGAGGTGTTGAATTTTTTACTTTTTTTTTACGTTAGTCCTTGCAAGGACATTTTATTACGGGCTGAGTCTGAGCTACTGGCATGATCAGATATAATAACTTTGTAAGGCTCAGGGATGTGAGGGGCTGAATGTTATTTGCAGATGAGAATGAAGTTGTGACCTTCGGTGCATTTCTGACCATACCTTGAGTCTTTTAGTGGCACTTTCTCCCTCTATTTCACTCTGTGTCAGAAGGAAATTATTCTTTTTATTAAAGTAGGATTCATTTTCACTTGCAAACTTTATAAATTATGAGTTTTTACATGTGCAGTATGAGCGCTTCAGAACTAATTGACAGATAAGCAGATTACTTGATAGACAATAGCCTCATAATCCTTTTTGTAATTTCAATTCCAAAGGGATGATTTGCTCTTTATTCTTTTAATTAATGAATCACATATTCATTAGAGACACGTATCTGTGACACTGTTCTTACCTACTGTCATTATGACATCATTTCTGCCTTATTTTAGTTTTTTTTACAAATACCAACAACTTTTTGGTGTTTCTCGAAAATGAAATTTTAGAAAGACAGCACCTATACTGTAATCGAGGTTGTACCAATACGAAATTGATATTGGTCCGATATTAACCAAATAATCAAATATCAGATTATATCAGCCTGCATCTAAAATCTCAGATATCAGCACTCTGATACAAGCAGTCCATCCCAGACTCTAATTCGGCACCTCTGGCTATCAGCACCCGGATCCAGCAAGCTGAGCCCACGTGATCACAACAACAGTGTGTACTAAAGTACTAACAAAGTATTGCAGCTGAGTGAAAACCTTGTCATGCACAAGTTTGTGCTAATATCGGTATCGGCCGATACTGAAGGCTACAATATCGGTATCATATCGGCAGTAAAAAAGTTGTATCAGGACACCCCTGATTGTAATACTGCACTTATTACACAGGGTAAAATTCCTATTCTCCTATAGTAAGTTAAAGCTCTCCAAATAAAGAGAGGAGTTGTGGGAATTGTCCCTTTTTATATATTTTTGATTCATATTATCCAGTAAGACAGACAGGCATGGTTTAATAAAGCAAATACAGTTTTTATGCATAAATGTTATATATTTTTTTCTTGAACGGCTCAGAGTGCTCATGTTTAAAACTGTGTAAGTTCAGTAAATGCACATAATTCAGATGTCAATGAATGAGAGCTTGTGTTAATTAAGTGTGATCTCAATATCAATGATTGAGCAGCCCTAGCCGATCAGTATAAATGTTCATCCTGAAGTTGGAGAAAATTACTTGTGAAATCTCCTCCTGTCCTCATAAATTTTCCAGCATTACTTTTAATGTTTGAGGAACATCAGAGCCTTCAGTTTAATAGTGAAGACAAATATCTTCATAGTGATATAAAGTCATAAAAAATAAAGAAAAGAGGATACAGCCTGTCGTCATTGGACCAATTTTATCACCTCTCCTTGTCTTACGGCAGAGGAAGCACCTAAAAACGCATTTCTTGAGTCATGGCTCTGGTCTATTAAGAGTCCAAGAAAAAACAATTATATATCGGCCATTGTTATTCTTCTTCCCAACTTATAAAAAAATACAAAATTGATTGCTGTTGAAAAGTAGTTGAAAAGATAATGATCATGTGTGACGTCAGTTTGATTTAATCTTTATGTATTGGTCAAATTACTTACCCAATGCTGTCATAACCTCAGCTTTTTAAAGTAGGTACACTGAACTGTAGCTGCAGAAAAATACACTTGAGTACTTTTTTTTATTAAGTATTTACAGAAGAAACCCTTAAGTGGTGTGTACAAAATGTGGATGATGAAGAACTGTATTGACTGTGCTAACGTGTACAAAATTCAACACTCCGCATTGAGGAGCTGCAACAATAACTGTTGTGTAACTGTCTGCAATGACGCAAATTATGACATCAAATAACCATTAACAACCGCAGTTTAATGCTCACTACTGAGTAAACTGTGGAGTGCTCAGTAAATTATACAGGGAGGAGTGAATGAGGGAGCAATTTGAACAGCAGACTCTTCACCTCCTTTCTCCTCCTTAATCAGAGCTGCTGATGCAAACCCGGCCTTTCCTACTGCAGCTATTTAGCAATATAAAAACAATAATACCGGCACAAAGTGCTCCTGGATTAATGGAAAAATATTTTGCATCATCCAAATTAAAGCACCTGAGTGTGTTTGGCTGCAGCAAACACACATACACCTGTTTCTCCTGGCCTCTGAACGCGTGTTTGCTGCCCCTGCGGGTCTACTACCTTGACAAATCGCACAGATGTTACTACAGTAACCACAGGTCTGGTTTAATCAATTGAAAGACAGAAATCTTTCCAAGACCACAACTTTAATGAAAGTGCCAGCAGATGGACACAAAGGCTGTGTGGTGTGATTACTCTGGCCTGAATCTTATTGGTTTCTGCTGCAGAAGAGCTCATTATGTAGCTGTTAGAGCTGAAAGCGATGTGATATTTAGAAGCAACGCCTCTGTGAATTGCTGTCTGTGGTACATTTTGGGGGCTTTACTGGCAGGAAAGTTTGAGGAACGGCATGGCCATGCTGGATTTTAATTAACGCGGTGTGTTTGCTTAATTGCGAGCGCTTGGGTCATTTAGTCTGTGCGTCCTTTCATTACATTTGCTTTTCAGGGTTTTTTTTCTGTTCATTTAGAGCAGATCTGTTCAATTAATTTTAAGAGGGGTCAGTTTAACCAAAAAAGGGCAATGAAGGCTATTAAAACTGCGTGTAAAATTAAAAATGACACAGAGTGGAGCTTTGAATCAAGAAAACCTACACACAGATTTACAAATACAAGCAATTTGTTGTTTAAATAAACACAATTTTTCAATGCATTTTAAAAGTTAATCTATCTGCTGACACAATATTTGAAATATTTCATTAAACTTACATCCCTGTGTTGAGATAATCTAAATATTAGTTTAGAAAACCGAGAACAAAATCATTAAGAGTAAAATTAAAACTTAACTGCTGACCCGCTCTCCTCCAGCAGCTGCTTGTTTGAGCCCTGACAAGTTGATCACCGAGTGCAGTGGAGTTCCGCAGCTCAAGGAAGAAAATTTATGATTATTACCTCATGGAAATGCAATCAGATCGAGACGCTAAGGCAGGAGAACTACCGCGTCTGCAGTGCACATGCAAGATAGACAAGAACTCTGATCACATTTCCATGAAGTAATTATTATAAATGTTCTTCCTTGAGCTGCGGAACTCCACTGCACTCTGTGATCGACTCATCAGGGTTTCCCAACAAACAAACGGCTGCTGGAAGAGAGTAGGTGCGTTGTGTTTAGTCTCTTTGCTAAAGAAATCAGGCAAAGCTAAAAAGATGTTTGATAGCTAGTACTATAGCTGGGACCCTATATGTCCTGTTGATGAAGTTAGGTGCTGTTCTGAGCATTATTTGTGGCTATAGAGTGGCCTTTTGGTTGAGGTTTGCGTGTGGAGACGTAGACCGCTGTGTATTGCTATAATGTTATAACGTTGGTGTGACTAGTGAACCAAGCGGTCGGCAACGTTCATCTCTCGAGGGGGTGTCTAACTTGATGTTAAGGTGTGTTTGACTATAACTTGAATCTACGCTGGAATATCCCTTTAAGAGTAATTTCTGCTCGTATTTAAAACATTTAAGATGCTATTTTACAGTTCATCACTTGTTGTTTTGTTAGCATCAGTTTCTACCCGTCATTGTTTTAGTAGAGACAGGTATCAGTGAGAGTGTGACATTAGCACACTGCAGCTGTTGTGATCTCCTAAATTGAGAATTATGCTATACTGTCTTGCCTTGTTCGTAATTATTAGAGCTGAATCAAGAAGACAGTTTGATCAAAAGGTATTGAAACCTGCTTATTATCCTCAATCAAGAAAGAGTAAAAGTCTATGACCTGATCTAAAAGACACTGATTTCATTAAAGCTAAAGCAACAATACCAGCCTTGTGTTAACCCTCCGCACTATTAGATCCTCTTTTCACCATCATATTGTATTCAATCATCTGTGAAGAATCAAAGGAGCAACAACAACAATGACAAAGCTGGTCTGATGACTTCTGCAGTCTCACACTTAGAAGTAAAATCTGTCGTCTATTTCCGAGGACACCGTTTGCTAGCTAGCTTTTACCTCGTATCCTTCAGCGGTAGACGGATCCCTGTTTAGCGTTACATAAGTAGAACTCAGATTTCTTTTTCTGTGAAGACTCGAGAGAGTTTTCAGCTCTCAGAATCAATAAGCATGGCTGAAACTCGTCTGATTACCACTGAGACTTCACACTTTCAGGATGCATTTTGCACGTGCTTAGGCCTCTCTCTCTGTGTGGCCACTGAACCTGCATGGTGTGCTGTTTCTCAAATCATATTTTAGTTTCTCTCAGAGCTCACTGAACATGACTGGGGCTTTTATTTGATTAAGAAATAGAAGTTTAGTCAAGATTTTCATTCTCGGCTAAGCTTTCTGTCTCCACACTTTTCAGATATGTTTTTTTATTTGTTCCATGGCAACTGTGTGAAGCATCTGGGACTGCATGGCAAGTGTTTTTATGTTTGTGTTGGAGAAAAATGAGAGGTAGACAAAGATGACTAGGACAGTGATACAGGGATGGATGAGGCAGAAAAATGAGAAGGTTACCTGTAGTAAGAGAAAGAGCAGCCAAAGAAAACGTGTGTTTATGCTTCTTTTTGTTTGCAAGCTTACTCATGAATGTCCCGCCCGGGGGGCTTCACCCACGGTTCAGTAATCCCTGCAACCTGACACCTCCCAGCATGGTGAATCAGCCTCCGTGGAGAACTGCCCGTCAGTCAGAACAGCCTCCCTGAGGTCTGACCCTCACAACAACAACTCGTGCTCCTCCTGCACACAGTCACAGTGTGTGCCACCCTTATCATAACCTCGCGTTAGAGCTCACTGTGAACCTAACAACACAAACGAATTGAGGTCCAGACCCAATGTTGTCAGAGGATGATGTTAAAGATAGTACTGTACATATTTTCCCCTGTTATCATTTATTATTGTTTTTTACTTTTAGTATACTGTCAGCTCCTAAAGAAAAGATTTCTCTTAGATCCTGATGTTTATATCTCCAGTTTTTTCATAGTGGATTAATTCATTAAAGACATTTCTAAAGGAAATTTAAAAAACAGGAGTGTTTGTTCAGGTGCACAGCAGACACTTACCCCCCTTACACCACTTTCCGGCATTAAAAATTAGGATGTAAAAATCTTGAATCTTGTCGCTAATTGTCTTGTTTGCTTTTAGATATCATGAAAAGACTACCCCAAATTTCAGTCTATTTCATAAGCAAATTCTTCACAGTAGCTTAAAGTGTTTTGTTTCAGCTTTTGTTTTTTTTTTAGCAGGATGAAGGTTAAGTCAGACTTTTATGACAGTCAGTGGAGAGCATAGCATGGGACTCGGCTCCATCAGCACCATCAGCTGCACTTTTAGGAGAGACGGAGCAGCAGCACCCATAAGATTGTAGATGATAGCATATCTATAACATGATTAAAGTCCCACTCTGCCAGTGTTCTCAGTGGTCTTTAAATTGTTAGATTATTCAGTTTTTTCGTCAAAATCATGTTATATGTGTAATTTTCAAGCTCTTTTCTTCTGCAGAGCTCCAGTAGCTCATTAGAAATTTGCCTCGGAGTCGTGGTCGGTGACAGCACTGTTCTACACACTCCTCTTCATATTAGCTTTCAGCCTAACATTGCCGGTGTAGTAGAAGTGGCAGGTAAAATAGGAACTATTCAGCTCTCTGACACTAATGTCATTAGGGGGCATGATGAAAGTTAATATCATAATTAGCTTTCTTACGAGCACTGCAATCCGCTAACGCACATACTTGTTCTGCAGTCGTCCTCTCTACTTTTCTGAGTCTGGTCTGTGTAGCGGGGCTCTGGGGGCGGAGCTTGGATTTGTGATGTAAGAAATCTCACTGTGTCTGAGCCTGCCGTTTGGGTCTGCCAGAGATTCACAACGATTTAAACACAGAAATATTCAGAAATGCAGTTTTGCACTTATTTTTCTCATGTTATCTCCTGTAGCACCAGAAAAACACCATAGGAACAAGTAAAAAACAAGAAAAACAGGATTTTCAGAGCTAGTTTACCTCCCCCATGCATTTGAGTTACAATAATTTTACCATAAACATTTTAAAAGCATAGAAATTTATATTGAACTATCGTATCCCCTGTATGATTCAGGGGCATTTCTGTATGAAAACTTCAGTCTTTGGTGACCGATCTCATGTTGAGATGATAAATTGTGACATTTCGAGGTGATGCTCTTTTATAGCAGATGTTTCATTGCTGACGTAGTCCTCCCTCATTCTCTTTTTGCTGGCATGTGGGGCCATCTTTGTCCTTCACAGCAGAACACAACAATCCCTCCAGAGGCCATTTCTGCCGAATAACTTCTGAGTACAGCAGATTATACTTATTTTCACACCATGCATATCTCAGGAACATTAACACAATGTAGACCAATTTAAAATAAACCGTAGGGTTTCAAGCAGAGAGGTAGTCCAAGCTGTTCTTTTGAAGTTTGCACTTTCCTCTTATTTCACAGCGTTTACTTTCGCCTGCCTCATATTCAGGGACGAAAGTCGAAGGACACTGATAAAGAAAGGTTTGTTTTAACTTGAGCACAGATAACTGCACGTCTTTTGAGTGAGTTTTAGTCCTGGAGCAAAGCAGCATCAGCTGTCTAAACAACATTACCCCCCTTACATGAGGCATCGAGACAGCTTAGTTTATTCTTTTTCGTTTTGCTCTGATCCTAAGAGAGTGTTTGGGTGTATTTTCTTGCGCTACGTTGTCTCACTCAGTGTCCTGAATGTTCCATCTCAACAGAGATGTGTTTAAAGGGATATACCGGCGTAAATTTAAGTTATGGTCAAACACACCCTAACACCAAGTTAGACACCCCCTCGAGAGATGAATGTTGCCGACTACTTGGTTCTTTAGTAACGACCACACGATAGCAATACACAGCGGTCTATGTCCCTGTGCACAAACCTCAACCACTCTCTTCCGCTTGTTTGTTGGGGAGCCCTGATGAGTCGATCATTGAGTGCAGCAGAGTTCCGCAGCTCGTCGTCGATTTCTTCCGCTTCATCCGGGTCGCGGGGGCAGCAGCTTCAGGAGGGAAGCCCAGACGGCCCTCACCCCAGCCACTTACACCAGCTCCTCCAGGTGGATTCCCAGGCGCTCCCAGGCCAGGCAAGAGATATGATCCCTCCACCTGGTCCTGGGTCAGCCTCGTGGTCTCCTCCCGGTGGGACATGTCTAGAACACCTCTAACAGGAGGCGTCCAGAAGGCATCCTAGCCAGATTTTAGTTCCGCAGCTCAAGGAACAAAATTTATGATTATTACATCTGCAGTGCAAAATGATTATTATGGTGATTATTACTTAATGGAAGTGATCTGCTTCACTCAGTGATCGACTCGTCAGTGGTTCCCTATAAACAAGCGGCTGCTGGAAGAGAGTAGGTGAGTTGTGTTTAGTCTCTTTGCTAAAGAAATTAGGCAAAGTTAAAAAGATGTTTGGTGTCTAGTACTATGGCTGGGACCCTATATGTACTGTTGATGGAGTTAGGTGCTGTTCTGAGCATTATTTGTGGCTACAGAGTGGCTTTATACTTTACTTTTGCAGTGTTCTAAGTTTTTACATAGTTTTTCATTTTTAATGTATATCTGTTGCAAACATTAATTATTAGCCAACTGATAATTGGTACCCATGTTGGCCCTGGAAACACTAACATCCTTTCCTGATCAACATCAACAACAACATCCTCAGAATCACTATCATCAGTTTTCATTGTGAAACAAAAAACATTTTCAAGAGAGGTAGAGCAGGGCTGTGAAAAAAGAAAAATACAGTTACCTTACAGATGTATTTATTTAGCCAATAATGTGTAACCTGCTCTGATTTTCAGTCAAAATTGGCAGATTTTGGGATTTCCTACAGCTGTGAAATTACAGCGTAGTGCATCACACCTCTAAAGAGCCAGTGAAGCGAATGTAAGACATTCATTGAAGAGAAACATGAAAGAAGACTGCTGCGAAAAGGTCGACAAAAAGACGGGTAGAAAATGAGAAGAGCGCAGAGAACTAAAGAGACCCAGATAAGAGAAAGCAGTGATCAATGATTTGAGTTTGTCACATCTCATGAATACAGTACTCCCCTCCATTCAGAGCCAAATGAGATATGAGAGCGCTTGAGAGGATTTTTATAATGGCTGAGCTCTGATTTTGGCCTGAACAATACCGAGATCATGTTTCAAATGGCAGAATGAAGGACAGGGGTTCACATGAACTCTTGTCAGTGTGTGGTACTTCATATTTGATAGTTCACTTAATAACAAAAGCTTTCTTTCACCTTTATTTCTGCAGAAATTTATTGGGTGTGAGTGACCTTTTCTGATCCAGACTGAGTACTGTCTGGTGTAGACGAGTTTCTTTTTGTGAAGGTCACAAAGCGGCTCAGACAGCACAAAAGGCTACGAAACCACTGATCAAGGGTAGGAGGTAAAGTTTTCACCACAGCCTTGGGGCGTGACGCGTTAAAGGAGTTCATGAGCAAAAAACAAACTACTTCACAAAACTATGCAGAGGGTTGAATGCACCAAAAACTGTAAAGAAATAACATCTCTGTGCACTCGTTTGTGTATATTTATAACTGTCACAACTGACTTACAATAGCAGCAACTGGCTGCTGGATTAGGAGTGTCAGTGTCAGTCGTTTACTCAACTTTGGCACATTATTTTTCTACTTTTTTTAATGCCTTTTTTCAGAAACAGACTGTCCCAGATCACTTTAAACTCAAAAGTGGAGGAATTATTCTCATGTTCAGTCACAGTGTGAGTCAGCAATGACATTGGGCAATTGTCCAAGCCGATCAATAAAACTAAATTCCTATCAGCTATAGTCTGATCACTGTGATGAGGATTGGGGCATTAAGCTCTAAAACCTGAACAAATTTGCTGCTCTGCCAGACTTTGTAATTAAATTCTCCACTGGGACAAATTCACCTGCAAGCTCTGTGTTGTGTCCTTGAGATATATGACCCTCTATAACAGAGCTAAGAACCCGTAAACTCGGTAACATCTGTTTCACCAGCAGCAAAACACTCCCCACAGGGGCTTTGGCTAGTTAAGAGAAAAAAAAATTAACACTGATGTCCAAGAGGATTGTTTAGTTCTTCTTAATTAAGATTAATGTTTATCCCAGCTCTAATTAGTGGTGGTAAGACAAAGCAATTACCATCACACTGATCTTTGTTCGTGGTTTTCTTTAGCAAAGGTGAACCACGAGTGAGCCTGGATGATAGTTTTAATCAGAAAACAATTACCCAGGTATAGGACAAGATCAGTACAAGTGTAATGGACCACTTTCTCCACTGGGGGCACAACAATCCAGCTTTAAGATACACATATTCATCATAAACAGTTGTTAGTGTATTAGTACAGCAGAAATATATGTGCTTCAATATTTTTGAGCTGAAGTATTTTTTTCTTCCTATTTTCATAATTTTTTATCCTCATTAAACTTGTGAAACTCAGCCTACATTGCAGTGTTTTTTCCATTCCATGGGTTTTAAAATATTAAATATTTAGAGCACTTGGCAATTATTATTCATCCTCCTTTATGCACACAGAGAAGTGTAATCTGAGGGACCTCTAACAACTTCAAAAAACACACACGAGTTAAAAATTAAACAGAGCTGAAAGTCTGCAGCCTCTTGGCCTGACCTATATTTTCCAGCCATGGGTATTTCGCCCCCCCACACAACAAGAATATCAGGCATGCTTGGCTTTTCCAGCCCACCCATCACGTTGGAAGGCCGGCATTGTTCGTTGTTGTGAGAAGTGAGAGAAGTGCATTTTCAAAGGACTGTGGGCTGTGAGGCAGACGCAGGGGTTTGAGGGTCGAGCCTGTCTGTTAAGCGGTTGGTATTTCTGTGAGTGAAGGATTGGGGAGTTTGCTCCGATGCCGGCTGAGGAGAATAACAATGACTCCGGGCATAATCAGTTCTGCACAGCCACAGCTCATTTGGGCTTCGATGTGGACTAACGGTGGGAGTTTCTGAAATAGCAACAAAACACGAACACACAAACAGGGCTCAAAGATGATGGTGGGCGCAATATGACGATGTAGAATTAGATTTTTACGCAGATTTTTGTTGACCTGAGCCTCAAAGTGCATCGCAAAGAATATATAAGAAAGCTTGTGAACAGCTCCAGACATGGATTAAAACAATCAATCAGGACACATTACTTAATCAATAATAGGTTTACTTGGCACCTGCACTAAAGAAGCATTTCTCAAGTAGGGCTGGGTGATATCTTTAGAAAAATTGATTTTATCATTTTTTATTTTTCCCTTGAAAATTAGCTACAAATGACAAAGACATGACTGTAAATACTGGTTTGGAGTCAAAAACAATGGGAGTGTTGGAGGAAGTTCAAAGATTAAAAACTAGTTTGTTTGTTCTTTTAACTCTTGCAAAAATAAAATAGCTAGGGTGACCATAGTCTGACTTCCCAAAAAAAGGACACGACTATGTGGGGGCGGAGTCACGGAGTTGCACAAAGTTAATCTTGAGGGTTTTTCGGGTCGGATCAAGTGTCTTTTACACGCTTCTAACTCAGTAAGTCCGCATGACACAAACTCGAAACTTACATACGAAACTGCAGACATTTAAAGGATTTTATAAACTTCCCCAGACAAACCCGGACAGCCGCCAAAAAAGACGGACATGTCCAGGTAAAAGAGGATGTATGGTCACCCTAAAATAGCAAATGAATCAATTTAATTGATTTATTTACAGCCCTATTTATCAAGTTTGACTATGGTCGGCAAAATAGATTTCAGATTTTTGCGATCCAATCTCAGAAATGGATTCAGTGGCAGGAAATCATCATCTAGGTCATTAATACTGATCGGACGGATGGTTCTACCAAGTTCAAATGGGATGTGTCCATGATGATTGAGGACCACCTACTGGAGCAGGCTTCACCTGCCTTAGCTGTTAGCAGGATTGTCCTCATTTTCTGTTAGTTTGGCTGCTGAGATCTTGTCTGGGTCACACTTTGTCCAGACCCCTCCTTAAAACGTTACCACCTGACTTTCCCATCTTGGAGCGGTAGCAAATTGGTTTTCAATGCCATGAGGCCCCTTATCTGCTCAATTTGTAGGTTTGATGAAAATCAGTGTTGGCTGAATGTATCATCCAAAGCAAATAAAACATGCAAAGATAAATCTTCATGTCTATTCAAAGAAATCAGTTTCTATATGAGCCTAATGGCAGAATTCAACATAATTATATTCACAAAGAGGTAAAAGAGGCCAATCACAGCCCTGTGGTGCTGTGCTACAGAGAGATAACACTGAATTGCTGAAATGTGTCTCAGCATATGAGCTCAGTAGTTCTCTTAAGAAAATGTAAAGAGCAGAGGAACATTTCTGCGTGCTTGCTAAAGAAAAAAAAAAAGTCTCTTTTCACTCTCACATTCCTCCTATTCTCCATGAATCTGATCTGAGTTGGTAATGGAAATGAAGCCTACTTCAAACCTGAATACCTAATTAGACTGTGAAACAGAGATACACACTGCTCACTTTCCATTACAGCACATTCTTCTGCAGAGACATTCGTACAGCATGTTATCTGAATGTAAAGCTAGTCATTTCAGGTCAAATGCACGGTGGAGTGTCCAGCAGAGAGGAGTGAGAGGTTGTGTGCTCAGCAGGAAGCTTAGAAGCAGCAGCATGAGGAGAAGAGTCAAGAGGTTATTATGTCTAACGTTGAAATCTGTGCATCTTACCGCTTTGTGCAAGCAAATCAATTCCATGCTCATTTAATTCAGCACAGCAAAGCCTCAAGGTTAAAGCTGCAGCCGACAAGGGCAAAGACTTCACCCCTAATTCTCCGCTTTCTCTTTTTAAACGTAAACTTTGAATGCACCAGGGGGAAAAAAAGAGCTCCATGTTTGTGTTTTCCTGCGTACAGTTACAGCAGAACTAAAAAAAAAATGCAGGCTTGGTTTCCGCTCAGTCTTTGATATTTTGTATCTCAAGAGATTCAGCTACCAGCTGATTTAAAATGGCTCATGAAATACCGAGTGACGCTGCACTCGACGGAGGTGATGGCTGACTGGAGATGACTACACTGCTGTGTAAGTGCTCGAGCAGCATTTAAAAAGGATGCATGGACGACTGGAGCTTACATGACTTCCAGTTTAGTCAGCAAGTCTTACAGCCATGTGCGTGAAGAGTGTGTTTGTGTATGCAAGTCTGTGAGTGTGAGTGAATAATTCATTATCTAGTTAAATTCATATAGTACAGCCTTTAGGGTCCAAAGAGAGTCAAAATCTAAGTATAATCAGATCTGATTCAATTTACAGAGCAATGCATGCATTTCTTATTCTAAATAACAGGTATCAACATTCCTGACTGTTTGAAGGCTGAGCCAAATAAAAGGATGAGCTCAGAATCAGCCGCTTAATTTAAGTGACAGCAACCTCCAAGTTAGTAACCTACAGAAATACTCACCTTCAATCTGTCCTGTAATCAAGCCCAAGCCCTCTTTATTTTATTTTATCTTATTTTTTTTTATAAACAACTTATAACAAACATTGCTTTAGCATTTGTGCAATAATCTAATGCTTTAGATAGGACATTACATGGGAGATGAATACATTTAGATTGGGTTTCCGTCTAAAGAAAGTCTTTGCATTTGTACATCATAGAGACATACCGCCATTTTTTTTGTCTCTTTTATAATTGATCAAAAACTGATCACAGAAGCTTCAATTGGGTGATAAATTGACAGATCCATTAAATAGTCCGTCTCAACTGAAAATCAGGACTTTAATCCAACTCGGGTATGAGTCTACGCCTGAACTTGATTCTGAGTCCTGAACTTAAGTACCAGAACCCTGCCTTCTATCTGGCAAACAGTCCACAGATTTTTTTCCCATTAGGGTGCTGTCATGATGGTTGCCTTGACCTTTCTTCAGAGCCCTGTCTCTGTGAAAGTGGATCATGGCTGTGTGAATTAGGGTTGTGATGAAAAAAAATGACTCTGTTGTTTGACGGCCACTGAGGCGACAGTAAATGTCAGTACTATGGCAGGTGTACTGAAGGACAATTGGACGATTATCAGACTGGTCTGCTGATAAATTTGTGTGTTCAGCCATCTTGTGTAGTTGCTTTCAATCTGGAGGTAACTCAGCGTCTGCTGCTACTTGCTGACTGAGACAGCAGAGTAGATAGTTGGATTTAAGTCAGAAGATAAGCCGTCTCATATTTACTCCTTATTTTTACTTCTTAAGTTTTCTATTTCAGACATCCTGTTACCCATGACTTCACAACTATATGCTGTTATACATGCTGTTACTCTGGTTTTACATCAATTTTCAGAGAGCTCTGACAGCACCATTGTAGATTTATTTTTGACTGCTCAGCTCAGTGAAATGTGCACACTTCCATGTGTTATCCCAGAATGCTCCATAGCTGCGACACTCGCGTCACGAGCCAAGAAGCGAGTCTGTGGTGGCAGGCTGCCCGGCTGATCTCATTGCAGTGTGAGATTCAGCATCACTGTGAACCATCTCAGATAACTTCAAAGTGTGAGACGACCAAACCCCAAAAAACGCATCACACACACACACACACACACACACTGCCAGCTTTATGATGCTGAGTCGACCACACAGCCAGGTCACTGGGAGCAAAGCCAGACTGTCCTAACTTGGCCCTCTAATAACAGTATGACAATTATATACACCTCTAAGTCTCAGATTAGTTAGAGTCATTAAAAGGTCAAAGCTTTTGTGGAATTGGAAGTTCCTGAAACTGGTGGGATTTGCTTTTTTTTCTTACTTTTAATGGGAAACACTCTTCTTTTGCAGATCAGAAGACGTAGACCCACACCAGCAACTTTGGTGGCATCCAGTGATCAATCCTCACCTGGTAAGACAGAGACACACAATACATGATCATGTCATTTCTGGATTACTGTGTGTGAGAAAACTGCACTGATTTAATATAATACTTTGAGGTTACAGCTGAGGTGGCCAATTGTTCATAGACTGTAGGTTTGAGGGAAACCTCAGACAGAAAACAGGTCAGGAACTGCATTAATTTTCTGATGCTTGATTTGATCCAGAAAGTTCTTCCGTTTTGACACCAGATATTTGCGTTATTGTTTCGTATAACAGCTGTTTGTATTCATGGAGGACTAGGAGGCACGTACATTGATTGGCCAGAATATTGTGTTGGTGGATGATGTTGCATTGCAGTCTGGACTCCTCTGTGTTTCAGATGTACAAGCTTTAGAATTCTATCAGTGTAATCAAAGGTTAAGACAAACATACAAGACATTATTACCAACCCAGACAATTAAAAAAGGAACTCCTGTTTGTCTTTTACTGACTTATTTTCTGAAAGATAAAAATGATCAACCAAGAAAATGTTAGAAATATTCATTTATGATGTAAAAACAAGAAGGAGTAGGTAATCTATGATAGGGCAGAGCGATAAACTGAAAATTTACCGAGATTTACGACAATAACCGATGTCATTTTGCCCATACTGGTATATTTGGTGTCAAAAAAGTAAATAAATAAAAGTTGGTTTTGGATGTGTGTAGGTAGGCTATGGTCTCATGTCTCTTTAAAACACTGTCCTATATCAGAGACGTGACTCCACCCCATCTAGTCCGTAACAAAGAGGGAAAGACAGGTGAGGAGATGGAGGATGGTTCAAAAGTTGGAGCAGCTGGAGCGGCGGCTATGGTCACCCTACGTAGTACCCATGCAAGCATTTCCAACTTAGCAGCTTTATGCTGATGATACAGTCTTATATGTTCCAGCAAGTACATCCAATGAAGCAGCTAAGAGATTATTATCGTATATGATTTGGGTGTGCAAGCTTACTGTGAATGAAAAAGACAGTCTCTGTGCGCTTTTCCATCAAAAAACAAGACAATCGGAAAAGCAGCAAAGTGGGAAAAACTAAAAACAAACATGGCAACACTATAACACACTAACCTGGTATCATGTGCTCAGTTTGGATCATTTTTAACATTTACATACTTGATACTGGTTTTTAGACGCTTGCAAATTTTAGCACCAAAGATTTGTGCAAATTATTCACCAGGCAAAACAATTCCAGGCACACCAGGGGCACTGCTAGCGGCAATGTTAAAGTTGCACATTGGGAAAAAAAAAACTCCTTTGGGCTTTTTTTTTTCTCCATAAAAGGCTCTCCAATGTGAAACACGCTGCCAATCGAAATAATTAACATAAACCACCTCATTAAAAATAAACTAGGGGTTTGGTAAAGTTGACGGACAGGTGGGTGTGCTGTAGCTGTTCAACATGAGTTTAATAAAAAAATGTCTTAGTTTCACCTCTTTAACTGTCCAGAAACTATGGCGAGCTAGAACATCAGCAATATTGCTTCTTCAGATGCTTCTTTGTTTGATGGTTGTGATTAAGCAGCTCAACTGTATCATGCACCAAATGAGTCTCTCCCTGCATTATGACAGGGAAAATATGTTTGTGTGTGTGTGTGTGTCCTCCAGAGGGACCTCAGTGATCAAACAAAACAGTGCTCTCCTCTCTAGAGTTATCTTGTTCGATGAGTCATCTCCGGCTCCCTGCTTCATATTCTCTGCCTCTGCATGTGTGTGCGAGCATGTCTGTGTGTGAAATGTGACCCAGCACAGAATTAACAGATGATCAGCCAGGAATGTGGGGCACATGAGAGTAATCTCCTCCAGGTGAGAAGCAGAGGGTGGCGTTCTGTGTTTACTATGAATAAATGAGAGCTAATGCGTCAGCGAGGAGACCCTGCAGAGACTCACACCGTCGCATTGTTTAGATTAGCGTTTTATCAGAGAGCTCCCTAATTAGGGTTTTATCTTGAAAACAACAACAGTCTAATTGTGTCTGATTTAAAATCCCTGTCTTTGTGTGTGATCTGTTTGCTGATATGTGTGTGAGTGTGTGTACCAGTGTGTGTTTGTCTCAGTAATTGGATGCTGAGCGTGAGGAGTGTCTCAAAGTCATCCTTGATCTCTGAATGAACGTGCAGGGAGAACCCTTCACAATTCTCCTGCTCAGCAGATCCGAGGCGAGAGCAGAGAAAAGAGAAACAGGAAACTTCAGAGGCCGTCGAATGGAGGCTTTTGTTTAGTGAAGGAATGAGAATGTGAAATAGGAAAACAAGAAGAAACTGAGATGAAGTACTGAAGGGAAAGTGGTTGTATTTGTATTTCTTAGGTAATAATATTAGTTATTGCAAAATAAAAAAGGCAGAATTCTTCTCGAATATCAAGCGCAAAAGGATTTGCTTCATAAATTGGCCTTTTTTCGTCATCCCTATCTAACTGTCAGATATGCACAAAGATGAAACTTCAAGGTTTGGTATAATCGCTCTTGTGTGCACTGGCTTTAGGCATGGTAAGCCACTGAGTAGATGTGCTTTTCTGCATCAACTTCACCAACTATAAAGACATATGGAGTTAAATTTGCATCAAAAACATTTCACTAAATCTCCTGAGTAAGGTCTGCACTAGGAATGGGCACAATTAATGGATTAAAGATTGTTAAGAATTACGTAGATCACACAATATTTCAATCAATCTAACATTATTAAAAAGGGCTGACAGGGTGTGTCCATCCTCCAGCTGCTTTCCAGCAAACGTCAACTTCTGCTGATCAGGAGGGAAACCCTCTTTGTCCAGTCAGTGTGTGTTTGTTCAAGCAATGCTAACTATCACCGCACAGAAGGATTTTGACATTTTACAAGGGGGGTGATACAGCGTCAGCGGGCGATTTTGGGAGACAGTCCACTTTTTGGATGACCTGTCCCCAGCTTAAGTTGTCACCGGAAATATCCCAGATTTTAGCGTTTCATGAACAAGAAAAAAACAACGATTATTACAATAGCTGCGCAGGTAGGAAGCGTGCCTCAGCATGTAACATGCAGTGCTTGACAACAACGGGGGGATGTTCAATGAGGAAAAAAACGTTTTTTTGCGTATTTTCTACCATTCACATAAAAAAAGATCAAATCGATGATTGATCGTTAATTTATATGACTAATCAATCAAAGGACTTTTTTAAAATGCCGATTCCCAGTCTGCACTACTCTCATAGTTGTATTGGACCTCAGAGGCTATACAGCAGGGAGCCACATACTGTAGAAAATTACAGTAAGAAGATACACCCGGCTGGTTTGAACAGTCCAAAATAGGGTGCTTAATTGGTTTCTATGTAGCAAGAATAGGTGTAAGTGGTACATTATCAATAAGAATATATGTAATATATACATACACTCTCATCAGGGGTTGTAACACTCAGAATTGGATTTGAATGTTGGTCAACTTTAAGAGTTTCCCAATTGACTGTTAAAGTATTTGGTGCGAACACTGGCTTTCCCGTAGTATTTAAGCCAGACCCTAACCAAGCTTACACACAACACCAAGGATCCTCAAACAAGTTTCCTTGCAATGCTTCATGAGTTAATATGCACAGCATCTCTTTTAATGATGAGGCACACACTCTTTGTTATCGCAGCTTGTTATACAGAGGTCATTACATTCTCTGCATCTACATGGAAAAAATCTAAATAACCCTGAGAACTTTGCACACTAACAATGAATCCTCCAGACTCATAGATAAAACACATTTACTTCTGCCAGTGAGTATCACAGTGTGTTTACATGCAGAGTTAATCTGAGCGATGTTTATGGCTCTGGCTGCTGATTTAACTGGATTACTGGCTTTGCCGCAGTTTACAAGCACCAGACGAGAACCATTCATTGACACAAATATCTCTGCCTTTGCATTATGTCCCTTTTCAGCAAGTTACAATAAGACTGTCTCCTGGTTGACCTGTTGCATCATAAACATAAACAACTGACAAAGAAGTCAGCAAGAGGCCGGTTGTTCGTCCAACGGTGAAAACATGGACTACTTTACAGTTCAGCACCTTTATTACCTAACACATCTTTATTCTTCTTCTGTGGAGGTTTTATTTACTACCCTGCTTCCTTTAGTGCGCTTACACTGTTCAACATCCAGGTCAAGGACGAGCATATGAACTCCAGAGCATGTGTGCAGAGCGTTGTACTGGTTGTATCCATGTAGTATACAGATTTGAAGCCAAAAATCTCTCGGTAATTTCGCCTTTTTTCTCCACTTCCTGAAACCATTGTACGCATTCGGCAGGAGAGTCGCTGTGATGGTGCTCTGATCAAACAGCGTACACCCATAGGACTGTATTAAGTGTCAATCATAGAAAACATGAACCTCCTAATAACTTTTAAAAATGGAGCCGCACAGAAAAAAAGGAGGACTTGAGCACAAACCAGTCCTAAAGTAACTACATGTCAACATCGTTTGTCCACAACTCCATAAGGATTGCTGGAGGAGGCGGGATTTATGACCTATACCGCAGCCCGCCACCAGAGGGTGCTGTTCTCAGGGGTGGCTTCATCCAGCGAGGAAGTAGACGGCGTCCATTCAATATACAGTCTATGGTTTAGGCCAGTTTGGGTCTTGTGAGGTGTATCCATTCAAGACAAAAGCGATTCCCAAACTACATAACCAAGAATACCAGTGCGACAACAAGTCAGTCTAAATGTGCAAATATGTATTTTAAAAGTTTTTACCTTTAGGCGCAAAAATGCATATTTAATATCATGAAACTGCGTTGAGTGTCCGTTGGTCCAGATGTTTGTTTTTTTTAAAACCTGTTCTTCAAATGACCACAAAATGTGTTCTTGCGTTAACAGTGTGCAGACCCTGAATGCTACTAGCTTTAATAATCGATTTACCTCTAATAGTTGTCCTTCATTTATACTCTCTGTTTAACCATCCAAACAACCATTAGTTTAACAGATGTAGATGCTGTTGCAGGTCTTGTAATATGCTGGTTTTACTGAAAATATTTGGAAAGTGAGGCTTGCATATAAGTGAAAAGTTGTGTGACAGTTTTAAATTTTGATTGACTTGTATTTTTTACACACAGGGCTAAATACAGCATGTGTGTTCCCATAATGCAACACTGTAAAAATGAAAAATCCCAAACTGAAGACATGAATAAAAGATGAGCTGACAGTGATTGACAGACAGGCGGCAATGGAAACAGACATCAAATCAGACACAATCACAGAGGGTTAGACATTTGTGTGTGTGAGTGTGTGTGTGTGTGTAAGTGTGTGAAAATGTGCAAGAGCGGAGGAGGGAGTGGAGGAAGAGGAGGAGGGGGGTGGGGAGGAACAGATATGATGATGAGGAAGAGGAGCGCTGCTGGTGCAGTAATGGTGTGCCCCACATCAGACAGAGCCCTGCATTATTTAATGCTGTGCAGATTACTGTGGCCTCTGCACTGTGAACCCCAATCGCACATCAGAGGAGCAGCCACATGGAGACATACAGACGACGAAGAAGCAGCTGCAGGCTGAATAATGAGGAAGAGGAGAGCCTTATCCCAGTCTTACCACAGGGGGAAGAGGAGGAAGGTTTTTGTGGGGGATTCATGTCTTTACTTAATTAAAAAACCCCAAAACAAAAGTGAATATCTATGTCTATGTATCTATATTGCCTCAGTATTTTATGTCGCCTGAGCTGCTAACATTTGGAAGTGAATATTTTATGTTTTCCTGATGAATGGTAATGGTAGAAAGTGGTGATACTTTTCTTTAAATCTGCACCGGAGCAGCTTCTGGTGTGCAGACTTTATCTCTTTTATTTAAGCTGAGATTTGATCACATAAATCACAGCAGTGCTCTGATTTGCACGCCATTTACGGATGCAAATAACCATCTGCCCACATAAAACAATCGTGTTATGTAGAGCTCTTAAAGTGAGACACTTCATCTCAACACACAGCAGCAGCTGCTCTGTGGGTTTCAAATGAAGTGTTCTGCCACCTGTAACACTGGCATATATATGGAGCTATTAGCATGAGGAGAGTTGTATCATTTTGATTGGATTTTATAGTAAAAAACCTTGTTTGATTCATACAGGCTCACTCAGATCCTGATGATAGAAACAAAAATAAAGACTGTGAAGGCTCAGCATAGAAATCGTCTACAACCAGATGATCAGTAAACCGCTCTTTTATAGAAAGATTAGTTTTGCAGGTTCATGATGATGACATGGTAGGGGCGTGAGATCAAACAATCTTAGATCGTGAAGGACTAAAAAGTGAGAACTTTCTGCCGAAGCACAAGGATTGTAGAACCGTCTGAAGAGTGCATTGTATCCATAACGTGTGTCTAAATAAACTTATTGTAAATATTTTTGTAAATACTGACTTTTGTACTTCAAGTGTTATTTTAGGTTCAAATTTATTTGAGAATGAGACCATCCAGTTAAGATAAATGTTTTGCTGTTCATTGTTAAAATCTGGATGTTTTATTTTACTTATTACTTCTATTACTTCTTATTTCATTTTTTCCATACTGCCCACCCCATAGACTGTATATAGAATGGACAGTGTCTGCCTCCTCGCTGGGTGAAGCCACCCGAAAACAGCACCCTCTGGTGACAGGCTGCAGTATAGGTCATAAATCCCGCCTCCTCCAGCAATCCCTATGGAGCTGTGGACAAACTTTAGAAATTAATTACACAGAATATAAATTTTTCTCCCCCCTGGTTGTGATGTTGACATGTAGTTACTGTAAGACTGGTTTGTGCTCAAGTCCTCTTTTTTCTGTGCAGCTCCATTTTTAAAAGTTATTAGGGGGTTCATGTTTTCTATGATTGACACTTGATACAGCCTATGGGTTTATGAAGATTGCGTAGCTCACCCAGTAGAGTTGCTGTTTGAGCCGAGCGTCATCACAGCGACTCTTGGCGACTCTCTGACTCTCACTGCGCAATATTGGTTTCAGGAAGTGGAGAAAAAGCGTGAAATTACAGAGAGCTTTTCGGCTTTAAATCTGTATACTGGCGGAAGGCGAAACTAAGTTGTCCATTGTATATACAGTCTATGGCCCACCCCTATGACAGGGTGATTGTTTTTATCAAGTTACACATAATTTTTTCACTTTGTTGTATTCATGTAGAGTTTCTAATTAATCTAAGATGGTTAAACTGTGACAAAAAAATAAGGTGAGACAGAAAGCAGAAGTTTTACAGAAATACCTAGCAGAATAAAACTGTCTCATCTCCATGAACAGATCCACAGATTAAGACATATGCCATCGTAATCCTACGTTTTACAGAATAATGTATTCATTGTGTAATGTTTTTCTCAAAGACCTGTAACTGGAGGGGTTTTCCTCCAAAGTGTTGTTTAAAAAGGTGTGCCCTACTCCCCTCGGGGGATTAAACACAAGATTAAGCTTGCAGTGGTAATGAAATAAGCGCATTTCTAATTGTTATTCAGAATCAGTGGAACATAGTTATACACCTGTTGTTTTTTAAGGTTAAATGCTGCACTTGTTTGGTTGACTGTGATGATCCTAATTGCTGTTTTGAGCACTATAGCTATTTATTTCTTTGCCTTTGTTATGACAAGAGTGGGTTTGAATACAGTTCATTGTTTGTTTATTTGAACTCAATAAGAGAGCAGAAGAATAAAAAGATTTTTTTTTCTTTGATATTAAAATAAGGGAAGCGCACGCTTATTTTCCTCCCCCACTTCATTTTTTTTCCCCCTCTTCACTGAGCAACAGTAAACACATGTAGAACAAAGACAACATAACCTTTAAACATACTACTGTCTGTGCATAGATGTCTCTTTCTTTTAAATCTGAAACACAGCCTGGTTGTCTTGATTTTGCTTGCCTCTTTTAGTGTGCTGCATCTAAACTATAAAGCCACACAGTCTCCAGCAGGAAGCTAAATTTGACCAGCTGGGCTAAATAAAGTGGAGGCAGAAGACTGGTCCCCGTTTTATTCTGGCTTTCTGTCAGACTGACAGTCAGCTGGGAGTTGCAGTGATGGACTCATCAGTGCCAGAGAGGCTTTTTATCATTGGCCTTTTTCTCTGACTCGGCAGCACAGATGGGCTCAGTACAGACAGAAAACAATCTGAATGTAGCAGCTGATTAAATTCATATTTATGTTTCCCTGACCAATAATAAGATTCTACCAGGACTTCTACTATGATTACATCAGCCACTTCTGCAACTGCTTTTTCATGCCACTATCTTTTAAATCAAACAAAGCTGCTTACTGTCTGCGGATAGATTTCTCTGAGCATGCTTGACAGGAAGTCAAAATTTTAATCAAACTTGTAAATGTAGTCCATATGTGGTGAAACAGCAGCAGGATGATCAACAGGTATAAGTTAAAATGCATCATTTTACAGCGACTCAAGAGTTAAAAGCATATGCTTTGACACTCTGATATCAGAGCAGGCTTTCAATAGTTAAAGACACTTAAAATATCTGTTTTATAAAGTAAATAATCAAGGGAGGAAGGGTAATTTAAGATATACTATATATCTTAATATATTGAGAATCTGATTTTCCTTCTGTATAATTGTTTAATTGTAACAACCTGACAAATAAGATACAATACGATATGTGATATATAACACAAAACATTTCTATAAAATAATCTGATACAATTTGATACAAAACGAAACAATTCTATACGATACATGAAAAATAACGCAAAACAGTTCTATAGATTATGATAGGATACAATTTGATGTAAAACGAAATGATACAATTCGATAAGATACGATACAGTTCAGTAAATATGATTCATAAGATGTCACGAAGTTTAATAGATCAGATTTTATAAAATATGATGGACCACTATGGTCTACATTGATGCCATTTGTAAAGATAGAAAATGACACAATAGGAAAGAATGGGTTTCAATACATTTAACATTATATGATAGGCCAGGATGCTCTTCCATGCTACTGTATGTTACAATATAATGCAAGACATTTCAAGAGAACATAAAGTAACAGAATAAAAGAACAGATAGCAAAACACAATAGGACGTAATAGAATCAGATACTTATGATAGGATATTAAATGATATCTTGTAAGAGGATGAAATGGGCTAAAGTTAAATGGCATACAGTTTAATAAGGCAGAATATGAAATAAGACAAAACTTTTTACTGTTATCATGGATCGACATCATTTCACACATGCATTAATACAATTTTGTTATTTTGAAAATTCTTTGTAGCTCCTACATTTTACTTTCTGTTTCAATTTCTGCAGCTTTAGAAATTGTTCCAAATCTTCAAACACATTTTTGGAGGACGTTTACCCCAGCTTGAATCTTTTAAACAGAGGAGGTCTTTTCAAAATCCTATTTGCTGTCCAAGTTTTCAGAAATTTTCTACAACTTTTTCTGCATTTCTTTGCCAAAGGTCTCAATTCACAGATCATATTTCCCCCTGATCGTTTGAAAATCCTATTTCAAAATGTTTGGTTTGACAACTGTGTCAAATACCAGTCTATAAAATTGCAAGCTTTATCCCATAACTTAAAAAAAAAAACCTCATGGCTGGCCCATTTCCTGGGATTGATTTAAAACAGAATCCATAACGATCGTCTGAACCTCCTTAAACTCCTGGGAAAACCTAACAGTAAGACTCAGTTTCAAACGCCGGCTAAAACACGCACAGGTAGAGATAAATCTATCCTGAAAATTGAATCTAATGTTTTCTGTGTCAGGTTGAGTTTGTGTTTGATGCAGATGGAAGGAGAGAGAGAGAGAGGTACAAAGAAAGAAGCACATCAGTGGCATTTTGAACAGCCTAGTGAATACTTTTAAGTAGGAATAACATATGCATAGGCTCACTCAAACACACACTCATACACAAACGCAAGCACACACAGCGACTTCCTAGTGCCTAGGGATGCACAGGTTGCCAGGCAACAAGGTGGTGTCCTAGAAAAAAGTTCCATGCTGAAACAGTGAGTTGGATGCTTGTGAAACACACACACACTATTGATTCCAGTTTACTGTTTCCGTGTTCTCCAGCAGAGTGATTATTTCCTTCTATTTATGTCCTCCCATGTAGTGACCACAGAGTCGAGTTTCATATATTGACTTCAGATGATGAAACCCCTCTTTAACCAGGGGAAATCACATGACCCAAATGAAGTGGTATAGTGGAGTAGTCTTGTTCTGCTGGGCTTATTTGATCTCGACATCTCTATTATTTCTCTCTTATTAATCTCTTTCTGTGTGGATTCTACTTCAAGTTACAAAGAGAGATGTTGAAGTATTATAAATGTCCTTCTGCCTGGACCAAGAACATCCTCTAGTTTAAAAGTAGCTTTGGCTGTATGCAAGAAAACAAACTCAATAGATAACAACTGCAGCCGACTCTCCAATTCATTAATAAAACCCATAAAGAGATATGTACATACAAGCTGCAATTTGCTCTAAGATGTTGCCCTAAAGCTCAAGTGCTGAAGGTGGCTTTATAGGGCGAGGAATCCCCTATAATCCCCTAATGAGCTACTGGAGCTCTGCAGAAGAAAAGCCCTTGAAAATGACAGAGGTAATGCAACTTTGGTTAAAAACTTAATAATCAAAATTTAAAGACCACCGAGAACACTTTAAGTAGTGAAAAAGCCATCAGAGTGGGACTTTAACTATTTACTCTTGCATGTATGGGGACTGACCTTTATGAGGTTCAAGCAGAATGTAATGAAGTAGGGCTGGGCGATATGGCCTCAAATCAATATCACAATATATTGAGCAGTTCACCTCGATAACGATAAATAAACAATAACTACTCCACAAGCTGCTCACCCCCACCCACATTAACTTCATCTACTACAGCTGCCGCTCTAGCTGCTACAACTTTAGAACAGTCAGTAGAACAGTCAGTAGAACAGCGTCTTAAAGGGACATGAGACCATCGCCTACTGACTCACATCCAAAACCAACTTTTATTTATTTGACACCAAATATATTAACAAAATGGCAAAATGATGTCTGTTATTGTCGTAAATTTCAGTATCCGTAAATTTTCAGCTAATCGCCCAGCCCTATAATGAAGACTTGTATCAAGTTGGTCCAATCATATCCAATCATCACATAATTAATTTCATCTTACATTATCTGCCTTTTTATTTTCCAGATAAACACTTTGATATGATGGTTCCAGCAGTATGAATGGGGACTTGGTTCAAATCAAATCAGCTTAAACAAACAATCTCATATTGACTCCTGACTGTGAACTGCTCCTCTCACTTTGCAACTAAGTGCAAATCTACTCTAGACTGCAACATGGACTTTCCATTCAGGGTTCTGTATGAACAGTCATCTACCATCAGTAAAAGTCTGCCTCCACAATCTCTCATAAAGAGAGTGGATGAGCGTCGTCATGTTCAGCTGGATTAATCCAGAGAGTCTGTTTTTATCACTGAAAGATGAGAGGAGGGAACAAGAAAATGAACGATTCCACCCATGCTTGGTAAAAATGAGCAAATGCTTTTCGCATTGGTCCGTAGTGCGTCAAAAGCATCTGACAGGAGGTTACCTTGAATGCTCCCTACTCTGCACTAAGAGGACACACAGCAGCTCCCTGGCTCAGGACAAACACACACTGAGCAGATGAATTGTGTTTTCATGAGCAGTGCTTTTCACTGACAATGATGTGTGAACTGTTAGTTTCATATGCTGGCCTTTTTTCAGTAAACACTTCTTTCCTCGTCTGAATTGATTTACCACTTTTCAAAACTAAATGAACTGTTTTTTTTCTTCTTTGCAGAAATAGATGAGGATCGTCTCCCTACTCAGTTGTACAAGGTAATTCCCTTCATGTTCTGTGAAAGGCAATGCCTAAATTACCTTTATCAGTGTTGAAGTCTCTGAGTACTCGGTGCCAGCTGATGTGAAGGTCTGATGTCTTTCAGGCAGCTTTGTTGAACTCTCCTCGACAGCGGAGAAAAGGGCAGAAGGGGACGCCTACGATGAAAGGTAGAGACAGTTATCAGCCTTGATATCAGCCTGTGTGTCATGCTGGCATTTTACGTGTTAGATCACAGTGATCCACATCACCTAGAAAACCACAGAAAGCACGACAGCTACCCTGAATAAAGCAGGAACTTTAAGAGCCTGTCCTGGTGACTGACACCTGTAAAGGTCCTCTTTTCTCAAAGTTGTAGAGTTGAAGGAGGTTAGGACACACAATAGTTGTAAATCAGGTCAGCGAACGCATGACTTCATAGATGTGGGAAGGGCTGAGAGGTCAACTTGTCAAACTTAACTACTGTAATTTACAGCCTTGGTGTGTCATGAGAGTTGAGATGCAACAGCAGGGGAATTTTTCCACATGAATAAGTTCCTTAAGAAGATTATCACACATTTCTGCAGGTCTTTTGAAAAAAACAAAAGGATAAAAACAGTCACACCATGGCTCAAAAAGTCTGATAACAATAAAATTTAAGGGATGTACTTATTTTTTATCGTTACAGCTAACCTCACACAATTCAGCTGCAAACACAGTCCAGAAAAAAAACAAAACAAAAGCTTTTGTACTGTAAAATCTTCAACTTGGAAAGGTGTTAACTCTGTTTATTTAGTTAAAGTCGGATTTCCATCCAAAGCTGCAAATAACTGCATGTTTCTCTCCTCTATTGTGGACACAGAAAGGGTTCAAAAATGATGCACTGGCTCAGAAAGCACAACTCAAACCAAGGACAGAGAGAGTCTCATCAGTCAGCAGTGTGGATGTTTTGTGCCACGTGTACTCTCTCTCTCTCTTCACAAGCGCAAATATGAAGTGTTTTAGTCACATGCTTCGTGTGCATTATGATTTATTTTTATGTGTCAAATAAACCCTCTCACCACAAAATTGTAGGTTGTTATACACACAGCTGGAAACAAGGGTAAAATGCATTCTCTGACTTGTATAATGTTCATGCATCTAATTTAAAAGGCATACATTATATGCCAGGGCTGCACAATTTACCGATTTTAAATCATGATCGGATTATTTTATTATGACAATGTTAAATAAATAAAAATCCTCAAATCAATTTTGGGTGAGAGAGTGCATAAATCAGTCAACGACTACCATTTCATCTCTGCATAGATTACGTGACACACAGTGTAAAGCGGCTAAAACAGCCTTTATACACATGCTTTGTACTCTTCTTCTGTCTTTTGGGCATTTCCTCGGCAGCCTTACAGCGCCACTTACTGGCTTGGCATAAAACAACTTAGTATTAAAGTGACGTTTGGTAAAGTTGTCACTGAATAAAAAACAGGAATCAAAAATCAAGTTTGCAGTGAAAAAAATCGGGATTTTATGTTTTGCCAAAATCGTGTAGCCCTAGTATATGCATGCAATATATACCCCCAAACTAAAAACAAGTCAAGGGGCCACTTTGTGCTTCACAGGGACGACACTTTTGGTCTGTCAGCTGCAGTCCAAGAAATCAGACATTTGGTGACAAAATGTCAAAACCCTCATCTGAGTTTTTCTCTTTAAAGGAGGTCAGTGCTGCATCTGCTCCAGCGAGGTCTCATTACCTCTGTTTTTCCTGAACAGAACTTTTCTTCAAATTTTCTTAACTTTAAATTGGGTCTGTGTGAAATAAGGACACACAAAGTCCTGCACTACTTCAGAAAACCAAGACTATCAACTAAAACTGCAAACTCAGAGCCTGAGCAGTATTCCTGCAGCTGATATTTCTGTTTGTCACAGCTGTAACCTGTGACAAACAAATTTCCTGCGCCAAATTTCCCATCAAATACAAACACTAAAGGTGATTGTGTGTGTTTTTACACGGAGGGAACAGAATAAATTACAGGAAATAAAGCTGAGCAAGGGAACAACAATGGAAAGATAAGTGAAACTTGGTGCTCTAGGATGTTTATTTTTCAATTAGTTTCACGGCTAAAGAGCTCTGAGTGCGATGAGTCACTCGGTAGCATAAACCCAGAAGTTAATCTGTGAGCTTTAGCTTCCCACTACGAAGAGATTAAGAGTAATGAAACCATGGCAGGGAGGTTTGAAGTGGTTTAACGTCTCCTACAGTCGATGCATCTTCACCTGCCTCCTCACTGGAAACTGCTGGGCGTTGATTAAAATCTCTAGTCTATTTAAAGTGCTCAACCTACAGTATTTCACGAGTGCTGCATGGACATCTTCCCTACTTTTCCTCTGCTCTTTTCCACCTTCTTTAAACATTTTTTCATACTATTTCCCCAGTGATTGTTTTATTTTTACCCCTCACTATTCCCCCGATCCTCTCCTTCCCCTCACATCTCCTCTCTTCTTCTCTTGTTAACTCCTAATCCTTTCCCTCGTCCTATTTTATGAATTCCCTCTAATCTTCTCTCCCTCCTAGAGCTGCAGTTCCTGGTGGAGCATCACCTGTACCGGCAGCAGCAGGGCGCAGGGGACGAGTGCTCCTCAGAGAGCTGCCTGTCAGACCGGCCCAGCCCCGACTCTGTTCCCGCCGGGGAGGAGCTCCCACACGACGACGAGGCCACTGCGGAGGCCTTTGAGAAACTGCGCTGCCAAATGGAGGGTGTGTATGGAAACTGTTTGGAGGATTTGTACGCTTTTCAAAACTGCAGCCGCCTCATCAGCATGGGCAAGGTCTTTGAAAATCCCTGGTGAAGAAAAGACAGGAGCACTTTAACACTTTGCCGACACCTACTGAGGCGGTGAATGAATGTTAAATCAGGGCTTCCCACGTATGTATGGAGTAGACAGCTGCTGCAGAGACAGCAGCTAAAATAAGCATCTCAGATGGAGGCTGAAATAAGGGTTTTCTAAGGTACAGTGTAAGAAACGAGGCGTTTTTTTGATCTGTAAATCACAAAGCTATTAAAAAGGTATCATAAAAGAGGTGGAGAGCTTTAAAAAACACATAATACCCCGATCTTTAAGCACAAATAATAAATCAAGAGTGTTCTTCCCTATGAACCTAGGGGTGTCTGACACTCAGTTGATGTAGTTTGTGGAGGAGATTCAATCTATAAGAGGAAAACACAAAACTGTTCACTGATATCAGGGAAAAACAAACACTTCCCGCGTGAATTTCACATTCTAGCAAGATCTGATCTGAGTGAAAGTTTCCAAGTTGAAGATGCATCACCGAGCCGCCATATTATTATCAGGAGGAGAGGAACACAGCCGCGCATTTTGTGTTTCAATCAAAAAACGGCCAAGGTGTGTGTATCTGTAATTTATATGCTGCCATGGAGCAAATGTCACAGTGGTAGTCTGGAGGAAACATAAAGAAGGGGAAAACATTACTGTGACTCTAACCACTCCATTATCATTCGGGCAGCAGAGGTGTAGTGCTGTCAGAGTGCTACAGGACTTTAAAGTGGGGACATAAAATAGTGTGGTGAAGTGAAACTCTTGTTCCTGTCCTTCATAGTTTTCCCAAGTTCCATCAAATAGTTCCTTTTCACTGAGTGCCTCCACACATACATATACAACCAAGTGGGGCTGGACTAGGGCTGCACGATAAATCGATTTTAAATCGTAATCCGATTATTTTATTATGACGATTTTAAAAAATTAAAATTGTCAAATCAAATTTCCTCTCTATCATGTCTTGCGTCTCCAGGCCACCGTAGGCTCTCCCTTCCTGCAGGAGCGCTATCTAGTTCCCACACACACCAGTGTAAACAAACATGGCGTATGCAAAGGAAGGCAATTTTTTTTTTTTGGGGGGTGGGGGGGGGCTAAATAGGACAAGAGTAAGTCAGTCATATGGAATTGGTGCAGCTTAGCAGTTTTAGATGAAGACCAAACCACTGCCCGCTGCAAAGTCTGTCTAAAGGCAGAATCAACCCGTCCACACGGATATAAATTCAGGAATAAACACAACAGTTTTTTGTCGTATCGGCTTTTCATTCACACGAGAACAACGTTTTAGGTGACTATAAACGGTACTTTTTGAAAATGGGTCAAAGAGTGCATAAACCCGTAAATGATTACTATATCGTCTCCGTGTGGAAGACTATCTGCATCTCTGGAAACGATCGCGTGACACACAGCATAACTCTTTCATGGCGGCAGCGCATGTCCGGCCAAAACAACTTTTACGCAATGCTCTGTACTCTTCTTCTGTCTTTTGTGCATTTTCCTGTGCAGCATTACAGCGCCACTTACTGGCTTGGCATATGCACTACATCGTTTTCAGTGGTTTTGAGAGATGATAGAAAAACTTTTTATTAGAGTGAAGTTTGGTGAAGTTGTCACTGAATAAAAAATTGAAATTGAAAATCAAGTTTTCAGAGAAAAAAAATTGGGATTTATTTTTGGCCAAAATCATGCAGCCCTCGGCCAGACTTTTATGTTTAGATTTTACTTTGATGAAAATTTGGCTTCTGTCAAATTACGTAAATTAAATATGAAAAGTGCAGAAAGATGTCAACATTAGGTTTAAAGAAATCACAAGATTGAGCTTGTTGAAACAAATTAAATTAGCGTGTCTTCATCTTCAGGTTTAATAGATATTTCTAAGTGCTTGTGCTAATAAATCTAAAGAGAAAAATGAACTTTAATTAGTTGAATATTATTTGAGTCACAGGTTGAACAGAGTTGATTTAAACTGTTCTCCTTTTTCTTTTTTTAACTTCAGTCTGAAAAGACATTTAGAGCGTCAGCTGTAAGCTGTTAGAAGTTGTAAATTTCTTGTGCTTTTTTTAATGCTATGGACCATATGGTCTGAAATAAAGTTTTAAAAAAAGTTCCCAAAAGCAATGAAAAGATTGACACAAGTGGGTTAGAGCGTGCTTAAATGAGAGAAGAATACTTCAAACAGCAGGGGGTCTCTGCTGTGGCATAAAGGTGTGGCGCTATGACAACTGGAGCTCCAAATTATTACCGTGAGAGCAGAGAGTAGAGTTGGGAGGAAGAGGGATGAAAGCAAAGCATAAAATTATGTAGATAGAATGAGAATTGCTGGAAGGTATACAAAATGTAAATTAATTAAAGGGTTATGAAGAAAGGGGAGATTTAACTGAGGTGAAACAGAGGCACTGGGGAACAATAACATGAACAGAATACTAAAAAGAGCATCAATATAACAATACTGATGCCACTTTCAAATAGGGGTGGGAATCACTAGTGGCCCCACGATACAATATTATTATGATATATATAATATATTATATATATATTTGAGCCACAATACGACATAATTGCGATTTTTAAGATTTTGCAAGACAGTGAGTATTACGACACAATATATTTAGATTTATACAATTTTTTTAACTGTTTAGCTAATTTAGCATTTGTCTTTCCTTTCTGTTTGCCTTATTTACACAGTATTTTATTTTCACGTAGCACATCTTGCAAAACTTACTAACATACTAACTTTCTTCTGCTCTATGATGACACCTCTGCCAACCTCACTGGACATGCAGTTGATTTTATTTTGCCATTATCATAGATTTCACTTCACTTAAATTGTTAATTTGAAAAATCGATACTTGGTTAATGAGACGATACGATATATGATTCGATATATCACCAGTAGGGCCTGACCGATATGGATTTTTTGGGGCCGATGCTGATACTGATTATTAGGGGGGGGGGATCTGATTACCGATTAATCTGCCGTTTTTAAAAAATAATTCTTAAGTTATAAAAAATATATTTATAGTAGATATCTACAGTATACTGTGGATATACTGAAGGCTACTGCTCTTCAAGCCGACAGGAAGACCGACTGATCAGACTCTGACCAAATAAGCGCTTTCAACGATAATGGCGACAATATATTTTCACAGAAACACAGTTATCTTCAAACATACAGGATCCTTTCAGGGTTCATTAAGCAGACTATCTGTTTACCTCTTTTCCAGACAGATATCGACTGCCCAATCTAAAACTCTGCAAAAAGATCCACATTATTTCTAGAATAAAATCACTCAGACGGATTGAACCACATTGGCAGGAAGTGTCTGTCCTGTGCCAAAAACTTCACAAAAATCAGAGGGTCAGCTTCTCAGCTCAGGCCGGATAATTCGCTTTAATGGCAGCAGAGTAGATGAGAGTACGGTCCACACTGTACACACACACATAGAGTAATTGTCCAGTACTAATGCACCACAAGAGCTGCTTTCGTGAAGAGCAAAATTGTCAGTGTTATCTATTTTTACCTTTTTTTTTCCAGCAGGACACACTCTCCAGTTGTTTGGAGGGTTAAAACATCGAACGATATGATTGGACGGCCACGCTTTAATGGATTTCTCACATGTTCAAAAGAAACCGCAAATTAACATCTCAGCTTAGATAAAAGGAGCAGAAGAGGAAGCTGGGAAAACAAATCAATGATCATTAACTCCAGTCTCACAGCGGATGGGTTAACTTCACAAGATCAGCCTTTCAAATGTACTCAGCGGGACTCAATAGCGTGTGACTGGAGATGTCAGGCTGCATTGATTCGCATTGTGGAGTGAGATGAAACGTTATTCAGTGGTAGTGCAACGGATCACAGCTGATCCAAGTTTCTGTACGGATCAACACTCTGATCACTTCACTGTGATGTCGACAATGGCGTGGTAGGGACCCTGAATTGGCTCTGGTCCCCAATGTACAGATAGAGCTGTCCCTATCTATGCTGTCTAAGCTTTAGCACAGTGGCGATTGCTCTAAGACTGCAAGGGAGTCTTCTTGAAGAATAAAACATCTACCAGAGCATTTTCCAAGTTATGCATTCCGTTGTTCTTAACTGCTCCGGAGACTTTACCGATCCTCAGCGACTTTTGTCTTTGTTAAAAACGACTGCGGTTGTGTTTGGCGACTCTGTTCTGTTACATACAAATAAACAAACACAATTATGATGTAGGCCAGAAAAATGAGCTTCCCCTCCTTGAAAGACCAGCAGCCGCCACTGCTTTAGCACAACAACCTGTGATTATCCAGGGGTGTAATACTTTGACTTATCACCATGATGCTCTACTACCTGGATCTGAACGAGCACAGACAACTGATGGCATTTTGTAATGAGGCATGGTTTTGCAGTACTTTAAATGAGAAGCTGGAGGTAACATTGTGGAAAATCTAGAAGCTTTTTCAGTGGAAATGAAGGTCTTGGTTATTATTTTACTGCTTGGATCAATTATTGCAAAAGTACGGAGCCCAGTAGGTGACAATAACTTTTTTTTTTTTAATTTAGTATCTCTCACGTGTGTTTTATTATATCGCAGGTGCAATTTAACTGTTTGTTTATAAAAAAAAAAAAAATCACTTCCTGCAAGTCCAAATATGGTCAACGGCAAAGTCGCTGTGCTCTACGGATCCTGATGAGATGTCTTGTACTCAAAACAATACCAAATGTGGCTAAGCTAAAAAGCGTCTCTTTATGAGTCATACCTAAATGAAAGAAAATGTTGATAATATGCTCTCTGTCCATGACACTGTCCTTTTTCTCTCACAAATGAGGCGCGTGGAGGATTATTTACAAAAACGCATGCGCAAGGCACGGATAAAACACGAGATCTGTATAAAACGCATGTTTGGGATGCTTAATCGCACAAGTGATATAATAAAACAAAGGTGTGAGATACGAAATCGCACATGTGAATAAAAAAAAGTGAATGTCACCTCCTGGGCTCAGTACAAAAGTTACAATGTGCAGCGAATAAAATTCAGCATTATAAGGACATATACAGAAGCTTTAAGAATAGATGTATAGTTAAAACAAAGTCATGCTTGCTGGTTAGATTTTTGTCTAAATATACAACAGTTCAGTCACTTTAGGCCTTCTTAAACTGTTTTTGAATTGCTCTAGTGTTTAGAGATTATTTGTGGCTACTTGTGAAACACATTACACGTCTACTGTGAGAAACATGGACGAAACTGTCCAATAAAACCACTGATCTCCTGAGACAGCTCTTTGTCTTGTCCATTAAATTTACTGAGTGAAAACTGGATGAGTTAACAGAATGGATAACCGTTTTTAATGGACCGGTGGGTTTAATTGTAAAATCAGTGAGATATGCCAAATAATTGGAGTGAAAGCTGTCTTCAGCTGATTGTAAAACCGAATCACTGGAATCTGAACTCTTATTTTCCCCTTCTGTTTGGTGGAAAATGATTTGTTTTCTCCTCTGTCTGGTGTGATATCTCTGTCACCTCTCTAACCCTCATCTCTTCTCTTTTCCTCTGCAGAGTTCTCCAGGGAGAGCCTATTAGAGGCTGCAGGTGGGCTCGAGTGCCCCCTCTCCAACGAGAAAGCGGGTTGCTCCAGTGATGCCAGCGTAGCAGATCCCTCAACGCAACAAAACAACGCACAAGCAGGTACGAGGGAGTGAAAAGCACCTCGGTTATAACAGGATTCCTCTCCTCTCAGGGGACTCTTTGCCATCTGCTCACTGGGAAGGGTTTATTTAGATATGTTAAACAGTCAGTAGGGCTGGATTGGTGTCATGTAATCATGGCTTGTCAACAGACATCTGTGAAGTGACTTTGATCCACACTTTACACAGCACCGCCTGAGAGGCTGCTGCTGTGAGGAGATACATTTGTAAAAGGGTTGAGGGCAGTCGAAATTGAGTAAACTTATATTATCATTATTATTATTGAACAAGCCTAAACACTAGATCAATGATGCTGCAGAGATATTTCTGAGTGCGGCTAACATTAGCAGAGCTAGCTCCACCAGCCCGTCAGGATAGCAATATAAAATATTAGATCACCTGCAGTATTTTCAAATACTGGGGGAGACTCCACTAGTAGTAAAAAGTGGAAAATGAATCTACTTCTATCCTAATTTATTACATTTTTTTTAAACCAACAATTTTAATAGTCAACTTGTCACCCACTATTGAAACGATTAGTCAACTAATCGGACACGCAAGATCTGCTTTGAAAACCTTGCAAGTAGGGCTGGGCGATATGCCGATATCAGCCGATATCGATATATCACACGATATAAAAAATGAAATTTCGGCTGCACAGGCACCATGCGCTCCTCGCTCCGCCCTGGGTTTGTAACCTTTTGTATTGCGCGTGCTCTGCTGTGTGGTACGGCTTCCGGTGCTGAAAAAGATTTGAGCTATTCCCCAACTTTCGAGAACATGTACCCAACATAATTTACAGTGCACCATGTCTGACCTCATGCCACCGACGTTTTCGTGCCAGTGTTGTCGACGATGTCATCATTTGTTGAGCGCGTACTCGTAGCTGCTAGCTGCTGTATGGGACGCTGGCGCCGCCATGTTTGAACACCCTACCACTTGGCCGAAACACTTTTGCGCATGTGTGACTGTAGGCAGAGATAGTAATGAAGTAAGATGCCCCACTCCACTGGAAAAAAAAACATGTCTTGTGACAATGGTCGACAATGGAATTCATTGTCAATATTTTTCATAATCATTTTTTATCGACAAGATCAACTAATCGTTGCAGCCCTAAGTGTATTTAGTAAAGTGTGTTTCAGTGTAATGTAAGGTAATGCAGGTAATCCTTTGAGCCACGTACGACTAACAAGCACCAATCATGATGGCCTGTCAATCAAAATAGAGATTTTTCTACTTGTATTAAGTCCGTTGACCAAAAAAGGCTTCCTCTAGTTAAAAATAAAACAAGATATCGCTCGCAAAATGTGATTTGATATTAAGTCGATGAAAAGCAGTGAAAATGTTGAAAGTTCATAGGAGAAGATGGATAAAATGTCAAGAAATGTTAATATACTGTTCAGCTGCCACAGACCTTCAACAAGTCTTTTATGTCTCTGTCTATATCTTACAGACAAAAAAGCAGCAGCATCTAGTGCAGGTCAGCCGGCAGAGGAGAAGACAAAGAAAAGTCTGGAGAAAGAGAAATAGAGCTGTCTTCTGTTCGACACAATGCTGCTCATTCTGCTCAGCCAGCCCAACACAATGACAGAAGATTGTGTGTGCAGACCCTCTTTCTACAGACATCAGGGCATCTACGTTCCTCTACAGGCAGGCCTTAGTTTCCACCCAAGAACAAAGGTTTCTACTTTTATTTCATTTAAAAATAAAAATAAAACACTATCATTATTTCAGCATTGTATATTTGTTTTCTATATCAACCCCAACACTGGAGTAAAACTGGTTTACGGTACGATCCAGACTGGAAGATACACAGTCCCACAAAACACCACACGTTGTCATCAGCTACCAAAATTGACATCCGTAACAGCCCCGGAAATTGCAACAAATTTGAGATGTTCAATCTTTGTTTTTCCATCAACTTTGTGCCATGACTTCTGCAACTTGTTCCATCTCAAAGCAATAAAAGTGTTTTTGTACCTCACAGAAAACTGGGACAGAAAAACCATCGCTTTTCAACTCAAATCCCACTTTCAGTCTTACTGAGTCAGATATTGCAGCTGAAACAAATCGGAGATGATGACAGCCCAAACACATATTTACACATTCACACCACATAAACAGCTGCTAATCCACCTGAAAATAAACTGTATTTGTTTTTATTTTGCTTTGCCTTTAGCAAATTCAATGATAAGTCATTTTTTTTGCTTAAATCAATCATACATTTTTCAACTGATCAATTATTTTTGGGATAAGGTGGAGTAAATGACTATTTTCAGCAGTTTAAAGGAGTGAAAATGCTGTTTACCATGCTGTTAACAACAAATATTTCTAAATGCAATATAGCTTTGAACTGATGGCTCAAAATTTAACCCAAGAGGATTTGTAAGAAATGTAAAGGCTAAAGAAGTAATTTTAAAGATTTCTTGCAGCCATCGTTTACTTAACTTACCACCTATTGCAGATTTAACACATACGATTGTAGAGTAGCCCATGAACTACTGATAAAAACCTTCGTGATTCAGACCAAAGATGATTTAAGTTCAAAACAGGCAATGAACCATATATGAAAAAAAAAAACAATAACAACAAATCAAGTGCTCAAGTCAAGACATATGGTTAGAAAAGGCTCCAAAACTCATCTGATATCCCTGCATGAGTCACAGAGACAACTGCATATTTTTTCTTTATTTACTGAATTTTCTGTTGATTTAGGGTTGGAAAAAAACATTATTTGCTGCCCAAGAGCAAAGCCTACATATCACATTATAAATCAACTGGCACTGATTGTCTCTCTCTTTTATTTTTTGTTTTTAAGAAAAAAAAATGTACAAATCAAAAAAGGAGAAATGAATATTTTAAGGTTTTAAGTTTCTCCTTTATCACTGCATTAATTACAAATCTGTCTAAATTAGGAGAGAAGATTAAGAGAGTGTCCACTAAGGGCAGAATTGTCGCAATTTAATCAGATGGACAGTTTGTTTTGGTCTTTATTATTATTATTATTATTATTATTATCACTGTTGTTATTATTATTATTATTTGGGTAATGCAAACGGTGAAGAATATGATAGAAGAATATCACCACTCTTATGTAACGCTAACTGCCAACCTGTAATTATTCTGCAAATTAAATCATTGTTTGAAGCTGCAAAAAAATCAATCTTAAACTATTTGTGTACAGAGGAGGATTAGGGCCACAAAAAGGAAAGAAAGAAAGAAAGAAAAAGTCTTTTTTTTCCTCAGAATTCTGAGATTAAAGTCAAAATTCTGACTTTTTTTCTCAGAATTATGATTTTAAAAAATTGACCTTTTTTTCTTGTGGTCCTAAAAAGCTTACTGAAAAAAACAGCTAAAAAGGCACCATGTGTTACTTAGCACCTGAGCTTGTTGAACAAGCTAGCTACCAATCAAACATTTACAAAGCTAGGTGAAGCTAACCTTAGCCCCCCAGAATTATGATTAAAAAAATTGTAATATATGACCTTTTCTTTTTCTTTTCTTTTTTTCTTGTGGCGCTAATTCTCTTCTGTAATTTGTGCTAAAATGAATAAATATTTGGTCTAGAGGCCTGACTTACAGTATAAAAGGGACCATTGGTTACTTAGCACCTTAGCTTTTTGAACAAGCTAGCTACCAAACAAACATTCACAAAGCCAGGTGAAGCTAACCTTAGCTTGTGGGCAAGACAGCTGAACAGTTCCTCAGGTTTAGCACATTAAATATCAAAGATTTACCTTCAGGAGTCCCTCTGCTCCAGTGAGACAAGAATTAGTCCTTTTTCTTCAATACTCTTAACAGAACCCAACTTATCCATGACATGCAAACCACAACTGAAGATTTAGCTTGTCCTTAGTCACTTTGGCAGCTGTCAATCATACTGATAGACCCGCCCCCAGTTGCAGAAAACTAAAAGGGAGCATTAATGACATTTCCAAAGACTTTTTCCCCCTTTAATGATTAGTCTGAAAACAAGCATTGCTACCATTTTTATATTATTTGGGTTCGATCCCTGAGACAATGGCCTCTCAGTTGGCCTTATGGGAAGTTGTTGTGAACAGTTAAAGCTTGGGTTTGTTGTTGTTGTTTTGTTCATTTACTAGTTTTATGGTGTTTGCCAGCTTAGGGTGTTTGGTGCCACGTCTGGAGCCTGATTGGTAAATAAGTACAGCACTGTGAGTTATAGCTTCATTTCCAGAGGTAAAGATCTGACTCTTGTATCTTTAATTGTTACTACAAATGCTTGTTGAGCTCCTCCCTGCATTTAAATGTCCCATTAAAACTCAGCTCCGCCACAATACTAACATTATGGAATACAGTATAAATACCACCAGAGTGATATCATGGCTTCTTCTTATAGTACAAACAGAGATTTATGAGACAACTGTGTGTTTGTACCTCTCCACTTAAGAAGTTGGGTAAATTAAGTTATTTTTCTGCATATGTTTTATTTGACGCCCTTTTGCTCTGACCAAAATGCACCCAAATAGGCTGACATCTGACTATTATTGGGCTCGTGCATGGCACTTAATGTACAGTGACTTTTTATTTAAACCTGTGTTCTTTATTGTGCTTTATTTTTGCAGGATTAAAATAAAACATTTGAATTACCAGAAAATTTCTTCTAATACGGACATTCCCTTTAAATGTGAATGTTTTGTATGAAACAAGGACATTGCATTGCATTGAACTGCATCACTCCATACTTGTCACTCCATCTATTTATTTTGTTAATGAAGCAAAATTATATTGTACATTTTGTGACAATCTATAACCTCCAAATTATACGTGTTAAGGTCTGGCATAAGGAAAACAAATTAAAGCCACCCCGTATTGATGTCACTTAACCAGATTATCTAGCAGCTGCCAACAAAGACACATATATGTTCACATGAAAAAAGAAAGACGGTAAAACATTCCTGTACAAGTTTATTTTCTTCTGCGGTGTATTTATGGACCATGTAAAGTTTGTTCTGTTTTTGACGGTTAATATTGTTCTTTGAATGAATTAAATCTGGGGAGTTTTGTTCCAATTTTACTTGAATTGATTGATGATTACATCTGTAATCTAAATTTGTTTGATACAATAAAACATTTAAATTGGTGATTGGTTGTTTTCTTCCCACTTATCCTGTCACAGTCAGTGGATTCGCAGGCTGAAAGCATATCTGAAGTTTGAAACTGGGATCTGTGTTTTCTTAAAATGTCACAAGAAGAGACGTTTCAGGGGAAAAACTCCAAATATGTATAGAATTTGACGTACATGCATCACTGGCAATGAGTTTAGCGGAGTTTGACTTTGACTTTATCTAAAAATAGACTCTCTGCTAATAAATAATTCAACATCAGAGCCGAGAGCATAACAACACATACATTTTTCATACCAAAGACTGCTTTCCACAAATTTATTTTATAACGCTGCAGCAATTTATTCTCAATTTTAAAAAAACATATAGAAATACAGTCACAGTCTACATGAATACTTGTCTGTATATAAAGAATCTATGTGAGATGGATGATTTCTGCAGAGACAGCATGTTGCAGTCATGCCCTGGGATGGATAAACAGATAAATTCTTCAGGGTATAAAGCAGGAAGTTGATTTCTAGGTCTGTAGGGAAAGACCCTGAAACACCAGGACAACACCCGCACTCAATTAAATGTAACATAACATGCAGTGAAGCTAATACTTGTAGAGCATTTGTACTGAGATTCAGCAAAGACTTGAAGCACAGTGTGTGAAAGCATTAAGTGAAAGAAAGTGTGTCTGTGAACGGGAAAGTGTGAACTGCATAGTAAAAAAATCAGAGCTGACAGCGTGTTTTTGACCCATGTGCTGCACTGTTTACTGATTTACAGCCACCATGTTGAGTAAATCATGATTAAGATGCCCTTTCAAACTGCTTATCTGCCAAATGTTAAAGCAAGAAAATCGGTTTGAAGCCAAACCCTGCAGGGCAAGCCCAGAGCCATGTCTGCTGCTCTGCTCTACGGCTCCTCCAGCTGGAGGAGCAGAGGACTGAAACAATACTGAGACAGGGACCCAATCCACACTTTGATCCCAAAACTATCAAAAATGGGTTGCCTGTTGAGCTCAAGGGGTAAGTCATGTGCCCCAGGTGCAGAGGCAAAGTCCCTGAAGTGGGTGGCCTACATTCAAATCAGACAGCTCTCTGATGCGTGTCATTCCCCAATCTCTCTTCCTGGGTTGTTACTTCATCCTATCCTCTCTATTAAAGCCATAGAAGCCTCAAAAGGTATCAGGAAGCAAGAAAATTGCCTATAATGTACATTCTAGAAGGAAAAGGAGGAAAACTTGGGTGGACCCAGAACTTCTTTAGAACATTGAGACTCAAGTTTTTCCTGTTTAGAAGTCATCTTTTGTCGTCTCACTCCTTTTTCTTTTTTTTAAAGACTGTAAAACCAAAAGGTTTCCTCTTTTTTTTTCTCCAGTTAGTCAACCCAAAGGACACTACATAAACACCAACAATAAATGACATACATAACAACAGTGATGACAAACTTAAACCACGACACAATAGGAGACAGACAGTTCAGCGGGGCCTGCTGTTCAGGGTGACTATGGCTGCAGGGATGAGGCTTTTCCCCAGCCGAGTCCTCCTGAACTTGATGGTTTTGTCATAAATTTAGTCTACTTGTTTGGAAGTAAATCTGCGCTATCTGATATTGAATTTGAATTTCCAAAGCTGAATTTAAAAAATGTAAAAATAAATGGTCCCTCAAAATATTAATTTGGTAAAAAATTCGACTTAAAAAAAAAACAAACTAAAAAAAATTCAACATAAAAAAAATTTCAGTGTCAAGCAATTCAGCGTCAAAAAATTAAGCGCCAAAGAGACCGACTCGACAGCTGGTTAACCAGGGAGAAGCAATCGATTCCTGACTCAATCATCAATCGTTCAGCCAATCAAATAATGCTAGATTGGTCATGCGGCACCGACTCCAGTGGAAGATTGAATCCAATTGATTGCTCCTCTCTGATTCACCAGATGTTGAGTCGGTCTCTTTTACACTTTTGCATCACGGTTACACCATTATATACTACTGAATACTACTTTCATGTGTTTTATGGTTATTGCTCTGTTAAAAGCAGTATTATTTCGAAAGATCAGGACCTGACCTGAGAGGATAACCTTTTAAAGTTTGAGGGGAAAAAAACAGGCACAGTGTCACATCATAATACTGACAAATTGGAATTTTATTGCATGGTTAAATGGTCTGTGCGTACAGTTCAAACTATTAAAGGTAAAATGTCCCCTACAGGTGTTTAAGTGACAATTTAAATTAATAACATGCACTCTACTGTTTAACATGGCCAGCATGTACACTTTGAATTTAAATAATCATTATATACTACACTTAAAATAAGACATGAGGACATTTCTGTGCATATTCTGCATCTTACCATGGGAAGATGATGTTAGCTAAACCACTCTCCCTCCTCCTGCATCTCCTCTAAATGCATTAATAAGGTGTAAGAAGGCAACATGGTTCAGTTACAAACAGTGACTTAACATTGACCTCAACTTTTGTAGATATTCAATAAAAAGGCCTGTTTTTGTATCTATTGTTTTGTGGCAGTATCAGGGTCCAGCTGGGGTTTTTCTGACCGCTCCTCTCGTCGGGGTCTCTCCTCTTTTGTCACATTTTGGTCTGAAAATCCTGGAGGACACAGAGAGAGAGATTGGAAGAGGTTTTGGAAAATTTTGTTTAACTGAAAGAAAACAATCCTATCTGTTAATTTCCTCATGGGGTAACTGTAAACTTGAATAGAAGAATAACAAATCAAATCAGAGGACCGAGCACATTTTGGAGCGGCAGAGGCGCCATTTTTCTTGGTGTGATTGTTATCATTCTTCCTTGTTGCTGAAGACATTAAGAAATAACCACATGGGTTGTAACAGGTATCGAGTTTGTTTAACTTTCGTTATTATTTACTTTTACAAAGATCTGATTTATGGTTCATTCCTAACAGGGGTGAATCAAAGTTAACAGTACAAACCATTGGAGCCGCTCTCCTTCCATTTGAGCTTGTTGTCCTCAGTGTGTCTCGTCCAGGTGGAGCGGAAACTCACCAGCTCAGCTGTGAGATGAGCTAGACTCCACTGCAGACCTCTGGAGCTCTCCTTCCACAGATTACTGATGAGAAAGAACAGAGCTGTCATCGCAATACTGCTCTTTCTTTACACTTTTACTCTTACTCTGCAATTTCACCTCTTTCTTTATTTCTATTTTCCTTTTTTTATTCTTTATTGAAATTAAAAGAAAGAACTCATTCACTAGATTGCATTTATAATGAGGATACATTTATAAACACTTCTTCATGACTAAAGCAGCAGAATCAAAGCTGATATGCCAAAATAAATTTAAATGTTACAATATACTACAAAAAAAAAAAAAGTCAAACTGTGTCTTGCTTGGTAGTTTCCCCTGATCAAAACGTCTTCTCATAAAAAATTTACCTGTAAAAAAATTTAACAATTTTGGAAATGTGCAGTCCTGTCTTGCAGAGAGCCGGATGAAAAGACATATCCTTAATTTCCTGCCCCACTTAAAACCCTTTTTTATCTTACTTCTTCCCCGATTTAGTTTGGCCAATCAAAATCAATAATTAGCTAATGGCTATGTTTAAGCTACTGTATATGGACTGTATCAACGTCAATCGAAAGACAGAATAACAGCCAAAGCTTTGAGGGCATCTCTGCTGAGATACTGGTTTTATTGACAATTTCCCCTCCAATAAGAGGGTAAGAGAGATGATAACTTTTCTCAAACATGCTTTCTGAGAAAGCATTTTTTTCTTATGTTGATTTATGTCCTGAAAAGTTCAGTTTTGAACTTGTCTTTGCTTCAAATTACGACACCAAGCGTTACATCTCACAGTGAGAGATTGAGGCTCATTGTCCATTTAATAAACAGCCAGTGATCTAACATATCACTGGAACTTTTAGGAGCTAAACACCTTTTTATTTTGGATTAATGAATATTATTATCAGAGTTCCTTGCCCAGCAGCCTACAACTCATTTCAGTGATCTGATGGGCTTTATCATCCACATCACTAATTTCCATTTTGAAATCAAAAACAAACTCAGAGATAGTTGCATTTTCTGAATTGTCCTGGAAACACCAAGCTGAGAGATGTTACAGTCTTATCTGTGTGTTACCTGTGTCTGTTGCAAGGGTCTGGTGGACCCGGGTTTTCCTCCACTAAAGGAATAACAATCTTCTCAGCCATGTCGATCAGCAGAGAGAACGTGGGGTACACTATGAAGTCGATGAAACCTGCAAATAGAGCAAATGTTGCTGAGATTTTGGGCACTAAGAATGACAGTCATCCCACTGGTTAAGAAGCTCAGTGTTAAGTTGATCAGATGTTGTATAAGGTTTCATACTGAATTTATAAGAGCTGACTGATGGACAAATGGTTCACCGATGAGTCAAGCAGGAAGGGATGGAGGAGTGGTAAATAGTTGATGTTAGTAACACTTTTTATGAGTTTCTTCAGTTTCTAAAAGAAGTTAGACAGGGATAGTCCGGCGTAAATTTAAGTTAGGGTCAAACACACCATAACACCGAGTTAGACACCCCCTCGAGAGATGAAAGTTGTTGACTGTTTGCTTCTCTAGTTATACCAACTTCAGTAAGGACTGCATGATAGCAATACACAGTGGTCTACGGAGGCACATTTTGGTTGAGGTTTGTGCGTGGAGGTGTAGTCGGCTGTGTATTGCTATCGTGCGGTCACTACTCAAGTTGGTATAACTAGAGAAGCAAATGGTCGGCAACATTCATCTCTCGATAGGATGTCTAACTTGGTGTTACTGTGTGTTTGACCCTGACTTAATTTTATGCCGGAATATCCCTTTAAGTTTGAAGCCAAACTTCTTTTAGAAACTGAAGAAATTCAGTTTCCTTAAAGGGAATATCCCTTTAAGTTGTTTTAGTTTTGTGAGGTGTTATGCTTGAGACGTACCAATCTGAGACTCAGCGACTAGCGTGCTGTTCCGATCACACAGAGGAGAGAAGGGCAGGCCGAGCTCCGCCTCTCTATCGCCCTCACAAAGATAGAAAGACAGAGAGAAGATATCAAAAAGACCATCCCACACAACAGCTGGAAATAAAAGGGTTATTTCACTTCAACACCTGCCGCTTGAGACTCTCAGATTGTTCAAAGAAAACTATACAACAGGTTTTTTTTAAGGAGCCCAAAAACTTTGAAGAGACTTTCAGAGAGGGAAGTTTCTCAGATCTTATTTCAGTCGACTGCAGATCTTCAAAAACACCTCCTCTGCTCTTTTTTCCTCTTCAGGTGAGAAGAAAGGCAGCATACTGTAGCGTCTGACTGCTGCACTCATAACCCACTCAGTCAGAGTACCAGCCTCACAGTATCAGCCCATTCTCTCAGAGCCATCTGGAAAGACTCAGCGGTCGTTAGATTTTGATTGGAGGTCTGCGACAGATTGGGTTAAACATACAAAAAATCTCTGCAACTCTTCACGGCATGTTCTCCTTCAAAAATGCGTTTGCTCTTTTTGTCGTTTTGACAGTTACAACAACATTATGACCACAGTGACCATAAGTCTTTATTGTCTGTTGTTGTTTTTGTAAGTGTATGTACGTTTCTCCTTCTGTCTCACTTCCCGCCTGTCACTCGGTCTCCTCTCTGTCTGTCTGTGTCGACTTTTTTTGTCTCAATCTGTCTCTCTTCCTCATACCAGTCAAGGCAAATGTCTCCTCACAAATGTCTGCTGCATAGACTGATTCTGTTCAGAGTTCCTGCCGGTCAAATGCAGGTTACCCTGAAATGACTGTTGTTATATTTTTTTACGACTTTGTTTGTATCTTTAAAAAGAAGATTGAATTATATTTGTGGAAAATGTGCTGTACAAATAAAATCGGATTATATTCAATCAGCTGAATTAAAATTCCCATGACAACTTTTTTAGCTAGTTATGAAACAGAGGCATCACTAGAAAAAAATAGTGATGCCTCGTTATATTCTACAAGGTTAAGTGACTTTTTATTTAGTTTATGTGCCTGTTTTTTTACTTGCTGAGGTGCTTGAATTTCTACATTCATCTAAAAAAAACTTCATTTAACTGTTAAATGAAAGTAGATAATTATAAATACAACACAGATAACTATCTGTGAGAGTATTGTCAGTTGAAGAATAAAAGTGTCTAGTTACTGTTGTAGGCCTGTAACAGTGTGAAACAACATGTCTCCTGAGTAAAAAGAGTCGTCTTGTTATAGCCACAGTGAAGCAGAGAGGGGCAAAAACCACAGTGAGCATCAGCTCATGCAACCTTTGCAATCTGCTAACTACCTCAGGTCTAGCAGAGTAAAACTGGTGGATGTTAAGGGTTTAGAAAAGTAAATATATTGTAAATTTTCCTAGAAGGAAATGGATTAACAGCAAGGTGTAGAATTTTGCTACAATTCCCAATAAAAACATGCAAATAGACGTAAATAAATGGTAAACAGCTGCTAGTTTTCCTGTAAAAGTTTCTAAATAACAGCTTTTTGCTGTATTTATAAAAACAGCAGCAAACTGTAAATTTCAGCAACAGCAATATATCATCAATTTTAACAGCAACTTCCTTGCAACCCTACTGCCACTTGTTTACAATATACTTACTTTTCTAAATGTTTACAGTTTAGAAAAGTAAAAATATTTGAAACTTTTCTAGAAAGAACTAGATTAACAGCAAGATGTAGAATTTTGCTACAATTCCCAGTAAAAAAATATGCAAATATACCTCTTTAGAATAAGTGTAAATAAACAGTACACAGCTGCTAATATTTTCTACAGGATTTTCCTGTGAAAGTTTTTAAATAACAGCTTTTTGCTGTATTAATTAAAACAGTAGCAAACTGTAAATTTCAGCAACAGCAATATAACATTAATTTTAACAGCAACTTCCCTGCAACCCTGCTGCCAGGATTTCTAAGAGTGCAGGCAAGAGCAGAGGGACTACTTTGAAACTGAAAATGCTCCGAAAGCTTTTAAATCTGACATGTATTTCGACAAGTATTTTTGTTTAAAAAAGGTCACCCCAGGAATTCAAATTCATTTCAGTCGAGCCAGTTTCGAGGCCGTTTTAAGAGTTTTCTTTTGTCAATTTTTTTCTTCAAGTTTTTTTGAGCTGATGTGTCCAGATATTTTTGCCTAAAGAATGAAAATGGGAAAGAAGAACAAGATGGCATGTAGCAAATGTTGAAATTTCTTTCTTCTTTAAGCTTAAATATTATATAACATCTATTGAATTTTCCTTCGGTGACCAATAAATTTCTTATCTTATTTTATCAAGTCCTTGTCCATATTGATGCTGATATTCGGATCGTAGATGTCTCCTAAAGTTTGACGCAAATATGACGTGTGCAGTTCTTTATCCTGTTCTTAATTTGTTTCGTACCACAGCCTTGTCTTAAATAAAAGCCTGTAAGATCCTTCAAGTAAATGTTGATTACACCTTTCAAAGAGACTCTCCTCTGAGACTCTGTGTGCCTCATACCTGAAGAGCAATTCATGTCATTTTTCTCTCATTCTGACGTAACAACGCTCTTTGAAGGGTTCCCACTCTTCCTTCAGACCCAGATGAGTCATTTACCGAGTACAGAGCTGATATTAGACATCCAACCTCTTTTACTTAGCATTCAAACAAAGAAAACAGCAGATCAAAGCAGGAGAGCATCAAAGAAAAGCAGAGGACAAAGACGAAACCGTATACAGGTTCTTTACATTCAGATAAGCACATATATATATGTGCTCAGAGTGTTCATGAAAAACACTAAACAAAGCCTCTTTTATGAAATAGTATCATCTTCTTCTGTTAGACCTATTTGTTTAACCTCTAGGTCATATTTGAAGTCCATACAAGATGCTTAACATTATATCTATTCTTTTTAATAAAGTACTGACATGAAAAATGCAGTTTGACAAGAAAAATTGGAAGAATTGACAAGATGTATCGATGCAGTAATTTTGAAAACAAATTCTAAAGCAGGGTACACATAAGGATTTTTTAATCTGTTACAGACCCGTCTCATGAAGATACAAAATCAGGCATTGAACAGTTTTGATCGTACTCTGTGTGGTGTGCTCCGATAATCTCAACACAGCACACCACGAACAAAACCATTCTGTTCCACCACCGATCTAGAATCTAGTCCTCCAAGACAGGAATCTCATGTGATAAAATGTGATCTAACAAAAATGAAGAAGAAGAAACATCGCAACAACCACAAGAACACAAGACGCAACATGGAAGAGGAGGGAATGATGGTGGTTTTAGGAGTACTTTTGACACAAAAATCCCGAAAAGACCGTGTAAAAAATCCTGGAGACAGTGTGAACACAAACTTTATAGTCTACTGAGCGAGCTAGAGGTGAGTTGTTCTCAAACTAAGCTAATGGCTGGTGTGATTATTATTATTATTTATATTATGTGATGATCGCTTTATTTGGTTCCTTAGTTCCTCAGTCAGCTCGCTTCTTGATTGGCTACATTCCGTTTTACGTGACAATTCACAGAGTCATGACTCGGGAGTCGTCGGCTTTCCCCACACACGTGAAGATTTTTGGTCATAAATATTGAGCAAGTTTAATATTTACGATTGTCGGCCCCGACCCATTTCAGACCCAATTATCAAGACAAATTCACTCTTAATACACCTCAGACCACAGGATAATCTTGTAGGTTAATCTTCTGGTGGTCATGCTTATGATATGTTATCTCCTATTTAAACAACAGTTGAGACAAAGTTCCTAAAGTTACAGTCCAGACATTTTTTGAAATCTGGCTGTTCCTACCTGCCTGAAGAACTCCTCCATCAGGGCTTTGGTCCAGCGAGAGTGCAGAGCCCAGGGTTTAGAGGGATGACTGATGTCGGCCGTGTGAAGCAGCAGGGACAGAGCTTTGGGCTTGTCGATCCTATAAGAGAAAACACCACGCGCTCCTTGTTTTTGTTGTTGAGTACCTCAGTCTGTCAGCCTCCTGGTGCTGAATATTTCTAAACAGCTGTATCTGCTCTGAGGCGTCATTGTACTTTATTAACTCTTGTTTGCACAGCACAGCTTGAAAGCAGAAGCAGAGCCCATTAGTGTTACCGTTCTTGCTGCTGCAGACAGGATTTCATCGCTTTGACTTGGAGGAGGTGGGAGGACATGTCAGTGGACAACACCATATCGATGACGAGCGATCTCAGCTCCCTGTACACAAACAGAACAGACATCCTTATTTACCCCTCAGCCTCTGATGATGGGGATAAAGTCTAAGGTTTAAAATCAACAGACAGGAAGAGTCGGTGGGGTTGTAACCTTTCAGATTTGCTGATGGGTTTTCTTGTTCCCATGGTAACGCTGACTGCAATAAAAAGCCTATTACGGTATGCTGCCGCTGTTTATCACTGTCAACATCTGCAGGGCTCGTCCATAAATAACAGCCACATAGTGTATGAAGTGTTGAAGTGTGTCATCCTCCATGAATTTAGAAACTGTTTGAATATCCCTGTTTTTACTATTTCATGGTTGTTGGCACAAAAATGACAAAAAATGAACTTTTAACACTTCAGTTCAGGACACTATCCATTAAGGCCCGACTGATTTATCAGCAAGTCGATTAAATTGGCCAACTTTAGCCTGTTTGAGACTAATTGGTAATAGGCCGAAACTCAACGATTATCGATGAATTTTTCAGAAATAAAATGCGGAGAATCAGATTTGGTTTCACTTCGAATATGTTCCGCCATTTGAAAAGTTCCCCGACTTATCCTGTAGATGGCGCAGGGACCTCATGACAATCTTTATCGCTAACTACCTCACAGTAGAGCAGAGTGGCGGATCTGAAGCAGGCAGCTCAGGGACGCATGGAGGAGAGTGGTCCTCCTTAACAGTAAATAAACCAGCTTGAAAAATACACAATAAGTCAACAAGTTTCAGAGAGCAGTAGCCAACAGTATATCTACAGTAAATATATATATATATATACTATATTACCCCTAATAATCGGTATCGGCATCAGCCCCAAAAATCCATATCCGTCGGGCCCTACTAACCATGAGTCATGGTTTACATTTCCGGTTTTTAGTTCACCTAACTGGTTCACTGACATCATGTATGTGCGCCCCACTCCCACTCTGCTGATGAGTCACGCAGCAGTAATAGTAACATGATCTTTTATAGGAGATGTCCAATTGTCAGAGGTCAAGGGTTCAGGGTCATCTAATGCAGGCCTAAAGGGGATCAGGACTCAGAGTCTCATCAGGCGATGAGTCAACATGGACAGATAATTGTCCTCATGGGGTCTTTGCGGCCTCATATTACTCTTCTGTCAATATTTGGCTGGAGTCTGTCGCCAACACTGTTTGACAAACACGACTTTTTTTTTTTCTTTTTGCACCAATTGATACGCTGTTTTATATTTCCTCTAACCAAAGAACATGCAGTATATCAATTTCTTATTACAGAGTGATTTTTACAGGTTATCTACCATGAAGACATACAAGAGGGAGCTTTTGTCTCATGTGATCATTCCACCTTTTTCTCTTTGTCAAACAACAGCATGTAAAAACCTAATTTATCCTCCATATGTAAGAACCTTGTTCATTCTTTCTGAAGTTCTGAAGCTTTACAAACAAATCTCAAGCATCGATTTAACTTTTCAAAAAGGTCACATATTTAAATCAGACACTTTGATCCTGTAGTTCTTAGAAAACCAGCTCAACCAGAGGTAAGATTGATTTATTTGAACTATTTTCAGTTGCTGATTGATTCTTGTTTGGTGCTTTCACAGCAGTTGAAAGTAAAGCTGCAATACCATGTGATGCATTTTGAAGCATTTATCCAACAGGCAATAGATTGACACAAAAATAGCAGCCATGCTTGAAGTTAGTCGTGATTTACGTTTAATAGTGGAGCTCATAATCTTTAGGTTTCATAACTCAAAGAAAGAAGTCACATATGTTTTTTTCCCCTGCAGGAAGTGAGCTCAACATTGTTTTTTTCTTCCTTTTATAGGATTTATTCGATATAAAAAAATGCAGAATTTTATTATTGTCTGCATTATCTACTCAAACATCTTCCACTGAGCTAAATCCAAAAACTTCAGCCAAAAAAGTGTTGATGTGTCTTGAACTAACCTTTAAAAGTTACTGTTCAATATTTCAAACCCACTGTAATAAAAAAAAAAAGAAAAAAAACAAGCAAATTCTGTGAATCAGACAGAAAATGGCTGGAACTCGTTACGATCAGTTCTGTAGTTACGTGGGTGGAGAGCACTTTGGACTTTCTCAGAAAAGGAGAGACGGTTGAGTCATTTGTTCACATGCACTCTCATCTCTCTGGTTCATTTTAGTCACTCTGTCCTATCAGTGATGGATTTTAACACCCTCACTTTGCAGGTGTCTGAACTTTTAAATTGGAAAAAAAGAAGAAACAAGAAATAAAAAATGAAACGTATTGCTAGAGTACGGAAGTGTATTGCATTCACTTAGAAAAAAAAGGGAAACTTTTTTTTGAGTAATTTTTTTCTTTGCTGCTTTACAGACCGATTTTTTCCCTCTTTCTGTTTTTCAGATCGATTTTATTCTGTTTTTCTGATTAATTTTTTTCTTCTTTCATTTTTTTCTACCTATTTTTTAATTCTGTTTTTTGTTCTGATATTTTTTCCCTTCTTTCTGTTTTTCGGACAAATTTTTATTCTGTTTTTCAAACTATTTTTTTTTTCATCTTTCTGTTTTTTCATGGAAATCAGTGTTCAAATTTTGAGTTGAATTTGGTGTATTTTCCTAAAAATGATAATGATAATAACTTTTACATCACTGGTAAAAAGGTTGTTGACTCACATCCACTCCTCTCTGGTCAAATTAACAAAGATGTTCATCTGATCACTCTGCAGGAGGCGAAACGCCGCACTCAGGTGATGGCTCTCCTGCACGGAGCGGTCGTTGTATATCAAAGCAAACTCTGACCTGAAACACAGATGGTGAAAGAGAAAACGTAAGAGTATGTAAGTGAAACAGTATTGCAGCGGAGATGTCATAAATGAGATAAAAAGTATTTTCAGCATATCACTGTCGGTCTAATTCAGTGTCTTTGAAAAGTACTAAACAGATGTCATGTGACAAAATTTGACTGGTTCACATGACACCAAATTACTGAATCTGTTCAGCAAGTTAATGAAGCAAGTTCTTGCTCAAACATCATGTAACCACCCATCTGCATAAGCTCCCTAATCAGACTGTAGAAATAACAGATGTAACGAAGCACACTTTGAAAAGTTTTCCAATTAGTAATAATTTTGAAGCTTCAATAAGCCCACCACAGTTAAATCAAACACGATGACATAATACTAGTGAAAATGTCTTCTACCAATATCCATTTGTGTGTTGAAGTGCTGTTTTGGGGGTTGTTAAATCAAGTACCATGAAGCCACAGTCAGCATGAAATCAAGGTTTTAAATTTTTTGGTTAGTTTTAGGTTTTAAAATTCAGACACTCAACTTAGCAGGTCTGTTTGACATCTGAAGACATGGAAAAATTGTATTTACTGTGCAGATTTTCTGATATTCTTAAGGCTAGCGGACTGGTTGAAGACAACAGATCAGCTTGTCATTTACAGTCAGAATTACAGACTACAAGATTGACGCTTGAAGTAAAATTTCATCAATGACTTAACTGAAAATATATCAACTCAACACTTCCTAATTTTACCATTTTACAAGCAGGTTATATGGAAATTTAAAGTGATTCTGAAACAGAATTTACAGTCACATTACTTTGCCTTTAAAGCTCCTGTGAGGAACTTTTGGTTTGTACTGATTCTAGTGGACCCTGCAGACAAGGTAGTACCACTTACATCTTTGCTGATTTGTCCTGTTTATAGTCCAGTGAAAATCTCTTGAAATTGACCAGATGAGCTGCATGTGTGAACACAGACAGACCAATGACAAGCATGCTTTAATGCTCTGATATGAAACTTTAATCGAAATATTCAGGAGAAGTGTGTCTCAGTCTACCAGTATCCTTTAAAAACTTAGACTCCCAAAAACGGTCCCGGTGTGTAAGGACCTTAAGGCTGTAAAAAATTACCACAGTGTCTATTTAACATCATGTCCAGCCCCCTAAGACTCTTGAGGATGCACGAACGGTCTCTTTGGGTCTGTTTAATGACACTGACAATCCTCAAATGCAGTTTCATCTGTCTGGTGCTGCAGCTTTATCAACAATCAGAGCCTCAGACCTTTGAGGAGTCCCATTAATGCACAAAATAAAGCTTTTGTTTATTCATGATTCTGCAAAAGGTTGACTGTTTGAAGCATAAAAAAAAAGGTTCTGGTGGAGAAGTACATCCCCTGCTGAGATTGAGCGTAGATGTTTTCATCGATTTTTGTTTTTTTCTCAAACTTTTCCATCATGAAAATTTATCATCAACAGAATCAATTTCAACCAGCGTGAATTTAAGCGATCAGGGTAAGAAATACAGATGAGAGTGGGAGTTGACATTTTGCCACACAGAGTTGTATTTTAGGTGGCGTACGGCTTCTGAAAAGGATACTGTTTGTTTTCTGTAACCAAGACATGTCCGTTTATTGTGGACGAGGATTCTTCCCAAAATAAAAGCATGATCAGGATGATGGGTGCCAGGAGACCGCGTTCTTCAGCCCTCCTGTGTGGAAAATCAACGTCTAAAAATACTGTGTTCCCTCCATAAAGATGTGTTTGCTTTAGAGTGCTCTGCCTCTCTCTCCCACTGTCTCCAAAAACTGCACAAAGGCCTTCAAGAGACACTGACTTTCTATTTCAACATTCACCAACATCTCTTGCTATTTTACAGTTTCACAACAGGATGCTGTGTAAAATTAGATGGAGCTACATGAGAGTGGGTCTATACGTGTGGGTGTTTCATAGGAAGGACTTACTTCGTGTGAACGTGAAAGTTGTTTGTGGTTCCCGTGTGCTCGTAGTCATGGATGGCTGCAGCAAATAACGACGCCATCACCTCCAGCTCGGTCAGCCAGTGCTTGATGGACACATGGGAAGACAAGAAGACACTGTCAGTGTAGCAGGGGGCAAATTCAGAGTCATTTCATGTAGAGCCATTATGTCAACACCAAGGGGGACAAAGACATGGAGATTGAAAATTCCCACCATTGATAAAAAGCAGCAGAAGCTAATGTCAGGATACTGATATGTGCACCTTAAAGACCCACTCCAATGAAAATCATGTTTTCTTGTTTTCTACATGTTCATATATTCATTTTTCTGATGCTACAGGACATGTCATGAGAAAAATCACGGAACAAAGGTATTGCAATGCTCGTAAGAAAGCTTATTATGATGTTAACTTTCATCATGTCCCTAAAGACATTAGTGTCCGAGAGCTCTTATGTTACCTGCCACTTTGACTACACCAGCAATGTTAGGCTAGTGTGAAGAGGAGTGTGCAGAGCAGCGCTGTCTCCGCCCACGACTCAGAGGCGAATTGCTAATGAGCTACGGGAGCTCTGCAGAAGAAGGTACTTAAAAATGACACAGGTAAGGTGACTGAGAACACTCAAAGTATTAAAAAAAAATGATCGGAGTGGGACTTTTAGTGCAATTCCACTAGTGTCCACTTGAGGCAAAGGACAAAGGTGTCCCTGTTCGGTCTCATGTTAATATGTCCAACTTAATAGAGGAAGTAAACCTGCTTTTAATGATTTTGAGCGAGTCATTCATGCTTTTATTTCCACACGGTTGGACGACTGTAACGCTCTTTACGTCGGTGTTAATCAGGCTTCCCTCACATGCTTACAGTTAGTCCAAAAATGCTGCTGCTCGTCTTTTAACAGGTAAACGAAAACATGATCACATCACTCCAATTCTGGCGTCCCTCCATTGGCCTCCTGTTCATTTTAGGACTCATTTTAAAATTTTGTTTGTTTTTACATACCAATGGATCGGCACCACGGTACATCTCTGACCTCTTAAATGTTTATACCTATACTTGTATGTCCCCGTGGTAGATAAACTATAAAAATCACTCTGTAGTAAGAAACTGATAAAGTGTATGTTCTTTGCTTAGAGAAAATATAAAACAGCGTAGTAACTAATGGGGAAAAAATTGCAGTGGTTGTCTAACAGTGTTGGCTTTGGGTTTGTGGGATTTCAGATTTTATATTCAACCATTTCTGATGATTCAAAATGTTGGTATCCAGTCGGTTCTACTTTACCACAAGTCCAGATCGCAGCAGCAGGCAGTGCAGTGTCTGAGTCACATCTGCAGCGTGAACGTGGCTGTGGTACGGGTTGTTGTGTTTGCAGTATCCTCTCTCCAGGGCACACAGGAACTCTGTCAGGCATGAAATGGGGATCTGAAAAATGCATCATAAAATTATCAAGGTTTTGTTGAAAAATTTAAGAGTTGTGCGCACAATGACAAGCTAAAACTGAGCCTGAGTGTTGTTTTCTGTTGTGATACTCATTATACCCAGGATTAAAACTCACATTTCCCATAAAAATTGACTCTATAATTGCTTAAATTCTCATTTTACTGTTGCGTTACAACGCAGAGCCATGGAATTCTTCTGTTACCATATCAGTTCAACATGTGAAGAGGGTACACCATGTTAAATTTAAGGATAAAAACCTTAAAACGACTGTTGAGTCCATATCTGGTGATCAGCTCAAAGAACAGAGTTCGTAGTGCATGGTCAGAGCTGGCTGCGTTCAGAGCAAACACGTCAAAACTCCAGCGGTCAACATCCTAAATAGAAGAGAGAAAATGACTGAATTCTTTCGGTGTGTGCCACTCCTTTTGTAATGCTGATTTACGGCTCAAACATACACACTCAAAGACAGACGTATGACTGGTAAAGGCTTACCCTGAGACAATTTACGACCACGGCAGGTTGGTCTGGCATGGCAGCCGTGTAGGCCCTCTTGAACATCCTGGAATAATGCAATGTTTATGTTGAGTTCAGTTAAAGTTCAGATGTTGACACTGTGCAGCCAACTGGTCTTAGAATCTGTTTATATAAATCCTCCAAAGTCCCTGTCCCCCTTTGGAAGGATGTTTTAAAGAGACAAGGAGGCTAATGTTTCATGTCCCGGTTCAGCTGTCTGTGTTTTCTGTGGCTGGGATTTGAACAACACAGTATAGAGTTACAGAGTTATAGCAGGGAAGTGTAAATCACTCATACACGATGAGAAATGTACATTATGAGTTGTTTTATCCTCTTATTTTATTACTTTAAAGCCTCATAATTAATGCATGACTGTTACTCTCAAGTAGCTGCCTTTTACAGTGCAGTATGCAAACACCCTGTTGCATCAAAGCGACCTCTTTAATCCGCTCTGTAAGCTCTGCAATCAATCTGTAAATAAACACGGTAAATTACCTCTCCACAAATATCCCAGCCTGCACCGCATGTACGATGCTGCGAAACTTGGGTTTCTCATCTGACCGCCGTACGGGCCGTCGAACCCTCTGCGTGAAGGTGGATGCCAGCCAATCAGTGACCTCTGCAGGCACTCCATCTGACTGCAGCTGCTGGAGGTCATCTTCTGATTCTAAACACTGTCTGAGGGAAACATCACACACATAAACAGTGAATATTAAACAAGAAGAGAGTCGTAAACAGGTACTGGAATAACACATCTTTGAATCCACCCCAAACCAGATTCTGCCTAATAGAGAGTAAATTCATTTATTCACAGTAATTTATAAATGTGCCCAATTCTAAAGTAAAGCTTTACAAACTCTTCTACAGAGGACATGTTGTCATTATCATTAATCTCAACATTACGACTTTATTTATGAAATTTCTTCTTTGTTTGCAACAACTTTAATCTCATGATTTCAATTTTAATCTTGAAATTTGGATTTAATCCATAAAATTTTGACTTTCTTCATGTCTACTTTGATCTTGAAATTTTGACTTTAACTTTAAAACTTTTATTTTTGTAATCTTGAAATTTCGAGATCATTCACGACATTATGTAATCTCAAAATTTCGTCTTTAATCTTGGAATTTTTAATTTCATCTTGGATTTCAATTAAATCCACGAAATTTCGACTTTATTCATGTGGACTTTCATCTCAAAACTTTGATTCGATCTTAAAATTTTAATTTTTGTGATCTTGAAATTTTGACATTATTCACACTTCGTAATCTCAAAATTTTCTACTTGAGATTTTCTAATTTTCTAGAAATTTTCTAATCTTGAGACTTCGATTTAATCCACAAAATTTCGACTTTATTCACGTCAACTTTAATCTTGAAATTCCGACTTTATTGGTGTCACTTTAATCTTGAAATTAAAACAATAATAAAGGTATGAAACATATGATATAGAATGAAGAGGTAGATGCTGCTAGCCAAGCATGTCAGGCACTGGCCTAATGGATATTGATTAGAAAATTGGATACTAAGCAAAGTCACTCTGAGATCTAAAGAGTGTGTTATTTTGTAAACAAAAAGCAAAAAGCTGAACAAGCTTCTTGACTAACTGAGCAGCAGCAGCAACAATCCACCAAAGATTACAGGTGTGGAAGGAGCTTAAGTCAAGTGTGAACTCGACACAGCCACACAATGCAGCCAGGAGATCATTTTGTCTGTATAAAGGGAAGTGTGGGCAAAGTGTGAATTCATTTGTGTAGACTCGTCTTATAAAGCTGCCTTTTAGCGGTCAACACCTTTGACTGAAGAACTTTGAGGTTGATGGTGCATCATTTCCCAGTGCCTAAAGATTGTACTGTGCCAGCCTATTGCACCATAAATAACAGGTCACACTCTTCCCTGACTTATCAGCAGATCAACAGTGTAAATTTTAAACAAATCTATGCCTACAGTGTGACATTTTTGGTGTTATCCTTCGCATCAATGAGACAGATAATGAGACACATTTTATCTTGTGTAGTCGGTCACAGTCAAGGCTGCATCCCAGGCGCCTCACAACCCTCTGGCAAAAGTCTAGCATGTTCGATTTTTCTCTCTGCTTCCTATGAAATGTTCTGCACATGTGTGATATTGACTGAAGCCACTAAAGGGTAATACCACCCCAGCTGCAATTTCACCTCAGTAGCTAACACCTGTGTTGTTTAGATTTGGTGCACACATTTCCACACTGCAAGATTAGACACACACTTCTGTTATACGATACTCTTTGTCTACCTGGCTGTCAGGGGGATGACACTACCTTGCTTGGCAAAAAGTGTGACCAGGACTCATATCCTGGAGACTGCACGTTAGAGCAAACCATGTGCTGTGATGCAATTTTGGTTTGTAACATTGGTTTTCTGGATTTGGGTAAAATAAAATCCTCACCTTTTGAGAAAAAACACTTCTGTGTCTTGTGCCCTACTGTCTCCACACACCAAGCGTGTGTAAAATCATTCGCGCAAATAAATTACATGTTAAGTCAATGCAAAGATGCGATTAGACACCCCTACTACTTTGGCGGCGTGAATGACACGAATTGGGCGAAGCTGAAAATGTCTCAACTTGAGTGGATATTCATGTCACGATAACTGATCAGCATGAAGGTTGCCGGGTGCAAAAGAAAACAGACGGTTGTTCATTGATATCACAAATGGAGGACAAACTGATCGTGTCAGTGTGTGGGTGCCCCAATTATATGATACCTTTTCTTTCAATTACTGACGGCTAAAACCCACAGGATCAGGAACGGCTGTGCTCCAATCCCGCACAGCAGGCGGATCAAATACGTAAGCATTTTAATCAATGTGTGTGAATCCATTGAAACTACCGTTGACCCGCGAATCAAGCGAGTAAACACTGTTCATTCACGTGTCTAGATTCGCGCGAATTAAGCGAGTAGATGATTTTACTCACGCTTAGTGTGAGCACCCCACTAAGAGAACAGAATGGTCTGAAAGTCCGAAAGTCACAAGTGTAAAAAAACAAACAAAATGGTAAGACAGAAAAGAGAAGATAAAGCTGGTGCTGGTCCTATATGATGTCGTAATTGCATTTCAGCAACACAGGATAATTCTGGTCGTAGCAGTTGGTTGTGTACATGGAACAAATTTGTGGCTCTATGATCACTTATTTAAAGTGGCAGACAAAAAAAAGATCATTAAGTCTGATCCTGACGTAGGACAACATTTTCGTCTGCACCAACATGTGTACCAGCATCAGTATCATGTCAATATGACCCTAGTAAAGAAAGTTCAGAGGGGATGTTTTCTTTAAATTCTCAAAGGGACTTAGATGTTTAGATGTTTAATTCGGGCAGTCTAAAGTAGACTTGGCTTTAATTACCCATTTGTGACTGAGGCAGAATTTCTTATGGGTGTTTTGAGACCTCAGCGAGATGATTTCATGTTTAAGTATCGATGGAAAGTCCCTGTGCAGGAGGAAGTAAGCAGCTCATAAGTGATCTTATCATTCAGTGAACTTATTTTCCTGTCTATGGTGGTTTTATTTATACCCCAAAGTGGTCTAGACTGAACCCGCGCACCTGCTACCCTGCAAAAGATGATAAAGACATGAACTGAGGTATTTTGTTGACTCTACTCCTTGCAGGACCAAACCTCTTCATCAGGAAATATGTTGATGTTTGTTTTTGCATGTTTACAGCCATGAAAAGTAAAAACAGAGCTTACATGACAAGTTAACATTGAGTAGAAAATGTCTTGTTGTTTTGTTATTCCTCTTTTCTCTACCTTGTTCCATCGAGGTAAATTGCCTCCAGTAATGACGCTGTGAAATCCAGGTTCTTTTTGATTTCCTCAAAATCGACATCTCTCTCCTCCAGCAGCTTCAGCATGCTCCTCAACCTGTAAGGAAGCAGAGTCATTTGTTCAGATGTGATCTCTTCACAATAAACGGGCCTTTCTGAAAGTCCTAAAAGTGCTGTTTCGCCTCCAAAAAGAGCAATCACCAAGAGCAGAGGGCGAAAATGGCTTGTGCAGTTTAGACTCAAGCTTTTACTGTAAATCACACTTGGAACAGCAAGAAAAGTCCCGACAGAAGAGTCATTTTTGAGTCTGATTGGAACCTAAACTGACAACATCTGATCTTCGTCTGAGGGGAAACAGAAGTGCTTTGAGATCAAGTTAAAAAAAAAAAAAATCCTCAGGAAAGGAAAAAGTTCATTTGGAAGTGATTTAAGCTGCCCAAAGAAAGCCAGTGGCAAAAAGGGCATCATTAGTGCCAAATTTTCCATGACAGGAAAACTTCCCATGGTTAAGCTCTTACGTAACCCACATTTTGTCAAAGTGAGCTCCGTGAAAATGATGTTTTTGAGCGCTGGCTGCAATCTGATCTTGTCTCATGCTTGATTTTGAAACTTTTAATCATATTACTTTAGAGAACAGGCGGGGAATGCATCAGCCTCCTGCAGCGTAATAAAAAGCACATGTCACCTCAAGTGTTTCCCACCTGCCGTGTGTTAATGTAATCTCATCTGCGTGATTATTCTAACAGTTTTCAAAAGCATAACACAGAACACAACTGGAATCAGTCTGCTCTGATTGGATTTTATTTTCTCTCAGGGTATCTCATTGACAGATTTATCTGATTCAATAACAAGTGCGTGCCACAGATCGGCTTTTCAATGAAACATTTTTGGTGGAGCTGCTCATATGTTGACTGATTGTGTTCAGTCACAGGCCGTGCTGTGGAGTCAGCTCCTGGGGAGGAGTTGCTCACAGCTTTTCAAGTGTTTATCACGCTGGCAGGGCCTTTCAAAAGCTGTTGAGTCATAAAAATAGCATGCATCTGAATGCCATCGCTTGCTTTCAATCTCGGCTAATTTATAATGTTTAGACTGTGCACAGCAGATGAGCCTCGAACAGGATATTTCTTATGGAGAACACTTTTTGTGTAAAGAAGAAAAAGGCATCAGGCTGTGCTGAAATGACTCAGTGCAAAATGCCGGCAATAATAGGTGCAAATCATGAAAGACTCTAAATGATGAGATGCCTGTTAAAGATGTTCTGAAGAAACTATTTACCTGGTAATTTTACAAGAAATGTGAATTCTGACTTTGAGCTGTCACAACATACAATAGCTGTATTTTGCGAAAAGTGAAGTATGTGGGTTTGTGAGTTCATAGTACCCTTAGCAAAAAGTAGTATACTTAAAGTTCATTTTATTAAGTACCCTTGAGTGTAAGTATACGTATGTCAAATACACTAATTTAATACTTCTTGGGACTAAATTGGAAAACTTTTAGTTTATAAAAGTACACTTGAAGCATACTTGAAAGTAAACTTCTTGGTACACTATTAGTTTACTAGAAATAAACTTCTAGTCCCCTTTTTAGTTTATAAAAGTACACTTTGAAACATACTCTGAAACAAGCGTACACTTAGTAAAAAGTAGTATACCTAAGGTTCATTTTATTAAGTATGCTTGAGTATAAGTATGTCAAGCATACTACCGAACATGTACTTTTAGTGTACTACAAAGTATACTACTTTAATACTTCTTGGGACTAAATTGGAACATTTTTACTTTATAAAAGTACACTTGAAGCATACTTGATAGTAAACTTCTTGGTACACTATTAGTTTACTAGCAATAAACTTCTAGTCCACTTTTTGGTTTATAAATGTACACTTTGAAACATACTCTGAAACAAGCGTACACTTGGCAAAACTTAAAGTTCATTTTATTAAGTATGCTTGAGTACAAGTATGTCAAGTATACTACCAACCATGTACTTTTAGAGTACTATAAAGTATACTAATTTAATACTTCTTGGGACACAATTGGAACATTTATATGAATATATTATTCTAGTTTATAAAAGTACACTTAAAGCATACTTGAAAGCACATGGTCAGGACAGGAATCGAACCCGTGACCACAGTGTGGACCACAGTCACCAACATGGAACGCACTTTAATCCACTCAGCTATCTGCTATCCGCTGACTCTAAAACATAATTAAAATTACCTTTTGGTATGCTATTATTTCAATATTACAGTAGTACATGTCTGTATACCTGGCTTGTACTGTTAATCTGGTTGTCTTCTATTTGACTTGTGTTGTTTTATCTATTAAGTTTTCCAAAAATATTGCAACATTATTGTTATATCATGGCCATTATAATCCTGAGTTGAAAATCTGATATCATGACAATCAGAATTTCTGACCAAGTAACCTGTGTAAAGGTGAGAAAACTCTATCACCTCTATCAAGAAAACAGCCAAAAAGTGATCACAGTTTATTTAGTCTGCTACAAAATGATGTCAAGCGAGTTCGCTGGTGAGGTTGCCATTAGCAGAGCTATCACCACCGGCCTCTGGTCCTTCTTACAGGGTAACATCCTCATGCCTGTGCTGGACTACACTCATTAAATCCATATTACAGCCAAACCACACTGCAGTGTGAGACGCTACCTGTCATCTGTGCTTGTTTACATCTGGGTAGTACAGCGTTATAGCATTACAGCAATTATTAACCGGAGCTATGACCCAGACTGAACACGTGACCAGCATTTTGAGTCCATGATGCTAACTAGTAGAGAGATGAGGTTTAATCATTCAGTGGATCAAACAGGCAATGACCTGATTTCTGTAAACTCCTGGCTCCTACAAATTTCCCAATCAAGGTGTAAATTTAAGCAACTGTTAAAAAACGGCCTAAGGTAGTACTGATGTGTCTAAATGAACAAGAACGGCAAAAGAAGCCTTCAGCTGTAAAACTGGGTATCTCTTAATAGATATAAACACTGTCAGAGAGTAGGTGTCAGATGTGGCTGTTAACAGCACCATTTGTCACGTTTGAGTCTCATGACTAAACCGTTTGAAGAAAGCAGAATGAGATTTTTGCCTCTCACAAAATGAGGACAGAGATAAAAGGTACCACTTGTTCACAGGGGGTGCCACATACAACAGAAAAGTCACTCACATGAGCTTTAATTCTTATTTAAAGTTAGTTTTTATGTTATCTAGCGCTGGTGCTCGCGAGAAAATGACACCAGTGGCTCGAGAAATGTGTGAACTTTTATCAGCAAGAAACCCTCAAACACCTAAAAAAACTCAATGCACTGAAACCTGCCGACTTATATACATCAGTGTGTTAACCAAAACAAAACCCCATGACCCATCACCTCTGCAGCTTTTCCTCTCACAGGAAAATTGTGGGTGAGATGAATGTTCAGAGTGGCTAAAGTTTACTCTCATGATGCCAAGTTAAGTCAGAGTGGTGGAATCTTAAAAATCTCCCACAACATGAAGCAAAAGAAAGAGACGATACCCTTTTAAAAGAGACTTTCAGAATACTTTCCACAGTTTGCTTTGTGATGATCTACGCTTGCTGATAAAATGAGTCACAAAAAGCAACTGAAGGCTGCTCTGTTATCTCTCATCACAGTGCAACAGACTGGACTTTTGACTCATTTCTAATGCACTGCAAAACAAGACAACTCCTCCAACAGACGCTGATCCAGACAGATTCACTGCAGCAGACTTTTAAAGCTAATGCATGTTTGTTGAGAGTAATCCAGCCCTGTTTATATGCAAACACAGAAAGGCTGAACATGCATGTATGAAGCTGTGATATCATCTGTTTTAGTCTCAACCCCAGTCTTACCTAGAGATGGGGATCTGCAGCCGTTTCTTACGGATTCGTACCAGTTCAGCCATTCCACAATCAAGCTGCGCCCTGATGGACCCCAGAGTTCAATAAAAAAACAATAACAGGTTAAAAAAAGTCAAATTAAAACAGGGAAGTAGTAAGCAGAAAAGTCTCCAAACCACCAACGCAAACTTTGTCTGTCCTGAGACAGAGTTGTGTTTCAACAGCTCTCCCACCCACTTCTGGGGGGACCTACTCCACTTCACTCTGATTGGCTGGGCAGGCCCAAACTGTGTCAGAGTGTGTGTGAGTGAGTAAGTGTTTGTGTATATGTGTACAGCCGTTGTGTGAAGTGTGAGTGAGTTGACCTCACCCGCTGATGAAGTGTTGACTGCGAGGCTTTCAAACCGTGTGTGTGTACTCGAATCCCAAATGAGAATTTTCCACCGAAGCCGCAAATTAAGGAGCAACACAGAGGGTCTTTGACTGAAACCCCACCAGAGTCACCCCCAAGCCAAACACATAAACAAAGCCTGTCCTCGAAAGCCACCCACAACAGCATGATAGGTTCTCTGGTGCTCACTCGGTTTAGAAAATATGCAAGAGGTTAAAGAAATGCCGCTTCTGCATTTAAGAGGAGATGTCTTTTAAAAGCAAGAACTCGTTTTCTTATTGCCAATTCTTTGCTGAAGGTTTTGGCAAAATATACTCGTCAAAAAGAGCTTCTGTGAGTGCTAAACTGAACTAAACTAAAAATAGGGAAACTTTGTAGATACAGACAGATCCTGAAAATTCAATCAACCTGCATCCAGATTAAAGCTCCTGTGAGGAACTTTGGGTTTATCTTGATTTTGTCCCCCCCTGTGGACAAAGAAGTACCTTTGACTTCTTTGTTGATCTTTTCTTAACTCATTCAGTGCCAATGACAGATTTGGACAGATTTTTTATTTGCCCTGAGTGCCATTGACAAATTTTGATGAATTTTTCAGTTTTTCTGTTTTCTGCCAGAGGGCACTCCTCCACAACATGCAACTAAGTTTGGGGTCGCCGACAAATATGTCATAACCATAATACAATAACAAAAACAAGTACTCGCCAGTGAAAAGTGTGCCATCAAGTGTGCTAATTAGCCTAGTTGTGGAGAGTTTTTTCTCTATAAGGAGAGTAGGAAAATGCTGAAGTCATTAGCCAAGAGCTAATGGTCTCGTTGCATTGGCACCCATGGGCTACCCATTATACCGTCTCCAAATCCAATGATGATCCTGGTACCGGACCTTCACATTGTCAGCAGACAATTAAAGAAATAATTTTCCGGCATGTCGTTGTGCCGCCGGCGCCAGTACTGGTGAGCGAGACTGAGCTGGAATTCAGCAAGGAGGACGCTAGCAGTCCGTGTGGTTTACGTTGCGGCATCAGGTTCTGGAGCACCAATACGACTCCCAGCTGTTGCAAAGTGACGAATCATAGCCGGATCTGGAGAGTGATGAGGAGTGGTGTCCGAGGAGGGCGGAACCTTGATGCCACTGGTGAAGTAATTTGATGTGAAATGAAATAGACGATCAGAGTTCTGCTGGAAAGTTTCTCCTTCGTAAAAACGTGTTTTTCTCAGGTTTCTTCTTCCAGATCGGCAAAGATGATATGACCACGCTGCATTGAGTAGACAATAACTAAACACAGGAGTGGGTTAGAGACTAACTTTTTTTTCTGGTGAAAGAAGAGAATCACCCCTTTCTTTTGAGATATTGCACTTAATTCTAGTTCATCACAAGATATTCTGTGGGTCCTGAAAGATAAAGAAATTTCTGTTGTGGTCAATGGTGGCACTGGGTGAAAATTGCATAAATGAACCTGACACCGAATGAGTTTACTGATTTTGGTTGTGTTTTTTTTTTTTTAACCAAAAATATCTAAATTAATTTTAAATATTTGCTCCATAAAACAGAACAATTGCTGTTTCAATGATCTATTCCAACACAGACCCCATGGTAGTGGTTATATACATCAAAAACCAGCGTGTTGAATCAGTCAGTCTTGGTGTTGACGGTCTTCCCTGCTTTGTAGTTGGTATCAGTGTTAACATAAATCTGTTTTATAACCAGATAAAATCTCCTGGCTAAAGTTTTAACCAGCTAAGACAATGTAAGCTGCTTCTAAACCCTTAATCCACTTCTATACTCTTTTATTTATAGAGTTTAGTGAGAGCAGTGCAACGTGGCTTGGGAAAACCCCTGCCATGTCCGCCTCCCTCCTCACTTGTCCTGCTCCGACTGCTGGGTCAGACTGCCTCTCTCGCTCCCATGCTCTTTGACATGGCACCACATAATGCAGAAATGAAGAGAAGTAACTTTTATGACACATGATTCTCCATCTCCTCGCTGTCGTTTGGAGGCTTTCGAGTAGTGTTTAATGCAAAGGACGCGGAAACTGATGCCAAGAGTACCATCACTCACACTAATTTTATACTATCATCTCGATCTACAAAAAAAGACTTCGACATTTCTTTGCCTATCTTGTTCCCTTCATTCATCAGCCACCCTCACATTTTGTCTTTAATAATGATGGATGAAGCTAGTCCCTCTGATCTGTCTCTGTCCCCTCACAGGCCAGGACTAATTATTACCCACACCCCAGTGAGATAAAAATGACTGTGCAGCCGTAAATCACATCTTAATGCTATGTGTTTTAGCATGGGAACTGGATGTCCAAGAGCCTTAGGGGTGCCAGGGTGCAAGGAGAGTGGTCATTTTTGTGTTTTACAACAGTAGGATCCGGGCAGAGTCAAAAGGTTTGTGACTGAAAACAAGGGCAAAGGTTTTTAAGGTTTATGGTGTTGGGTTTCTTTGGTTTGAAATGAAACTCAATCAATCAGTCTCGGTTGTTTTCGAGATTTGGTTCATCTCTTTTCTTGGAAACATGTCTCAAAATGGCTTTAGTAGATTTTTGTGGTTTTGGGAATCTTCCAGTTTATCAAAAACAGTTGTCTTCAAAAGCCTCGTTAGGAATTTTAATTTGTTATGGAATAGTACCAAATCCTGTATTGATGCCTCTTCATCACCTACACAGTAAAATGATGAAGAGCAAGAAGACTGGTTATTCCTTTCCACTGAATTTTTTGGTTGCCTGTGTTCAGGTTGGATTTTTGCCTAAAATAAAAAAGCAAAGTCACTATTTGGCGCCCTCTTTCTTGTGTACATATTTTTATCTGTGCTGGTTAAGCTTGGCAGAGAGAAGTCAGTGAGCAGGTAGGAGGATTTTTTTTCCTTTAGAGAACTATTTTTACATCAATTTTGGATTCATGGCTGACACATGTGTTTCAATAATTCTGCTCAAGTATTTTCTTGAAGTATTGTTGTTGACTGAGAAACTCTACAACCTGAGCGCAAAATGGTTTACAAAGGTTAAATGTGAATGTTTGAAATCATTGCTGCTCTTTTAAAGATACATTGTGTAGAATTTAAAAACATTTTTAGGTCAAAATAAGGATCAACATAAATGTTATCTTTCATGGAAGGTAATCCAAAGGACAAATTTATGTTTGAAGACCGGCACTGAACTTTCCTGAAGAGAACTAAAAATTACAACTCAATTTCTTTATCCTCATAGTCTAATTCTTTTTAATTGGTTTAATTGGTTTAAACTCAAATTACTTTGTCAAATGAGGTCAGCAGAATCAACCTAAAAACTCCACACACTGGATCTCTCTCTCTCTCTCTCAGTTTAAACCTCGACAGTGTGTAGTGTGGATCATAGAGTAAAACGGGACATTGTCTTGGCCTCTGGGACTACACTGTCAGTCTATCAGTTTTTTGGCGGAGACTCAAAGATCTTCACCACTACAAGATTGATGCCCAAAAGTTTCTACACAGACATTTTCAGTCCCTGGAGACTGAATCTGACAGACTCTGATGATCCACTGACTTCTCCTTTATTCCCGCTCTTTTGTGTTTATGTGAAATGTCTGCCTTGAAATCTGGGACATATGTCCATATTTCCTTAGAGTAAATTATGTCTGATTTAAATCCAGCTCCGTCTTTGGGGAAATCCTCAATCCTGTGTTCAATGTAGAAAAAGTCAAAACTTGTGTAGAATTGACCTCAGATAAACTCTGTGTTCCCTGCTGGTGTGTAAACAAATTCACTTGCTAGCTTTTATGGTAATCTACACTGTAAGTGTATTTAGGGTGACCATATTCTGACTTGCCAAAAAGAGGACACGACTACGAGGGGGTGGAGTCACCGAGTCGTACAAAGATAACTTTGAGTTTTTCGGGTCAGATCGGGTGTCTTTTATGCGCTTCTAACAAAAAAGAGGACATGTCCGGGTATGAAAGGACGTCTGGTCACCATAAGCATATTAGCAGCTTCAGCGTCTGTACAGACTCCCCGACAGGACTTGCGTTTTTCATGTTTTATTTTAAAATGATGAAACTTATGTGAACAAAAACGTGAAACTTACAACATTGATAATTTCCTAAATGTTAAAAAACTTTCTAATATTTAGAAGTTACACCAAATGCCTTTATGATTTCAATATGCTAATCTAACATGGGGCTATGTGGGAGAACAAGTCTTGCATAATACTGACAATGCTAACATGCTAATATTTTGCTAAACTTTTAAACTGGCATAGACATTTCAACGATGCTAACACTAGAATATGTGGCCGAACAATCACACAACCAGTATGATTAGGTGCACTAGCTTAAGGTGACCATATTCTGAATCCCCAAAGTCAGAACCTGACTATGCGGGGGCGGAGTCACGGAGCCGCACGTAGTAAATTTTGAGAGTTTTTCGGGTAGGGTCAAGTGTTTTTTACTCGCTTCTAACTCAGTAAGTCCACGCGACACTAACTCAAAACTTCCATACAAAACCTCGGACAATTGAAGAATTTTATAAACTCCCCCGGACAAGGCGGGACAGGCCGGACAGCCCCCGCAAAAGAGGACATGTTCGGGTAAAAGAGGACGTATGGTCACCCTACATTAGTGTCATGTGATTTTACGTCATTGTAACTTTGCAGCACTGTGAGCAGAAATATGAAATCACATTCTCGTCTGTTGTACAAGGATAACAGCAGAAATCTTGTGCAACTTTGCACAAAAGATGTCATCCTAAATACTAAATTTGTCACGTTACCTAGACTGGCCTGAAAGGATGCAAACTAAAAAATATCCTCTTGTTGCAAAAGAAAACGTTCCGAAAATTTTGAGACTTCTCTGTGCATCTTTGAGGCTCAAAATATTTTGGTTTCATAAAACAGTCTAAGCAGCAGATTTACAGAATTTAAGACTGTTTATAGTGTAAGTATTTTCATGCAAATAGTGTAGAGTGTGAAAAATAAACACTTAAAGTCAGTCTTACCTTACCAGTGTGGTCCTCCTTGTTGCACGACTGAGGTGTGTATCAGCTGCTCCATGGATCCTGCAGGGTGGTGTCATGACCTCTGGCTCTGAACGCTGCTGAGCACCATGTGCGTGACTGTGAGCTTCACACAAAGAACATCTGTTTGGGACTATAAATCCAACATGTGTGAATTGTCTCCTGTTTGACTGCGTGGACCTCGAGCTCTATGTAAATCTGCTCAGTGTTTACACTCTCGTACATGCACTCTTTTCCTCTGTGTACGTGAACTGTAAATTGCAGTATGTTTTTGTGAGTGTTGGTGTGGGTGTAATCCACAGTGACAGCAGGAGATGCTCCGTGTCACCAACACAATCAGCAGAGAGACTTTATATCAGGACAAGAGTTTCCACCATTAGCTGCCCTCAGTGTCTCGGGACAGGATGCTGTGTGGAGCTGCAGGGAATACTGCATATCCATGTAAAGCCTTAAAATTCACAAAGGAGTTGTGCTGTTTCATTACAACACAAATAATAGTGAAAAAGCTGTAAATACACTTCAATACAGATTATAAAAATAGCAATTAATTTTTACTACTCTGTTTTGCATTAATGAGAGTTATATTGTAAAAACATCAGTTTTACGGTTTCAATTACAACGTTACAGCTCCTGGGAAGACTCAGATGAATACTAATTTCTAAAGCCTCTTTGTGACATGCAAAGGCAAAAAGACCACAGAGATGAGATTCATCATCTTTATGGGCGTAAAATTACTTTCAGGTCAAACACACCGTAACACCGAGTTAGACACCCCCTCCACAGATGAATGTTGCTGACCGCTTACTTCTCTAGTTATACCAACTTAAGTAATGACCACACAATAGCAAGACACAGTGGTCTACGTCTCCACGCTCAAACCTCAACCAAAACGCCACTCTATAGCCACAAATAATGCTCAGAACGGCACCTAACTTCATCAACAGTACATAGAGGGTCCCAGCCATAGTACTAGCTGTCAAAGATCTCTTTAACTTTGCCTGATTTCTTTAGAAAAGAGACTAAACATAACTCACTCACTCTCTTCCAGCAGCCCCTTGTTTGTACAGAGAACTCGTTCCAGTCCATTTTGGACTGCTGTGGGGTGACACAGCTCAAGGAAGAACATGTATGATAATTTCTTTATCATTTCCTTGAAGTAAAAATCACCATATTAATCATTTTGCACTGCAGACGGGGTAGTTCTTCTGCCTTAGCATATTGGTCTGATTGCATTTCGAAAACGATCTTTACCCAACTGTGATAAATACTTAATTTTTATTGGTCAAATACCCTAAAAAGTATTTTGATCCTCAAATCCAGACAACAGTATCATCACCGATGAGTACATCTTTGAGGTGCTGATCACGACAGCATAACGTAAACCATGAACAGAAGTAATAGTAGTAGTAAATTAAAAATGGTGACATTTGTCAAATTTGCATTTAAAATTATGTTAAGGTACATCTCTTTTTCTTAACTTAACTCTAAGTTTCTTTAACCTATAATTTCTCTTTTCTATTTGGATCTATGTTGCTGTAATTTTTGGAATTTTCCCCTGATAATGGTAGATCTTACCTTATCTTATTATTGTTTTGTAAATTTTATATATGTTTGCTTGTTGGACTGTTGTAATCTCGACGGCATTGGAAATGAGGGAAACCTCAATGCCCTTTCGAGAATACATAAAGGTTTGAAATTTGAACTTCCACTTTGTCCACAGGGGGCGCCAAAGTGAAGACTAACAGAAAGTTTCTCACAAGAACTTTACCTGCAAAATCCTGAGAAAACAGGAGCTAAAAGAGGAGAGAGATGTCAAATATAATGTTTTGGCAGAAGTCCTGTTCACCTGCTAACATGTCAGTCTCGCTTTCATGCAGACGTACAGTATGTACTACTTTAACACTTGTGTTTCATTCTTACCTGTTCACAAAGCAGGCTCTACTTTAGGGTGGGGTCCAAACACTTATATCTCCTTACACCTGTTGTTAAAGTGTGTTATAAACAGTCCATTAAACATTTATGTACTGTTTTAAATTCTAAGTAGTGATGGGGACACTACAGCCCTCCACAGCGGGCAAAGAAAAACCCCATAAAATCTTTATAACAGGATGAAGAAATGACGGAAGCACTAAAGATCGTTCAAGAAAAAAGGGAGCAGCTCTCCAGTCTGGTTGCAGCTTAATGGGAGGCATGATGAAATAAAAATGAGCAAAACCTCCCCACTGATATCTGGCTCTTCATTCTGCACACAACAGAAATAATACATGAAGGAAATTTGTGTTTTTTTCAGGCGCTGAAGCTTCATTTGAAGGTTCTGCCATTATTGCATGTAATTGTATTATCTTCTTTCTCGGGGGTCCATAATGGGCTTAAGTATCTCTATCCAGCTCATCATGTTTTGAAGATCTTTGACCCTTTCTTCAAACACTCTGAAGTGATTTTGTGTTGTGCTGTCATTTGTTATTTTCATGAATGCTCACTCACGTAAGCACTGCCTGTAGTGGGAATTGAACCTCCTGTGCAGGGTTTCATGACCCCAGGAGCTCTAACGACAGACACACACACACACACACACACACACACACACACACACACACACACTGTGCATCTCCAGTGTAGCAACCAAAAGGATGTAGCCGCAGAAAAGAGCGTCAGAAGAGGAGAAGGATGAAAAGTAAAAGAGAGACAGTGCAACCCGCAAAATAACATCACTAAAGAGGCAGAAGCTAAAATTAGAAACGGGCACTTTTGCTTCTGCAAAGATGGAGTGCATCATTTAAATTGTACATGAAAAATGAGGAGGACAAGAATCTTATGGAGGGAGGAAGAGGAGGGATGGGGGGAGGGGAGCAGTGAGGGTGGAGGACAGGCTGGAAATAGAAGAGGAGCTCTTGTTGAACACAGACCAAACTGAAAATAAACAGTTCATTATCAGCATGTTTATTTGTGAAGACATTGTAGGAAACATGTAAAACACCGACTATTAATAAAACAGGCTATATATAAAAAGTCTCATGAAATGCAATTGACTCTGAAAGATTTGAAAACTTTGCTGTTTTTCATCTGAAATAAAATAGTCCTCAATCTACGATACAATACCAACCAAAAAGCAGAGTGAAAGCAGTTTTACAGAGTGTAAAATGTGTGAAACTAGGGCAGGTCTTCTGAATCATGCATACAGAGAAAGTGCTGACTCATAGAAAGCCTTATCAGAAACATCTGAGGCCATGCTTCACCTGATGTGACCAAACAAAGCCGGGTGAATAAGCCACCGGGTGGAAACGTCAATATAATACGAATTTACATGATAAAGGTAAAATAGAGATTCAAGAGTTTAATAACGTCCTTAACCCAGAGTGACGATGAAGGACTTGTACACTTCCCTGTAGGCGTTTCGGAGCAGAACGTAGGGGAAGCAGCTCTCCAGCATGTCTTGGCTCAAGAACGGAGACTGCTCCACAATCTGAGAGAATGAAAGATAAGAAATAAAAGTTACACTTTACTTTTCTGATTGTTAGGACTTTCATTCTGAAGACAAAACTTTCTAAAGTTAAATCATTGTTATATAACTCCCAGAACAGATGGACAGTATTGAGAGGCGGCCATCTGTTTGAAACAAATTTAAACTATGAATTAATTGTTTTAGGTTTTGAATGAGACAGTTTGAGAGTTAAGGAGGCTGACAAAAAGAATGAATTAACATTTCAATTAAAGCTCCTGTGGGGAGTTTTTGGCTGGTTATGGAACAGAATCATTTTAACCCCCAATTTCCACCACATCCTTAATGGCGGCGAAAAAGGCCGTCTGCACCGATCGCAGCTGATCGTTTCCATTTAACTTAATGTATCAATATCCATCGGCTTCATTCTGTCGGTTCAGTGGGCTCTACTGTTGATTGCCAGGGTTCTATTTTTCTGGACGCCGCAGCATGCCGCATAAATTCAGCACAGATTAACCCATGCTGGAAAGGAAGTAGGGGCCAGACACAAAATAAAACATCCGGCTTCTTTTCAAAATAAAACACTCAGTGTTTCGGCGGATCATATTTCACACCATGCAAAAGTGGGCGAGGACGAACAAGTGAAAGGTTTTCAGACGTCATTTTACCCCACTGACATCATGGATGAGGAGATGCTGATTTTAGAAGTCTAGAAGTGGATTTCCTCCTCTGGAGGGACACAATCTGCTGCTTGTATGGTTATGTCTTTATAGAGACAACCCTCACAAACGCATCTGGTAGAAATTGACAAACGGCAAAAATTGCTGCCGTTCCACACTGGAGCCGTCCGGGTGCCGTGGAGATTGGGGGTAACTGTGACACCTTTTCATGTTTCACAAAAGCAAACAAGACCATCAGCAAAAGACTGACGGATACATGTTTACATGCATCCACATAAACTTGACTATTATAGACGACAGGATTAGGTTTTATTTGATCTGCAAAGACATTAGAGGCAGCACTTTGTCCACAGGGGGCGCCAAAATCAACACAAATAGGAAGTTACTAATAGGAGCTTTAAGGAACACTGCATTGAAGCCAAAGTTTGGCATTTCCGAAGTCATTCATTTGTTTTTGGACTCAGAAGTGACCATCTTTGGAAGAGAGGATAGAATCACCCTTTTCCTGATTTAGAGGTCGCAGTTAAAGGAAGTCTGTCAAACAAAAGTGGCCGTGCCAAGAAAAATAACCTTTTGTCCAACTGAATGAGGCCATAATCAAAGATACTCTCTTTCTGTGTTCAATTTAGAAAGATTTTGAGCTTCATATAAGGTGAAAAATCCTTTGAAAAAGGTCCTACAAAAAGGGACAATTTCCTATAACACACAGTAGTATTTTGTCCTGCCAAAGCTGCTGGCTCCAAAGAAGAGTTCAGGTTTAAAATACTCTTGGCTTCACTGTTATGGCAGAGAGGCAATGTCATTTTGGTGAGTACAGTCTGGATTCAAACCACAGCGGTCATATTCGCAGAAATGAAGGAACCTATCACTCACTAAATCAGCTCACTCATGTAGATCGAAGTTATTCTGAGTTTATCAAGGTTTTCTTTATCAACAATCTTCAATCAGATATATTATAGAAAGCTTTACTGTAATCTCCATAACAGGGGCTACTGTAAAATACTCTTTGTGTTTTTAAAGGCTGTTAATTAACGTGATTTATATTCATTAATCATACTTAAGTGTGTGCTGAGTTTCTCTATTGAGCCCTTTCCATTCATACGGGATAATAGTCCCGCTTTAAAATGCCCTTTTACCATAAAGGGTTAATAAGATGCCCTCATAAACGATTAATTTATGAGCGCTTCCAAGATAAGAAATAAGTCATTACGGGAAACACTGTCAGCGTGAGGGTTTAGAGTTGTGAAAAAACCCAATTAATGAAGGGCGAAAGGTTTACCCACCTCCTGTTAATTTGAAAATACACAATTAGTACTGGTAGACCTACCATGTGTAGGAGCAAGTAGACGGACTCTCTGTTTTTGCTCTCGATTCTCTCCACGTTTTGTCCCAGCTGAAGCAGAGTCGAGGAGGCCAGCTGTGGATTCACACAGAGTTTAGAGCGGCAGAGCATTTTTGAGTTGATGGACTTGACCTAAACGGAGGGTCAACTTTAGCTGTGAGCTTGAGAAAGCTCCTCAACTGGAATTCTGTTTTCGAGCCGTGTGCCCAAAAACCAGTGTATCTGTTATCACATGGCGGTCATGTTTGTTGCCTTTCCGAGATTGTTTGCTAGTCCTTAATGATCTGTGTCCATTCATGGCCATTTTAGCATGCTTCTCCTCAGTATTTAATACAGGTCATGAAATTATCCTTCAGCCATTGTGCGAACATCTGCAGTGAAAGTTAAATCTGTTTCAAAACGCTCGATCATTGCTGTAATTCTAGGAAATTTTCAAAGTAAAGTTAAAGACAATCAAATTACATAAAATGTGCTGTCACATCAGCAGCAGTTCAAGACCTGGAAACTGCATCCTGGAAATGAAAAAAAGTGTGGTTCATTTCTTCACTGGACAAACTTCAATCCTTAGTGCTGATTCGATTGTTTGCAGATGATTAAACGACAATGATAAGCATTGTTTCAAAAGTGTGACCGTTTTCTGAGAGAGCTGTGACCGCAGCAGTAAAAAACACAACTGACCTCAAGGGAGTTTTTGAGATTAGGATGATGACCTGGGAAAATACTGAACCGTATCAGTTTGTGGAAAACAGACTCTACGAGAGGAAAAGCTTGTTTTTTTTAACTGTTTGTTTTTTTCAATGTAGAATCGAATCTCATAGATACCCACCTTAAAGGCTTATATATCAAATATCCACATCTCAGTTAAAAAGGGATTTTCTCATCTTTTCTTTAGGTATTAAATTGTCACAAACTTTTCAAAATTTGAGTTAAAATTTTTCAAAATAGGAGAAAGATAATGGCTGCTGAGTGAAGAAGGGCTCCCTCTCCTTACAAAAGCCACTTTAACCACTGTTTCTAACTACTAAAGACTCCAAATTGTTAAAATCTAAGGAAAACTCCACTGGTATCATTTTGAACTCTGAGCACAAATTCCACCTTGTAGCACACTTTGTTCACCTGGAAGCACTGGCCTTCAGATGCAACACCTCTATCATTAGCCTCACTCATGTTGCACCTGATTCCCTTGGAAGAACACTTCAGTCATGTGTCAGAGTGTAAAAGAGGCCTCGAGTGTATTATACAATTATAAGGCGAGACGATGAAACAGAGCATCGTCTTCTGGCCTGACATGGATCAAAGACAGGGACAGAGTGATCTGTGTTATTGTGTGTTTGCCGCTCACCAGGAGGAACTCTTTGAGGTGCTGCTCTATGTTCTTGCTCTGCACCGTGAACATGGCGGCGGCCAGCTGGTTGACGGCTGCAGCTAAACAGTGGATGTTGTTGTTGTGGCCTGAGAAAATAAAAGTAAGACAAATTTACCTCTAAGAAATAGAAGTGAGAGATAACCAAGTTCTGACAATCAGAGAAAATTTCCTAAATGATGCGAAACACTTAAAGAGGAAACATACTGGGCATACTTCTTCTTAGGGCTCATGGGGTAAATCTATTTCAAACATGCCAATGGAAAATAGAGACAAAGTAAAATAATCAGAGGCTAACGTTGCCCTGTTCTTTGATAGAAATCTCCACTGCCCTCTGAACATTGTAGTCCAGGCTTGGGGCCAAAAGTTTGGGGCCACATGCCAAGAGTAACTGTAACAATGCACGTCAGCCCGAGTTATCTATAAACAAAAGTCTCTCAGACAAAATGTGCTTCTCATTAAGCACCATACTTTGCTTCCGACCACATCAGTTTCAATGGAAACACGCTGATGATGCTAATAGGCCTTGTGTTTCAGGGTGGAGCTCTGTTTTGATACACTATCAGCAGCGGGTGAGTAATCACTGGAGGAAGCAGTGATTAGCATTTGGTGAAGGGCTGTCTGGAGAGCTATTACTGTCAAGCACTTAGTAGCAGCTGAAAATGAGTGAATGAATATGCACCTCCATGCTCCCGGCTGTAAAAAGAGTTGGGGTCCAGGGCCAGGGTAGGCAGGGAAACGGCAATGTAGACCAGCAGCAAACAGGACAGCTTGTACTCCTCATCTATTGACGTGTTATCTGCAAAGAAACCATTGAGTGGTGAAAAGAGTCTCTTTTTTTGCCTCCTTCTAGCTCTCCGTCTGCAGAAATGGCACTTATACTTTCAGTGTTACCTGTCTGCATGCTGCCGATGGCGGCGACGAGGGCAGGATCGATGTCACAGTTCAGACCAGCCGCAGACGCCAGCTCAAAAACACTCAGAGTCACCTGGGAAAAAGGGAGGATTGAAGCGTCTGAGAATCTGGCTTCACATTCATCATTCATTGTTTAAATTTTGAGCTAAGTTGACTGTCTTCAATGTGAGCTACTTTATGTTCATTAGTTTTAGTTGTTTTATCTGTAGAGCCTCCTACAAACACATACAACTATAGTTTTTTGGCTGAATGTTTGGCTAAATGTTCAGCTCACAAATAGAGGGGGAAAATCTGCTTCATAAAATACAGTGTGAGTGAGATAGTTTTCATAGTTTGAACATGTTTATGCTCAACACTGCCCATCAAATCAATCTGGAGAAGAGAGTGACGCTAAATGAAGTAATTAAATGTTCCTATCAAGTCTAATTCACCTTGTTTTGCATTGCTTTCAGTGGAAATGTTCGTTGTAAATTGTCATAAATGAATAGGTACGTGTTTTATTTTAGCCATGACGTCAGTTAAATGCTGATTTTTCCCACAAGTAAGCTGATAAAAATCTGCTGCCATGGAAATGTTACCAATCATAATATCAGAGGGACTTTTAAGCAGTATATATAAATCATCAAAAAATGTAAAAAGAGTGGTGAAGGCTGCAACAATGAGAAATGTCTGAGCTTAACCACGCCTCAATCAAACCTGAAGTTTGCAGAAATATCTCAAGCTTGGATTAAAACAAACTTTTTATACTTTCACAGTCAGAGGACTTTGGTTGATTTTTCTTTTAAGACATAAAAAGTTCATTTAATATCTATTCACCTTTAAAATGGTAAAAAAAAAAAAAGACTTCTACTGCTGGGAAACACCATGAAGTCAGCAAAGCAGCTCATCTGTGCCTGGCATTTGATGTAGTTACCCCAAACATGACATACTCTTTGCTGTGTGACGTTAAATCAATGGTGGGTGTCTCCTTGTTGACACACAGGTTTTGATCTCGCCCTATTTCTGGTTGCACGCATGGTTGGCCCGTCTGGGCAGAAAGTTTCCACTGATGTGGTTGAGAGTGCAGAACTGCAGCGACCAGCAGAGTCTCACTCTCACAGAGGCATGAGGGGGCTGCTGACGTCTTTGGGGTTATCCTGGCCTCGGCTGTGGCACGGCTGTCATGCCTCACTCAGAGGCCAGACGTAAGTCAAGGAGGGGGAGTTCATGAGCCACAGTCACACTGATGGCTCCATGGGGAGATAAGGAATTTAATTTGGTTGGTGCTGGAGACACAAAAATAAAATTGTTTCTCTGCAACTCACCCACTCAGACCTAAATGACACAGTGCCACACATCGTGCTACAGCTTACTTTACATTCAAAATCTCTGATGGCAATAAGTCAACACCCTAAAGTCGTTCATGCTAATTCATTTTGACAAACATAAATATAGTATGCCTTCAACCTGGATTTTTTTTCTCACAGTATGTTCAGCAAGTGAAAATAAACTGTTGATTTAACACTGATAAACTCTGACAGGGTAAATCATGCACAGTGAAAACACGAGTACAGCACTTTCTTTACACTCTAAAGGCTGTTTTACCTTGATGTCAACTTCTGGGGAAATGAGGTCTCTCAGGTACTCGATGGGTCCCATCATGTACGGACAATGCTTTTGCAGGATCTAGATTGCAGGATAATAAGAACCAGTATTAATATGATCATACATCAGAACAGAATGACTTTTATAGCAGTAAAAGAAGGTTTCTCCTTGTTATTACAAGAGATTGACATCTGAACACAATGAACATTGATTGTCTTATTTGTCTCAATTGGATTTGAAAAAAATATATACAAATTTGCCATTCTTATTCACACTTGAGTTGACAAATGACAAAAATATATCCTTACAAAAGACCTGAGGTTATCAAACTGAAGTAATCTCAATTCTCAAGACTAAAGACGAAAATGATGAGGTCAAATCAGAATATTTTGACGTCTACAAAGCTAACACAGCAAACAAATCTCGCTCTAAAGGCTCATTTATGCCCGCCATTTGTATGAAAATGTACACGTCCATTTCAGACTGCCCACATACTTCCATGCGTCCTTTACGTAGGCATGGATGTTAAGCATTACATCCACCAGGGGGCAGGCCAGAGTCAAACATTTCTGACAACAATAAAAAAAGAAACAAGGCGACTGTGGAGGAGCTAGTGATAATGGATATTTTCAAAGGAGGCAGAAACTGAGACAGTGCTGGAGGAGGCGGTGGTCGGTCAGGTCACTGAATGCCTCAAAGTTGGAGGACGGAGAATTTTTTTCTCTAGTAGTACTGATGAGAGAAATTGATGAGGATCGTCATTTTCAGTACTTCAGGATGTCTGACAGGTAGTGACAGCAACAACACTGCCCCCATGGTTTGCGGTGGTACTGCTCCATCTGGCCTGTATCAGTAAACTTCAAGGATACATGCAGAAATACGGACGTTAATAACACGAAGCACAGACGGAGAGCTTTGTCCGTATCCCAATCTGTATGTAACGTTGAGCATAAATGAGCCTTAACTTTAACTCCTTTAGTTCAAGCAGCTCTTTTTGTCTGTGTCTGCACTATATTACAAACATTATTATCAGCACATCACTACTGTTAAGAGTATTTAAAGAAGATGTCAGGTTGGTCGTTACATTTTTGAGGCACTCCTGTGCCATGGCTCTGAAGGTCAGGATCACTCCGATGATGGTCATCCTCTTCAGCACGTTCTCCCCTCCTGCAAGTACAGAAGAAACATGTCTGCTGTGTTTAAAGCAGTCAAGCTTGTGTGTTTGAAGCACAGACTGTATAATGAGTAACTAGTAGAGTATTAATTAATGAGAACATGTCATTACAGAGCAGATGAAATTATTGCTTTCAAGTGCATGACAGCTCTGATGGTTATTTGCGCTTTAATCCATGCACTCTGTTGCCCATAATTTAAAATATATAAGACCATTTTAACTCCCCTTTTTTCGAATTACTCAAACTTGATTAGTGACCTAGATTTGTATGATATATGCGTGAATGAAATAGCGAACATAAAAGATAAGGACCCTCTGATCTGCTGGCTAGCTCAAGAAAATTAAGCGAGGTGTAATTGATGATGGCTTCAGCATGGAGTGATTCATCTTGTGTACTCCTCCCTTGATTCCCACCGCGTCTCTTTGCCAACATCGTGTTCTTTCTCCGCTCTTTGTACTTCCGTCATCACCTGATCTCAACCTGTCTGCATTTCTCTGCGCCTACACTTTTTATCTATTACTTTCCCTTTCAACCTCCTTCCTCTTTCTTCACATCTCCTCTTCTTATCTCGTCCCACATTCCCCTCTCCACTTCTCACCTGTCAGCCTCTTTTTCAGGATGGCCATTTCCTCTGGCTTATCATAGTTGTTCTTCATCTGCACCAGGACGTCCATATTCTCAATCACCAGTTTCTGACAAAGGACGAGGGAGATAAAATAATAAGTGATAGAACCACCTTGATGCGGGAGTTATTATGGAGAGGTCATGTCTTTGACGGATCTGTCAGCAGTGAGTTCAGAACTGCAGCTGCAGCTCCTTTCTTCAATCTCAGGTGTCAGAGCTGGAAGTGTGAAAAGTGCAGAAGAAGTCAGCAGCTTTTTGTACATGAAGATCAACTGTTATTAAAGAGATACGCCAGTTTGACTAGATAACTTTGAGGCTCACAGTTTCAGCCGCGTACCTGCAGAAGGATTTCTGTATTTTAAAAGGAAAGTTTCACCTTTTATGTTTCAACTGTATTAAAAATTTGACTAACTTTGTGAGAGCTGTAACTTTTTTAAATTCAGAATATCACCCAGAAAAAAAGGCCACCAACAGAACACGAAGAAAAGGGAACTAGCTACTCTCAGAATTGAAAGCTAACTTGCTTTGCAGCTTGTAAATCAAGAGTTCACAGGTTATAAAATGGCCTAGGGACAAGAGAAAAAAAAAGCAGAGAAAAAATGGGAGAGAAAACAATATTGCAGGAGGGACACTTTTTTTAAATTTCCATTTCAAGATTAAAGTCGAAATTTAGAGATCAAAGTCGAAATTTTAAAAAGTCGAAATAAAAACAGAGAAATAACGACATTAATATCAAAATTTGGAGATTCAAAAAAAATCGAAACTACATGAATAAAGTTGAATTTTCAAGATTTTAATCTCGAAATTTCAACATTATTCGCAACATTTTGTAGTCTCGAAATTTTGACTTTAATCTCGAAATTTAAGTTTTTGATCTAGAAATTTTGACGTAATTAACATAATTTTGATTTTTTTAATCTCAAATTTTGATTTTAATCTTGAAATTTCAACTTTTAATCTCGAAATTTCAACTTTACTTATGTAATGTATATTTTTGTAATCACAAAATGTCAACTTCAATCTCGAAATTTCAGCTTTAATGTCAACATATCGTTGTTAATCTCCTTCCTGTAGTTATAATTTCTTTTTCATGTGGCCCTAATCCTCTTTCGTACACATTCAGGTGTATGAGGGTTAAAAAGCAGTGATTTAAAAAGCCACATCATGGCATAACATAAAGGCATAACAGTTTTTTTAATTTAACTCTTTCCTTTTTATGTAACTGCTCTGAAATTTTTCAGTGTAGGACAATCTTTCTGCTCCAGACAAGAAAACTTACATTCAGGGTTCAATTTAAACCAGCAGACCACTTCTCACTGACCTTACCAGCCTCTTTAGATAATATTCACGGCATTTACTGTACCTTTAATTCACTGACTTGAGAGGTGATGTGCCAGATCAGGTTCTCACTTAGAAACTTCAGGCCGTATGGACCGATCAACTCCGCCAGAGCCTGTAACTCTGTTCAAAGAATGACACAAATGATTTAGGGATCACATACATGACAAAAAAAAAAGAGTATATTAAAGGTGGATGACATGTGAGCTCGAAAATGGAGAAGTCTGTACATTTAGAGTTTGCCTTCTGTGATAAACTGCAACCTCTCCATGTCAACAGATGGACCATGGATCAGACTTTAAATCCAAAATAGGCAATATATAAGTTTGTTTTTTCATTAGTATGATGATAAAATGGTGATATGATAAAATGGGATGTAGCAGCATGATGAACAGCTCAATTAAGAGCTTCTGTGGTTCTGTGCGTGGATAAACTGAAAAGAGAAGAAGCAGGGAGAGAAAACTTTAAGAGCCTGAACAAAAGTCGCTGAACTTTCCAAGCTGTGCCGTCTGATTCATTCATGCATCACTTTTGTACAATGAGAGGAAGTGGAGACATGTCATCCATCTTTTCTTTTTTAATTAATGGCTTAATAAGACGTAGATGTCAAGCATTAAAAAAAAATAACTGCAGAAAAGTACAACAGCAGCAGCAGGCTCAAATACAGGTGTACTGTTTGTTCGTAGTTTTTGTTTTTTTTTAAACATGAATCCAGTACAAGGCCTCAATCTCTGCCACTGACAAAAATAACAAAGGACACAGATCAGATCTGATTTGTGCGAGGAGCTGAATCGATGAGAGAGAGAGACACAACCGCAGCTCTAAGACCTTTCACTCAGCTCAACGACTCTGCCTGAATGATGATGGATAAGGACGTGTGTGGTTAAAATTGGAGGTGGTTAATGGACGGAGGAGTGAGTCACAGTGAGGCAGGCAGATACCTCACTGCAGGGTAAATATAGACAACGATGATGGCGTTGTTAGGGGGGGTGTATATTGAAGTGCGGTGGACTCCTGGGCACCATGTGCGTGGAGTGGAGTAAATATAGCAATTATAGAGTCATGAGGAGATCCACTGCTCCTATAAAGGAGTGCGGAGGCAGTGAGGAGGAGAGACTGGTGATGCTGGAATAGATATGAGGCATAGAGGGGAGCTCTGAGGGGAGAACGTGAAATACTGAGCTTTATACTAGCCAGGCAGAGCGAATGAGAGCACCACACACCACCAACAGGTTTCACATCCTCGTGAACAGCAGTCTGTGGTGTGTCAGATCAACAAGTCGTGTGACGCCTATAAAAAAAGACACAGTTTCTTTCTGTGATATATATTTCTGGATTTTAAAAGAAGTGAGGTAAATAAATATGAAAGAGTGTAAATTTGCTACATTAACTCACAGTGTCTACAGTTTATCTGCTGTTATTTATGTTGTACATGATTTTCTGTTTGTCAGTCACAGCATGTTTTTCCTAAATCCAAGATACATCCAAAAAGCTGTTTTTAATCAATAAATGATCACCAATAAACTGAGGGTTAGCTGACAGATGGCTAAAGCTTCATTTGAGTGCATCAAAATGGTGTTAAAGCATAACCACGATACTCATGCCTCCATTTAACAGGTCAAATATACACACTGAGTGAGAAGACACTGAATATTAACACTGCATCATTTCATATTTTTGTGATAAATTAAGATTTTTTTTGTGAGGTTTTAATGCAAATGGTCATATTGGGATACCCATACATTTTAAATTTCTTCCTTATTCTGTCACATCTGCAAAAATGTCTTCAAATAACAAAAATATATGGGGCTGGGTAATGCCACAGCGAGAACAGCACCCTCTGGTGACGGGCTGCAGTATAGGTCATAAATCCCGCCTCCTCCAGCAATCCTGATGGAGTTGTGGACAAACTTTGAAAATTAATTACACAGAATATAAGTTTTTCTCCCCCTTGGTAGTGATGTTGACATGTAGTTACTGTCAGACTGGTTTGTGCTCAAGTCCTCTATGCAGCTCCATTTTTTAAAGTTATCAGGGGGTTCATGTTTTCTATTATTGACACTTGATACAGCCTATGGGCGTATGAAGATTGCGTACATCACCGGGGGATACACTATTTGAGTCGAGAGTCATCACAGCGACTCTCCTGCCAAGTGCGTACAACGCTACTGCGCAAGTGGTGGTTGCAGGTAGTGGAGAAAAAAACAGGAAATACCGAGAGCAATTTGGCTTCAAATTCGTATACTGACAGAGGCGGAGTCGAGTCGTCCATAGTATATACAGTCTATGGTTGCGCCTGGCTGTAAAACAAACTGCCCCTGAGAAATAGTGAATTATCTTTAATTCTTGTATAATTATCTCATTTCTTAATTGACTTTTTTGATCCGAGGTAGTCGCTCTTGCCCAAAAAGAACATGCAGAAAGTAGCGTCCCTTATTTTTTTAACTAAAACTGAGAGAGACCATCTGAGTGTGACCAAAAATTGTACCTCAAGGTACACAATGACTGATGACACATTTAGAGTTACATTTCTGTGACAAAGCTGTGGGGCAGACCTGAGACGTCAGAAAACTCCTCTGCTCTGAAAGGTGGTTCATTGTCAGTCATCTGGTAGACGAAGCATTGTATCGTGGGACAGTGAACGATGAGGGAATTACTGGCCTGACGCAGGAGGCTTTCCAGGTACCTGAGGGTGAAAACAACACAGACGAAGCAGAACTTTCTCAGACTTCACTTCAAGGTTTTATAAAAGTAACACAGGAAATGAGGCAGACAGTGAAACCATGAGGAAGTGCTTTTGTCGCCATCGCCGGCTTTTGTGTCTGTCTTTTTCTTATCAGTGCTTTAAATAGATAAATAATTAACCATATATTTGACTAAATGTATTCAAAGTTCACACACACCAGTTTGTGTAGAGAGTTGTGATGGTTTGTGCTCCCCTGGAGTCCAGAGGCTGCGTCTGCTGCAGCAGGACATTCTTCACCAGTCGGACGATGTCCACGTTGATGTAGCTGGAGAGGCTGTGCAGGCTCGCCGTGTAAGCTCTCACCCCCGCTAGGAGGTCCGAGGGACGGGCTATCTCCTGGGTGGCCTGGTTGTAATTTGCCATTCTCACGATGATCCTGGAGAAACATGTTTAACCAACGTCACTTATCACCAAGTCACAGGGAAATGAGAGCAGACAGATGGGACCTCAGAACTGATTAAACGAGCCATGGTGGTATGGTACTGTACTCTCATTAGGTCTCATTAGGCCAGCACAATCACTACTCCCGGCCTCACTCCAATTTTATTTATTTTTCTCTACATTCTCTGGACAGTATTTACTATTTTGGCACTGCAAGGACCAAGTCACTGTTAGCATGCTGCTACTCAAGGGCGCTTCATTTCGGGTGACAGGGGAGATAATCATCAGCTAAAACAGGGAGAATAAGCAGAGCACACGCACAGAAACATTAGGTTGCCCCGGTACCAGCCTCTAATCTAAATATTGGCTGAAATGACACAGAACTACAGGGAGACATGATGGATGTCTTCGTGGATTTTTAAGTGGGTGCAACACAGCCTGACACAGGAATCAGACAGAAAAGCAGAGTTCATAATAGTGATGGAGGAGGCCAGGCCCAAATGATTTAGGATTGTGAGCCAGATAGGGAATGAGGAAGAAAATGCAGCACGCGATGCTTTTCAAGTGTTTCCCGGAGCTCTGTCACGTCCTGGTCAGAGTATTTAACATTTTAACAGCCGCTCTTCAGATCAGGTCGGCTTAAGGGCATCCGGGCAACGAGTTTGGAAGTAAAGTCGGCTGTGAAAGAGGGAATCGTGTTGGTAAAATGAGAGGCATCGACACATTGACAGAGAGAGACAGCATACTCCTGAAAATATGAAACAACATGTTGGTGTTGATTATTTTTATTTGTACAAAACTACTTTATTGCTTTGTCCCTCGTCCTTTACCAGTCAGTGTTAATATGTTTATTGAACTCAGATTAAAGTCCAGAATTAAAGATTTTTGTGTGTGTGTGTGTTATTTTGTCCCTTACAGGACACTATAGCTGAGCCACCGCAGCATCTTTCTGCTTCCTGCTGTGAAAACTAACTGTGATTTTGAAAGGCATGTTTCACCTCAAACTGAATTCCTAGTTTCTGTGTTAGCAGGTCAAAAGTAAAATGTACCCTGTGTCAGACACAATCAAACATCACTTAGAGCGATACTTGAAATTTGAGCTACCACCTACAAGTTAAGTGGTTACATTGTGTGCTTCTATCACTCCCCCTGCTGGTCATAAAGTTCACATGAGCTCTTTCCAGCTGTTCTTTCCTCCAACAGCTGTGACTTTTAAGGTGAAAAACTGACCCTTTGTGGGCTGGTCTGAGGGACTGGGTCCTCTAATGTTTGGTTTTAACCTTGATTTTTCATGTTTGTATCATTAAAACATGAATATTTGTTTGTGATTGGTACGTTAACAAAACAGAGACGACACGCAGACTACAACTTCTGAAAATGCAAATACTGTCACATGAACTCTGGGTCATTTGACGTCAAAGATATCCGAATAAATGCACACCTTAGTGGACTAGCTGCACATTACTCCTTTACTTTGACATATAAACAACTAAAGACTGTATGTCACAGAATAAGCACTTTAAAGCTTTCACCTGCCTCTTAGTCATGCTTTCAGACCACACTGGCGAAGAAATAAATCTAAAAATACAGTTCATGAAGCCTAAATCTGATTCCAAAGTAGAGACATTGTGTTTGATATTGTTAAAATGAACCTAAAAGCTGTTTAGAAATGCAAAACTATGAAAGATGCTAACATGACAACACTGTAAACATGATAAAGACTGTGATTAATCACAAGTAACTATTGAAATCCAATGATTAGAAAAAAATATCATAAGACAACCGTGGCTTTGCTGTACCCTCAGGATTAACGTCATATTTTTTGTTAAAGTTTAAAAAAAATAAACTATTATCAATTATCCAGTTTGTGCTCAGTTTGCAAACTCTCTTTATAAAGTCTTGTTTTTAACCTGATGTATAAACACAGTGATACTGATGTTGGGAGGGCATGAGAAACTCTGGTGTGCACACTAAGATTAAAAGAAGTAAAAACTTAGGACTCATTTCACCACCCAACCATGATACTCCCATCCCCACTGGACATACTCAGAGAGGCGTAACTCCAGATGAGAGATGAGGAACTCTGTCGTAACAACGATGTGTTCGAACACCACGAAGTCTGTGCAGAGGCCGTAGGTGGAGCACAGCTCGGTCAGCATCATGTGCATCTTGTCCACGCTGAGAGAAAAGTGAGAAGACAAGAGAGGATGTAAAAACATGAACAAAAATATTTTGACCATGACTGTGGTATGGATGTGCTTCTCTCAGTCAAATAAGGTAATGAAGTGATAGAGGACTTAAAAAAAAAACTTCAACAGGGGGATGAAAACTGAGAGGAGAGAGGGAGACAGAATAACAACTCTTCAGATTTAATTTGTGAAATGAAGCTTTCCAAGAATACAATCAAAACAATGAAAACGCCAACATTTAATGTCCTGCCAGTAAAGGGGTTTATTTTAATACTCTGAGGCGTTTTGTTTCTTATTTTTAATAGCTTGATTCAGTACCTGTCAGCTCTGACTGACTCAACTTGATGGGCAATAAAGCTCAGAACAAATAACAGCCTGTGGACGGGAGGATTAAACCCTCCTATGTCTTCAGGAAAAACATGTGTCAGAGGGTGAGGAGGAAATTCATTCTCAGGTGTCAGCAGATGCTCAAGCAGTCCTATTGATAAAAAAACAAATTAACCCGACTCTTACCTTTGCTAATTCAATACTCTACACTCTATGTTTACATAAATGCTCTCAGAGGGCTGTATGCATTCACTTTTAGGTATAAACAGAGTCCGAGAAGTGAAGAAAGGATGCTGATTATCGAGGAAACAAGAAGAGGATCTAACTTGGTGAGGATGGTCCGGTCTTTCCTCAAGCTCTCAGCGCCCGGCTTCTCTTTCTGGACCTCGCCTTTCTTTGGCATGGGCTTCTTCTGCTTCCTGTGCCGAGCTGCGCTGATGGTCTCGGCACAGTGTTTGGGCTGCAGCTGAAGGGATCAAGTGGAAAGAGACAGAGAAGGAAGGAAGAAGGAGAGTAGAAGGAAGTACAGAGAAGGAAGGAATTCAGCCAAGCGTAGATTGAGTAACAAGCTGAAAAGATAAATATGGGAGTTTTGCACTCACAAAGTAAACAGCGTCATCATATTTTCCCCAAGGGGATTAAAAAGACAACACTACATTCACCAAGTCCAGAGTTTCAACTCCGTCTTATCCTTTTATTCAAATTCTCAAGTCTGTCCTCAGCCTGCAGCTAAACCCACCGATGCCAAGCTGCAGCTGCTGATATATTAGGATACAGAGTTTAATGGAAACAATCCGCAGTAGAAAATGAGCTTTTATAGAAAGACCTTGAATAGTTTTGAACGTCACCTTGTCAGTGAGGTTGTACTGCTCAGCACAAATCTCCAGCACAACACTGCCGGTCATCTTGGCGATCTGCTCCAGGAAGGTCACACACAGACGCAGACTCTTCTTCTCCATGGCTTCAGTCTGCACACACATACACACACGCACGCACGCACGCACGCACGCACGCACGCACGCACGCACGCACACACACACACACACACACACATACACACACACACACACACACAAACAGGTGCAGAGTGTGTGAGTGTGCACAACAAAGGACTAACAGAAGCATATACCAAGGTGACACTTAGAAAGTAAACCATATGGCAAATTTTCTCCTATAAATTCCTGTGCTTCATTAAGTTTACTGTCAATATATTTACAGCCAGAAGGTCAGAACTTAAAAACATTACAGAGAGCTAATATAAAGTTCCTGATTGTCACTTTCCTGTTGTTTAAAGGTGAAAATCATGTTTTCTTGTTGTCTACACGTACATATGGCATTTTTCTGGCAAACCCAAACGTCAGGCTCAGATACAGTGAGATTTCCTACATCACAAATCCAAGCTCCGCCCCCGGAGCCCCTCTACGAACGCCAGACTCTGAGAAGTAGAGAGGACGATTGCGGAACAAGCGTGTGAGTTGGCAGATTTCAGTGTTAATGAGAAAGATATTTATATATTAACTTTCATCATGTCCCCAAAGACATTAGTGTCCAAGAGCTGAATGTTACCTGCTTCTCCACTACACCGGGTATGTTAGGCTGCAAGCTAGCGTTCAGAGGAGTGTGCAGAGCAGACCTGTCTCGGCCCACGATTCAGAGGCAAATTTCTAATGAGCTACTGGAGCTCAGGTAATGTGATTTTGGCAAAAAACTTCAAAATCACAATTGAAAGACCACTGAGAACACTTTAAGTAGTAAAAAAAAAAAGGATCGGAGTGGGACTTTAAGCTGCAAAGAAGTGTTGAAAAAAACACCAATCTTTAAATAATTTATGAAGAAATATTGGAGGTACAAACTTCACTGTCATTTTGGGGATAGATATCAAGAAAGAATTATTACAAATGTATGTTTTGCTTCAAGTTCAAACAAAATAAGTCACAGAAAATAAATGGCAAAGGATTGTGATGTTTATATAGAAGAAGGACCAGTTTTATGGAATGCATAATAAACAGTATGCACAAAAACAAAGTTGACTTTCTCTGCCAGACTGATTGATGGAAGAACAGACATGACCATAAAAAGAAAGTCTGAGTCAAAGCAGCAAAAGACAAGCTACCAAACAACAATTCTGATCCAAGATTAAGCTCCATATTCAGTTTTAGGACTGATCAGTATTCAAAAGAGTGTTTCAGTCTGACCTTAATAAAACTTGGGATCCTGTATCTCAACTTTGATGGTAATAGCGTTTTATCCCTGTTTACAGCATGGTCCAAATGAGAAACAATGTTGTGGACATGCTTTATATGTTTTTATTGCAGACTGCTCCTTAAAGTCTTTGACATGGCTGACCAATAAGATTACAACTTGACAAATTTAAATCTCATAGATGTGCTTTTGTCCATCCCTGTTGGTTCAACGCTTTTCTGAAGGACCTGTTCAGAGAGTAAGGGCTGACTCCTACATGCACCAGACATAGAAGAAATAATCGATGGAGGTTTAGTCAGCATGTTATATTTTATGAAATTTGTCCAGGGATATGTTGACTATTACATTTTGTTATCAGTCTGTCACTTTTACCTTCTATTCTCTTTTATTTATTTAGAGTTTTGGCATGTAACTAAAGAAAACACAAACAGATGATTACTTTAATCTATAAAGAGCAGATTGTAAACTTTGTGTGAAGTGTAATTTGTGTATTCACTGTTCTGCTGATTACAGTAAAAGTTTGGTCAGCCAATAACCAAACACTGACCTCTTCTGGGCACAGAGGATGACCACACCCGCTGAAGTGCGAGCAGACGACGGGGAAGGCCATGAGGTAACGCTTCATGTTCACCTCCTCGCTGCTCTGCATGAACATCTTCTCAAAGACTCGTGGGTAGGAGCTGGAAGAAGAAACAGAAAATAGATAAACCTGAGAGGAGAGGAGAGGACAGAAGAGGAGAGGAGAGGAGAGGAGAGGAGACCTACAACAGTATAGACAGCTCAGATGTCTCCTGCAGCATTTCCTCCACGTTGTCTACCATCCTGGTGTGAAACTGAATCACATTCATCACCTTTGCTAAATCAAGATAGTCTTTTAATGGCAGAGGAGCTTTGTTCACGCTTGTGTAGGCCTAAAACAGAAGACAGGGAAACCTTAATGGTAAAATCCATTTCAAATCTGCCATGAGAACTAAATATTTAGCTGTAATGATTCAGGTGCAGAAGCTCTACTAACTTGCAGTCTCAGCCAGTCCAGTCTCAGTCCTCTGAGATCGAATTCCTCTTTGTTTTCCACTGCAAAGAAAAATTGAAAGCATAATTGTTCCATCAGCATTTTCATGATATATTAGAGGTGAGCGCAGGCTTTGATATTCTGCCATAACTTGCTGTGATTACCTTGTTTGACCGACAGAGCAGACAGAGTGGAGACGAATGAGCTCATCAGGACAGACTCCTCCTCTGGACAAACGTACATGTTCTGCAGGAGAGCGAAAAGGTTTTATAAAAAGGTTTCTAAAGTCTGGATCTGCACAGATTTTTATGTTACACTTATGGAAGTTAAAAGGATATTCCAGTGTACGTTTAAGTTATGGACAAACACACTGTAACATCAAGTTAGACACATTGCCGACCGCTTGCTTCTTTAGTTTTACCAACTTCAGCAACGACCGCACGATAGCAATACACAGCGGTCTATGTCTCCAAGTGCAAACCTCAACCAAAACGCCACTCTATAGCCACAAATAATGCTCAGAACAGCACCTAACTTCATCAACAGTACATATAAGGTCCCCACCATAGTACTAGCCACCAAACATCTTTTTAACTTTGTCTAATTTCTTTAGCAAAGAGACCAAACACAACTTACCTTCTCTCCTCCAGCAGCCTTTTGTTTGTGGGGGAGCCCTGATGAGTCGATCACCTAGTGCAGTGGATCATTTCCTTGAGGTAATAATCATCATCATAATCATTTTTCACTGCAGACGCGGTAGCTCTTCTGCCTTAGTATCTTGGTCCGATTGCATTTCCATGACGTAATAATCATAAATTTTCCGCTGCACTTGGTGATTGACTCGTCAAGGCCCCCTCACAAACAAGCGGCTACAGGAGGAGAGTGGGTGAGTTGTGTTTGCTAAGATGTTTGATGGCTAGTACTATGGCTGGGACACACACTGTGTCCTATTGATGAAGTTTGTGTTGTTCTGAGCATTATTTGTGGCTACAGAGGGGTGTTTTGGTTGAGGTTTGTTTAAGGCTCCTCAGACCTCTGTGTATTGCTATCCTGCGGTCTTTGCTGAAGTTGGTGTAACTAGAGAAACAAGCAGTCGGCAAAATTCAGCCCTCGAGGGGGTGTCTAACTCAGTGTTACGGTGTGTTTGACCACAACTTAAGTATACACCAGAATATCCTTTTAATGTGGTATTTTCTGCAGGTACCTGGATGGTGTCATTGAGAACCAAAGCATCAAACTGTGCCAGGTACTGGACATGGTAGCGCTGGACTATCCGGTTGTACTTTCTCATCAGGCCTCTGAGCTTCTCCATGTGGAACAGAAGCTCTGCCATCTGACTGAAAAACCAAGAAAAGCCCATTTAACCTAAAAATATTCACTCTGATACAACAGGAACAAATAATCTAACTTTCTAACTCTGTTCCTGAAGTTGCAGCGAAGGGAGAACTTGATTGCTGCCAGATTTTTGTGCACCCATGTGGCAGTGCCTTACTCCCTCTGCGTGCACCTATGACCTACTTGTCAATGTAATCCTCAGGCGTCTTTATCTTTGGCATATTCTCAGAGTGTCTGACGAGCCACAGGACCTCGTCACGGGAAAACGACAGAGCCATGAAGACATACAGCGCCTGTGGGATTTGATTGGCACACAGAACAGAGAGGACAGAGGAATGTCAGGAGGGAGTCAGAGCTAAGATTGGTAAAAGTCATGATGAAACGATGGGTCAGTCTAAGGAATTCTCCCCCTGCTGTACAAACATACGCAAGAGCTGAACATAGAGGTAGGACGGAGACATCAAATGGACCGTTTTTTCCATAAGTCACATGACTGGAAATTCAATTGGAGTCAAATCTTGGAGTAATGAAATGATATAAATTCCTCATTCCCTCTACCTTTGGTCCCAGAAGTCCTGGTTCATCCTCCAGTACGTTGAATAATTCCTTCAGCGCTCCTCTTAGAAACTGCCTGCGCTCTCTGTGCAGAGCTCCTCTGGTAATAACACAGGGAAAAGGTCAGAGATATATGGTTTTTACAGCTCATTTCAGAGCGAATGTAGTGAGCTTTTTTTTTTTTTTCCTCATATGTGAGGGGTAAAAATTTGAAAAATCGTCTGCCAGTCTCACCCGTTGACAATCATATGCTCACGACATTCCTTGATGTCTGCAATGCGCTTGTTATATCTGATAAATTTGAAGAAAAACATTAACAATTAAAAGGAGCAGTAAGACATTTAACAAGCAGAAAAATCTGGACAGATTACTCTAATTATGCGTTACATTTGTCTCGTACAGACTAGCACTAATTCTCTTCCTGCTTATTAGAAAGATACGCTTGTCACGGCTGTCAAAAGTCTCTAAAGTTGCTACAGTCAAACTTCAGCTACAACTCAAGCAGTAAAAGATTTATAATTTTAGAAATGTTAAACACGCCAGGAGCTTACAACACACAGAGCTAAGTTGTAGTTTTGTAGGGCCTTGACCCACCATTGTGAACCGTATTCTCGAGTGGGGTGGCCTTCTTTGTCCACCGGGAGGTTGAATCACTGGTAGACTTTTATTCACAAGGCCATGCTTGATCTACTGCCCTCTTACATTTGTAACTTTATCACACAATAATTTGTTGCTCACTGCTCCATTTAAGCTGGGTAAAAGGGTTTTTGTCTTCTCTACCCCTTCTACATGGAACCTGTTGCAAAAGAACCTGAAACTAATGGAACTTATCTCATTGAATGACTTCAAATCCAGACTGAGAGCACTTGAGACAGCTTCCTTGACCTGTAACTGTTTTATCTAATTTGTATGTCATTGCTGAAACTGTAACTTTTTGCTGCCTCTTGGCCAGGACTCCTTCGAAAAGAGGTTTTTAATCTCGATGGAGGTAGGAAAAAAGTCTGCAACACCAGAGCGAGCTCCGATGCAAAAAGATTTATTTAAATTACATGATGTTTCGAGCAAGCAGGCTCTTTCTCAGATGTTATAGGGTTAGGATTAGAGCCTGCTTGCCCGAAACGTCATGCAACTTCAATAAATCTTTTTTGCATTGGAGCTCGTTCTGGCATTGCAACCTTTTTTCTACCTTAATTTCATGTTTTTTGGTCCTTCACCCACCCAACTTTGGGCTGCAAGGATTTATGATGCAGATTCCTTATCTGGTAGTTGTCTAGTAGACATATTTTGCACTTTAAGTTTTCCATGTAGTAATCAGATAGAGTAATTCCAGCTCCAACTAATATCTTAATTGTTATGTATCTGTGAAGTATCATGCGGTTGGAGCTGCAGATGAAGGCTCGGCACGGCTACTTTTATGCAGAATACATGAGCAATCACAGAGACCAGTCGAGAGGTCCTCTACAGTTCAGGACGTCTTAATTAAAGAGAAATGAGGATGGTATTTTTTTCAGTTCTCATTTATTAAATGTCTGAAACATGAGGGTGCTTTATCTGTAATCTGGCTCTTTAAATTTTTATTCATCACCTCAAACTATTCCTCTTTCTCAGCAGTGCACTGAAAGTACACTGCAGCAGAGCAGCTCACATACCCTTTGAAGCCGTCAAAGAGGTCCTCAGAGACTTTGTGTATGTTGAGTACTTCATCTCTAGTGAGGGTGATGTAGAGGCCGCTCCGCAGGGCCATCTTCCAAAGCTCCTGGGAGGCCTGGTTTGTGTTCAGGCTGCTGTGGCACAACAGGAAGCCAACTGTAAGGAGCACAGGCAAGTACATTTAGGGTACAAAGACTTTATCAAACATAATACAAGTTTCACTGAGTTAAAAGAGCGAAACCAGCTGTGCCACCTTTAAAAATGCTGTATTTTCATTTGGCCAGTTGTGAAACAGACAGATATTAATTGCTGATGCTTCGATAAGACAACAGAAAACAAGACCATCTGGGAGGAAAATGACTTTCTCTGTAAAGTTGTTTTAACACATGCCTTCTGATGCCTTCAGGCTGGTGTCAGATGCTGCAGAAACAGCCTTTCTTCATGATTTCCACAACAAAGATTCACAGTAAAGTGATAGATTTGACAGTGAGAAGAATATTTGTGCTGGATAAGATCAGAAAAGAGATCAGAGCCACGAGGATCAGCCAATCAAGGCAAATTACAGCGCCTTACTGTAGCTTTCAGATCATTACTATTGAGTGTGAAATAAAGGTTACAGCTGCAGCAGATTTCTCCTACTATAGGAGATGTTCTGCATGCAAAGATTGACTTTTTCATCAATGCACATGAGGTAAATCCCACTCAGTTTTCTTTAATATGAGTCGCCGAACCTTGCTTTAAATTCATACCCTGTAAGTTTGCATTTCTATATGGTTGAAACATGTCAGTTTGTCAGAAGTGTGATTAAGCTACAAAAGTAAAGCTGCATAAACTTACAGAATATTCAAACACTGTTGTAGTCGGTGATGCCAGAAACATGTTACTTAGTAGCGCGCTTCTCTAATAAGTCCACTTTTTTCAGTAATGATTAACACGATGCTATTTCCAAACCGGTAATTAGATTTCAGTTACATGTCCAAGTCACTGTGTGCGCTACTTTTTTCTCATTTTCCTTAAAAAAAAAAGATAGATTTGTTTTCGTCTCGGGGGAGTGACGTCAGTCACGTAGGTGACAAGTCTTGTTTTCAGCACGAGGACCACTCATGTGTAATACATGCGCACACATATAAAGCAACCACGGCAAAACGAACATAAACGACAATGAAGGGAGGAGAGAGATGCGCGTTCTCAGGCTGGAAATACAGCCACTATTTTGACTTTTGTATCAGCTAAAGATAACAATATTAATGTGGTTAAAATGGTTGATATTTATATGTTGAGGCTGCTACATGTAACTTCAAAAGTAACTTATTATCTCACTTAGTTACTTTTAAAATCAAGTCATTGGTGAAGTAACTAGGTTACTTTTTAAAGGAGTGATCTGTAATCAGTAATCAAACTACTTTTTCAAAGTAATTGCGGCAACACTGGTTGTAGTGTATCTGCTTCATTTAAAATGTGTAACTTACTAGTTATCCAGCGCTCCATCACATCCATGGGCAGGTATTCACAAGCCATCTGCGGTGAACAATGAGCTTATTAAAAGACAAACATCTACAATACAGAACAGCACTTACACTTATTCACACTTATAATGAGCAAAATCTAGAAAGCCTCTTAACTGCTGTTTTCTTTTTGTTAAATAGTGTGAACAATCATGCTCTCATTTTTCTGTCCAAAAGTAGAGACGTTATGGGCAGAAATACAGCAAATCTAAGTCAGAGTAAGATGTTGGGTTATGGAGTTCCTAATTATGTAAAAGGTCCTATTTTGGTTTAATTATTTTAAATAACACTGGTATTTGGGTTAATAGCTGCTCACTACTTGTTAATGAAAAAAAAGCAATGGCAAGAAAACGTATGTGCTTTGTCTGTTTTTAATTCTTGTTTGTTTTGTATAAAATAAAATCATACATTTTTTAATGGGTAGAAAAATTAGTCCAAAAATATCTGATGGTGGCTTCTCTGCATGAAAAAATAAAAGTTGCAACCGAAATGTGCTTCACAGAGTTTCTGGTTTTAAAACTCAATGTTGATTTTCTCTTGCAAATGAGTGTTAACTTAATTGCTTTAAAATTTTAGCTGTCTTTCGCTGAGAAAAACAAAAGTTGTATGTTTTTTGGCCGAGTTATAGATTTTATTCATGATTTCACAGAGAGCCATGTTCAGAGACAGCAGAGAGGTTTATAGGAGGCAGAACTGTGCAAAAAAACTGGAGAAGGGTAGAATTGGAAGTTGGAGGAGTAGAAGGTTATAATAAACCATCCTCTTAATAATAGTTCTTTGATGGGATGACAAGAAAAATGGGAAACTGGCTACCAAAGTATACCATCTCTGACCTCCAACACAACAGATGTCATGTTACCGCATCTTTGGCTGAGAGACAAGTCCCCTTTTCAGCTCCTCATATTGCCACAAAACCAATGTTTAAGACTCTACAACCACTTCCTTTCTCTTTCTTTCCATGCCAGAGATAAATACAGGATGAGGAGTGACTGAGGGTGGGCACTCACAGTATTGCAGCACATCGGGTCCAGCATGGCAGCTGGAGCACTCAGCAGGCTGAGGAGCTGGGCGCTCCGCCACTGCTCTGCTGGCAGGTTCCTGCGTGGGTACACCATCCTCAAAGACAGCAGCGCCGCCGTCACAGACTGAGAGGGAGGAGAAAAAATAGAGAGTGAGGTAGAGATAGAGAGGGAGAAGATGAGGCAAAATAGAGGGGATATGCAGAGATAGAAACACAGTCCATTAAATCACAGCAATCCCTGGGTTTAACTGTTTCCACTTTTGTTTTTGAATCTTTTATGATCCCAAAAACTGGGATGACTGTCTTAAAAGTAAATATGTTCCTAATAGTCTTTTTTCTAATTATATGATTTACATTGCATTGTGAATAATGAGTACATATGTAAGGTTGTTTTGTCTCATTTAGCATTTGTATTGCGCATCCAGATACATTTTTACTCTAAAAACTAGTGTGTACTTTAACAGTGGCTTCGCCTCCTAACATTTGGTTGAGGGGAAAGACATTTCTGTATTTCAACAGGAGGCTATTAAATGTTACACAAAAGCATGCTAATGGTGATGCGGCTGAATAAGAGCAAAGCTCTTCAGTCAGGTTTTGAAATTAAATGGTCAGCCTTACAAGAGGAAGAGGAGGAGGCTGCAGAAGAATGATAATGGGTTTGAAGCTCTTTTTTGTCTCTATGTATGCTGGTCTCCATGTTTACTGAAGTCCTGCATTTTACTGCAAACATGGTTTAAATGTATGTTTTTAATGGCTGCACTATTTCCATTGTTTTAATTTTGAAGGACTAATCAGAGACGAGGGCTGCAAATGAACTCATATGTGATGTCAATAAGACTTTGTTGATATTGTGAACAGTCTGTAGCTCACCTTTGTGTGTGGACCAAACTCCTCTGTGAGCTTTTTCCACGGATGCTCATACTCCACAAACATCTGGCCAAGCCGTGGGTAGGAGGGGTCACTGCAGGATTCGGCAAAGTGCGCAATTAATCAATGCAGAGAGAAGAGGACGGACAAGAAGTGGGTCGTTGTGTTTAGAAGTACATGCAAGGATTTTCCTGGAAAAGGATTCAGTCTTCATAAATGAAATGATGCAGCTATACTTTATATTCGAGAGACTTAAATACTAAACGGCGCGACTGCTTCCTCTCTAAAGGTTAGCTGTGTGTGTGTGTGACTCAAACGTGACATTAAAATGCATGTGTTTTTGCTGCCTGCTCAAGTCTCAATGGAGATTAGTATCCTGTTTTTGTGGGGTGCATGAATAAATATGCCGAGTGGGCGGACTCAAAATGTCAGAAAACCACTTGAGACCTGGGACAGGTTAGTGCTGAGCTGTTGATGTCTGTGTCAATGAAAAATCTGATTTATTATGGAGGGCAGAAAAATGATGGCATTGATGGATATGAAAACTCTTTAACGGCATTAATCACTGCACTTAGGTGAAGCACATGAATCATGGAGTCAGGATGCTGTCTTAGTTTGAGAATGAAAAGCATGTCTAACTATTAAATCAGTCTTTCACAACAATGATATCATTTGAGTGCGTTCTTACCTGCTGCCATTGGTCATCTCATGGGCACAGTTAAACATGCCCACCAACGCCTTTTTATCATCGATGCGGGAGAGTGTGATGATAACAGATGTATAGGTGATGATCAGGTCCAAGTAGCTCTTGGTGAAGTCAAAGTTGATTTGCTGAAATGAAAATGTCATTGTTGTCACTAATTCAGAAATAGACTAGCCAGGCAACCTCTTAAAAAACCTTAAAGATACCTCAATAGGTCTTAATATGGAAGAAGTGGAGTATAAAAGACATTTTTAAGAGCATCATGAAAAAGTCATTTCTATCACTAATCCTTACTAAGAACCCACTTAGCATGTTATGGTCTAAAAGAGGTCTAATAGACGTCTAAATGTAGCGTAGATGACTGGTCTAAAATCAGGCTACAAGTTTTTTAGACGCCTAAATTTAGGCCAAGTTTAGACAAGCCAGCTAACAGAGGTCTAACTGTATATTGCTCAACAGCTATCATAATTATTTTGGTTTAGATTGTGTAGCTCACCCGGCGACTCTCCCGCCGTATGCGTGCAACGCTACTGCGCAATGTTGGTTTCAGGAAATGGAGAAAAAACGCGGAATTACCGAGAGCTTAACGGCTTCAAATCTGTATACTGGCGGAAAGCGGAACCAAGTTGTCCACTGTATATACAGTCTATGGTTACAACAGACAGGCGCACTGACATGTAAAATTACCTTTGAAATGCTGTTGTCCAAGTTATATGAAGCTCACAACACTAACTTAGCCAACTGTTACCTGTTGCTGAGCTCAGGAGCGACGCTACCTGATGCAATCTACGCAGTGACATAACCAAGCAACCCTTCACTCAGCTCGGCGTTGGCGGTTTACTCGGGCTATAAGGCCCGAGGCTACAGACCCTGGATAAGGACACAGTTTCGGACAAGTCTGCAATGTCTCGCGATCTCCAGACAGAAAATGTTGCTCGTGTAGTGTCTCTGCTCTTTACATTCGTCCCCCTCGCGACAGTGATATTGTCAAATGAGAGCAAATGAGAGTTCTCCACACGCGCTAAAGTTACGAGCATACACAAACCAAATGGCGAGGCTACGGTGGTGCTACCAGGTGGAACTGAGAGACAGAGGAGAAGTTTTGTCAGATCTGGCGACAACATCTCTGTCTCTATGAGTGCCATCAAGAAAAGACCATAAAAAGGAGAGACATCATGGAGAAACAAGAAGACGCATCAAAGCAACCAGGTGAGTAGGCCTAACGTGTCCAGCCCTGTCCTTATTTCTGACGTCCTCTTGTGGGTCGTGATGTCCGGGCCCGGTTTTAGCATTCTGACATAGTGACTGTTTGTGTTGTCTGGTCTGGACATGAGGCATCATCTTTGCCATAGTTTGAGCAATAGGGATCAAGAGCATTTTACACAGCTGGGTGATTAAGTATGGTGGCTGAGAACTGCCACTGCTGCAAATTAAAAAGAATGCAAAAAAAAAGTCACAATTGAAGTTACTGATGCAAAAAAAAAAAAAAAAGAAACTGAAGCCCGCTGCAAATAAAGAAAGAAATGGTGCAGATAAAAAAAAAGCCTCAATGGAAGCTGATGACGCAAAAAAAGCAACGTTGTAAAAAAAAAAAAAAAAGTTACTTACTTCGAAAATAAAAGGATGCAAATAAAAAAAGCCACAATGGAAATGAGCTGCTGAGGACCAATAATGATGATGCACTGGTGTTTTACGATCTAGTCACAGAGGACGATGGTAAGAAGACAAGCAAAGAAGTTAGTGGAAAGGTTATTGCGTAATTTTGCTTTGTGAACTTTTTAATGTGTCATGTGGTTAGTCCATGTTGCGCCTGAGTCAATATGAAGTTCGCTTCGGCTAACTTTACACCGGGAAACCCACTACGCCCCAAAAGACCACCCACTATAGGAGGATCAAGTTTGGTAGCTTTACAGTTTGGTTGCTTTACTCATAGAAATAAATACGGAGACCCCTCGTTTTTGGTCCCTGGCAGCTCAGTTTTGTTGTGGCTTTTTTTCTTTGCATCCTTTTATTTTTGCAGTAAGTAACTTTTCCTTTTTTTTGCATAGACACTTTTTTTACACGTCGTTTAATTCCGTTGTGGCTTTTTAAAACAAATCTGCACCGTTTCTATTTTCATTTTAGTGGCCTCGGTTTCTTTTATTTTTTTTATCATCGGTAACTTCCGTTGTGGCTTCTTTTTTTTTTTGCATTCTTTTTTATTTGCAGCAGTGGCGGTTCTCGGCCACTGTAATTAAGAAAGCAGAGTGATAATAGTAGATTAAAAATGGAAATACTGCCCTTGGCTCTTTCAAATACTTATTTATTATTCCAAGCTACTTCACACTCTCCAGAGTGCACTGAAGCTGTTTTCCGAGCATGAATACCTTCCAGATCCTTTAAACAGTCTCAAAGGTGAACGCCAAATGTGTTTTGACTCAGTAATAACTCTGAAAAAAAGAGGCCCTGTGCTGAGAGATGCTCCTGAAATAAATCTAAGTATGAGAAGCAAAAAGTGCCCACAGTGATCAGTGCAGATCAGATCACAGGAGACAGGAGTCACTGAAATATACAGGAGAATATACATAATGCAATAGACAAGGGGTGTCAGTTTAATTATGATAATAATAAACCGACAAACGAAACAAAAGGAGGCTGGGGTTACACAACCTGTATGTAGCAGGAAGGCGTAATATTAAAAGTAGCCACAGAACAAATTACAAATATAAGACAGACGAGTCAAACTGTGAACAGATGAGGTGAATAAAGTCAGCCACATGTTGTACTCACAATATCAAAGAAACACTGACAGGCGTCGATGGTGTTGAGTAGCTCATAAACATGATCCTGTATAAAAATGAAAAGAAGAAATAGATTACTAAACAGACAAAAAGACAGTCAATTCGGGTTCATCCTCTAATGTGATTCCTAAATCACATCATCATTTCAAGTCCTGTTGCTCTATAATCACCACTCATTTGCATATTTATAGGACATCAGGATTGAGTTATTCTCAATTTAACAAATGCAGATGATGAAGTTGAACTGCATCACAGAAATATGCAAAAGTGATGAAAAACCGCAGCAAACCAAAGTGAAAGAAATGAAATAAATCAGTTATTTTTTGTGTATCAGGATAAACCACTCTATATGTAAATTGACTCTGTAACTGGAAATATCTAAAATAATACCTGTGCAGAGGCAAACAGGGAGAAATAAAGAAAAATAATATTCCAAACACTATTCCCACCATCTTTTATTGTTTTTTTTCATGTTAAATTTGTTAAATAGTGTTTTTGTTTTCAATTTTAATGGTTCAATGATTACTTTGTGTGGATTTTTTTTATTAACTGCTTTTGCATTTCTTTGTTTTTGTCGATGTGGACCCTGAGAAATTTGCTGGAAAAAAAACATAGATATATATTTAAAAAAAGAAAAGAAAATAGAGAAAAATTACCCTGAATTCAATGACATCCAGGAAAGAATCATAGTAGCTGGATGTGGCGGCCAAGACTTCAGATTTCTGCCGCTGAATGTTGGTCAGATTTTGCTGCAATAAAAGAAGAAAGGAGAATTCATCAAGACTTCTCTGATATCATTAGACATGATATTCAAGCAATAACTAAGCAGGGAGAGACACTATGTTGATTATTATACAAGGCAGTGCAGGGATTTGGTCGTGTTAAGCAGGAGAACAGCCACAGCTGGGCAGATATTTGATATAACAACATGCCCTCCAGTAAGGCATTGCTTTTGTATTACATCTCCATAAAGATTCAGAACCTCTGAAGAAATCTTTCTACAACAGGAACAAGCAGGAAACCAATACCAGACAGCCATGAGTTTCAGGCCCTTAGACAACACTGTAATAAAGACAAAACATGCATGACTCTGTACTAGTGGAAATCAACACATGGACTCAAATTCCTCTTCAAAAGCCATTGTCTCCTAAAACAACTTGTCACTGCGCCTAGGACTGCATGTTCACAAAGAAAGAAACATACCTACACATAGGAGTGTCCGGATACAACTTTTTGACTTCCAATACAATACAGATATTGTGGCCTTCAATATTGACCAATACTTATATTGATCTGATATTGGCACAGATTGTGCATAACAAGTTTTTCACTCAGCTGCAATGTCTTTTTCAGACACTGCCACAAGGCCGACATCACTCTTAGTTCTCGCTACTTTGTTAGTACCTTAGTTCACACTGTTGTTGTGATTTTGTGGGCTCAGCTTACTGGATCAGGGTGCTGCTAAACAGAGGTGCTGGGGTGGAGTCTGGAATGGACTGCTTGTATCGGGAGTGCTGATATCGGAAATTTTAGATGCACGCCAATATAATCCGACATTTGTTTTATTGCTGATATCGGACCGATATCTGATATCAATATCGTATCAGGACGCCTACATACACATGATTTAGAGACTAAATTGAAATACTCTGGTTTGATGATAAAATTAAGTGCCATAAGAATGTTTAGTTTTCTGGTGCCATTAATCCTAAACAATATACAGATTTTAGAGCAACATAATCTGCCACAAGAATAAAACCTTTTTCAGTATTGTCTCTCCACATCCCAGAGAGAAAATGCCAAACTACATTTTGCAAATACAACCACAGCACGGCTCTGCAGTAATAAGAGAGTTCGCTCGTACACTGGCCTGCCCCTGTTGAAAACATTTGGTGTGTCATAAAACACAAAATACAACAAAGGAGACCCTGGGCTGTTGAGCAGCTGAAGTCCCATAACAGGCAAGAATGGGACAATATTTCACTTTTAAAACCAAAAAACTGGTCTCCTTGGTTCCCAAACATTTACAGAGTCTTGTTAACAGAAAAGGTGATGCAACACAGTGGTAAACATACCCCTGTTCCTAATGTTTTCAAATGTGTTGGTTGCTTAAATTTTAAAACAAACTTTCATATTTCAGTTCCATCATTTTTGTTCATATTTCAAACTAGTCATAGAGTTTAAATGACTCTGCAAATTCATTTTTTATGAACACTTAAGCAGCATTCAAACTCTTTCAGAATTAAGGTTGTTGATTTACTGTATGATTCTGATAACCAGAGCAGGAATTATGATAATGCCAATGCTTCGTAAATAATCTCTGCAGAGTTCACATGCTTAGATACACAACTCCAGATTTAAGATATCCATAATAAATGCAATATACTGAAATGAGGAGAAGTTTGGATTGACACAGAATGACATCCATACAGAAAGCAACACCTCCAGAGTTCTGGCATTGAAAACACAAAAAGTAAGCGACAATGACAGGTTTTCCAAAATAGTAATTCGGTCCAATTCGGCCCAGAGGAATGACAGGCCATTACTACAATAGCCGAGACACGAGAGAGGATTCATATTTATGATTTACTGTTTCTACTGAGGGCCAGCAGACTTCATTTGCTTTCCTGAGGTCAGAAGATTGTTGCTGTATGTCTCTGGTATTTTATCACCTCAGCTAAATGCCACGATTTTTGTGTGACCTTTATTTACATATAATATGTAAAACACAGTTCTGACTTACAACAAACAAGCTTCCAAATATTGATTTCATGATCACAATAAAATGTGGAAAGTGCAAGCATGTCTTTGTGTGTAGAGCAACCTGTGGACAAATCGATCGTTTTTCAGGGCTGCAGCCGTACTCACAATGTTCCCTCTGAAGTCGATGTTGGGGAATTTCTTGTTGATGTACTTGATGGCGGGCTCCATGGCTTTGTCTGTCAGGATGGTTGGTCTTTTTTTAGGGTCTGCACAGCTCTGTGACATGGAAAAAGGAAATGATACAGATGTGAGACTGAGATTTGATCAGTTTTGGCAGCTTAATCCTCAATATTTAATACATTTCTAGCTGCCATCATGCTCTGTGGGTTGTCTTGATAGGATTTATTTCTAATTTTTCCCTCAGAATCTGAGTGGCATCCAGCCCAGTGTTTGAAAATAAGCTTGTCAGAAGAAAGTCACTATCCCCCAGACATGCTGGGAAAATTGTGGGCAGAGTGGGTATTAATGCTTTCTCCATCTCCCTCAGCACCCACCCATCCTCAGAGTGACCTTGAGCAGGATAGTTAACTGAGCAGCTCCTACGAGGCTGTTTACCGGCTGACAGCAGAAAACTCTGCAGCCGCCCCTGACTGTCAAATCTGACTGCAGAAATGAATTAAAAAGCGTCTGTGCTCAGCAGATTTTCACTGGGCAAGGCTCTAAAAAGGCTGAAAATAAGATTATCCTTTCACTTCTTCCAATACATGCAGATATAAAAAGTGCACACACATGCTCAAATAGGATTAAAGCAAGCCTAGCATATTTACAGAACTCAAGACTTTTTCTCATGACAAGAGTTTCACCTCTCGCGTGTCAAGGAAGTTGTCAAAATAGTGAATGGCTGTCAGGTGATAGGTGTCAGTGGTTGAAATGTTGTGATTTAAAGGTCCTTTATGATGATATGTTCTATCTGTGCAGTGATCTGTTTGGGCAGGAAGGCCATAATAGTGAGTTCTGATTGTCTGCTTGATTGTCATCTAAGGGTCAGAGAAACACCAAAACCAACTTGGCGAGTGCTCCAGGAGGCAACTGTTGGACAATTGCAGCAGTAATTATAACCACATAAACCTGAATTGTTTTCTTTCCTTTTGAGTATAACTTAAAAGTTGTTGTTGAAGCAATCCAAGTCGAAGTTGTCTGGAAACAACCAAATTAGCACCGACTGTGGCAGGTATATTGTTTTTCCAAAAAAAAAGTGTATTCTTTGATTCTTTGGTGCGGGAATAGAATATAACACAACATTTGTGTAGTATTTTTCAACCAACAACAGAGAAATTGATGTATCTAGCTCAAACCTTTGACATCTTGCAGGGTTCCTACGCAAGTATGAAAGTATGGAGTATGGAAAAAAAATATATGTTAACCGACTATATTACCAGAGTTATAAAATACTCTCTTCTTAGAACCTAGAAAAGTAGGTATTTCCAAAAATAATTCTAAAAAGTAGAGTATGGAGAAGTATGGAAATTCCAACTGTGTAGAAACCCTGATCTTGACTCTGCATCCAAAAGTGAAACCACAATAAGTGTGGGAAGATGTGGAATTAGAGGCAGAGTGGAAATGGGATTGGTTTTGCATGTTTACCTCTGCACATCATTCCTGTCATTACATCACCACAGGAGCAAATTCAGATCACCTCACAGAAGCTGTGTTCACTCAGTAAGTGGGCTAAAGACACAATGCAGAGGCTTTTTGTCTTCCACATCCTCAGGGTTGATAGCCTGAAGTATAACTGTTATGCTAATGTGTTGTTACAGAAAAAACTCCCTGACTTCCTAATGTAGAGGCAGGAAAAATTTGCTTTTTCATAAACTTTTTGTGCCATTGAGTAAGGATGAGCTCATCTTTTTTTGTCTTGAGTTGTCAAAGTAAATCACAAATCACCCTCCCTGTCACCTCATACCACTTAATCCCATACCTTCTTGTTTTTAACCGGTCTGTTTCAGTTCTGTTGCGTGGCTCTTGCAGCATTAAGCTCAGAATAACTGAAGTTGGAGTTGACTGACAGCTCAGACTGACTTCCTGTTTGCACTTCCTTTTTGCTAAAACAAGCTTTGTTGCAGTCATCCAACAGTACTGAACAGTCTGCTAAGGCCTGTGCAGACAATTAACACTTGATAAACTATAAACAAGTACATTGTTACTATTATGTAATGTTATTTTATCACTGCAGTTTGACTTGAAGCTCTTGGAGCATCTCTTGACTCTAAAAGCATCAGTAGCTTTCTTTTGGTCGTTTGTGTCCTCCAGTACAAGTCTCTAAAGTTTAAGTTATATATAAGTTCATATGTACAAGTCAATATCTCTGTGTAGATCATTTAATGCCCAAATCCCTCTCAGTTAAGTGTTTAAAATGTTTGTTAGTGGAAATTTTAAGACCAAGCATATGACAGCCAAGTTCCTTATTTGCAGTTTCTGTTTGCCGCTGTTCTCTCCCTCACCTTCTTGATGTAGTTCATCCGTATCAGCACCCCGCTCCCCCTCTCGTTGAGGATGGTGAGTTTTTCAGCCAGTTTCTGTTGGTAGTCCATGGCGCCGTCGGACCTGTCCCTCCTCTCGAGCCTTGGCCTCCTGGTCCCTGTGTAGTGGCTGAACCCTCGGAAACAAGCGCACCCAGAGCCTCACCCTGACACAAGGTCACATGGGCCCTTTTGGGGGAGGTGGAGCTAAAAGTTCATCAGACAGGGTGTCATTACATTGTTACTGGAAATTACAGTGAAAATTGATTCACATTGAAAATAAATTAAGGGGAAAAAAAGCAATTTTAACAATTAATGATACCTTTTGTTCTCTGTAAATGAATAGCAGCATCATGCTTCCTGTTTATTCAACATAACACAAACACTGCATCCTCTGTCGAGTAACTTTTGGCCACTTCCTCTTAAAAAACAACAACATTTAGGAAGGTATAAATCACACTTGTGCTGTTTGATTGTAAAATAACAAGCCAATACAGATAACAGAAACAAGGGAGATTTTAAACCTATAAAAAAAGAAATCCACTTAGTGTCCACAAGATGGCACTATTTACTAAGTAGAGCTATTTTTCAGTGAGATTAAGAGATGCATTATGCAATAAAGAGTAAACCGAAACAGTTACCTTGCAGATTTAGAGTCACTATTTGCATTTACACAGGGACAGTTATGCTCATGATAAACACTGTACATTAATGTTAAAGTTATGCATGTTTCAGAAAAATTTACCACTCTTATAGTTAATTAAAGAGATTATAAGATCTTGTGTTAGGATCGTTTTCTTCAGGTCAGAGTCGAGGGTTTGGGGACATGAATGGACTCACATCTTATCAGAGTCAATATTTCTAACTTTGTTGGAAATCAAGAACATATCGTATAAAATGAGTTGTAAAAGATTCAACGTAATTCAGGCTTTCCCCCTTTTGGTTTACCAACATAAATGATGGTTTTCAAAGCAGCCAAGAGTCGCATTGCTTTCATATCAAACCATTCTCACTCTCATAATGACTGAGACTTGAGACTTTGTCATGTAAACTAGAAAAGTCTTAAAGTTATTCAGCAACAAAGTGCTATGTACTGTTTTTCCTCCTAGAGCCCAATAACTCCTCCTGGAATCCAGTAACAGGTTCAGTGAAGTGTAAATAAAAAGGTCCAGACTAGTGCGGTTACTGTGGAGCTAAGAGAATGTCATTTTCTTAAATTAATGAGAGCCAAAGTGAACCACAGCGAGCACAGCGCTGAGTAAAGAGAGGTTTGATGTTGAGTAGATTTGAAGAAATAATCTGTTTATTATTTCCTCACTGGCAGAAGCTCAGAAAGCGGGAGACTTGTTAACAAGGTTGTCAGGGAAAGCAGACAGGAAGATGTGGATATACAAGAAGGAGGAGGAGGAGGAGGGAGGTGGTGGGATAGTGGGTGGGGGTAGGCAGAGTGGACAGGGGGTTGGATTTTTCACCCTTTGTGAACCAAGTAAAATGATGTGTTTTTACCTGGGTCATTGGGAAACAGAGAGATGTGTAAAGGTGTTTGGCCTCCCATTTCATGATTTCAGAGAACTGAAAGCCTTTTCCAGATGCAGAAGTTAAAGCTCAAACAGGTTTAACAGGTTACTCTCAAATCAGAATTACAGATTGAAGAGAAAGAATGAAGCTTTAAAATGGAGAAAAAAGGTAGAACTTCTTTATATCTGTGTGGCGACCTCTAGGATGAGACCATAAACTCTATAGATTGTATTCTATATACAGTCTATAGATAAGACAAGCTCCTTTTGGAGGATGGCCTTAGTTTGAAGTGCTTTGGATAATGGGACCAGAGTTGGGTCTAGAAGTATGATATAATGATGTTTAAACTGTGGGTACCTGTAGTGTTTCAGCTGTTTTGATATGGGATATACACTATCTGTGAGAGTGGGAGAAGACAGGCTGGATATTTCACCTGAAAATTCAGTCTGAATAAAAGTGAATAATCACAATAGCAGTCAGTGAAAGTGAATGAATGTAGGGGCTTTGATATAGATAGAAAGGAGGATATTCTTTCCACACTATGAAGAGCTATAGGAGGGGGCTGTGAGAGAGGAAGGGTTTGAGGAAGTGCTCACAGCTACGTCTGCAGCCCAGATGTTGGAGAATTGGCAAAACACATGGGCCATTTTGATAAATGCAACAAGTTTAATGATTTAGTTACAGCAGCTTAATCTTGATGTGTGAATTTTTCTGTATTTTTAAACCACAGACATGCAAATAGCATCTTCAATCAGTTTTATATTTTTACACAAAGTTCCTTTCAGTCCTTTTTTCTTTTAGCACAGAAGTATTTTAAGTTGTCCCTCTCACTACTGCTCAAATCTCATTTTAGACGTTCAATCTTTTGATTTAAAAAGACATCTTAAAATCCATTAGCCTTTTATTGTTTATCACCCAACAGCAGACCTGGCCTTCAGCAAGGTTATACGAGAAAAGAAACACTATTTCTGCTTCAATAAAGAATTAAAAAAACACTTGAGCAAAAGCTGCAACAAAGAGAGTATTCAATATTGATGCCTTACAAAGATATTTAGTGAAAAATCTCGATTAAATTCCTGCTCACAGTTAACAGAATGAAATACTTGGTTTATTTTAGTTTATCTAAAAACTATTATGGACATTTTTTGATGTGTTTGTCTAATTCAGACAGATGTTCACAATTTTTGATCGCAAATTTTCTTCAGAGTCTGAAAACTTTCTGATTCTTTGATCCTCTGACTTGTCAAAGGATGTGGCTTTTTTTCTTTTAAGAAAATTGGAGTAAATTTTCGCCCCTGGCTATGACATCCTGCATGGCGTGTAATTACACATCTAAATGGTTAAACATATAGTGAAGGTAGAAGAGACAGCATTCTTTGTTGGCACGTTGGGACATGGTACAAAGTCAGAAAGGAAAACAAGACAGTGAGGATAATATACAGGCTGATGAAAAGAGTTTAACAGCATTGGCAGGCAGCAACAACATACAGTTAAACACTTTTACTGCTTCAAGGCTTCATGCTGCGATGTGATGAGTGAGAATACACGCATACATGTTCAAATAAACATGACTGATGATAATCTCCTCGGAGTCAGACTCACTTCATGTACTTGACTTTTAAATTACAACAAAAACAGGACTTTCTTTTCGTCATGTTTCTGCACACTGGCTGGTTTTCTGCTGCAATTACCAGTGCGCTCCATCCCCTGGAGGACTGAAGTCTGTGCCCTGCCCTTTCAGCTGGTAGAAGTTAAGTGGTTTAGTCTACACAATAGTGTTTTCATTACAGAGCAAATTCAACACATGGTGACTTAATAGATTGATGTGTGATAGAAAATAGAAAGGAAATAACAACAGCACGTCAAAGGACACCCAAAAGTTAAAATATACTTTAAAGCTCCTGTGAAGAGTTTTTGGCTGGTTATTAAAAAACAGTTTGAAATAGATGTTGATGATTTTTATGAGCCAAAGAAGCAAAAGAGAGCATCCACATAAAGACAAACTATTTCCACACAGTTCGAATGTTCGAAGGTGTTAACAGGGGGAGAATGACAACTGTCATTAATTACTTATTGTTGAAACAAACTTTTTTTTTTTTTTTCAACGGTAAAGATTCTGTAAAAGTCATAAATTCTAGTTTGAAAGTGAAGCAGGGTGAGATTTTTAGTTTAAAAAATGGGGCAACTTAAAGCTCCTGTGAGGAACGTTCACATTTTGGAGCCCCCTGTGGACCAGGCAGGCTTTACTTATTTTGTCCTCTACATGCTTCAAGTGGTAATTTTTCACTAAATCCTCACCCTGCTGACTTTTGACAATGCAGTCTGTCATTTTAAAGGAGTGTTTTTTATGTGTAAACTGCAAAAACAGGGCTGTATGGTCATATGCTAAGCTGACACCTACCCCCCTCCTGTGAGTTTCAGGCATGAAAATCATCAGTGTTGTTTCTGGTGATCTTGTTTACTTTTGGATATCATGAAAAGGCAAAAATATTAATATCAGTTTATTTTATCAACTTAAAAAAAACTCCTCATGGGAGCTTTAAGGTTGCTGATTTGATTAAAAGAAGGATATAGCAGGATAACATTATTTCTGCTTTCAGACAGATCAAGAGTTGGAATAATTTTCCTCTGATACATGATTGAGATAACTGTAGATGAGGTAAAGCAAGTGGAAAATGTTGGGTGACTGCAAGAAACTAGTGCAAAGGGTCCGATCCTGCATCTGTACTTTTAATCTGTTCATAATCTCAATTGTGAATTTTAAAATTGTGACCTCTACAACATTCTTTCTGTACTTGAGTGTCCTGTATGTTTGTAAGTGTCTGTCAGGAGGAGGCATTACCTCTTTGAGTCAGTAATCTTCTCCCCACAGATTGTCTTGTCAAAGTGACAGCGGTATGCAGTAATGTACTGATGCCAGAGAGGGTGGAATGACAGCGAGCCGAGAGAGAGTCTAAAAACTGTGAAGCAAAGGCGTAAAAGAACATGTGGAAGAGAGGGAGAGATCAGGGAGCTTAAATGTGGAAGAGGGATGCACAATACAAACGACCTGAGGCTGTTTTTTTAACTGTGGAGCAGGGTGACTGCAGGACACCAGAACTGCCCACCTACTTAGTCTGAAAGGTTAACACGGTGACTTTATATCTCGGTAACTTACGGCAAGATGTACAGCACATGTGCGTGCGAGAACACACTCACCGAATTCAATAGGGTGTGAAAGTGTGCAGCTCCCGTTAATGCATGGCCAAGTGACATTCATGGACTTGTAAAATACTCAAACCTGGCAGAACTTCACACGGACAGCAAAGAGGTAGAGTCACAGGCAGAGAGACATTAGAGGTAGAAACGCAGGTCAGAGGACTCAAATGAAGGAAAGGAGGGGTGGTTGTGATGCCTCTTAAAGGATTCAGTTGGACAGTAATCCCCTCACCTGGCTGGGGGTTCAGCCACCAGCTGTTTGATTCAGATTCACGTCTGGGAGAGTGACCCATAAAGTCTGGTCAGAAAACTGAGAAAAACATGCAAGTGGAAAAGGTGTTTATTTGTGCAGGAAAAAAAGAGAAAATTAGGACTTTCAGCAGCTGATGGTTGGATCGAATTCATGGCACATGCTGAAGAATGAGTGGAATCGCTCAAAGGTTCCCACAGATGGAAGAGAAATCAAATTTTTTGCAAGATTTTCCCAAATAGTCCTGCTAAAGCTGCATTTTCGAAGGTGTTTTCTTTAGAATTAAAACGTCAGAGTTAAACCTCTCCCTTGTCGCCGTTAAGCCCCAAACTAAAAGTACAATTTATGTTAACACTTGGCTAAAAAAGCAAACACACTCCTCTAGCTGTGTTTAAATCTCTAACGAAAAAAAAGCTCTGAAGGTTTTGTTTTCCATTTCCCGTCGTGACTTCTTTTTCACCAGCACTTCGTTCTGGCTTCTCTGAGAGCCTGTCAGGGCTCATTTAGCCGGGGTGTGTCCCTTCACTGCACACTGCACTTTTTTAAACACAAATTGGAGCCGTATTAATGGACCATTTTTACACTAAGGACAATCCCCACCTCGTTTTATTTTCCACCTACTTTGTCCCAGTTTAGTGACCAAGATAATAAAGGGACCTCAACTAAAAATATCTCACCAGTAGCAGTTCAGCTTAACTCTTTTGTAACTTCCAATCGAGAAGTACCGCTCTGTTATTGTCAGGTGTTTTTGAGCCTGATGTATTTCTCTTTAATTTTATTAACAAGCCGGCTGAAAATTGTCAAACCCTCAGAGCAAAGAATGCAAATTGCTCACAGACGTCCTGGCCTCACTTTGGAAAAGGGTCAGCTGTCTGCCGGCCGCTCAGCTGGTAGCTGGGATTAAATAACAGCTGGTTTCATTTGCAGATTTTTCTTTTGACTTTGACCACTGCGGTGAGCACCGCTGTGACTCAGCGGAGGTTCGACTGTAAAAGGAAAGTCTTTGTGGCAGATACTTGGAGCAGAAAGTCCATGTGGGTCATACGTTGTTATTTGTGCAAGTGTGTATTTAAGGAGGTAATAAAGCTGTGTAGCAATTGTGGGTTGTGGATTTTTATTATTAGTAGTAAAGTATAATAATGCACTGTGTTTTCTGGCCACAAACCTATCCAATGGTCGCAAACCGGTCACAGTGATACCCACTTTTCCTTAGTTTGATATCACGTAATTTGCTGTAAATTCATCTCCTGAAATAGTTATCGCTAGGAGGTACCACACTCTCGACGAAAGCTGAAATCTTGCTGGATTTATTCGTCTTTTAATGCGTCAAAATATTACACTATACTCAAAATAAGCCACATTGGCCAGTCAAGTTCAGATATGAATCTCATTTTAAGATATTACTAGCTGAAAAGAAGAGTTTTATTGATCATTGCAAGCGCAGTTTTCTGAATTTGGTTCCCAAAACAAGAACGTCTACACAGAAAATTTTGCTTGCTGCATTTGCAGATATTTTGTCTCATTCGAGGTATTGAAGTTTGTTTTTTCAGCTTGTAGTAACTAGAAATCAGATTTTGATTTGGCTTTGGCAGGTTGATGAGGCTCATTTTAGGTGTAATCAGATACTAGGCAAATACGCTCACTAAGAATCCAATTATTACAGAGCGCCTTCTTAGTTCTAAAATAGTGGTTTCACATTAAAGCTCCTGTAAGGATTTTTTTTCAACTTTATGACTCAGACTGAAAGTTATGTTGATCCCTTTTTATGATAATGAAAAGCAAACAGGACCATCAGTTAGATCATTAATGAGTTTTATTTTGCAAGTTTTCATGCTTGAAATTGGTGATTCAAGAAAAAAAAGACCTTTAATTGCGTTTTTAACATAGTGCTTCAGCATACTTTAAACTGTTAAAAGCAAAATGAGAACTTTGTCGGAATTTACTGTTAGGATAAGACTAGTCACTTGCTCACTTGCCTCCAGTTTTCCGTTTTCATATGTCACATGGCAACCTTCGTGTTGATTGGTTATCGCGACACGAATATCTGTTTAACTTGAGACATTTTTCAGCTCGTCATTGTCACTGCCAGAGAAGTATGAGTGTCTAATCGCGTCTTTGCATTGACTTAACATGTAATTCAGTCGCAGGAATGATTTTACTCGCGCTTGGTGTGAGGAGACAGTTAGGCAAAGAGGGCGTTGTCCACAGGGGGCGCCAATTTTGGCAAAAAACCCAAAGTTCCTCACAAGAGCTATAATCTTCAGTTGTTACATAATAATTTGCACCCATTGGCAGTAAGAGTGCTTCTTCTTTTTTAACTCTACGTCTTTTATCGAAACACTAAAACATATTTCTTGTCTGACTAAACCTTCTTGGCAATAAACCTGATTGTACCTGGAAGTCTTATCAGGTACCTGCTTGTTCATCATCAATTTTATATGACAACTTCACACTTCTATTTCCAACAGTTCGATGCAAGTTCCAGTGTATTTTTCTCTGAAACAGGCTTGTTTCTCCAGCTTTAATGCATTACATAATATTTTTAAAATCTTCTGGACTCTAAGGCACCATCTTCCCGACCCTAATGACTTATTTCAGTACCAAGGATCATGAAGAAACACACAGTGATGAAAATCTTCTGAGGTATCCATCAGTGCATATCAGGCACAGTGGCCCTAACAAGGGGAACACAATGGAAAAACTCGCCGAGATTAAATAGACAAGAAAGAGGTAAAAATAAGATGTCTGAGCTTTATGTCTGTGACTGACGAGGGAGAACCTGTATCAACAGGGAGGAAAGTGAACTGGCCAGCACTGGAGCAGACTCAGAACAGCAGAAATTCCCCATCCGAGTGAAATCTTCACTGAAGGAAAGTTTATCTTTTGTACTCTGTTATTTCCTTTTTTAAATCAAAGTTTTAAAGTCTTCCAAACAAATGTGAAGCTCTCCCAGAAACACAGGACCACTTTATAATGATACAATATCAGTGGGTACATTTCAGAGCCTGGACTTGTTTTATTAATTTCTCAAGCTCATAAGACGTTTTACCTGAGTCATTTTATGAGCAAGTATTTCAAGCGATGCGTGCACTCATGCAGCCTCCAGGAAGATTGACATTCCTCTAAAACAATTTTAGTCTCACTCAACACTGACTGATTCCTGTCGCCCGGTGAAGAAAAAAACAAAAAACTAATCACAGTAGGAGGAGTTACCAGCAAAAAATCAAAGAGGGGGAAGATGATTGGATGAGAGGGAAAGGAATGTAAGAAGGGAGAGGGTGGGAAAATCTAGGTGACAGAGAGGAGGCGAAAACAAAAAAGAGGTGAAGAGAAATTCCTTCGCTGATGTTTAGTTTCCTTCCTCCACCGAGAAATCTGAGGTCCTGTGATGTACCGTAGATGTGGGTGCCTTCTTAATGGTTTGGAGACACCTGGCATCTGTACCTGTTTAAAAAAAAAAGAGAGAATTTTCCATCCAGCCTCAGTCTCTATCCTCCTCCCTCTGCCCGCCCGCCCGCCTGCCTGCAGAGTCCCGTCATGAGAGGAGAGTGAAGGTGTGCCAAAAGGAAATAACTCCAGCAGTCAGAGATCCAAACCTGCTCCGGGCTGCAGCAGCAGAGAGGATCTTCTCCTCTAAAACAAAGTGGAGAAAGATTAGAAATACAGTGGAGAAGATAAAGTATTGTTCAGTGGGTGACAGTCAGATGGCAGCAGACAGGCGGTGGTGTCAGTTCTCCTGAGAGCGTGTTGTGACATTTTAAATCAGACTTTCATTCATCCTTTCAGCCTCTTGTCTATAAGGGAGTTTTGTAAGATTTCTTATTGGCAAATTGTTTTTCTTTGTTTGTTAAGATTTATGTCATATATTCACCAGTTGCAGGTGTTGCAGTTTATTTGATTTGTGGTCTTTCGAAAAATAAGTCAAGTATATTGCCTTTAAATTACAGGGAAAGACTAAAAACGGCAATAATGTAAAGAAAAGATAAGATAAGATGTTTCTTTAATAGTCCCACAGGGGGAAATTCCAAAATTACAGCAGCATAGATACAAAAGATAGATACAAAGCAGCATAGTATATATATATATATATATACAATAAAAAGACAAAGATTAAAAATAAAGAAACTTTGAGATAAATCAAGTTATGTACATGCGTCGTATTTACATCCGTACAGAATTGACATAATAATAGGGTTTATTGCACATTTTGGTTCCTGTTGTGGATTCTGACAGCTGCAGGGAGGAATGACCCGTGATATCTCTCCGTCACATCACTGCAAACTTTCCATTTTTCTAGCCTCTGTAATACTCGTAAACTTATGCCAGTATGAGCGTACACCAACATACTGATGTATAGCATCAGTATGTTACTTAGAATCTTACCTGATGTAGGCAGACATGATTGTTTGTAACTGTTCAGTCTGGTCTGAAGGTCCCTGAATCCTCCCCTATAGCGTAAAAGCTGAAACTTGGGGTGAAGAATCTCAGTTGGTTCTGTACCTGACAGACAGTCCATAGATTTCAATGGATGGATGGGTGATTTCGAAGTCACATTTTTTTTTAATGACCATTTTTATAAAGAAGAAAACTCTCTAAAACAGGATTGTAAAACTTAAATTCAACTCCAAAAGCCTTCAGTTTTTGTAGATAGTACATTTACTGTTGCAGTCTGGATCAGAGACTCCCAGCATTGGTCCTTCACCTGACTGTGGTATCAGTATGATCCTTGAGATACTTATATGAGTAAACATAACAGATGGATTAATCTCTCATGTCACACTATTGCACAAATCTGCTGCTAAAAACCTGATACAAGACTAGATTCTGTTGCACTCATAGGAGGCGAGAGGCGAGATTAGGAATAGATGGTCAAAGCTGATATCAGCATCCCTAGAAAGCTGCTCTTTGCCTCATCACTCTCATTCTCTGCGTTCACCTGTAGGTGGCGCACTCTTCCTGGCAGTAGTTGAGCAGCAGAGCACTGAGGCTCCGTATAGAGACCTGCGGCTCTGACCCACTGTCTGCCGTCTATGAGGCCTTTGTATCGGTGAGGTAAAGATAGCATCTCTCAGCAGACATCACCTCCACACACACAGAGAGCCAGTGTTCACGTCCAGCCGCCCATGAATGAGAGCTCAGCGGCCGGCTTAAAACTCTGCCTCGCACCACTCTCGACTGTTTCTGTTTATTTTCTTCCTCTGCCCCCCCACCCCTCTCTGTATGGTTTAATGCCTCTGTCCTAATTACGCCGAACACTGACCCCAAAATCAGTTTCATCCTCGTCATTACTCAACTCCCCCTGTGATTTACCGCTTACATAAACATATTGTTGTTGCAACGAATGAGCAGAGATTGTACTTGTTCGAAAAACTTCTAACTAATAAGGGCCTAACTGCATCAACTTCTACATCTGTTTCCATGGTAACTCCCCCCTGATATTCGTAAAGGCATCTACAGTGAGCCGAAGGTCAGACCAGGTGTGTATTATCCTGTCATCGCAGGAGGTCGGCAGCTGATGAGGCTGCAGAAGGAGGGAGGTGATGACCGACAAGCTAATTCTGTCTGTCAGACTGAGATGTCAGACTCTGCAGGGACTGCCAGGGAGACGAAAAAAAATACACCATGACATGCAAAGTTTAATTAGCTGCAAATGTAAGCTGTCACATTTAACATTTTTATGAGATCGGTGTATATAGGCTACTTTCAACAGGGTGCTTTGATCATAAAAAAGAGACACAGCAATGCCTCTGAAGAATCACTGTCATAACAAAGAGCAGGACTCAAGCGGTTATATGAGAGATAATGTATAATAAGCAGGTTTTAATGGCAGATTGTAACAGTGTCAAGTAGACATTTTCACTGATGGTGAGATAAAACAAGGTGTAAAGCAGTGTGTGTCTCAGTGTCACATCTGCTTTGTCACTGTTTGAGTCTGTGACATTTCATTCCCACCATTTAGTCTTTGAAGAGAAGTGTATCCCAAACTGTGTTCAGTTTGTTTCTTTTAGCGACTTACAGTTTTGTGGCCCAAAGTTTCTGTCTTTTATCTTTCCCGCCTTTTTTCTTCTGTCTCTGTGTCTTCTCTTGGTTTGTCCACCGTAAACAAACAGACCAAGATGCTAAGGCAGAAGAAGTACCGCGTCTGCAGTGCAAAATGATTAATATGATGATCATAAATTCAAGGAAATTATAAAGTAATGATCATAAATGTTCTTCCTTGAGCTGCGACACCCCGCTGCACTCGGTGATGGACTCATCTGAGCTCGCCTCTTTGCTAAAGAAATTAGGAAAAGCTAAAAAGATGTTTGGTGGCTAGTACTATGGCTGGGACCCTACTGTTGATGAAGTTAGGTGCTGTTCTGAGCATTATTTGTGGCTAGAGTGGTGTTTTGGTTGAGGTTGACTCGTGGAGACATAGACCACTGTGTATTGCTGTATTGCTATCTTGCGGTCGGTACTAAAGTTGGTATGACTAGAGAAGCAAGTGGTCGGCAACATTCATCTCTCGAGGGGGTGTCTAACTTGGTGTTACGGTGTGTTTGACCCTAAATTAATTTTACACAGGACTATCCCTTTCACTTCATGTCTTCACGTTTCTTCAATCATAGTTAATCAGCAGGAGTCTGTGATCCCTGGTAACAATCTGTTCTTCTTAGCAACAGTCCGTTATCGAGAAAGAGCAGACCATTGCTATTATTTGTTGCTACATGATGACCAATCAGAAGCAAACACAGTCAAGTATGGAGCTTAAAAAGCTTTCAAATGTTTCAGAATCATAATTTAGATCTAAACCAATCATGAATCATGAGGCAAAAGACCTGATCCAGGCACATACTGTATCTACTCACACAGGAGGACCAATGATAAAAAGCATGATGTCTTACTATGGACTCAGTAACCTTTACGTAACTTTGGTTCGATTTAACAGCTGACCTCTCGATAAAAAGAGTTATATTTTGCTTACTAACCAGCTTGGAAAAAAATAGTACATTGATCATTATCTGAGGATTCAAAGTCTAAAACCAAAACTGTATCTTGTTACCTTTCCAACATGATCCCCTTTCTCGAAAAGCACTACAATCTGGTCTGTTTCACTAGTAATAGCTGTACGCTCCGTCAGCGCAGAGGGGAACAACCATGTCCTGTCATTCCTCAGGTAATTCCTGAGACCCTGCCCAGCTGCACTTTCCCCCTCCATCTTCCTGTGCCATCAACTCAAATTACCACATTCCTCCCTCCCTAACCTGCTCTTTAGAGTCTGAGGGTGAATGAAAGGATGCCTGAGGAGAAGTCCTTTGGAGGAGTGTACATACCTGCACAGGAGAGGACCTAACCAACCTTTTAGTGTGTTAGAGGAGGTTTTTTACAGCTCAGGGCTGCGACAAACTTAAAAAAGACCATAATTGGTTCAGGAGGTCACAACACTGTGCTGTAGACAGAGTTTAAGAGTTTGTTCGCGGCAGGAAAATGTTTATGTTTAATAAAGGTTTAGGTTGATTAGCCTGTTTTCAGAAGTTTCTGTCTGATTTTATAGGCTATTTTATTCTAACCTCTTTAAGTTTTGTCATTTTGTTAACTGTACATGTTACCGGTAAGGAAAAATTCATGCTGCATTGTACTTGCATTCCTTTTTGGCCATCTGGAGGCAAAGCAATAGGCTGTAACTAAGCAGTAACCCAGAGTAATGGGAAATCAAGTCGGTGCAGAAGTGCAAAAAAGAGAAAAAAAAACTGCAGTTCCTCTATTTTAAGTTGACAACATTAGCCAAGGAAACCCCTTTAAAACCTGTGCTAAAATATCTGTTTTACAGCAGGAATAAACAAGATTACAGTCTGAGTTTGACTTGCATTCTGTCAGCAAATAAAGAATTGGTGTTTTCATCAGCAACACGACACTTATCTCCTGATTATAGGAGCAATTCAGGGTTTAAAATGAAGTAACATTATCTTTTTCCTCTGAAAGCAGATTTTGTGATCAATCCCCTGTTTTTAGTATTGAGGGATGGGCGGATGATATGAAGAAAAGAGCTTCATAACACACAAGCATAGCAGCGACTTTGATACAGATAGCAAAGTGAGATAATCTGAGGTTTACTAGTATCTACATACAACTGGTACTTGAAAGATAGATAAACAGGGTTATCAGAGATACACTAATTATTGTCTATAGTAACTGTCGTGTACATCATAGACCAGAAAAGCTGCGGGGGAAGATCTATGTATGTGTTAAGTCCAGCAGTGCAAAAGCAAATGGGCTGTCTGAGTAAAGCACCCTGACTGCTCTCTCAAGAAAGGGGGCCGAGCTGACAGAGATACCCCTGTATTTGATATACTTACAATCCTTGAATATCTCATCATCACTATCATCCACTTTATGATAAAACCTCATAAAACCCCACTTCAGAAAAAAACAGTTTAAAATAGTTAAAGCTGCTGTATTGTGTTGGAAAGGTTTGTCTTTATGAGCATTTATTTAAGCTTTAGTTAGAGAGGAAATCTGTGAACTTTTTAAA